TTTTCGCGGCCTCTTCTAGCGTTTGCAGCTCTTCCTCGACTCCTTGTTGTGTCAGTTTATACTCAGCAAGCTGCCTCTGAACTGCAACCTCGACGTTGTCGTTTAGAGCATTTTCGGCTACCGCTGAATCAACAACAAAGTATCGCTGTAAACCCCCTGTGCGGAAAAAGCTCTGTACTTTGACAGTGTGATAGAGCGCGCCTCTTTCTCCTAGCCAAGCTTGCTGGTGATCTTTCTTACAGTGCATGCGCATTGTGTCCTTGTTGATAGTGATAAAGCTGCATGTCTTGCACTGCAGCCCGTCTAGCGGTTTCCCAAGCTCTTCTATCGGTCGCGCCGGCTCATCTGGAAGCTCAACGTCTGCTGCATCAACTAGCGCGAATTGATTGAAGCGTTCAACAACTTGTTTTCGAGTTGCAGCGGGCACACTGTGATGCTGCAAGAGATGCGTGTTAAGATTAACAACAGCAGTGTAATGCTCCCTGCATACTAAAACACCAAACTCTTGCAAAAAGCAAAGAATCTTATCGCAATTGTCAAGCGATACTTGCAAGCCTCTTTTACGGCGTTGTGCGCTGCTGCTTGTTGTGTTAACTCGCTCTTGCGGTGTTGACAGACGGCTGTCCCACACTAGCTCCATCGTGAGCCCTAAGTTAACCCCAAGTTAACCCTAACCCTGCTGTATCAGTAGATCTATAATTTGTTGAAAACAACAATACCGGCGCAATATTCAGACGCGTACAAGACGACTTTGTATGAGCGAAATTGCTGTGCAGTGCTTTGTTTCTGATGAGTTGGGTACATGAAGTTTGACGAGTCGCCTCCTTAATTTTAGTGCGAAACCCTAACGCTAAGCGATATTAAGCTAATTTTGCTGCGAGAAGGGCCTCTCTCGTCACCTCATATTGGTTAGGGCCTCTCTCGTCACCTCATATTGGATAGGGTTGCGCGAGGGACCACCAAAATGTGCTTCTTGATTAAGCGAAAACCCTAACGCTAAACCTGTTTCGCTGCGATTTGGTGTTCTCCACGCGCCCTTATATCGGGTAGGTAGGTTATTAGTAGTCTCTATATCTCTACTATAGTATAATCTAACGCGACTTTTCTAAAGTAATAATCTAAACCTAAAGGCTTTAGTTATTAAAAGGTCTCTAGTATCTTAACTAGAAGTAAGTAATCCTAGAAGTAGTATAGTTAAATATATATTAGACTACTTACTTATAACTAAATACTAATATAATATTATTTAGAGGCTATTACTAGCTAGGATAAGTTTTTAAGTATAATATAGTAATATAAGTAATAAAATTCTCTAATATAGTTCTAATTCTACTATAAGGTATATAGAAGCACTAGAAAAGTTAATAACTAGAGAGAATCTTATTCCTATAGGTCTTATATAAAGAATACTTAAAAACTATCTATTCTAGAACTACTATAGGCTTACCTTTTATACTTATAAGTCTTAGTTAGCTATAGATAGATAAGAAATAGTAATAGAGGTAAGTTAGAACTAAGTTAGAGGGGAGTTAGAGGTTATTTAAGTTAGGTAGTATCTTATTTATAAGATTTAAGATTTTAGTAGTTAATTCTTATAATTAGTAACTTAGATATATAATGCTTAGAAAGTAGCTAAAGATAACCTAGAAGTAGCCTAGACCTAGATACGAATTATAAAAGACATTTACTAGCTCCTAGTAAACTAGAAAGTTAGAGACAAAGTCTTCCTATTAATATAGAACCTAGCTAATAACTAGCCTAGCTATAAGCTAGCTACTCTTTAGCAAGGTCTCTTTAAAGTTATTAAAAAAGTTAGTTACTTATACTACTTAAGGTTACCTACTAGCTTAAAGATATATAATATCTTTATACTAGACGTCTTATATAAAGACCTATATAATCTACTACCTAGTTAACTTATACTAAAGCCTCTAGGCACTCCTATAAATAGGGTAGAGAAGTAGAAAGTATAAGAGATCTTAGATAGCTAGATAAAGTATTACTAGTTAGAATACTATACTAGCTAGGTTAAATATAACCTAGACCTAACTTAGTATTCTACTACTAATTTTAAGTACGCACCTTATAAGTTATAAGTATATTATTAGAAGTACCTATAATAGCTAGGCCTTCTACCTAAACTCTTATAGTAGTTATTAACCTAGTAAGAAGAGTAGTAGGTATAAGGAAAATAGTAAGGTTAATTATAATAAAGAAAATCTATAGTATTAGGTACCTTTAGTTTAAACCTATTCTATAAATACCTAAAATAAAGGAAATATTAATATATATTAGAGCTATAATATAGCTAGGTTAAGTAAGTCTTCTAACTAGAGTTCCTTATTAGATAGGTTAGAAAAGATATTAGAGAGCTTACTCTCTTTATCCCCCCTATCTAGTATCTTAAGGTTATTTTATTATACTACTTTACCTTATATATAATAACTACCTCTACTATATTATAAACTATAACTCTAACTTCTACTAGTAGTAGAACTACTTTTTTAAGTAGATGCCCTAGCCTTATATATCTACTAAAGGTTTGCTACTATCTTCCTTAATATCTAGACCTCCTCTATTAAGATACCTACTTTCTTAGTAAGCCTCTATAATATCTTTTAAGCCTATATATTATAGGTAGGTTATATATAGAAGTAGTATAGAAGAATACTAGTTACTAATACCTCTTTAAGTTATATAGTTACTACTTATATAATACTAGAAAGCTTAAGTGCTACTAAATAAATATTATGCTATATATCTATATATACCTTCTCTATAGTAGTAGCTTCTCTAGCTAAAATCCCTTCTTTATCCTCTACTAATGCCTTAACCTACGCGTTAAGTGCCTCTTTAAGAGTAGCATACTTAGAACTAATATAAATTAGAACCTTCCTAGGTTAGTATATAGTTATAAGTAGAATAAGAATATTATAATATTACTAGTTAATACTTCTTATTCTACTATATATAGTATATATACTAGAATAAGGTTCTTAAATTAAACTTCTATTTAATCTAATTACTCTTTACTAGGGCATATATAGAATAAAGGCAGATAACCTAATAGGCTACTACAAGAGCGCTAGAAGGGACTAGTATTAGTATAGTAACTAAGAAATAAGCCTAGAGAAGAATTAGTAGAGGCCTAAGTTAAAAGTAAGAATATTAACTTATAGTAGAAAGTAGTGTCTATTAGAGAACGTTAGTATATAGGCGCGATTATTTATACCTTACTACTAGCTTAGGCACTAAGCCTAGTTAGTTATACTAAGGATATAAAATTACTATATAAATAGTATTATAGACCTATAAGCCCTCTAACTTAGCTAGGTGCAGCCTTATTAGCTACTACTAAGCGCGTGCTATATATAAATATAGGGTCCTTTATTAATAATTATATAATAAATAAATAATAATAAGGCATAAATAAAGAGATAGTAAGGTAGAGTAGAGCTAGCTTAGAACTAAGTTAGTATAGGGATAAGCATAAGGCTAATTAACTATATTAGGGACAATATAACTATAAAGGAGAGAGGTAATATAAGAATTAACTACTAAAATCTTAAATCTTATAAATAAGATACTACCTAACTTAAATAACCTCTAACTCCCCTCTAACTTAGTCCTAACTTACCTCTATTACTATTTCTTATCTATCTATAGCTAACTAAGACTTATAGGTATAAAAGGTAAGCCTATAGTAGTTCTAGGATAGATAGTTTTTAAGTATTCTTTATATAAGACCTATAGGAATAAGATTCTCCCTAGTTATCGACTTTCCTAGTGCTTCTATATACCTTATAGTAGAATTAGAACTATATTAGAGGATCTTATTACCTATATTACTATACTAATAGTATTTATCTCTAAGAACTAATTAAATAGTGCTTATAAGCTTTGCTTAAAGTATAACCTTAACACCTAGCTTATAGTTATACTAATATTATAAAATTAAAATACTTTTAGAAATTAGTAAATTAAATAGCTAGTTACTTTATTTATACTTACTAGTAAAGCTAGTATATATTTTATATAATATAGCTTATTTATTCTAGTAATCTATCTTATTAATAAGTAGAAAAGTACTACTAGGTATAGACTTTATTTTTTTAGCTTTACTTAGTATTAGTATATAATTCTTAATTCTTAAAATTTAGTTTATTACTAAGTATTAATTCTAAATACTATAATTTCTAAATAGTAATTATAATACTTTATAGTTAATACTTAATTTATATATATTTATTATTAATACTTAGTTATATAATACTATACTCTAGAAATTATTTAGTATATCTAGTTATTTACTAGTTTAAGTACTAAATAGCTACTTTAGTTTATTCTTAATAGTTATAGTTAATAGACCTAGACTCTATACTACTATAAAAGTATATATTTACTATACTAATAATATTTTAATAGTATATTATAACTCTTATACTTCTAGTATCTATATAGAATAGATAATATATATATATAAGAAAATATAATAACTACCTTATACTTAAAGCTAATTTAATTTATATTATTACTATAAGGTTTATAAATACCTTAATAGATTTTAAGGTTTTAACCTCTATTATAAATATTTACTTAGTCTATACAATATATAGTATTTAAATACTCTAGATACTAATAGTATAAAGTTATATTATACTATAGTTAGAAACTTAGCTCTTTTATTATAACTAGATAATATCTCTTATAAAAGATTATAAGCAATGCTCTATTAGAACTATTAATCTTAAGCAGTATTTTAAAGATAGAGACACCTTTTACTAGAGTGCCTTAGTTATCTAAATTATAGGCTAAACGCTATTGAATGTGCTTAACGTCCTATAAACAGCACAGCTTAACTGCACGCTTTAGTACACATACGCACTGCTCAAGCCTTCTGCCGTTCCAGAATCTTAAACTTTCTTCTCGGTCTCATTCAAGTCTTGGAAGCTAAACACCAATTTCATCAAACTCAAAAGTAGCAGCACCACGATGCTTCGCAAACTCAACCGTGCACAGCGTGAAAAGCTCGATAACATGCTCGAGCGCGAGATGGCTTGCTTGTTAGATGCAGGCATGTCATGGGCCGAGGCCTACGCCTGGGCTACCGAGGCAGTGTATGAGGCTACAGGCTGTCGTCCAAAGGTCGCTGTCCATCGAACACGGCGCGATGCTGCATGCCGCGAGCATACATATGTTTGGAGATATAATCAGCGAGGTACAGAAGCCAAGCGTCGATATCATCGCACCACACAGTCTGGGACTGGAGCAGAGTTTGATCATATGTTCCAGAATGGTGCAGACTATTCTGATCTAGAGACAACTGGTAGAATCCTCGATGTTGACGAGTTTATGTGGCGAGCAAACATCATGACAAACTTACTCCAGAAGGGCATAAATGAAGATTATGCTCGTCAACAGGGCGAACGAGTCACGATTCGAGAGCTGGGAAAGCGCAATGACGCTGGTTTGGATGGTGTTTATAATGCTCGGTTTGCCCCTAGAGTGTACCGTGGTCAACGTGCACGCAAAGCAACGGATGACCGTGCTCGTTCAGACTCTCCGCATCGCCCTCATGCTAGCATGTCCAGTCGAGAATGCCCGCAGTACAGCGACTACTTTACCCACGAACCTGGGGATGACTTGCGTGCCCGCCACGAGACTCCTCGACAGTCATCCCGAAGCAGCTATAGGGGTTACCGCACGGAAGAGCGCCGTCCAGGCGGAATCTCTTCTAGCAACTTCGATGGCTGCAACGACCGCTCAGGCTGGTACGGTTATTCTGGAAACCGCACACCGCCCTTGGAAGCTTCTGGCGTGAAGCCTGCCGAGGATCTGTACGTACTCCTGGGAGTGCAGCGATCAGCAGGGCTTGAGGATATTAAGCAAGCACATCGTAGGTTGTGTATGAAGCACCACCCCGACCGCGTAAAAGGCGATTCTATAGCGAAGCAGGCGGCAACAGAGAAAATGGCACAGATCAATCAGGCATGTGATGTGTTGAAGGACAAAGAGATGCAGGCGTTCTATGATCGCACAGGGATGATTGGCGGCCTATCTGGTTCGCTGGATGCTTAGCAATGTGCTGATGGTGGGTGCGGAAGAGACTCATTTTATCTTGGCCGGAGACACTGATCGCGATGGTATCTGGGTCTGCTACTTGCAAGGAATTGGAGATTCGAGATGTGCAGATGAGATGGGATCAGGTTTAGGATCATCGAAGGAACCATGTTGACAATAGAATGACAGTCGAAGATCAAATTGTGAAGTCCAAGACCGTACTGAGCGTCGTTGGTGTGACCTGGACGTCCTGGCCGAGGCACGGACGCGCCTTGCCTCTTTCGAGATTCTGGGGAAGACAGGCGGAGCTCCAGATGCATCGCGACAACGCGCTTTAACCGTCTACGACGTGACCCGCAGCTCCCACCGCGCTCACTCGCCTGTTCTGCCCTCGCACATCCTTCTGCTATGACGGACCGAGCGGCCAAGCGCTTAAGCGCTTACGGCGGCTGAGCACCGAGTACGAGGACTCGGAGGACAACGTCGGGTGGAATACCAGCACTGCGGGAGCTTAGATAGCCTATTAACAATAGGAAGCTCTTGGACCTGCGTTGAAGACGCTTCGTGCTGGTAGATTGTTGGATTATACTGCTTGCGGCCTGCTTCTTGGCTCGCTGGCAACTCTCTATATCCATCTGTCTTGAGAGCGTCGTTGGTACTATCTGCGTTCCGTTGTTTGCGCTGCTACTAGCGCAAACCAACCACGCACAGTAATATCAACCCAACCAATACTCCAACTGCGATGCCAACTATTGCGCTTGTGCCAAGGCCTGTAGAGCCTGATCTTTGTTCTGCGCTAGCGCTTGCTGAAGATGTGCTCAACGAGTCCGTCGCTGTCGCAGTCGATGATTGCGAGACAGTGCTCAGCTCTGAGGCAGTCTGCACGGCTAATCGTGATGATGTGCTGAATTCCGCCACGCCAGCTATAGCGTACACTTCGGGTTCTGCGGCACGGAACGTGAGATCGTCTCTACTGCAGCATGTCGTGTTGATTGCGTCTTGTTGTGGCCAATGTGCTATACCTCCATTGCCAACGATAGCACAGCACCACAACGACTTTGGTTCCAGACCGTTCATAACAAGACCGGTCTTTCTGAGAAGTTCTGGGGACGTTAACTTCAATATTCAACTCACTTCGCTCACGCCATCACAACTAACTTACCAATATCTGCGCAGTGCTTAGGACACGCTGGATCCTTCCAGGTCTTGCCTGTGCAGCCATCCCGCCAATACCAGTTTCTTGAATCGATATCTCTCTGAGGAATACAAAGCCCGTTTGTTAGACACAAATCGCCGTCAGCGCAGCAGGTAGAATGGAGTCCAGCGGCTACAGCAGTCATGTTGCACGGCTTATGTGCTTTACTATCCCATGTTGTGTCGCCCACTGTGTTGTACGAAGTAACATGACGTATTGCCACTGACTAACCCAGAAGCATACATTTCCTCCACCTGCGAGACTCGAAAACTGCTGGAGGTTTTAGGTAGTTGAACGAAAAGATGTCAGAAGCTGCAGGTTACCTCAAAAGCCTGCGATTCTTGTAAAGATAAAGTCTTCGAGTGGCCTAAGGCCAACCATTGTAGGGATCAGGAAGCAAACTTGTCTCGATCCTGTCAGATAGAGAACCAATCAGGCAGGTCGTGGGCATGATACAGCCCTGCTGCAGCAGTCTCCGCTCGCCGTTGCGATATTCTTAGCAAGCCACCAATACCGCTGCCAAGACTTGTTGTGTGATGAGTTCCCGGTTTGACGAGTGCCCGCTCAGCCTCGTGGCTGATTTACATTGAACAATTACACCCTATGGATTGAATTTCTTGGCCTCTTGTAGACTCGAGAACTATTATGACGTTCCTCAGGAGAGTGGTGTATGCTTGGCTACCTACTTACAGTTTCGATCGCGACCTGTGACCTGCGACAGATCGGACCCACCAGCGCAAGCCATCTCGACCGGTTATGTTCCTGCACACGTTGATCGTCGCACGTTGCTGTCTTGCTGATGCCAGGCACCTATGAGACCAAGACAACGATGAGACGTGTCGACGTTGTCTTCCCGCAACCACGACTGAAGACAGTCACGCAGCAAGACATGGAACGTTGGGGTTTTAGCACTCGTTCGGTCTGTTCGATTAAGAAGATGCAAGGCATCTCTGTATCCTTGTACATTAGGATTTACGCGCATTACTTCTCGTTCCGCACCTACGCATGTTTGGTTAGGCCAACAGCGGGGCGGACGCAACACACCGAACGGGCAAGGACGTCCTTGGCACTACCGTGCCCATGCACGCTTCTATACACGCGTGTATTTATACATGCTACTATTTCTTAACCAAACAATTTTACTCTACAATACTTACTAATGCTATCTATACTGGAAAGTAATAGTAACAAACTAATTGGAGTCCATTTTAAGTATTATATTGTTCTGCTCCAATACAATTCACGCTCGGTCTTGTGTTTCGCTAAAAGTGCTTTATACCTTTCCGCTTTACAGCGTAGGGGAATCTTGCGGCCCAAATAGGGATCGAAAACCCAGCCACTGGGTCGAATACCAGAATAAATCCCAGAGTGCAGGTCGTACTTATCTGGGGCTTCCGCAAACTCAATCGAATGCGGCATCTCTTCCTGGTTTGAGGAGAGTGTGTACACGTCTACACCAGCCTCCATACCCGCCGCGATCGCGTCCTTAAACCACAACTTCCCTTCACTCCAGCCTTGACATGCTGATTCCATAGGCTCTGAGAAGATCCGCTTGAGAGTTTTGTATCGTCCATTTTGCATCATCTTGATAAGGCCGCGCTCAACCAGTCTAGTGAGATGCTCGTCAGCTTCATCCCACAAGACCAATGTCTCCAATGTGGGTGGGAACATTGTAGCGAAATACCGAACAACCAACTCGTCATGGTCATCCTCGTGGTGTATGTTGCCATTCTCATCCACAGTGTCTGGCTCACCCCTGGATGCGAACCTAAAACGGTCGTATATGCCTTCGCGCTCCATGCAGAGCTCTATGTCCGACATGCAAATTGACATGTGCTTCATAGCTGGCAATGTCTCGAAGTGTTCAAAGTCCTCATTGTCCATGATAGCACAATGATCTCCCACTATGTTACGAGGATAGTCGCCCCACCCGCTCGTATAGCCATACCACATCAGGCTCTGAAGCGAATTCTTTTGAACTCTCGCGACAACGTTAGCCGTTCCAGTAGATCCGTCAAAATCATCGGGCCCATCGAATCGGATCGACATAGTCGCCAGTTGCCGTGGCGCAGACCAAAAGATATCTTGATCCTCGCCAAAAGTCCCACTACAACCATGTAGGAAGATGTGTTGAACGGAAGAGCTCCCTTCTGTTAGGATGTTGCTTATGCACTGTTCTTCCTCTTCATTGTAGTTGTAGTCCATACTGTCTCCATCACTCCAAGCACGAAGCCCCTTAAAGCAAATGATGTCTAGCGAAGGCAGCCGGAGTAGATGTGAGAATAAGGACGAACAATGTTCTTCATCGCGATCATCCGTCATCCAGGTGCCCGAATCCACACCCACAGCCACGTTCTGGATGCTGCAAAATCCTTTCGGCCAGAAGTTCTTTTTCTGCGTGCTCTTGATGCACTCAGCTATCAATGCTTTCAAGGAACTGAGACAGGAGCCTTCTTCCTGTGAACGTGTGATGAACTTCAGATCCTGGAGGCGCTCAAGCTTAGCAAAGAGTAAGGCCTTCAGAAGCCCGTCGTGACCACTTTCAACATAATTAAGGACCTCTTCAAGAGTTCCAAGTTCGAGATCCTCTCCCAGTTGTTCCTCGAACCAGGACAGGTATCGTCTAACGTCTTCTCTCGTTACTCCATGGTTCGCAGGCTTGCCCATCTGCCCACTGACCATTGGCGCGTAAAGGTCAAATTTTTGCCATTCAGACCACTGTGTCCGGTCTCTCCAGACCTCGAACGACCGCACATTCCATGCTGCGATAGGGTTTTCCTGCCCAAAAGCACTTCGCAGCAACAGGGGCACAGTAGACGGATCCAGGTCAGATGCAACCCGATACTTCGCGTACGAGTCCTGGTGGCGTTCCAGTGCACCACGCGAAGATATCGCGAGTCGTTTGCAGACGCAAGCCAGGTCGAACTGCGTTGAAAAAGGGAGGTAATCCATGACCATAAGGATAAGCTCACTTGATGGGTCCTGGATAGAGCATCGTGGCTCCATTTGGCGAGCTCTGTGTTCATCCATCATATTGGATTCGTGGTGAGGACGAGAAATGTCAGGTAAGAAAACAATAGTCAACGTTGTGGTCACCCTGCATCTGATATAGTCATGATTGCTCCGAGATACTGCCGCATTCAGGCAGCCGTTACATGCTAAAAGCCGCCGTCTACTCGTTAATCAACGCCACAGAACGGCAACACCCGAAAGACACGAAATGTCTTCTCGTAGGCGAGCTAAAACCAATGATCTCTGCGCTCTTACGTACTAGTCCCGGATAGACTACGCGACTAACGCACTATCGTTGACACCGAAACTGCGACCACGACGAGCGCGACCATGGCAATGCAAAGTGTCCAGTAAGATTGAAGCTAGTCGGTGCCATTGCTGGAACAAGAGCTGTCGCGCCCAGTCGAGCCGTGGGGATCAACAACGTATCTTCCAACCACCGCCTATAATGGGAGAGACACACTGTCGGTGCCTCTCAGCACAAGCTCAGACCAGAAGTCACGAAGTTACCCCAGGGTGTTGCTTCTCAGTTACTTAGTACACAGGCGCAGTATAGTACCAGTACGCTCAGGATCATCTTGTGCTTGGCGCAAGGCTGCAAATCAACCCATTGATTCAGGGGTAGAAGGAGCAATAACAGTGGTAACAGCATCATTTCAAAGCGGTAATGGAAGTCAGATAAATCAACGTCTAGGACGAAGGTGCGGAGACTTCGAGTTGGCAACAACCGAAGCATATGTGCTCCTCTTAATGCTCCAATACACACTGCGATGTATGTGGTGTCTTTGCTTCACCTCAGTGGACGACCACACGCGGATCTTGGATGAAACGGCCTAAGGCGATTCGATCGTATGATGGAGGCTTTAGGCCTGCCACTCCTGATCATGAACTTTATAGAGGGTTTGCATACTTTAAAAAACCATGGCTTTGAAGCTATTGTTCCCGCGCTGCGATGTATGTTTATAGTCTGCCCGCTAACACTCAGCTATACCTCAAAATCATTCTCAAGTAGCCTAACTCCTTGCAAGATCTTGCCCATGTGTGTCATCTCGATGTGCTCACTGTTCTGACGTAATCTGGTAACACACACTTTCAGGAAGTGTACAGGACTTTTCGAAAATCTCGGACAATAAGGTTCACTTTCGGGCTTTTGGCGAGAGATGATGAAGCCATCTGGGCCAAGCACGACATCGTCGCTGGCTGTTTTCCAAGCGAGACCTAGCGACTTGCAGAGCTCTACGTAATCATCAAAGGACGAAAGGTAGAGCTGACCGGCAAACTGGCACAAGAGACTCACAGTCGCTCGTGGAACGCTCCGATGAATTTTGCTTCGCGATACGCTGTAGAGATCCAAGCGGTCGAGTGAGTCATATCCCAAGTTGACTTTTGCGGAGTAAAGACGGAGATCAACGTACACAGACTTCTCTATAGCTGTTAGAAGCTTTTGGACCTCATAAGGACTGACGATGATGAGTACATCAGGATCTTCCCGGTTCCTCAGAATCCACTGGACGGGTCTTTGGAATAGATCTGAGTACATTCCTGGACCAAACGATGTGTCCACAGTAACAGCAAGGTCCCGCGTGACCAGGATGGTATTGGGGAACTCGGACACGTCAAAACTTTGCGCCGCGGATGTAGTTTCGAGGATCTTGAAAGCTGGCCGAAATGGATCCGTCGGCCATGTACCCTGGACAATGAACTGTTCCAAACCCGGATGGATTTGATGCTCTGCTGGCTCAACCCTGGGCAGTTTCTTGATTTGACGTTCTTGCTCAGCTTCGGGCGCTAACTCTCGCTCTTGCTCTTCATCAAATGAGGCACGGTGCGTGTCTGTGAGACCAAATTGTTCGCATCGATTCCGAAACTCGAGCGCATAATGCTGATTGATATAACCGAGCCTTGATGAGAGATCGAACTGCGCTCTACCTGGGTTGTATCGCATTTCTAGAGTTGGAGCATCATCTTCCACAAATTCCTTGGCGCGCAGAGATCTGGGCTTGCCTTGCTCGTGGTGATTCAGATGCCCCCAAAGTGGTTGTTGCATGGTGAAACGGAGTCCTTGATTCAACCAGATTGGTATCGCTCGACGCTGATCCTTGCACGTCTCTGTGATTGCCCAGGACAGAACATCTGAGACAGTGATCCTTGCAGGTTCCATAAATTCCTGATGACAAACTAGTCGTATCTCTTCCTCTATGTCTTTTGGAACAAAGAACATCACACTTTGTCCTTTTCCAAGTTTACGCATCCTCATACATGCTTGCACCAGCCTGTCCTTCGTCACGTTGGCTCCTAGAGTGACAGCGGCCTGATAGTCTGCTGGCAGTTTCAGGTCTATTCCTCTGGTGTGTGCTTCATCGAGGTAGACGAGACATTGAGCCATTTGATCCACGAAAGGGGAGCCTGAAAGTTCCTGGATCTCACCGCTCTTATCTAGCGCCATGATTTCATCTTGGTCGTTGAGGAAGATAACTCCTCTTGTTTGCTCATCAGACTGATAAAGATCTAACCATCTCCGGGCGAGGTCTATATTTGTGGAGTCGATGACCTGGGCACCAACATCCAGAAGTACTCGCGGTCTTGAGTCCATTTTCGTAAGGACATTCAAGAGAGACTGAGTGCCAAAGCCTTGTGCCGTCACATCCTCTGACATCAAAATGACGCCGTTCTCTGGGCGTAACAAGTTTTTCAAAACCAGAGCATTGGTATGGCTCTGCTCGGGGATGTCCAGTTGCCTGATATCCAGAGGTAGCGTATACCTGGAGTCATTGGTGCCACTAAATCCAGTTGTAGGATGCGTCTTCCGTTTTGCAAGATCCCAGCCTGAGGCCGAAAGCTTGTGTGGGAACTCCTTACACTCTCTGGGAAATACCATTCGGCATAAGTAGTAGTCAATAGCAGCTTTGGAATAACGTAAATGAGGGAAAATCATCGCTGTACACTGGAGATGATCCTTTAAGTTGACTCCTTGAAGATGCTTGTACGGCCCTGGAAGTGTTGGAGCCGTACGTACCCAGGCCTGATACTCAAGTTCCGCGTTGTCCGATCGCATGAGAGCTTCAAATGAGTCAAATAAAGCTTCGTCTTTCAGTCCACCGTAGTAGTAGCTCAGGCATGTCAGCACGATTACGACATCTGGATGGCTAAACTCAGATCGCGGGGTCGGGCTATCTTTAGCTCGATACGGGACAGCAAGCTTGGTTCTTTTTTCTCTGGTCTCATCTAGACCGTAGTCCACTCTCCATCTCTTCCGAGAAAGCGCAAAACCAAGGATGCCACCAGCAAGAAGACCACGCAGAAGAAGGATCTGACTAGCGATCGTCTTGTCCCAGAACTGGCTATGCTCGACATTTCCAGCTTCCGTGGCGGTCAACTCCCACTGCGTGATGTACCTATGAACCCCTTGTCTGATTCGAGGAGGTTGGCGTGAGATGGGAAGTCTGGTCAAACCAGTCTCGCAAATATGGTCCGCAATACGCTTGAGAATCATCCTCTCGGCATCGCGACGCAGTATTCGAACTCTAGGCAATCTCCCTTGATGTCGGTCATCGATCTCAAGCGAATGGGGAAACTCAAACTTGACTTCAGCACTGTACTGGTACATCAGAGTCAGAACTTCCTGTGCCACATTCCACCGGTCTGGGCTTTGCTAAATCGATCTTTGTTCCCCGAGGGTATACACGAGCTCAAATTTGACACTGAAATTTTCATCGCTCTCATCGACTACATCCCTTGAGAAGTTGTCGAGAAATTCTCGAGTATCTCCTAGGGACTCTGCAACAGCCAAGCAGCTGCTTAGCGTCAATTCTAGCTCTTTAAGCTGGAGGGAGAGCAGGTGCTCTGGCTGAGCGAGCCAGACACCTCCTTTGCTCTTACAATCAATCAGCAGATGGTGGATAGCTGCAGCCCCTTTTTCATTGACTTGAATGTCTCTAGAGAAAGGTATCTCGTAAATCGGGCGATCAAGAAGTCCAGATAGCTTGTTGATCAACATTTGGTGCATTTGCTTAGCCTGGGGCTTGGCCACAATAATTCGCACCAGCTTTTGACCATCACCGAGCACAGAAGCGACGATGGGTACTATCACGGAAGATTTACCCTCCCCCATGTTCAACTGCATTACTGCATTGTCTCCGTCTGGCGGATGAATCATAAACTTGGCGATATGCTGTTGAGCTTGCCGGATCGTGATGTCGCTCTCGCATTCCATGAGCAGCCACTCTGGGTAATCTCGGGGCCTCCAGGCCTCGTGCCCAACATTCTCAAGCTCACGGAGTAGATCCATGGAATCTTCCTGGCACCGGATCATTCGCCTGGCTTTTTGCAAAGCTGCGACGGCGAGACCATATTGTACGACAGCGTCTTTCCATGGACTGGGCAGTTTTACCCAGTTTGACCTCCTTAGTTGCTTTAGAAGAAACAGCGGAGAGACTGTCGGTATAATGCCAGCTCCAAGGAGAATAGAGTGCACTTTCGCGTTGGCGCTCTCTGCATCTGACTCCGACCAAGAGACTGGCTGCATCGCCCTGTAAATGGCGCTGTAGCTGTGCTCATAATGTTCTTCACATTGAGTGAGATGCTGTTCAAAGACAGCTCGTCGTTCATCGACTCTGGTCAAGCTCTTGGTGTCAGATGTCTCTAAACTTAAGAGACTGTTGCGTAATCCATCTAGATACCGGCGCTCATATTGAAGCCTGTCTTTGGAATCTAGAAAATTGATCACCTGCGCTAGTCTCTCATTATCCCTGGAATCTGAAGGAGACTTCTCAATAAGACTCCCAAAAGCCAAACGAGGACCGAGACTGATATTGGGAGCATCGTGACGAAAAATATTCATCACCGGAGAAATGACTCGTATCCGCTCAGTGGTTTCTGTTGCAGGGAACAAACATCGGCTTCCAGTAATACCAGACTCTACCGGAATCGTTTTGAGCGTAGCAACAAACGCTTCGAGATACTGCTTGAACCCTCTGTTGGCCCACCACGTTCTCCAAGCCGGGGTCACTGACTTCAACGCTTGCGCGACATCAATGTATGACTCCATGTGGTAATCGCTTGGCTTTTTCGGAGTCTGACAGGGCCACTGTCTCGCGAGTCCATCTCTGAAAATATGTATCGCTTGCTTCTTGTCTTTCCCAAGCTCACGCTTCATTCGATCCGCGATCTTTCCATCGCCCTTGGCGGTTCGCGCCCGTGACTTTCCTTCTGGACCTTGCTTAGATCTTATCATGTGGAGAGATGCCGCTGCCTCTATCGTTTCAGGTCGCAAATCGTAGCCCTTAGAGAGATCATGAGACTCGCTCGAGGGCAGTGTAGCAGCTGCCACAGCTGGAGATAGTGCCATCATGAGAAGTGCTTGGGTGATCTGGTCATCTTGCTCGTTGGAGTATGCTATTGTTGAGAGCCATACCATCAGCTCTATCTTGTTAAGCCATTGTTGATTCTCTTGGAATGCACAGTGCAATTGACACCAGTGGGTTGAGACAAAATTGCTTGGCTTTCGGAGCCACTGTGAATCGTATTCTAACTCCCGTTTCTGGGGAGTGCTTCCGCGATTGTTGAAGGAACCAGATGCAATAAGCTTGTATAAATACTATGCTAATCCTCCAACCACGGGCTGCACGAGACATTCACGATGATGGAAAGCTCGGATGGCTATCTCAGCCGCGCGCGCTGCTCGAGTGGAGTTTTCCGTACCCCTCGGGTGATAGATTCCATCATTGGTGCGGATATTTTGGTTGTAGTCACGAGATATGGCCCGCTGAACGAGTTGCATAGTTGTGTGCGTTGGGACATCTGATGGAGCTGTTGTTGGGGATGCGAAGAGGAATTCGACTTCAGAGAACCGCTGCAAAACATTTTGGACGGTGTCAAAGAATCTATCATCTTGGGCCGTAAGATTCAATTCCGGAGACCAAGCCACGTGCTGAATCGATCTATAGCCGTCCGGACAGTAGTGACGACTTGGGGCCAGTGCAGCGATGAGATTCAATGTGTGGCGAGCAGCAAGACTCAAGCTCGTAGGCGCGTGAATCGGTGCGGAACGGAGGATCTCCAGGGCCATATCGGCGCCTCGCTGTCCAAGGAATGGATCGGGGAGATAGAAAGAAGTAAGAGCATGCAGATGTGCGAGATAGAGCTTGCTCTCAAGCTTCGTGTTTGCGACTAAGCGGCCAAGGAGCTCGTCCATCTGGTAAGGCTGAACACGTCGACTTGTACCGGGAAGTACAGACACAACAATGTGGTCATGGATTGAATCGACAATCTGCTTTTTGTACTTGAGTTCGCCCTCGGGAATGATGAGCATCCTCATTGGTGGATTTTGGTCATTGCGGAGTACGAGCTTGCTCCTGAAGCCCACAAGCATTCCGATTGTCTGGTTCTCATCGACTCGCATATTACCATATTGTCGTGACCAGAGGGCCGTGTCTCCTTCCTCTTGGTAAAATTGCAGGTGTAGCCTCGGTAGTAAAATCTCCAGTCGCTTCTTCTCTTCGTCATAAAGAATATGTACATTCAATGACGTCTCAAGGTGGGCCATGACTGCTGCAATGCGTTGGCCCAATTCGCCTAGAGGCGATAGAAGAAATACTTTGTTGTTTCGATGTAACATCCATGACCGAGCACCTTGTTCAAGGCGCCATTCTTCCGAATTTATTGGAAACGGATCGTTCGGGAGACAGAAACTGATGACTTTGGTGTTCTTATCGTACCAATGTATGTATCCGTCAACGAAGGAGTCCGGCAGTACTCCAGCAAAGATTCTCTGAGGGACGAGGTCAAATGATGTCATACCATTCTCCAAACGAATGAACAAGTCTTGTGCCTGTCTCCCAAAATGAGCCGTATACCCATGGAAAGGTTGGGCCGTGCAAAATGTCATCCCCGGACTTGTACTCGGCATCACCAAAAGTAGAGAATCGTTGAAGAGTCTCTTGTAGTCAGAGTGACAAACATACTCTAAAGGCAGACGAGAGGAAGGGAGATCGTTAACTAGCAGCTCTCCAGTGTAAATGTTGAGATCCACCCTAAGATGGTTCATCATCGTGGTATACCAGCGGTCGGTTCCAGAAGAAAGTGTCCAAATCGTCGTGGGTGAGAAGTACGACCATCGTCTCTGAGTGGCGATAGAGAGGAACATGCTACCGGAGGCTTGCTCGTCAACCAGTATTGGGCGGGCTCGAAACATGGTCAGCCTTGCCCTGTCACGTAAACGTTCCTGTAGGTAGTTGTTGTCCTCATGCATGAGACCCGCATTGTCGTTGATGATAATAGCACATTCAACTAAAATCGACGCGAGGTGCGAATCTTGAAGAACACGCTTGTGTTCGCCTGCATGCTATGTAGTCGTGGTCCACGAATGAATGAACGAAGGATCGAGGCAGCACAGAATATGCGCTGATTGGGTGATCGATACCTAGGTAAGCAATCGTAAGGGGAGAGGTAGAAATCGTGGTGAAGTCGAAAGGGCGATTCAGGACTTGACCCCGTAGTTCCAGCCAGCGGGCGCCGCAGACCCCGTCGGGGGCCGCAGGGTCCGACACCCGCGAACTGCAATTAGATAAGCCCCGCATACCTTGGCGCCAATGATGCGCTCCCTCCCCTGTCAAATATATCTCTGTTCCATTTGACATCTTAACACAGATAAATGTCATGCTGAATAACAACGATGAAGTGCATTAGAGTTCCTGGCCAGATCGCTTTAACAACATGTACGGCAATACCACACGTTTTGTGAATGTTTCCTCTGCTTCTTTCGCGATCGCTTGGGACTATCAGAACACGTCGCATACAGTATAAACCACTTAGGAAACAAGCGATTCTCAGCAAGCTCTTTGTCCGCGATCAAGTATTCCAACTTTTCAATCTCGCTCATTTCGTGGGACCGTCTCGTGTCTGCTGTCTTCAATCTACAGTCCCAGTGGTCAATTATCGAACACCCGCTTCTTACAACGCAGCCTTCGTGATATCAAAACGACCCTCAAGCTCTAGTATCTGGCATAGCTAAAGGCCGCACTTTATTCAGCCTACAGCAAACTAGCAATGTCCAATAAGAGGAACGAAGGCTTTGCTGACAAAGGATCTGATAAGCAAGAGCGCTCGCTCCTTAAATCCACTTCCCATCATCCAACGTCGGTGAGCGGCGGCATTCTGTCTCGGTTTAAAGAGAAACCTAGTGCTGCCGTTCTGGCCTATTGTATCTCCTCAATTCGCATAACGGTCGTTAATAAGTACGTCATTTCAGGATCGTCCTGGAACTTAAAGTCTTGAGAGGCAGCAAGGCCAAGAGATGTATATCCACCATGTATGAGAAACTTGCATTTTAACAGAAAGCCAGGGCTTCCCGTTTCTTTCTTCTTCGCTGGCATGGTGTACACCAGCACCAAGTCCCTTCAATCTCTATCTGTACCGGTATATGCTATCTCCAAGAACCTGACCATCGTCATCATCGCCTGCGGTGAGGTCCTTTAGTTTGGTGCAAGCGTGGCTTCGCTGTCTCTGTTGTTATTTGAGTTCATGATTCTTTCAACACAGTATGGAGGGACACTGTCCAAGAGCCCTTGTTTGATACTCAATTTCCAAGCGGTATGCTGGTTTGGTGTACCGTCCTATCTGGCGGTCATTTTCTTTGGTGGTTTACAGTGATAGGGCCCTTGTCTACGTCCAATGGCTGGTGGAGTCGCTGACACGCACAGGTGGAGCGAAGCTAGGATGCTGATACGGCACTGTGCTGACTACGACCGACGCTCTTGTGCCGGACAACCGCATCGTGGCCGGCTGCGTGTCGGAAGAGTCATACCGTGCCTGCTTAGCTTCGATCTCGCCAACACAGTGGTACCGGTAGAAGCGGGCGCGGGTATGCTGGGCTCGTGCCTACCGGGCCTCAACGCTTCAGGGCTGAACCCAAGCCTCTCGCACGGCAATACAGCCGGTGTGAAGTATCAGGTGTGGTCCGGCACTCAACGGCCGTTGCGATTGACTCTCTGGATGAATCCTGTCCGAATATGACCACCGGTCCAGTTCTAACGATGATCAGGGGTCCCATTGGCATCTCGATGGCACCGAACTGCATTCAGCGCGATTCCGGTCTTCCAGCTGCCGTATGCCAATCATATCATCAACTGAAAGTGCTGAGAGATGGCCGCACATGGCGACGAACATTTCGTGCAAGAGGGCGTTCGCGGTCTGGGGGGAGACTGTGCTGGCTGCGCTCTTCCTGTGTCTAGCTTCGAAGCTGTTCTCATGGCATTGAGCCTTGCATGTCGTTCGTAGTGCGCCAGCACACGGGGTTCCAGCGCATAGACTTCGTCTAGTGCATCGCACAGAGCTGCTATGCGATCATCGGTCTTGATCCTTCAGGTAAGCTCACGTTCTCTTCAACTAGCTTTTCGGCGCCGTTCTACCGATCTAAGAACAGGGATTACGAGATTGATGGGAACAGTATGTATTTAGTCCACATCCAGCTTCTCTCCATAGAAGGAAGCCACCTAGGTACGAAATCAGTGATAATGGATGAAAATTATGTCTTGCATGGCGGAAGACAAAGTAGAATGGGAAATTCAGCAAGCACAGGTCCAAGGCATGAAGCGTGTACATACGGCTCTGAATGCAGTCCAACCTGGGCCTCATGAAAGAGATCACACTTACGGAGTATGCCAAGTTTCGAAGTTTAGGCTGTTGCAGTAGCAGGTCAATCGCAGGTAAGTCAATTAGCTCTAATAACGAAGAACAGCCCCCCATGTCCCTTGTCAGGTCCGATAAGACTACCTACACTGAATCGTTCTTGCATATGTAGTATTGCTCCCAACGCGGGCAAAACAGGACTAAACCCGCTCCACACCGGCTGCATGGCATAGTTACCTGGCACGTAAACATGCTGCACATTGACATGCTGCATATTGTCATCGGCATCCTCGTTAGAAATGCGCTGTAGTCGCGGGTCTGACTGCCGCACGGTACTGATCATCTAGCGCGACCATCGCATGCGGACCAGCTTGACGCGATTGTTTGGAAGGGAAAGTGCGCCCCAGTGTTGGTGGAATGAGATCCGCAAATAATGCGAGGGCGAACCCTGAACACGAATCCGAACCGCGGACGTAGCTGATCCAAGTTGGGCTTGGTCGTACAGCCGCTTGTGTGTGTGCTGACCCGATGAGTCCTAATCCTGCGGTGATCCGCGGCTTATCTGCGGAATTTCTAGTTTCGCATAGTGACGTCACGGCCAAGCTGTGCCTTTTAGCTTAAGCCTCAAGTTGCACTAGCTTTCGTGCTGGGGTGAATTGAGCTAATGACTCATTGCTATGAGTTGACTCTGCCGACCCATGAACTTTTTTATGTCACCTCGTCCCTGGTGTCTCACACTGGATCTTACTACAATTGCTCTCTGGCACGTATTGGGGCCGCAAGAAACAGAATTTTTTTCACTTTTAATAATCACACTTCACCGAACAGCACGGCGCAGCGTCGGGTCTCGATCTCAAATACCACTCGCCTACGTTTCCGTCAGCGACAGCCTCAAAAATGAATATTGAAGCAGCTCCCGATGCCGGTGTGAGGGCGTGGATGCAAGTCTTCTGCGCCTGGCTTGCCATCCTTAACACCTGGGGATTCGTGAACGCCTTCGGAGCTTTTCAAGCCTACTACACAAGCGTTCTGCCGGAGTCGCCGTCAGCCATCTCATGGATTGGTAGTACGCAGGCGTGCCTGATGTTTGCTGTGGGCACATTCTCAGGATACGCGCTTGACGCTGGCTTGTTTCGCACAACCATCCTGCTCGGCATCTCTCTCCAGCTTCTTGGCATCTTCACGATGAGCGTCGCAAAAACGTACTGGCAATTGCTTCTCACGCAGGGCATTTGCACCGGCTTGGGAGGTGGCATCTTCTTCGTGCCGGTCATGGGGCTTGTTAGTACGTACTTTGCGAAAAAGAGGGGGTTGGCACTAGGCCTCGTGACGACCGGAACATCCGCAGGCGGCCTCATCTATCCGGTCGTGGTACAACAGCTGATAGACAAAGTTGGCTTTGCCTGGACGGTCAGGGTGCTTGGCTTCATGAACCTGCTCAGCCTGGCGATTGTAATAGCTCTCATGAGACCGAGGTTGGCACCGCGGCCCAGGGCACCGCTTATCGACAAAACTGCGCTCAGAGATGTGCCGTACATCTTGCATTCCCTTGGCTTATGCATGCTGATGCCTCCGGTCTACTTTGTCTTCTACTATGCAAGAAACCCTGTCGTCTCCTGGGCATATGAAGTGGGCTGACAGTACGAGCAGGTGGCTTCCTTTGCTAGAGACGAGCTCGGCATGAGTTACACGGCATCTCTCAATCTCGTGATCATTCTGAACGGTGTCGGTCTTCCGGCTCGTGTGATCCCCGGCTACGTCGCAGATCGTTGCATTGGAGTGCTGAATACATTCGCGCTCTGTCTGGTAGCCAACGTAGTCATCTTGTGGTGTTGGCTAGCTGTAAAGTCCATCCCCGCATATTATGCGTACATTGTGGTGTATGGGTTGTCCGCTGCTTCTTTCCAGTCTCTGTTCTCTACCACAATCGCAGCATACTGCCACGACATCGCGAATATTGGCACCAGGCTAGGTATGGCCTTTACAGGAATGGGAGTCGCGACTCTTGTTGGGGGCCCAATTTCGGGAGCTTTACTGAAGATGGGCGGAAGCTATGTCGCGCCGATCTGCTGGAACGCTGCTCTGATGGTTGTTGGAACTGGACTTGTGGTCGCAGCTAGAGTATGGGAGCACGGCTGGGGATTGGCGACTGTATGTTGATGCGATAAGTGGGGCACGGTTTGAAAGGAGCAAGGATGCTCATCGGAGGTGCAATCAAGTAATCGCATGTCTCATGCACAAAGGCTCGTACTTTCCGACCGATCTGTCAGTATTGCAACAATGCTACCCTGTCTAATGCAGTGAACCTTGTCCGCACTAGCGAATGCGAACACTTGTACGATGGAGTGCTCCGGCGTCTTCTAAGATTCGATTGTGCCTTCACGTGCTGGCTCGTTGAAGGGCTCGACGGCTTGCTGGATAACTTGAAAAGGTGATAGTGGTCGATCGCTACTCATTCCGGAAGTCATATCTCTACAAGTCCACAGCTGTGGCATATACTTACCGGCCTTAAATGTATACCACAGACTGCCGAGTAAGCCCGGCACAGCTCGTCAAGTACCTCCCAAAACCTGCCCAGTCTCAGCGCTTGGTGAGGGTCTTGCAAAGAGGAGGGAGTTTCTAGCCACCAGGATGTCGGATGCGGACGTGTGGGCGGGCGCGAAGAAGAGAGCAGGAGAGCAATTGAAAGTACTTGAAGTGTGGAAAGAGGTGAGCTCCGGTTTGTGCCACTGACACGTGGGAGGCCTAAGACCGTGCCGTCTCCTTAGCTTGATTGCATTCGGGTAAGATAGTGTGGCGAGTGGAATAGAACCTTATACCTTTTAAGACTATAGTACTCTTGAATACTCTTTCTTTTTATAGCCATATAATATTTGGTTCTATATGTTTGATTAAAGTTAAAGAAGCTATTTTCTTTACTATATCTATAAGAGTTAGCTAGTAAGGTACTATAGTAGAATTAAATTATACATGTATTAGATTTACCACACTAGGAGCAAGATTTCTTGATTTACTCATCAATATATAACATGAAATAAACACAGCTGTAGAATAAAAAATAGTCTAGTTACGTTAAGATATTTTTAAGCTTTCTACTTAGAAGAATTGCTTTAATACTGTTAACAAGAACATTCTTTGGTTATTTTGGATGCTTGAAGGTTCGCCTGACTATTTTCTGGTCGAGCCAATATCAGGGGCTAGGTGAAAGGCACGCCTAAAACCTAGCTTGATCATGGCCACGATTCCTCAGGCTTGTCGAGCTTCTTCGCTCCCCAAAGATGATCTGTCCCTCTGTAGTTGCCCTTGTGATAGTTTCGCAGCTTCAGATGCAAATCTGCCTCGGGCACGGATAGTGGAGCCATATATGTAGAAAATGACCATGAATGGAAGACACGCCAGCGCCAAAAAAGCAGGTATTGATGATGCCCAGTGCACGCCGAGACTGTCGTACATCTTGGCGGTGAATAGAGGGAACGCCGCCCCAAAGATAGAGCGTAAAACAGCATTCGCGGCAAGCACTGATGCGGCGAAGGCTGTGTATGAGTCGATGAGGTAGTTCACCACAGCCAGAATGACAAGCACAACGCCGAACCCTAGCGGGATACTCGCAGCGATGCTGATGAGCCAGTGCTCACTTGCACTGTTTGTCCAAGCGAACCAAAAGAGTCCAATCGGAATGGCGACTGCACCCACAATGCCAGCGGGCAACCGTGTCTCTGGCTCAACTCGACTTTCAGAGGCCAATCTCAGAAGCCCGTTGTAACGTCGGTTCTCTAGGATGGAATAACCGACTGATATCACCATTCCCACAGCGAGACCTATGAAAGCCAGGCCACCAGTGCTGTCTGACCAACCGCGTGCTTCCTGATAGACGATTGGGAACGCAGGAAATAACATGTAGAGTATACCGTATAGGATCTGCGTCCTGCCTCAGCAAACTGTTGCGTGGGATTCCATATAATGTATTGGCAACTTACAGCAACGTAGATGGAAAGCAGAAGCACAATCGGCTCTTGGAACAGCAAAACCCACGGTCGACACAAAGCTTTCTTGAAAGCTTGCTTGGCCTCAATCCTCCCGTTCGTGATCTCAAATCTGCTCACGTAACGCAAGCCCGTAAGTCTCGAAAGACTGGCAGCCCTGCGTTGCAGTAAAGTCGGTGCGTACGTCTCTGGGATGAGCAAGGTGCCTGAGATCCAGACAGCACCATTGAACGCTGCCATAACACCCTGGACCCAGCGCCATCCTAGGTTTTGGTTTATGAAGCCGCTAACTGCTCCCATTTGGAGTTGTTAGACAGTGAACAGAATGCAGCGCGATGACCTAGATTTCGGTACGCACCTATTGGACCAAGAACGGGACCTAAAAATGGAGCTGCGGCAAACAGCGAGAGGGCAAGTCCTCGTTCGCTGGCATCGAACATATCTGAAATCACGCCTCCAGCGTTTGTTTGGTACGAGGAGCCAAAAGCCCCAGCAAGGAAGCGGAAAGTAATAAGGCTGACTGTGTTCGGAGCTACCGCAACGGCGATGTTAAAAACAGTAAGCATAGCATAGGATGATACGAACACATATTGTCGACCGTAGAGCTCTGGAGGCTTGTCAGAAACCTTCAACGGCAACTTTTTTACATAAGCCTACCACTCACAGGTCCCCAGGCCAAAGGTCCAACAGCTAGTCCTAGGACAAACATGGAGAGCCCGAGAACAACGGCTTCCTGTGATGATCCGAATTCAGACATAATGCCTCTACTACCTCCGCTATAAGCAGAAGAGCAAAATGCGACTGCAAGGGCAGATATCGAGGTGAGTGAGGTCAGACTCCATTTGCGAATCGCTGTGAACGTTGCAGGATTCTGTTGGTCGGGTAGTAACCAGTCAACGATGTAGGGGTCGTCCTCGGTACCGGATCCATCATAAGCTGCGTCCACTATCGAGCTCGAACTTGAGTATAACTGTGGGCTGGGCCATTTCATCGTGTAGTGAGCGAAGGTCCTCTTCGATCCACCGTTGTAACAACAGTATCCAAGCGATAATGTAAAAGTCCTGTGAGTGATCTCTGAAAGGATGGGTGCTCACTGAGGTCTTTTGGAGATAGGCCGAACTTACACGTTCAGACAGCGTTGTGATGGTATTCTCGACACTGCCGCACGATCTTCAGATGTTGGACTTTTGCGCTCAAGCTGACGTCGCAGACAGGTAATCCACTCCTTTCAATCCTCTTTTCCAGACGTAATGTCGGTGTCACCCGAGGAGATAGCACCGGAGATGGCTAAGATATCCAAGACGCACAATCTATGTTGCAAAGTCAAACGGCTCTTAACCCCGAGAGATGTACGGTGAACGTTGCAACTGACAAATATACTTTACTAATCTGTCCCGCTCGATTTACCTTTTAACGCTTACCAAGCACACGTGTAATTGTCGGGATATGCTACACAGCACTTCGGGGATGCAATGTAGCGGAGTGGAGTAGCGCTAGGACGGGAACTCGTGTGGAATCCCGCTGCGCCATCGGCCCTTTCCAAACGTCAGACGACCAGTCGTGCAAAAGGTCCATCAGAATACTGCTTATGTATCTCTGTCGGACCAACATGGCCGGACGAGTATCTATAGACTATGAAGCATCGCGGAGTTTCGTCCAGCACAACCTACCGAGCTCAAAAATTATAAAAGCATGCAAGGAGCAGCGTAGTCTCAAATCCGAACAAGAGCAAGCCTTCTCCAATATTTGAGTAACCAAGTTCTGTTTCGAAATGGCAAACGATGCTATCGACCCCCCAAGCCTCAACATACCTGAATCGGTGATCAGTGTCACTGTCAGAGTGATTGACACTGGTTCGAGAGCTTCCGTACCCGCAGCCGCATTCCTCGAACCTGCTATTCCAGGGCACGAGATCCTTGAGGGCTCACCTGCCTACCCGATCCTTGTAGAACATGAGTCAGGCCAGAAAGTAATATTCGACCTTGGAATTAGGAAGGACTGGCAGAACTTCTCGCCAGCCCTGCTGAAGCTGTTCGAGGTTGCGGGCGTCACGATTGAAGGAGACAATGACGTGATTGACGTCCTTGAAGAGGGAGGAATAAGCAAAGAGAAGATAAACGCAGTCATTTGGAGGTATGACAGCCTAAGCCTCTTATGTTTGACTTTCCTAACCACTACGCACGACAGCCATTGGCATTTCGATCACGTAGGCGACACCTCTCGCTTCGCCCCCAGCACCGAGCTGGTCGTTGGACCAGGCTTCTCTGCCGCTCTTACTCCTGGATATCCTGTAAATAAGGATAGTCCCATCTTGGAGACGGATTACAAGTCAGTCAATTCTTTAGACAATATTTTAGATCTAATCTGTTAGCAGGGATCGGCCTCTTCGAGAGCTCGACTTCACTGCGAAAGCGACCGTGAAGCTGGGGCGCTTTGATGCTCTGGACTACTTCGGAGATGGTAGCTTCTACCTTCTCAATGCACCAGGAGTAAGTGGCTACCGCAATTAGAATTTGCGACCCCCGCGAGACTTGGTTTTTGCTGCACAGCGCAAGCTAACGCGTGCCCCACAGCACACTGTAGGACACATTTGCGCTCTCGCGCGCACCACTCCAAAGACATTCGTTTTCATGGGTGGTGATGCCTGCCATCATTGTGGCGAGTTCCGACCAACCCAGTACCTGCCCATCCCCGCCGAGCTCTCCCCATCGCCACTCACGAACCCGCCATTTGTCCCTGAAACGTTTTGTCCGGGCTCTCTCTTTCAGTCGATTCATCCACTAAAGTCTGCTTCACAGCCGTTTTACAAGCCAAAGAATGATCCAAGTCTCTTGCAAAATTACGCCGAGACGGAAATCACCATTGAGAAACTGATTGAGTTCGATGCCAACAACGACGTCTTGACGATCATTGCACACGATCGCTCTTTGCTCGATGTGCTGGACTTCTTCCCGGCCAGTGTCAACGACTGGAAAGCGAACGGTTGGAGGACCACAGGAATGTGGCGTTTTCTAGCCGACTTCAGGCCTGCATTGGATTACGTCTCTGCGGAAGACAACGAGTCTTAGAAGATGTGATCCCTTGTTGGCTGCACTTCAGGGAGCTTTTTTCGGGTTCATAGGCACCCAGGCTACTTGCTAGCCCATGTCGTTAGATCACATAGACCTTAAGATTGTCGGTGCGAGATTTGAAGATTTTTTTCTTGCTGCACTGTGCTTGCCTCTTGATAGCGCTGACGTGCAATATGATTCAGGGGTGACTCGGTGCACGGCTGTCTACCCTCACATCTGTAACTGAACAAGAGACTCAGTGGTGAAGACCTGTGTTTGGAATTGACAGGGCTATTACCTGGCGCTCCATGAACGACTTGAGTATCGAAGCTCCGACGTCAATGTCAAAGCCTGAACCCTTTCATTACGAAGACATAAGACGCTCCAGGTATTAGATCATTTTATCGCCATCGGCCGCGCCCGAGAATTTCATCAATGCGTCTCGGCGACAGCAGAGTAGAAGGTTTTGCCCTGCTCTATCGCAATTTTGAGCTCCAATGGTATGGGCTGGTGCGAATCATCGCCGGCGGGGGAGGTCTCAGCGCCCCAGGGGGAGCCGCCGTGGACTTCATCGAGGTTGGCCAGCAGACCTGCATTCATTCAGTCAGCCGCTTCTTCATTTGCAAAACAGGGGACTTACGGAAGTCGTCTTGTATCCCAACGGCACGTAGATGAAGCTGTGGTGAACCAGTGTAGACATGGAGGCAATGGCCGTACTCTCTTGCCCTTTTCTTAAAGTGCGTGTGGAGATGAAGACCCCAGCGTACTTACCTCAGAAAGAACCTTGCTGCCACTGCTTGCCAGAGATATCCCACAAGGTCTTGAAATGGGCAGAAAAATTTCCATACCTTGTGGGAGCACCGAAAAGACACCGAAAAGCATACCGTTGAATCCCTCGAGCTGGGCAGGGTCGGACAAGGCCCTACACACATCTCTCAGCTAGGGCCGTGCTGGCGCTAGTGCTTTTCATGGATGTGCAAAGGCATCCGGGCAAGGCTTAGCGCCTTTGTAGCTCGCCACATCGGTCAGCAAGCTGCATAAACTAGGTATGGCAACACAGCTAAACAGGCTGTCCTGACACGCTTCAGCTTCAGGGCATGCCCCTTTTCTGCTGCTGCAATGTCCCATCCAGTCGCTGTCATTCCGTCTGCGGAGGCGCCCGTCGCAATGGAGAAGTTTCAAGTGCGAAGGTATTGATACACGGGGGCACATCGAGCGTGGTGAGTCTCTCGGTGAAATATGTCAGCCAGGCTGGATGCGCTGTCGCCAACACAACTTCACCAAAGCATGCAAGCTATGTCTCGAAGATCAGTGCTGTCAAAGTGATCGACCACAAGAAGAGGTAAGCGGCCGTTTCAGATGCATTGACCGCCGAGGGATCTTATAACCTACTATCATAGTAGTTGTTGACTCGATCTCGACACCGAGCACAATCCCAACAACTGCCGGGGTGGTTTCTGCGCAAAACTCGGGGAAACTATATACACTATTGCCAGCATATGGTCCCGAAACAATCCCGCAAGGAGTCACATGTGAGTTCGATTCATGGTATGTAGTCTTCGGAAGAGAGAATCACGCAAATCGGACTTGACAGGCTGAATTACAAGGCATTGTGATAGTTACCACTATCTGGAGAATTGTTAATGTTTTCCGACGCTGATTATAGCCCATCCTACAGCACTGCAGACAGGGGCAATCCAAAGGGCAATAAGCGGTTTAAAGTGACCTATCTGCCAAAACCGGAATCCAATTGCAAGTCCAGAAGCTAAGAATGTCCAAATTGTCCCCTTCTCGAGAAAAGTCTGTGGCCCAGAGCTTTGACTCCACTGCCAGTTGAGAAGCGCTGCTTGAAATTTAGTAATGCAGTGATGGAGTGTCGTTTCGGAAGCTTGCATACCTGCAGTGATGAAACCTACGTTCATATAATCCCATCCCGCAATAGCGCTTTGTGCACCTACTCTTGTACGCGGATCAAGGGAGAGAGCCTCTATTGTCGGGAGGAAATGCGTGAAGCCGAACTTCACATGGCCAGGAACGGAAAGAGCGTTGAGCAACGCTGCAGCCTTGAAAAGCGCGAGACCAGAGGTATGAAAGTAGCTCATGCTCAAGAGTTCGCGTAGAAAGTAAAAAAGCAAGGAAGATGTTTTTGGATGCTATGCAAGAGGCGAAGAAGTCGTGGGAACTTTGTAGGTGTGATGTTCATCAAAGAGAACCTGAGAAACAAGAGGTCCGTTCACAACCGTCTCATCAGCGGTTAGCTCACTGCTAGCTAGTAGGTAGGTCCAAGGATGCCAGCATAAATAAGCTACTGATGTGGCTATCTAGTGAAAAACAAATCGGCGTCTGTTCTTTGTGGTGGAACGTGACGCAAAGTGACCGATTTAGCTCGTCTCCGGCTGTGTTAGGTCACAAAGATTCCGAACAAGTCCCGCCAGAGCCTACGGCACAAACTCACAACACGTCCGCGCACACATGTGGCTGTCGGTTCGCGGCTTCCGGTTCTCGGGTCGCGGTCCCCAACTCGCGGTGTTCGGTGTTCGGTTGTCGGTTGTCGGTTGTCGGCTGTCGGATCTTCATGAAAACCAGGTCGGTGCTTGCATCGATGCTACCATTCAAGGTTGCCAGCGGTCAGAGAACTACCTTACTTGTTTCGAACAAGCTTCCGTCTCATAGTCGCTATCTCATTCGACAATCACATTCGCTTGCGACCCAAATAGTCATGTCGCAAGATTTGCTACAGTACACCTGGGCAGTAACGCGGCGCACGGTGAAGGCAACATTAGTTGAGCATGCTTTACATGCTAACGAAATCATCTGAGCTTCGAGACAGTTTCAGTCTCGTGCCAAATAGCATTAGCCTTCTTTGATCATGTACTACCGCTCCTCAGGCATGATTTACTTCAGCTCCTTAGACAGTTGCTTATTGTGTGTATGATAGCAGTTCTTGTCGCCCACCTGCGCACAGGCGTCATACTTCTGCTGTTAAAATTGGGTTCTAAACTCTATCCTTCAAGCATCCTTGTGTGGCGTTTGCCACAGAGATATAGTTGTAATTACAGGGTTTAACACAGTAATTCGCTGTTCTTACACATTTTATCTTAGAATTGTGTCCCCACTGTTCAATCTATCTTGATCCACTCTAGAGTTTCTTCCTGTTCCTGTGCACTAAATCTAACTGCATTCGCAAAGACACGTGCAGGAAGATTATAATATGCATACCATTCCTTACTACCAAAACTCGACCTAGTGCTGTAATGTAGCCAAAGGTCAATTGCATAAACGCTGCTGCTCTGATTGAGGATTGATCTTTAGAACTGAGATATTAGACAACAGCATTAAACTGTCTTGTTAAGGCAAGCCAATACGTAGAAATAGCTTGCGCCGTTAAAAGCTTCCCTAAGCAAACTAAATCAAGATAATTGTCTGTTAGCAAGGTAAGACAAGACAAAAACAAGCGTCTTAGATTAGTAGCACCTTCGTCTTTCTGAAACAGGGCTTATGCGATTGTGAAAAACCTCAACGCCAAAAGTAAAGATGTTACAGCAGATAACAGAAAGATTATTACTTCTAATATTTCCCTTTTGTTTGACCTAGTCTATCCTAGTTCGTTCATATTAAACAGAATTGCGTTCCAGTCAAACCCAATTGTAGAATCGTCGTTGAATGGGATATGCCACGCTGGAAATGCTTCCATATTTTCTGTTGTCACAATATCACTGTAAACCTTTGCTGTTTGCTGCTGTTTTCCTTTTCGGCCTTCGTCGACTTTCCTTCTGGTCAGCTCATAGGCAGCGCTCACGGTCCTGCACATCCATGCAGCGAAATTCCATCTGCACTTTAATGTCTCTAGGTTTCCAATCAACTGTCTCAAAAGGACATGGAAGTCGATTGCTACAGCAGGCATCGCACTATGCCTGCGACCAGCAAAAAATTCTAAGAGCACAGCTGATGCATGAAAGAGAGCAGTGGTTCTATACAAAAGTCAGATACGAGCAGCTACGATTTCACAATCGAAGGGAATCGTGACTTACATCCAGCCTGGGCAGAAGGGTACAAATCCACCTGAATTTAGGTAGCTTGCCACTTGACACATCTCAACAACGGTTGTCAAAAGACAATTTTCGTAGCGTAGTTGCATGTCATCGTCGCCACAACCTACACAGGCCCCGCGGTAGTGGATCACACAAGTGCATAGAAACTGCATTCTGAGCAACGGTGCAAGGATACGGTCACGTGGACCTTCCCCAAACAGGACTTGAGAGTCTTGGGGAGGGACTTGTGCGATCATAGTGTCGAAAAATTGCAACTTGCGCTCGATACTGTCCAAAGTCGTGCGTTGGGCATGTTCGGGTCGAGCAGAATAAAACGCCTTCAAGATTGCTCGGACTGGTTCGGTAAGCACATGTCGTTTCAAGGCAATTTTCGAAAATTAGGACATACGGATCAACCCAATGGAGGCCGAGGTCGTCATAAAGTTGAGCTCGGTGAATCGATCATAACTTGAGTACGACGACTTTGCTAAAGTGACACAGCCCTCGAAATATTGTTGTTCAGCGTGTAACTCTTGCTCGATGTCTTCTTCCGCAATGGTCATTGGAGCTCCAACTCCCGTGGCGATGAATGCGTCGCATGTCTAGAGAGTGTGGTCAGCGAGCGTGGATACGCTCCAAATTAAAGCCCAGTTGTCTCAAATTGCAGCCTTGACTCGTCTGACTCACCAAAAGAAGCAAGGCAAGACGGTTCCGCTTTAACATCTCCTCTCTGGATATTTGCATCGTCCTAACCCTGTAACGAACAATGTCTGTCAGTCTCAATTACCAATTTCAAGATGCAGAATACATAAATGAAGCGAAGTGCAGGGTTTGCGACTAACCTTCTAAAGAGTCCCATTGCCATGCCTACGTTCGCAGCCCTACTCATCCAGTATCTGGGGTTTCGCTCCATTGTCCAGGTCTGCCACATTTGCGTCAGTAACAGGAAACCTGCAACCTGAGCCTCGCGATCACGTTCCAGCTCAAAGTCGGCCAAGAGTCGCGCCTTTTCTGCAAAATGGTCTACCAGCTCCACCTTGCTACCGCATGTTCCCACCCCGGCAGCCATGACAAGGCTCTCACTGGCAAAGTGCGAAGCCAATGCGAACATACAATTAAGAACCAATAGGGAGTAGTTGCGCGTAGCGTATCCTTCAAGCAGCGTATCCTTTTCGACCACAGGGAAATGAGGGTGCACATGCTCGAAGAAGAGGCCCAAAAGGGCCTCCATGACAGGAACACGTGGCAGCACCAAGATGGCCTGGTCTGATAGGAAGATGCGTGTCGATTTTCCAAGCTGAGATAGCGCTTTAGAATACCATTCGGGGGCACCTAAGCTGCCATTGGACGCATCCGCTGTGCGGAGGGGAAGATGGGAATTCGGTACTATGTGGATTCCATTCTGGTTTTCAAGCAATGATATGCTCCCGAGAACATGTGGCAAGGCAGCCTTTTCGTCAACATGTATAACACTCATTCCATCACCGCTCTGCGCCTGAGCAGAAGTGCCGGACGTTTGATTTTCGATGTGACTGATGGCTCGATCTACGTTCTCACCGGTCGCCGCATCCATAGAAGAGAAGGCGGTCCCATAATTGGCAGTCGTCCCATGAGCGTCGAATGAAGGGCCGCTCTGCCTGACAGGGGGCAGGTGACTCTGCATGAATGCGCTATCGCAGGCCTCTGTCGGACTTGGAACACGCTCTGCCGCAGCCGGATCTTCTGGAATGGATTTTTCTTGAGGCCGGGTTTTATCAGCCCGTGTTGTACTGCTACTGTGTTATTGTCTAATAACCATTCTCGAGAGCCAAGTCAGGGCATGGCTTACATGGTGTTCTGCCGACGATATGAGGATCGTAATACGCATCGTAGCGTTGCAACTTTGCATTTGGTACAGGGGTAGACGCTCAGAGCATCGCACTTCACCTTTCGCAGATGACACATAGTACATGCTCTTGACGCCCGCTGCGATTCCTCTTGAGATACTGAAGCTTAAGTTTGGGATCAATCGGTTGACAAACCTTCCGAGGATACTGTTCTTCGTTGATTGAAGCTGAATTCAACATACTATAACAGATAGACCGAAGCAGTCAATTGAAGGCTGTAACTGCTACCTTCGTGGAATGTCAGTCACAGTATTGGTTGTTGGTCGGTCGGTCGGTACTTCCTTTCCACTCAGATCCGCACTGGCTGACAGGCTTAGCAGGCAGCTGACGCCGCACGGACGTTGATCCGCGCCGCCCCACTTACCGTGCACGGACACCGAATAGTATATAATGCAGGTTTGGCTGGAAAGACTCAACAAGATCCTCTGAGTTTGTTGTATCCTCCAGGCGATTGTATTGGAAAGCACGGGAACTGGATATTTCGTCAAAGATCGTGTTGAGAAGTGATGAAGTCTTGTGGGAACGACACATCTACGCGATAATTGAACAAGATACAGTTTAGCATCTGCTCTAGGGACCGGCACCCCATACACTTACTGGCCGAGCAGTATGCATGTATCACATCATATGGTCTAGTTCAGGCGGCCTGAGTAGGGTGCAGCCTAGATGCACCCTACTGCGCTCTTGATAGATTTCCGAAGCTTAGAATCTTGCCCCGCAAGTTGCTATCAGCTGCGTTCCATCTGCTATACTAGACAAGCCCCGAAAGGCAAAGATCGGGGGTAACCGATCTATTTTGCTAAGGTGCTACAGCAGTACAAACACCTACACGTTGGGTGAAGATCCGAGGTGGACTGTCAAATGATCTGTCGATGTAATAGGAACACTATAACTCACTAAATCGATGATTGGTATGGATTCGAAAATTGACAAACCCCATATGCGGACTGTATATAATGGTGCAGCTCATCTGTTAACCGGATGTAACTCCATGTATTGGAAGGATTGTTGCATATTGCAGCAAGGGCTAGGCTTCATCTTGCCATGACTCCTTCCCTGTACAGAAGATGGTCTTGTCAGTCTGATAGGAACCGAGGAAGCCTGATATCAGAAACACTAAGACGTGGTCGAAGGACTTGATAGTCAGCCATTCAGATCATTAAAAGTCTGCGCAGGCGCTTTACCGTCAATTACGATCAGTCCTTTGTGCACACGGCCATTCAACAAATTGACAGCTCATATCATGAGAGCCAGTATCATATTATGCGTACCTTCCTTCTTATCCAATCTTTGCTAGCAAGCGTCAGTATCACAACCAACCTCCCAGCACAGCACGCCGGTAGCAGCACCAAAGATGTCGCAGTCCGCGATGAAGCCATTGCCCCCCAGATTTACTATACTGATGTGGTAGGTTCGTCGAGTTTAATCCTCATTTAGAAATCACCCTATGTCTACGCTTCGTGTGTTTCTAGCACTAACTTGAATAGACTAATACCACTTATAAGCGTCGCGAAGAGCACCTTTATGCTGATGTGGTAGGTTCATTAAGTCTTTGCAAAGCGCGTTACACGCTGTTAATATTCGAAATCAAAATTTAACAACAGATTCCTGTACAAGGTTCCAATCAAAGGGCTTAGACATTTGTAATGGATTTAGCCACATCGGCAATAGTACTGGAGTCCTCCGATACAGTTTTCTCACTTCTACCTCCCACTCCACGCAATACTGCAAGAATCTGATCTCGTCCCGACCATATCGGTGCAAACCCAGCTACGAACATTGCACCCCACAGCCAGATTGTGGCAAGAATGACCCAAGCGACATAGAAACTTTTGCTGAAGATGTAGTGGGCGGCGTACATTGGCAAAGGCCACAGCACCCAGTGTCCGAGAAACGTTGCCAGTGACCAGAAAGCTGCGATTCGACCCCATCGCTTCAGGTCACGCTGTTGTTCCAAGGTTTGTGTCTCAGATTCGGCTTGATCGGCGGTGACGACGCTCGTTTGTCGTCCTTGTGCAGACGTAGTGACAGTATGGAATGCAAGCTTCTCATTCTGGAAGCTGGCCCAGTCGAAGCGTTGAGGCTTGTAGAACGAAAGCAGGACGCTGTAGAGTGCTGGCGAAAAAGCTGATGCAGTGGTACCATAAACGCAGGGCAGAGCATTGCCTGTCGTCTTGACTGTGACTTCTCCGTACAACGCCTGGGCGCTTCCCAACCAGATGGCTATTCCTGTAGCAAGCCCGAGCAAGGGTGACACGGTTGCGGCAAGTTTGCTTTGACGGCGCCAAAGTATGGCAAATACTGTCGGAAAAATACCCGGACATGTTAACACACCCAGCATGTAGAGAGTCCAGCCAAGATCCACGCCTCCGTAGTGCAACGCTGTGGAAAATGCGGCAGCGAAAATGGCGAAGAAGATGACTCCAAAGTGCGACCACCGGATCACATCTCGATCAGTTGCTTTTCGATTGATGTATGTTCGATATACGTCAAATGACAGGATTGATGAAACGGCAATGACTTGAGCAGATAGCGTTGAAGTGACCGCCATGAATGTGATCAGCAGCATGCCTGCCGCACCTCCCTTCCCTGCAATTGTGATCGCAAAGTACGGCAGTACAAGGCCACCACTAATCTCTTTTGAAGTCATTCGTCGCGGATAGGTTGGAAAGATAGGGTTGTCCTCAAGCCCAAGTACAACAGAACTTGCTAGTGTGGCAGTCGCCCATGGAATGGCAAAGTATGCAATTCCACCAATGACATAAGCCGGGACGACAGACTTTGGAGATGCCGCGAAAGCTTTTATGAAGAAGGATGTGTCCATGATGACTAGACCAAAGTTGGCAAGTAGATGCAAGATACCGAAGTAGATACCTCCTTTGGATGTCATGGTGAGGTATGTTCCATCATGGTTTCCAGGGATAGGATGCTGCACCGTTGCTGCCTTTACGAGTTCGTACAGATTGCCAATAGATCCCACCTCGGGTACGGTCCAGACTTTGACAGAGAAATAACTGAGTATAATGAGGATAATGAAGGTGTGGAGGTAATCCGTGAGGAAGGTGGCTTTGATACCACCAACAAACGTGTATAAAGCAACACCAACGGGGAGGAGAAATGTTGCAGCAATGATGTGCATCCCTGTCAGCGCAGTGATTGCAGCCGATGCACCCAATAGCATGTTCGCGCATGCGATGATGTTGTTTATAAGACATAGAAACATCCAGACAAAATGGGCAGTCGTTCCATATCGAATACGGATGATTTCGAGTAAGGTATGAGCCTCAGGGATCTTTCTCTTACAAGATATTCCCAGTAAGGCGAAGAACACAATCATGGGAGAGCATCCAGCTGCAAACCAGAATGGACCAGCAATACCGTACGTATATCCAACAAGGGAGGAGCCGAGCATGGCAGTACTCCAAAGCCATGATGAGATGACGGCAGATGCTGCAAGTCCAGTCCTAACGTTCCGGTTTGCTGTCATAAACCTAGGGCGCTGTTAGGTTTTGTAGAGCGTGGTAACGTGTAGTTACTTACATTTCTGTTGTTTCATTGTCCTCACCAACGGTTTTCTTCAGCACACGCGTCACAAATATCATACCAAGGGCAATTGCAAGGCCAATCCCCACAACAACTCCATACCCAACAGCTTGAGAAAGTGGAGGAGTGATGAAGTCAGGTCCCACGGCCATGGTGTCGGTGATATGAATATGCGTCAATCAATGCAGTGATTACTGGGGGGTCCTACGAGAACTTGAAGAACTACTGTGTATGTACATGGTCGAATCCCCTAGCTCGCAACCTATTCGTCACTTCTCTCCAAAATGGCGACAGTAAACTTAGGATGATCGATACGGGCTGCATCGAGATGGACCTATAGAGAACTCATGGTCGAGACTCTCTGAAGGGCCGTGAGAGCGATACCGGATGTCCGAAGTAGAGCCTATCATTGTCGTCCCATGTGCCGTTGTTGTGAAAACTCTGAGAGGTTACCCTAGTCACTATTTATCCCGTTATCATGGGGTAGGCATATTGATTGGGTTCGATGCTGCGGAGGACATACCGCTGTGAATTGGTGGACTTGACGCCATTTTGGCGTTGAAAGTTGGCATTAAAGCACGAGATACTAAAGTACTGATATCCGGACTAGACAGATAGCAAGTGTTAGTTACTTGAATATCATCCTAACGCAGGGTTTATTTCTCGAGGTATCTCAGGTTGGATATGAGGGGACAGGGACGTTGAGAAAAGGATATCGGAACTCTCTTGAATTACTTTTATTGAGGATGCTATAACTCATGAAGTTTCTATTGAGGGAGAGCACAAACCAAAGAATTCGACGGAACGCTCTACACAGTACTCATGTGCTGATTGTGAGGTTGTGAGCAGTTTTCAAGATCATGTGTATGCAGCTTAGCGTCCTCCCATATGGTAATCTAAGCGTTGTTCGTGATTCGCGAACATAATTGCGCGATTATTGTCACGTCATCTAGCCGACAGATTGCAAGTAGGCGAGGTGACGATCTGCAAGGAACGACTCCGCACAGTTTGGCCGGAGGTAGTTGCGGGGGACCATTCTCGCAGCCATATAGTGTACGACAAGACCCCGTAACATTGCAGACCGATATCTCGCACATCTCAATCACGCCACGATGGTCGCCAGCACCGATGTCGCAAGTCCGAAAAAGAAGCGATTGATTCTGAATGCCTTCGTGGAGAATTGCTCAGGGCATCAGAGTCCGGGACTTTGGCAACATCCTGATGATAGGTCAGCGCACTTTAATCGCATCGAGCACTGGGTTGAGCTCGCGAAGCTCTTAGAAGCTGCGAAGTTCCATGGCATATTCATTGCTGACGTTCTTGGAGGGGTAAGTTCTTCGTGTCAAATCTAGCACGACATAGTGCTAATCATTGCTTAAGTGAGTTCGCAGTACTACTCTGAAAAGCATCACGCACTGCGCGCAATTTTTCGCCTGCACGTGAGCGAAGAGTGAGTTATGAATAGGCTGACAAGCTAAAAGGTATGATGTGTACCAAGGGTCGTTGGAGGCAGCAATCAAGTCAAGCGCACAATGGCCAGTGAACGAGCCTTTGGCAATCGTTCCTGCCATGTCAGCGGCGACGAAAAGTATTGGCTTTGGGGTGACATGTGCCACGACATACGAACAACCATATCATCTTGCGAGGAGACTTTCAACTGTGGATCATCTCACGCATGGCAGAATCGGATGGAATGTAAGTACAATCACCTGATAGAGACGACTTATCTGATCTTGTTGCCAGATTGTGACTGGCTACCTTGATTCTGCCGCAAGAAACCTCGTGAACGGTGCTGATCAACCATCGCATGATGAGAGGTATGAAATTGCTGAGGAGTACCTTAAAGTGATGTATATGCCCTGCTTTGCGTTTTACGATGAAAGTTTGTGGCTTACTGGATGTAGGTACAAACTTTGGCAATCAAGCTGGCGTGACGAGGCTGTACAGCTCAATAGAGCAACTGGTGTCTTTACAGACCCGGCACTGGTTCGAAAAATCAATCACAAAGGCAGGTACTATACGGTTCCGGGTCCTCACATTTGCCAGCCTTCGCCGCAGAGAACCCCAGTCCTCCTTCAAGCCGGCACCTCAAAAGCTGGCAAGGCCTTTGCAAGTCAGCATGCTGAAGCGATATTTGTTGCTGGTCACAGCCCAGCTGTGGTTGCGAAAAATATTGCCGACATCCGCGAGCAAGCGAAAAATGAGTACAGTCGAGATCCTCAAAGTATCAAGTTCCTTGCATTGATATGTCCCATCATAGGACGCACAGAAGCTGAAGCGCAAGCAAAATTTGAAGACTATCAACAATATGGTGACCTCGACGGGGCACTCGCTCTCTTTGGTGGATGGACTGGGATCGACCTCGCCCAATACGCGGATGACCAAGAACTCCGGCACGTTGAAAGCAATGCGATCCGCTCAGCTGTGGAGGGCTGGTCCAAGGCATCTCCTGGAATCCCAAAATGGACAAAACTTACCGTGGGTAAGCACATAACAATTGGTGGACTGGGAGCTACTGTAGTAGGCACCCCAACCCAGGTTGCAGATGAATTTGAGCGATGGGTCAATGATGCGGACGTTGATGGTTTCAACATTGCATACGCTATCAAGCCAGGCACATTTGTTGATGTTGCAGAACTACTCATCCCTGAGCTCAGAAGGAGAGGTCTCTTCTGGGAAGATTACGCGGTTCCCGGGGGAACATACCGTGAGAATCTCACTACCACTAAGGGAGCATCGCACCCAGCTCAGGATCACCCGGCATCAAAATATCAGTGGCGATCTGGTATTAGTGCAGAAGATGCTATTATTCCACAGGCTTAGTAATAATGCTAGCAGATAGTAATATAGCCAATATATCTACTATTAGATACTATCTATAATTAATCTACTACTATACCTACTTTATTTAATTTTATAAAGCCTCTAGAAGAAACATAGAACCTAGATACTGACGTAAGACTCAAGATGTTTTTCAATGTTTGGCCAGAAGACATGACAAGTAGTAGGACAGCTAGTGTGCTCACCAGTGACGCGAAGGCTGAAAACAGACGCATACAGAGTGCACGAGGCACACGGTCATTGGCGGTACTGGGAAGGAAGAAGCACAGGCAGTTACAGAGAACTAATCCACAGTCCATAAATGCACAGACCTTGCGATTAGGGGTTCGCATAGCTAAAAAAGGTGCACTACGAGAAGTTTTGTTGGTTCTAGCCGCCTAACATGCTGAGCAGATTAGACGCCGCGTTTGCCAAGAGCTCACTGCAAGGCAACCTCTTGGCGTCTCATTTGGCACTCCTACAAAGGGAGCCAAGAAATGACAGAGTCGCCGAGCACCAATCACCAGCTTTACAATCTAGGCTCCAGCCGTCAAGGCTAACCCGTTAAGAGGCTGATATTGGCCTTTTGTAACTATGGATGAGGGTGATATTCTCGAATTGGCAAACCCCAGGTCTGCCAAGAAACACAATCTTCTTGTGTGGCCCTGTGAGGTATGGCCGAAGGAAAAAGACTGGTCTCACATCCAAATAATTATCATAATCCACAGCTTCATTCATGGGCATACGTCTACGAGACATATATAAAGGCGTGGAGCCCTCGCTGCTTCTCCAACGCGGCATCTCTAAGGAAGTGTTCCTCCACCTACCCTTCATCAACACCGTCTGGCAAGATTCTATCAATCGTGACCATGAAGCCCACCTTTATCACTGCCCTCGCTACGGGCCTCGCTGCTTCTGCTAGCGTAAGTGCTGCACCAACACCTTCACAGAACACATCTCCCAACCCCCTTCATGCACGAGGCATTTGGACTCGCGATGAATGCCATGCAACGATTGGAGGTACTGTTGTTGGAGGTAGCACGCTTTGGATGTTGCGAAACACCTGGAAGAACAAGTATGGCGACGACTTTGGCGGCAGTCTTAACGTGAGTAATCCTTATCTATCCAACACCTCTACTAATGTTTCTTCTTAGGGATACGGTATCAAGGGAGTGTGCTGTTGGGGTCAATGCTTGTGGGTGGTATCCGAAGGCCCAGGCAGAAATTGGTCTAGCGACGCCTGGGGAAACGCTCATCACAGGCTCACGCAGATTACTGGTAACAGCCAGCGCGGGCTTTGCGGAGCTAGGGTCAACAATGATGCATATCTTGTTATGATGTCTGCACAGCACGATATGGTATCTCATCAAGGCCGAAAGATGAGCGATCACTTTGGAGATACCTGCGGTGGTAGACCACCTTGGTAAAGGAAAACGCAACGAGGACTAGGGCCGTTACATCGCGTTTTCGAAATGCTTCATTGCACATCCGAAGCTATCGATATTTGGTGGTTTCGAGAAAGCTCAAATCGCTCCGCAGGGGCCGAAGCACGTTTTCCTCCACTTCATCACGAAGTTTGTCGTCTTCAAAGCTTGTGTCTGCATTTAGGTATCGCGTCAAGCAGAACCTAAATGCGACTTTGAAACCAGGGAGCAACTCCTGCTCTTTGTCTTCGTACCATCTGTGTGCTGTCTGATAATCGGACATGTCATCATTCTCTTTCCCCGTAGTGCCGTCTTCGGCAAGTCTTAGCTGCTCAATAGACTTTCCACTCTTCATTTCAAGCAAAATGACAGCCAAAGCTAGGAGTTTAGATCGGTCCGCGGTTGTGCCTCTAGTGGAGGCATCAACTACTAAGTAGTTAGCGATGTATTCAAATTGAGGTAGTATAGTGATTTACTGCATGCAAAATTCTGCACTAGGTACGGGTAGCCGATGTCCACCCTCTGTTCGGGACGTTTTGGGGCTCTAAAGAAAGCGATGTCTTTCTTAGTCCATTTAGTGTGCAACCACGGCGTACCAGTCAGCTGGAAGATTGAAGCCACCAGCTTGACAGCTAAGTTGTACTGATCCTTGAGTTGTAGTCTTGCGTGAGAACCTGAGAGGAGATTGTCTAGAGTGAGGTAGTCAGTCACGTATGAGGCGGTGGAATACTCCAAAGAGTAGACCCTAAGACTTCCTTCCTCATCAAGACAAAATCCAACGGATGTTTGAACCGGATGCTTGAAATAGTGGCAAAACTGTTGTACCTGCGGCAGGTTCGAAGGAGTCATATACGGGGCTTTGTTGACCCGATCAGGATCTAACTCTACATTGAACTGCACCTGGCTGGAATTGACGGGTCTGGGATAGAAGGTCAGCAACTACGATTTCCTGAATAGCCTTGAACTGACTCTTCGAGAGGCTCAATGATTCGGACTTCTGTGTGGAGTCGCGGGAGGTGATGAAAGCAATCCCCTGCGAGACTGAGTGTAAAACAGCTCACTTCTTCATCCGTGTAGGCTACATGTGAGGTGGTCATTCTCTTGTAGGACTCCTGAATTCGCTGCTCTAATAACAGGAATGTCGAGTGCTGAGGTCGCGAATTGCACCAACTTATGGACAAAGCGCGGTGTAGCCGGGAGGCATGCCGCTGGACAATCTGCAAGGGACTTCTAAACTTTGTCTTCGATATCCGGTGATTTGTGGGCTCTTGTGACTTTTCAGCCCTTCCAGTCCATTGACCAATCGATTCGGTACATGACTTGAGCTCTTCAAGGTTCTTCTCAATGCGCCTTTTGCTCATTGTGAATTTGACCCGTTCCTTGAATCGAAAATTGTCCTTGAGTAGCGGGCCCTTGTCAACTGGCCTATTTGCGTCGACCAGCTCTTTTAGCTTGGTGGATCTCTAAAGCGAAGCGCGTCAACATGATTGAGAACGCCAGTAGCTAGGCCGCAGAATGACTTACTTTCCGTGCCCCGTCGATGTTCAGATACTTTGTGATCGATACCAGAACACCGCTAATTTGGTCGAGTGCATCGATGAAGGGATCATAGGTAGAGCCAAGTTTGACTCGGATTGTATCGGCGATTCGTCCCGTTGTCCACAGCTCATTGCGAGGATCGTCAGTCATCATAACCACCTCTTCTGGCTTTGCAATACCGCGCAACAGATTGTCAATGACCTGATCAACAGTAGTCCTTAGATGATAGAGCTTTCTGACGAGGGCCAGCCTGGCTTCTCTCGGGTCAATGAAATCCTTAGTATATCGCGCCGCCCCTTCATAATGCTCAAGGGCTGCAATGAGCAGCGGAATGACGCCAAGTACCAGACCTGCCTCTGCCATAGTAGAGAATGAGTCTGAGGAGTAGCCGGAATAGAGGCAGAATTTAGTTGGAGAAGACAAGGCTGAATTTGTCACCCGCAGAGGCGGGGTAAGATCTGCCCAGGCATGAAGGATCATCTCACGTCAGCCGCCCCCTCCTACCTCTCTTCTTCAGCCTTGTCAACCTTTGTTTCTGCACTGAGTTCTTCACTTCATTAAAGCTGAAGGGTGCGGAGATTCATATACTGCCGTTGTTTCTTTGAATTGAAAAACCGCATCTAAGCCTCGTGAGCCATGAACACTGCGAACGGTATTGCTCACGGCAGCAATCTATGTCTGAGGAAATTTCAGAGGTTAATCGACTCTTTGCCGAACTGCAGTGAGAATTTCAAGACACAAGTACCTATTGAGGAAATAGAAGATGATTTCGGGCGATTTAAGATATGGTGCGGCAATCTGGGGGCTGTTCAGAAAGGTGGAAGCTCCCTCGACGTCAGGCTGAGAGAATCAAGAGTCATGCGTGACACTGTCATAACTTTCCTGAACAATCTCCAAGAAACTTTGGGTCAATGTAAGGTTATACACTTTTCCTCAACTTTGTTGGAACTGACAAAATGCAGGTATTGATATCACGACCGGAACCCGACTTCCCTGGGAGGAGCAACCTGATTATGCAGCAGATGATACAGACGATGACGAGGCTTCTGAGTCAAGCAGTATGATGAGCGATTTAAGCGACGTTGCCAACGAGACCACAGTTGAACTCACCACTGAGCTTGCTCAGCGACGAAAGGAGATTCACGACGCAGTCACTGACCTTTATCGCCTGTCATTCAAGATGAGGGACCCAAGTCAGCGTGCACCGTCAAATAGAGCCCTCTCTATGAAGCTTACGGATCCGGACACGGGAGAAGACCTTTTTACTGGCTACGATGAACATGATCGGAGACATGTGCTTGAAACATTGCAACATCTCCGATCGAATCAGCAGCCACGTATCTCACCTCTAGAGCCAGTACATATGAGATGTGAGGAGCCTCCTGCTTTTCTCGTTGAGCGCCTGACCAAAGCGATCACGAACCGTCGGAGATACTTTGCTTACTGGCACCGACACGCTCTGAAGCTTTCCCGTGTTGAGGAACAGAGTGTGCCGAAAATAGGAGACCCAATCTCAAAGAAAGTTGTGGTAGTGATTACTCCTGGGCCGTCTGGCGATGCCAATACTTCGGATCGAAGCAAGACTGTCACTCAGCTCGCTCCGCAGAGCGGTCTCAAGACCGACATCTCAGTCACCGAGATCTCAAAATATCGCGCCAGCTACGATGAAATGCTCGAGACAGAGACTGTTTTCTCTTTTGCTACAACGGAGAGAGATGTTCATGGCCAAACAGCGGATCTCCCGCCCCTACCGACTGATCTGCATCTGAAAGCTGACTTTGTCTGCCCTTACTGTTGGGTGCTGTGTCCTGCTAGACAGGGTAAGGGGCGCTCATGGAGGTAAGGAAATCCTAGCGTGTCGTGCTTACGACGGCGAGAAGCAAAATGTATGCTGATACACAGGAACAGAAAACACATTCTTCAGGATCTTCAACCATACGTGTGCACGTTTCCTAACTGCCCCGAAGAGGATGTTATGTATACCACAAGGAAAGCCTGGATAGAGCATGAGCGCTTACGTCACCGACGCGTATGGCGATGTTTTGACAAAGAGCACGCTGGTGTCCTATACAGCTTCAAAGAAAATTTCCAGGATCATTTGAAAAAATCCCACTTGGATCTTAGCGATACTCAGATACGGCGACTCGTGGACATGACGGAGACCACTATTGCCGACCGTCGGGACGCCTGTCCCTTTTGCAATGAACGATTGCAGGCAGATGCCCTTCACAGCCACATGGCAATTCACCAGGAGCGGCTGGCAACATTCGCTGCTCCTCGTAACATGAACTTGGAGGGTAAGGGCGATGGTGGATCTGGTAGTGCGGGTGGAGACCGCTATAGCCATACGTCAAGCGTGTCGTCTCTGCACTACTCTGACTCTTCTAATGAGCCGAAGGACCACCCAGACACTGACCATGGGAACGCGAGAAGTATATCTCTGCTTGTAAAGCAAGAGGATACTGCAGAATCACGAAGTCAGCAGCAAACAGAGGCTCTTCAGATCGCTTGTCTCCAAGGTGATAACGACGCTGTCAAAACTCTACTTGGCCAAGGAGTGGATGTCAATGCAGAAGCAGGAACATTCGGCTACCCGCTTCAAGCAGCCTCCTTCGGGGGCCACGAACAGATAGTTCTGGATCTTCTCAACCATGGAGCGCTTGTCAATGCCCAAGGAGGCCAATACGGGACTGCACTCCAAGCAGCATCATCTGAAGGCCGCGAAACCGTAGTTGAGGCTTTGATCGAACAAGGTGCTGACATCGATGCGTATGGCGGTGAATATGGGAGCGCTCTGGGAGCTGCTGTTGCAAACCGCAAGGCTAGTATTGTCAAATTGCTCCTTGAGAGAGGTGCTGATGTCAATGTGCCGTGTGCACAGTACGGTACGGCTCTCGGCTGGGCCGCAAAACTTGGAGACGAGAACATGATCGAAGTGTTACTCGAAAAAGGAGCCGATATCAACAAAGAGATCGATAAATACGGGAGTGCCCTCGGAGTCTCCTTGTGGCATAAGCACCAAACAACTGCCATTCTCTTGCTTGACAAGGGGGCTGACCTTAATCGAGAAGCAGGAGAGTACACCAACGCGATTGGAATTGCTGCATTTCGAGGAAACAAAGAGATGGTAGAGTTATTGCTTGTCAAGGGTGCGAGCATACACACTGCAGGGATGCTTTTTGCTAATACTCTGAGTGCTGCTGCATGCGGAGGCAGTCAAGAAATTGTTGAATTACTTCTTGAAAAGGGATCTTACCTTCACCAGAAAGGTGGGTTGTACGGGAATTCTTTAGCAGCAGCTGCGCATGGTGGGCACTGTGGGATCATGCAACTGTTGCTTGATATGGGCGCAGACATGTTCAGCACGAACGAGTATGGACGATCGCCTTTACATTGGGCGGCAGCCAACGAGAATCTCAACGCAGTCCATTTACTCATAGACTGTGGTGCTGACATTGAAGCTCACACGGATGATGGCTGGACATCACTTATGTTCGCGTCCCAGGAAGGGTACCCTAAAATAGTCAAGCTCCTCCTCGAAATGGGCGCTGAGATCGATGCCACCGTTGAGGGTTGGACTCCACTGCATTTGGCGTCGAAGGCAGGTTGTTTGGAGGTTGTTGCGATTTTACTTCATGGTGGAGCTGACTGTCAGGCTGCAAATCGTCAGGGATGGTCATCTCTCAACCTCGCCTCCGAATCCGGTCACTTGGCGATAGTAGGGTTGCTCCTCGATGTGGGTGCAGATATGCGCGCCACCAGCAAAGGATCTTCCCCACTTCATTCAGCCGCAAGCAATGGCCATCTATCTGTCGTGAAGCTGTTGCTGGAGCGAGGCGCAGAGACGATTGCAAACTGTCGTGGTGAAGAACCACTCGGCCTGGCAGCATCTGCTGGCCATATCGAAGTCGTCCAACTGCTACTTGAAGAAGGGGCAGACCTGTCGCGCGCTGACAATAATGGTTACACGCCGTTACTCGATGCAGCGACCACTGGGCACCTTGCTGTGGTTAACCTCCTGCTCAAAAACGGCGCAAATCCGTCACAAAAAGATGGCAAAGGCTTCACTCCTGTCAACGCGGCAGCTGCGAATGGTCACTTGAGCGTGATCCAATTGCTCTTGAGTTGGAATGCGGACATGATCACCCCGACTATTTCTGGGAACAGCCCACTAATAAACGCTATTAAGTTAGGACAACAGCAGTCACCCCTTTTGCTGCTGGAGAGCGGTGCATTTGAAGCGGCCAGGGGATTGGATGCATGCTATGGGACCATCGCGCATTTCTTGGCGCTCGAAGGTCGCACCAATCTTCTACGCTTCGTTGTTGAAGAAAAGAATGCCAATCTACGGCAGCTAGATGCACAACAACGATCCATCTTGTCTCATGCAGTAAGAAGCGGCTGTCTGGAGACATTTCAATATGTTGTGAGCCAAGGTCTCGATTCTTACACGTCAGACGCAAAGGGTGACAACTTGATAACTTTCGCATCATCAGGGGGATCATTGGAAATTTTGACTCGAGTATTGGACCTTGAGCCGAACCTCGCAGCTATCCATGGGGCTTGGAGCCCATTGCATTGGGCTTGTAGAGCAGGCAGTGCTGAGATCGTCGATTTTCTCGTCAGAAGGGGTTTCAAGAGCATGATCGTCTCAGTACCAGAACTTTTGGGCGAGTGGACACCTCTCGCCATCGCAGAGTTCCATGGTAATATCAAAATCGCGTCTGAAATATCGGAGGAAAGCCGCATGGAGCTGCGTAGTGCGGGTAATGTTCCCTGCGGCAAAGGCGAGGCCCATGGAGGATGCTCCTGCAGTGGGTGTTATCACGTAAGCCCATTTCCCGCTCAGTTCATCAGTACGTAGCTAACAAACAATAGATAATCTTTGGTCCGCGTTTCCATTGCACGGTGTGTACAGGCATAGATTACTGCTTTATGTGCAATTCCCTGTCAAGCCACTTACATGAAGGCCACACATTCGTACGATTCGAGACTTGGGACCCTTCGAAGGACTATAGTGATCAAGGGCCATAGATTCGTACGGAATTGCTATCCAATCGAGCAAGAGGAACTATGCACAGCAATACACTAATATACACTAAGTGTTGCGAGTGCTTCATCGAGAGGATATCTTAGCGACAGACCAAGCAATGAGATCGAATCATCAATTCTATCAGAACTCATTACGCAGTTGGCTTTCTATCCATGAAACTGAAACGAACTCGCCGGCATGGTGATAAGAAACCTATATGCACTATCAGACAGGAGCATCACCATGGTCCATGTAGTACTCTTCGTATCTCACGAATTTCCGTTGCTTGGCGTCCAGACACAAACTCTGCAAAAGTAGGCGCCGCAAATCAGCCTGATTGACAAGGAGTTCGTCCCACTCCTCCACGGTCCCCTGCACGCGATTCGGATTACCAAAGTGCGTCGCCGCTAGATGCACATACAGTTCGCGAAGTTTTGAGGAGGTAGCGCTGTTGCTGCTTGCGAACCGGACGTCATCCGTTGAGATTGAAATATTGAAGTATCCGGCAGCGTGTTGGTTGTAGAGACGCTTCATGGCGTAATTCTTGAAATCGGTGCACAGTAGCTTGTCACCAAGGACCCAGCATTCGGCATCGACACTGACAAGATCATCTCTGAGGCGTGGTTTGAGTGACAGTGGTTGGATGGCGTATTCTCCATAGTACAGCCACTCGACGAAGAGTGCAAAGACAGTGGGGTCGTCGTCTGGGAGCTCTATAAGGTTTTCGTGACGCTCTTTGAAGTCCCGATTACAAGCAGCCGCGAGAAAAGGTGAGTGGCGGGATATCAAGGCCTTAGGTAAGAACCAGTTTACAGTGTGATCATTGGAACTGTTCACAGAGGTTGTTGTGCCGACGCGAATCTCGATTGCGGGGCCGGTGAGACTGTCAACGTCAATTCTAAGGGTTGTCAAAAGACGGTTGGGGAGATTACAGGTCAAGATGACTGTTTTGCATCTTGTTATTGGATCGTCGAAATGCTTGCGTTGCTGAACCTTTGTTTCTCTGCCTAGGAAGAGATCCATGTCCTTGTTCGTAATCGGCTAAACGGAGTTCCTCCAGGCTGAAACTGATGCACTCTTGCTGGGCAGAGATAACTTCGAATTGCTCCAGACGTGAATCCCCATCCCTTGAAGCCTCCGTATATGGAGTCAGCCGCACCGTGACGGTGCCAGTATTTACTGGCGATGAGCCTTCAGCAGTGGTCAGCCGAGAGACATTTGACTACCCAGTTGGCTCAAGAGACAAGATCATTCGTGCGCGGAAATTCTCCTACCAGTAGAAATTGAAGAGCTGTGTGGACGCGTCAGCAATTGCTCGTGTAAGTGTAGGGGAAAAGTCACGTGTACCTCATCCTGTGCAAGCTTAGAAACAATTCCAACGCGATTACGACTGAAAGTTCAAGCTTAGAAAAGAGAGTGAAGCACGATGTGTGAAGGCGTAGACATGTAGAGATTCTAGGCGGCTGCCTGTCTGTCGATAGGTCGGATTGTGAAACGCGGTGGTGGCTGTGGCTTGTTGAAGGGAAGGTGCCTGATTGGGTTGGTAGGCGCCCAGGACTAGCGTTGTTTACTACATATGCGACCCGACCTACAGGCACCGGTGCGCAGATAAACGGCGTGCACACACGTGAAGACGATGTGTAGCTGTTGGACGGACGTAGAATGGACTTCACAGTCATGGTGCAGTGGTGAATGAGACTGCTTTCATTTTGGATTATTCAGATTACGTTCGTAAACTCTCGAAGGCCTCGAGTGTGGCTGACGCAACGAAAAGGGAAGTCACCACTGACTCGCACCGAACGCCATGCAATGCTCTATCGCGACGTTCATAGCCACTCCTTCGGCACCGCTCGTTCGGACCACGACCTCTCGCCCTCCCACATCAGCCAATCAGAGCGCGTTGTCGGCAGTAGCCCCATACCGTTGACTTTCCAGATACCAAGCGCCAGCATGAGCAAGTTCGTGAGGATGTAGACGACCTTGACGCCCAGAAGCCGGCCGGCGTTGCCCGGCGTCTCAAAGGGCGCAAACGTGCGCTGAATGCCGAGCGCGGCCATAACAGGCGTCTTGAACAGCGTGAAGACCATGAAGATGGAGAAGATTTGCAGGGTGTTGCCGGTCATGTACATGCCTGGATACGGTCAATAGCTGTGAAATGCGTGGGAGTAGGTGGCGCACCGAAGGCGTTCATAGGCAGCTGCTTGGCAGGCGCGATGGCGACTTCCCACGCCTTCTTCATCTTGAGCGTGTCCATCTCCTCGGGTGTCGGCGGCACGCGGGTTTTCTTAGAGGAGAGTGCGCGCTCCTTGCGCGTCATGGACGCTGTGTAGCCCGGTGGGTCTGTGAGTGATGGGTTCTTCGGCTTTGCGGGCGGGGCGTTGAGGTCGATGACCCATTGCGGGGGCGGCGGCGGCGCAGACATGGCGGGGTATATGAGGGCAGGCGTTCGGTAGTGAAGGCTGGCAGCTGGCAGTGCGAGATGGCAAGGCGGGCAGCGGGCGCGGTTCGTCTGGTGTGGGCCGCTGGAGAGGTCGCGCAGCTGTCATCCGCGGCCAGGCTTGGCGCACGTGCGCTCCCCCGACGACCTCCGCAAGCCCCGTCCCTGGCCTGGCCGCATTCACCCTGACGGACCGCGAGCATCACCGCCGCAGCATCACCGCGAACCCCCGCCCGAGCCTACACACGACGTTCACCGGTGCAGTCGCGCGCCCCGCCTATCAGAGCCCCGCACCGAATCGAAGGCGCTCGCGGCGCTAAGCGACAGAGGGGAAAGCGACAGAGGGGAGTGTCTCGGGCGACGCAGCAAGGCACATGCGCACCGGGCGGCACACTCGAACAGCCACCGAGCCAGAGCCCGTGACCTGCGAGCCCGGGAGCTGTGAGCCACCATGAGCCAGGGCGGGCAAGATGCGAAGCTCTTTGCGAGGGTACGTCCTCCCTCCGCGCCTCTACAATGGCCGCCGTCATGCTCATGTTCATGCCCCTCCCTGTTGATCCGCGCTCACCACTCGGCAATTCACAGGGCAAAGTCGCGGAGCTGCGCCTCGAGCTCAACAGCGGCGGCAAGAAGGACAAGAGCCTTGCCGCAAAGAAGACGGCACTGAAGAAGATTGTCGCCAACATGACCATGAGCAACAACGACATGGTAGCCCTATTTCCTGACATTGTCGGCTGCATGCACCTGCCGAGCCTGGAGATCAAGAAGATGTGCTTTCTGTACCTGGTCAATTACGCCCGTATCAAGCCGGACATTGCCCTCAAGGCGCTGCCCATCATCCAGGAGGACATGCACGACAACAACCCGCTGGTGCGCGCCCTGGCCCTGCGCACCATGTCGTATGTGCACGTGCGCGAGTACGTCGAGGCTACGGTGCCGCATCTGAAGAACCTGCTGCGCGACTCGGACCCATACGTGCGCAAGACGGCCGCCTTCTGCGTCGCCAAGCTGTACGACCACGACCGCCAGCTGGTCGAGGCCTCGGACCTGATCGACAAGCTGAACGGCATGCTGCGCGACGAGAACCCCACCGTCGTGTCCAGCGCCCTTGCCGGCCTGATGGACATCTGGGAGCGCAGCGAGAATATCAAGCTGACCATTGATTACGCGAGCGCCTCCAAGATCGTCTCCATTCTCGCCGACTGCTCCGAGTGGGGCCAGACGTACATTATGGAGGCCATGATGAACTATGTCCCCCAGGACTCGTCCGAGGCGGCCCTGCTTGCCGAGCGCATCTCGCCGCGCCTGTCGCACACAAACTCGGCCGTCGTGCTTACCTGCATTCGCGTCATCCTCTACCTGATGAACTACATATCCGACCAGAAGGTCATTGCCTCGTTGTGCAACAAGCTGTCGCCTCCGCTGGTCACACTCCTATCCAAGGGGCCTGAGATTCAGTATCTCGCCCTTCGTAACGCCCTCCTCATCCTGCAGCGCCGGCCCGAAGTCCTGCGAAACGACATTCGCGTCTTCTTCTGCAAGTACAACGACCCCATCTACGTCAAGGTCACCAAGCTCGAGCTCATCTTCATGCTGGCGACGGAGAAGAACATCAAGGAGGTCTTGACAGAGCTTGCAGAGTGAGTCGCTTTTCATGCTTGATCTAACTATGCTAATGCCGCTAGATACGCCACTGAAATCGATGTCGACTTCGTCCGCAAGTCAGTGCGCGCCATTGGCAAGCTTGCCATCAAGATCGCACCCGCGGCACAGCAGTGCATCAGCACACTGTTGTCTCTCGTCAGCACAAAAGTCTCTTACATCGTGCAGGAAGCAACAGTCGTCATCCGCAACATCTTCCGGAAATACCCTAACCAGTACGAGTCCATCATCTCGACTCTGTGCGAGAACTTAGATTCGCTGGATGAACCAGAAGCCAAAGCTGCTATGATCTGGGTCATTGGCCAGTACGCCGACCGCATTGAGGATTCTGACGTTCTCCTCGAAGACTTCCTCGACTCATTCCAGGAAGAGACACACGAAGTACAACTGGCGCTGCTCACAGCCACCGTAAAGCTGTTCATCCAACGCCCAACAAGAGGCTCAGCATTAGTTCCCAAAGTCCTCAAGTGGGCCACCGAAGAAACAGACAACCCCGATCTACGCGATCGAGGCTACATGTACTGGCGTCTCCTCTCCTCTGACCCCGAGATAGCCAAACAAGTAGTCATGGGTGAAAAGCCCGCCATCACTGCCGAAGAGTCCGAGAAGCTCGACCCCGGTACCCTCGAGGAAATGTGCCTCAACATCGGCACCCTCGCCACCGTCTACCTCAAACCCGTCAACCAGGTCTTCCGCACCGCGCGGCCCCGCAAAATCACTGACTCTCCCGCACTCCAGCGTCACGAACTCCCTACGTACAAAGCCGCGCAATTGGCGCGCGAACGCGCTGACGCTGACCGGTTGGCCAACGGCAATGGCGCCGAGTCCACCAACGGAAACGGAAACGGCAATATGAACGCTGCGGTCTCAGACGCAGATCTGTATTTCGCGAGTGTCGGGCGTCAAAGCACATTTGGCGGGTCGCCGATTGCGGAGGATCATGCGGGGATGGGCGGCAACGGGTGGGTTGTTAATCAGCACGCGCCGCAGTCGATGAGCATGGGGCCTGTGGGTGTGGACGGGACGCAGGACTTACTGTTGTGAGGCGAGTCATTTGTGAGCGCAACTTTGGCTACTATTTAGCGTGTAGGTTGGCTAATGTAGGTGTATATATCATTCTTGTAGACTTGTTGCGTGTGCACTGTAACAAACTTTGAAAGATAATGCTATTAGTAGTCAACTTCCGTCTTTCTCCGCAGTCGTGCGATGCTGGCGGCTCAAACACGTCCACACGACTGCGTGACGTCACCACATCAACACAGACGGAAGTCGCGATAGACTCCAGACACTCGAACCCAACCGATCTCTCGATCTCGCCCCCACTTACCTAACCGAACACAACCCCAGAAACGCTCAATCACCCGAGCCAACTACCGTGGCCTCCCACCACGCGCATCGCCACCCTTACACTGCCAGCGATAAGCCATTGTCACCCCGCTGCGGCACCCTTCAGCCGCCTCTACTCTGCGGGATGATGTCTGCCGAACGATTACTACTGGCTCGCTGATCGTGCGCAGTATCTCTCCGACTGGGTGGTGAGGTAGGTGCGATGCGTCTCCTTCCCGATGCGGGAATGTGGGGCGATAGCGGACGATAGCAATGCTCAACGTCGACATGCATTGCTCACCAACTCCGGGGACTACATATATAGTCAAGTGCTATCATGGCTGTCGACTTCGACCGTCAATCGAAGTGCCCGGTGTAGCAAAATCGTCGTTCCAGCGTTGCAAAGACGCCATGGAGGCACGCGAGACCAAAGACCCAACCCATGTCGACGAGAAGATGCCGGAAAAGAGCGAGTACAAGAACGCAGACAAGGCACTTGAGTTTCTCCGGTTCAACGGGGACGCAGAAGAAGGAACGGTCGTTGCTGTTGATGAAAAGGCATTGGTCAAGAAGATTGATTGGATGATCGTGCCCATCATGTTCGCATGCTACTTCCTCCAGTATCTGGATAAGTCACTTCGTGGGTTCTTCCGCCGTCCAACATGTTAGTACAACGGCTGATGGACGCAGTGAACTTTGCCGCAGTCATGGGCATCCGAGAAGATGCCAACCTGACGACAGAGCAGTATGGTACTTTGTCTTGGCTGTTCTATCTTGCATTCCTGATCTTCGAGATCCCGCACGCGTATCTCATGCAACGACTCCCCGTCGCTAAGTACCTCGGTGGTTGCGTGTGCGCATGGGGTACTGTTGGTGTGTTCTTTTTGTGGTTTTTTTAAATTCGTTCACTGACATCGAGCAGTCACGTGCACAGCTGCGTGCGACTCCTACGCCTCTCTCGCCGTCTGCCGCTTCCTTCTCGGCGCATTCGAATCTGCCATAAGCCCGTCTCTCATTCTTGTCACGTCGATGTGGTACAAGCGTGACGAGCAGCCAAAGCGCATTGGGTTCTGGTACCTCGGCGTCGGAATCGCAGTCATGGTCGGCTCGCTCATATCGTATGGCTTCCAGCACTACAATGGCGACAAGTTCAACAACTGGCAGATCATGTACCTTGTTGTGGGCCTGATCACCATCTCTGCTGGCATTGTCGTCATCCTCTTTCTTCCTGACAACCCAATGTCGAGCAGACTAACACATGATGAGAAGATCCTGGCTGTGTCGCGTCTTCGCGAGAATAACACCGGCATCGAGAACAAAACCTTCAAGCCGTACCAGTTCCGTGAGGCTCTCACCGATCCCCAAGTCTGGCTTCTAGCTTTCATCACGACCGCAGCCAGTGTCCCCAACGGCGCCGTGTCATCCTTTCAGAGCGTCATTATCTCCGGCTTTGGCTTCTCCAACAAGCAAACCGCACTCATCCAAATCCCCGGCGGATTAATCACCGTAGTCAGCACCCTCATCGGCACCTACGTTGCTGGTCGCTACAACTGCCGCGGTGCCATGCTGGCCACCTGGGCCGCACTCGGCGGCATCGTAGGCGGCGGCATGATCGCCTTCATCCCCGCAAGCAATCAAGCAGGCAGATTGGCAGGAAACTACCTCACCAACACGACTGGTTCCTTCTTGCCTCTCGCGTATGCATTTGCCGCGTGCAACTTCGCTGTAAGCTCCACATCCCTGAGCAAATGCACACATAACTGACCAGCCCCAGGGCCACACCAAAAAGGTCACCATGAACGCCATCCTGCTCATGTCCTTCTGCCTCGGCAACATCCTTGGGCCACTCACCTTCCGCAATGCAGACGCGCCTGCCTACACACCCGCCAAGATCACTATTGTAGCGGTCGAGGCAGCGGTCTTGTGCGGTGTGGTGGTGTTGCTGGTGTACTACCGCGCTGAGAATCGGAGGCGGGACAAGTTGGGTGCAGGGAGTCAAGGGGATGGGGATGGGTTTGGCGATTTGACGGACCGGGAGAACAAGGGGTTGAGGTACAAGTTCTAGAAGACGGCCGACGGACCGCTATGCGCCTCAAAGGCACTAAGTATATTACTGAACAGCCTTGCCCAATGTCGCACCCACACCATGTTAAACGGGTGCCCCTCCAATGCAGCTCAGCAACGCCCAAGGAGATTTGCATCAGCGCCCTTGTACGCAGTATGCTCAAACGTGCGCACGAGCGATAGCCAAGTGTTGTGGTAGTATTTACGGGCAAAAGGCCAAAACTGCTGCTACCCAAAGCAGAGTGTAGATTAAGAGTCAATGCGTGGTTCTGCATAAAATAGCTTCTTAGCATTACTCATCTAGGTATACCGTACTAGGTCCCGCTACCAATAGCTAACTTCAGCGTCGGCCTACAAGCCAACGATAGCTCTACAACTTTAACCCCCGATACACCCTTGAGCTCCGCCGTACCAATGCAGACGTTGTAGCCACATTTGAGCCATGCGTAGACTTGACCGCGATGCTTGACGGCTGCTTGATGCCCTTGACAGTGTATGTATAAGTGCCAGGGTTGGCCGCGTCCGCCGCCATTGCGACGAAATTCCCAGTCCCGGACAACTGAATCTGCAAGCTCGCTCCGTCGGTGCCGGTGAGAACGTTGTTGGACTTGGCGGTAACTGTGACTGTGCCGCCACCGCTCTTGGTGAACTGGTAGCTGGTGATTGTTACTGTGTCGGTGGTCTTAGTCGTAACTACGTCGACTGTTGCGCTGTTGCACACGGTCCCGTCCGATGCAAGGCAGATTTTGAGAGTGAACTTTTGGGTTGACGGTGTTGTTGTTGTCCATGGGTTGACAAAGCTCATAGTAGGCTTGTTGGCGTTGTTGATGGTGACGCCAGTGGGTCCCGTCCAAGAGAAAGTGAGTTGGGCGTCGGTCAGTTTGGTGTTGGTGTTGCTGCCGGTGATGGTGATTAACGATCCAGCAAGCTGACCGGTAAGGGCGTCACCGGCTTTCGCGACGGGGGCTTCACCTGCCGTGGTTGGAGTGGTAGGGCTAGTTGATGGGGGGGTGCTTGAGAGTTCGTTACCCGTGCATGTCTTCGCTGTACCAGGAGTAGGCGCTCCCGGCCATGGCTTAAGCTGACCCCACTGCTTGTTGTCGAACACGAAGCCGTCCTTGAGCTGACCTAATAGGTTGAAAGCGTTCTGAGTTATTGGAGTTCCGGGCACGTTGTTCTCTGGCCAGATAATCTCGCTGATTGGCGCGACATATTGTCCAGCTTGGATGTTTTTGGCAACGACCTTCGCACCCTTGCTTGCTTTTATGCGGTACTCACGCGCACCCTTGGTTATGCTGGTGTCCTTGAATCTGATGTCGAACTTATTACGCGCATCGAGTGCCTTTACTTGACCCGCGGCTACCTGCACCTCTGTTTCGTCGCCAGTACAAGGGTCAGTGTCTAGACGGTACACTGACACCGAGGCAGTGCCATCGGACAAGTAACCAGTGAACCTGGTGGTACCAACTTCGACGTTTAAGGTGCCGTCATTGATTGCAATAATGACCTGTTCGGGGATGAGCTTAAGATGTTGCGGTGGGGCATTTACACTCACATCCTCCACGCGGACATATACAGGATCACCGTTATCTGCCTTAGTTGTCTGCTGCACGTTCTCAGCGATTAGACTGTAGACAAGAACTTCTGCTCCGTTCGTGATACCAGCCCACGTAACAAAGTCACCGGGAATGAAAGGAGCCATGACTGCTGGATCCTTTGGAGTACTAGTGTGCAAAAATTAGCCTGGATTCGTGACAGACGCAACCGAAAAAGCAAAAGAGTCTTGTCAAAATTAAGACTTACTACACGCGGTCTCCATTCGCGGCCCGATTGTTGCTTGGACAGTCCACATCAGAGGCACTCCGCGGGATGCACATGGGGTAGCCCGAAAACGAAGCAATGCTTGGGTTCTGCTCATCGGAGGTGAAGAAGGGGTTCTTGTCGTATGCCGCTGCATAGACACCGTTTGGAGTGTTGATGCGTAGGGTAGGGCCGCCTACAATTTGCATCGTGCCATCGTTGTTCACGGTCCCTACGATGCCAGAACCAACTCCACCAAGCAGTTGAGAGACAGCAATGCGGCCAGCAATGGCCTTTCCGTCCACCTGAGTTGTTTGAGTTACCTCTAAAGCGAAACGAGGCATGGAAGTCTTACATAGTTACCCTCAACATTTAGCTCAAAGCCGCCGTATTGACCCCCATTGGCCGCGAAATCACGGAACGGTATGAACGCTGCAGGAAACTGAACAAGAAGATTCTCGGGTACGGTGATGGACGTTGTCCCAACCACAAGAGATCCTCCAGTATTAAATTGTGTTACTGTCGTGGCCGAAACACTGGTAGAGTATGAGTGCGAGGTGTGTGATAATCCGAGAGAGATCTCACCTTCCGAGAGGCCCGTCGATGGTGAACGGCGTAACCGTCTGAGCAAGAATCTCCGGCACAGCAAGCAATGCTACAGCCAAGATTCCGACAAAACCCATTATATATCGATGGAGTTTTACAGCGAGTTGATTGAACGTAGTAAATGTGTCCTTGGACTGTAGAATTCGTGCAAAAGGGGAGAGTAGAGGTATTTAAATCGTGTACGCTGCTGCAAATCTGGGGAGCATGCGCGTCTGGCCGTTTCTCTGGCTGCACATGGCCAGACTACTCATTGCAGGGCTTGGCTTTTGTAGCTGAACAATCGATAGTGCTAAACCGGCTCCCATCATACCAGGTGAACCGACAACGAGAATCTGCGGACGAGTAATATCCGTTCGGAAGTGTAACTAATCAAGCTTTGTTGTGTCTTTCAAAGAAAAAGTGCCGCGCTACTAATGCTATAGTCCGATGCTTGGGTAGAGCTTGAGTCCAGACGCATCTTCCTAAATTTAACGGTTACGGCCACGGTTTCTGAGTGGCCAGACAGTCTACCGCTCCACGTGCGTTTCTCGGCAATTGACAGGGTCTAGCGGCCGCTAGACAGGACATGGGATGAATTACGGTTAGCGTTAGGGTTGATGTTAGGAAGTTCGACGAGCGGGGTAACTACATTCTTGGGTCGGGGAAGTACAAAGCGGGGCGGCACTCGCCGAGCGAATTTCTCTAGGGACGCCAACCTTGATCAGCTCCAATTACTCAAGTAGGCGATCAGACACGTAACATTGTGGAATAGTCGCAATTCTCAGCTGTCATTCAACCTGGGATTATAATAGTCGCCTAACCCTGTCTCAGCATCTCGGCGACGAGATGAGCACTTCTAAGCGATCTCCAGCAGTATCACGCTCATCGCGAGCCTAGAGAAAGGTCTTTCGATACTTCGCTACTATAAACTGGTTCTAGGCTTCCGTATGATCACTTGATCCTGCTTCAGAGTCCATCAGAGCTGGTGAGGGCTGAAAATGGCATCAAAGTGGCTCGCGTTTGTTAAGCGGATTCGTTCGCCAGATCATCCACTGCAGTGCCAATTACATGCTTTGAGAGGGAACTTGGACGTGCCCTTTACCAAGAGTTGTCCTAAAATTTGCACATAACTACTTAGGACGACCGATCCTTGGTGGTTTGAGTGCACGCAGAACTGTTCAAGGCTTCTGCATCCTTATCTGAAACATGTTCGTTACCATGGCCAGACTAATTCGAGTTTTACTCACTACTCTTTCGATTCAGGCAGTCTCTTGTGGATGGTTCAGTCCTGTTTACAAGGACTTTTTCAGCGTACCGATGCCAATAGCATCTGTAAAGAAGCCAAAGTTCACATTCACGAATAACCACACCGGCGGCATTGTCAATTACTATGAGATAGATATCAAACCGGTAGAGATTCAGATCTACCCTCCACCAATGAAGAAGGCCCGCTTTGTTGGCTACGACGGTGAGATTCCAGGCCCCACGTTCATCCAGAACAAGGGCGAAGAAGCCGTCATTCGATTCATTAATCACGGGGACCGATCAAGCGCTATTCACCTTCACGGCTCTTACAGCCGCGCTCCATTCGATGGTTATGCAGACGACATCACAGGCTTCGATCAATATAAAGACTACTACTATCCCAATGGACAGAATGGCCGCACCCTCTGGTATCATGTGAGCATATTTCCTTTCCAAATCTTGAACTTTGATACTAACTTGCACATAGGATCATGCTGTAGATCATACTGCCGAAAATGCTTACTATGGCCAGGCAGGCTTCTATATCCTACGTGACGACTATGAACGCAACATGGGTTTACCAGATGGTAAATACGATGTACCCCTGGCCCTCTCTGCGAAATACTATAACGGTGACGGTACACTTTGGGACCCCGAGGCCAATGGAGAGACAACCAGCGTTTATGGAGACGTGATTCACGTGAATGGAGCACCTTGGCCTTACATGAAGGTCGAGCCCAGGAAATATCGTTTCCGCTTGTGCAATACAGGCATCAGTCGAACGTTCAAGTTGTACATGGAGCTTGAGAACAAGTCTGGAACCAAGCTACCTTTCAAAGTCATTGGCTCTGACTGTGGTCTGCTTGAGAAAACGATCGACACCAGCGACCTCTTCATCTCCGTCGCCGAGCGATGGGAGATTGTCGTAGACTTCAGCCAATATGCGAACAAAAACATTGTGTTGAGGAATACCCCAGGAATCGCTGCGGATAGTGACTACGATGGAACTGATAGAGTTATGCGTACGTATTGCTTTCGACCTGTAGGAATGGTATTGATGCTACGCAGAGTTCCGTGTAGGTCCCCAGTCCTCTGTTGCTAGTACAGCAGGTAACGGAAACGTTCCGAGTGCTTTGCGATCGGTGCCCTACCCGCCCAACAAAGCAGGCATCGACCACTCTCTTGTGTTTCAGCATGACGGAGGCCTTTGGAATATTAATGGAGTAGTCTGGTCACAAGGGGTTGACGCAAGGGTTCTAGCAAAGCCTAAAAGAGGATCAATCGAAGTCTGGGAGCTGATCAACAAGAGTGGTGGCTGGAGTCACCCAATCCACATACATCTGATAGACTTCCAGATTATCTCCAGGACCGGTGGCTCTCGAGGTGTGCAACCCTATGAACAGGTTGCTCTGAAGGACGTCGTTTGGCTCGGACCCAACGAACGAGTCCTAGTAATTGCACGTTACTCTCCGTGGGATGGTGTGTATATGTTTCACTGTCACAATCTGATACACGAGGTAAGCCCAATCCTGGTCTTATGTTCACAAACTAATTTTTTATAGGACCATGAGATGTTGGCTATGTTTAACGTAACAGCGCTTTCTGATTTCAATTACACTGAAACAACTCACTTCATCGACCCCATGGAGCCACGATACCTCGCAAAGCCCTGCAAACTAGGCGAGTACAAAGATACAGCAACATGGGGTAATGGCGAGTTCTCACTTGAAGGCGTCAAGCAAAAGTTGCAATGGTTTGTGGACCTCGATGCTTACAAAGATATGGACAAAATCGAGTTGGCGCTCGAGGAGTACTGGAGTCGAACAAGTCTTGTGCACACCTCGTTCAGTACCTCAGCGATGGGGTCTACGCCCTCGCCAATATCTACACCGCCATCAGCACCAACGACTTTGGCTACTCTGGCGAGCTCATCAAGCAAGCTAGTGGCCTCTGCTGCAGCAACATGTACGAAGAAGGGCAATGGTAAATGTTAAGCAAGTTTGACATAAAACTGTCGTTAAGCAAACTTTATATTGTAGGCAGGCGGGTATCTGCTCGCTGGCATGTTCCACATGCGTTTCAGACATGTATTTATCTTTCTTCTTTGTAGCAATCTAGTCAACAACAAGATCGACACATCTGTCAGACAAGACGCATTTGGTTAAGAGATTGTCTGCGGTTCACCTCTCAGTCTTGTGTTCTTAGAAGTGTGCAATCTCGCAAGTTACAGTAGTATCACAATGTGGCGGACTACGTACATCGTTGGATGTTTGGCCACAATGTGGAGACATGACACGGTACCGGACGTCAACCGGGCTAGCACAAGCTGCGGTCGGAACATCAAGATTCTTGCTATCGTAGAGATAGATCCAGGATCTTGTGGGTCCTACCACGAGATCCTGGATCTTACGCGTCGACGCCTTGACGATGCCAAGCCTCTTCATGTCTCTTGCTGTCAGAACAAGACTAATATGAACTAGGAAAAGTGAATAGATGCACCATACCCGGACCAGTATTGCTACACCAGCAGCAGAGTCAGCCGCATATTGGCGCGAAGCTTTTGTGGGAAACTCTCGGCGAAAATAAGCTCTGGAAGGATCTTGGTGTGGTTCGGTACCGACTGCGGGGTAAGTGGTACGATCTCGGTTACCTAGCTGAGCCTCGCGATGATGAGCGCAGCCAATTGCAAAGGTGCAGTGACCACACACACGCCCAGCTGGACGACGGATCAGCCGTCGGTCACGTTTTACTGGCACAAATGGCCAGGCGCCAAGCAAGAGCCACCTTTACTCATCCACAAATATCAACAGTCCTGCCAAGGCGATCACTGGAAGCGAAAAGGCTTGCAATCCACGGTATCAACCAAAAACCTCGGCACTGTTAATGAAACGGTCATGCTGTGAGCGAAGCAGGGTACCAGGGTGTTGTGCCAAACGCCACCAACATCTAAGATGCACTTTACGGGGAGCAAGTCATCTGATCTTTACACAGCTGAAAAACTACTTGCGGTTGGTGAGAGGAACAAAGGGGTGGTATTGTCCAGATAGCCAGAATTGGCTTTTGTGTGCCGTCTATACCTCTTTAGACCCACTATTAGTGATGAACCCCGAGTCGCAGATACCAAATCTGCCTAGCTGCACTTCACATGCAGACGAGACCGGGGCCTGTTGCTGATGATGTGGCTCGGCTACGTAACTTACTCTGCCAAGACTTACTGCAACACGGGCAGCAGAGCTTATAGGACGTCGGAGGTCGTAGTTGCAAATACCTGCTGTCCTTCGCTCTCAGTCCCGCTCGAGACTCTCCTAATCAAACTTTTCGGAAACAGCCCTCCAGCCATGAAACTTTCAATCCTCTTCCTTACCTCCTGTGGCCTTGTAACGGCATATTCAGGACTCAGAAAAGCAATTGGTACCTTCACAGCAGAGATTGCCCAGCGTGCAAACAACGATCCCCTAGAACCCGACTCTTTGGAGATGATAGGTGATCTTCGCAGCCAATTCAACGGAGGAACCGGTGGACCCAAAACTGATGTCGGATGGGCAGTTTGGGGGATCTTAACTGGGTCGACACCTGCACAGTCCTTTACGGAATGGCAGGGCGGTCTTGCAAATATCGACAATGCAAAATGCAAGGCTGACACTTGCTGCATCTGGAGACACATTGCACTGGCCATGGAAAAGACTTTTCGGGGCGCTAGCGGGCGTTGTACCGCTGAAGCTCGTGCAGCCGTGCGTCTAGGTTTCCACGACGCTGGCACATGGAGCAAGTTTACTGAGGACTTTGGCGGTGCTGACGGGAGCATTCTCCTTAGTGGCTTGAGTGGAGGTGAGGCAGAGCTCCAGCGACCGGAGAACAATGGCCTCCAGCACATTGCAAGTGTAACTCTCGACTGGTGGGCGAAGTACAAGTCATACGGGATACACATGGCAGACTTGATCCAAATGGGCGCCAATGTCGCGACTGTTGTTTGCCCCTTAGGACCTCGAGTGCGCACTTTTGTTGGCCGGCCAGATTCCGGTCGTCCCGCAGTCAATGGACTTCTGCCTGATGTCTTTGCCGAAGCAGATCAGCTCATCGAACTATTCGAGAATAAGACCGTTAGAGTCCACGGCTTAGTAGCGCTCGTTGGAGCGCACTCCACCAGCCAACAGCATTTCGTCAACACCAGCCGTGCTGGGGACCCACAAGACAGCACGCCTGGTATATGGGATGTCAGCTTTTACTCGGAGACAACATCAACAAATACACCGGTCAGGGTCTTCAAATTCCCAAGCGACGTTAAACTGTCAAAGCACCTACTTGCAAGCGCGGAATGGAATCAGTTTGCAAGCGGCCAAGCGCATTGGAATGAGGTAAGAGGCTTTGTGACCTCCGAGAAGTCGCCAAGTTATTCAGGTAACTCGACTAACACCTGTATGTAGGATTACGCAAAAGAATATGTCCGCCTCTCCCTCCTTGGTGTCAACAACATCAACAGCTTGACTGAATGCTCACATGTACTTCCTCGTCGGACAGATAAGGTCACTGTATCAGACAACGCTACCGTCGTAAAGAATTGGCTGAATAGAAACAACGACAAGGATATTAGCAAGGCTCTTGAATCTGGCGAGTTAGTAAAGTAACCCAACCTGTGTTAAGTAGGTCTTAGCATTACTATGGTACAGCGTTAGAGTTATACAATTTACTTTAGTCTAAAATAATTTTGTTACTATAGAAGTAACCATCATACAGCACTGATGTATTATATTAGAATTAAAACTAATACTACTTAGTATACTAGTAAGAATACATAAAATACCTAGAGCTGGAATAGAGTTAAGATAGAGTCTATATAGACTATAGGATAAGTATAGTAGTAAAAAGGTATAGGTTAGGTAGAGAGTTATGTGTTTTCTTCATACTTACCAGTAACAAGGTACTCTAACAACTGCTCGTTCGCGTGACGACCTTTCGGTTGCGTTTGCCAACCATGATGATGGGTATCGATGAAACTAGGGCTGATGACCTTATCAGTGCAGTCGACTACCTCAGTACCACTGGCTGTTTCAAGCTGAGCTCCAATACGCGTGATTGTCCCATCTTCAATCAGGATGTCTGTCTGAGTTGGGACTACGTGATTTTGAGAATCATGGATAAGCACAACACCATTCTTCAGCAGCATACTTTTAGTTCGCGTGTCTGACATTTCTTTCTTTATGTGGCGGTACAGTATGTCGTGGATTCTTCGTATCGATGCTCTTTTACAAAGTGATCAGATCAAGTTCCACATGGGACAATCTTACGTCCGGTAGATAAAACCTATCCCGTCTGCTTCGCTGAGTAGATTCGCGGAAGTTTTACACTCTAGATCAATTCTAAGAAAGTTGCTCATAATCAGGCTTTATGTGTAACTTGACCGTATCTCGGAATGCAGACCGACTATTTCCGGCTCGAGCCTCGGTCTTTGTCGCCCAATCTCACGGAGTCCGAACCGCGCGAGACCGAACATGGTTACGTAAACAGTATGCGAGGTCATAACCACATCGCGTTCTCGCCGCTCACCCAAACAGTGCCCAGCCACGAAAAGAGGTTGCACAGACTGAATGCGCACACCGTCTGGGGAACTCGACAGGCTGATTCCGCATATCTCCTGGCTATGGCCGGCCACCTTTTCCGTATCCTCCAATAAGAACTAAGGCGTTGTGTGACGTTAGCATGGAGAACACGTCGCTGTGGCCGCCTGTTCGTAAGCAGCAATATGCGGGCCATGTGATAGTTCTGCATCGTTGATCCACAAGTCGCAATCGTGTATGCGATCCTATCGAGACTTGGTTGGCTACTGGGCGACGCTACATCCATTCCTTGTCCCTCCAACGGCGTCCGTTCCATGTGCCATCGTCCAAGTCCAATATCAAGAGCTTTCCACTGATCACCACGCTCGTGAAGGGACTGTGCATTAGCAGGCGCGCTACCCCCATCAGCTTCGAGCTCGCCCACAGCTGCTATGAAGTTGGCAATCTTGCTTATCCAGAAGAGTGCGTGGCTCACAAGGTCCTCGTCTGCCTCAAGATAAGAATTGTTACTTGTATTCGATGTGCCGTGTAGTTGAGGAAAGCTGTTGCTGTCTGTATGAAGACCTCCTTCGGGCCAAAACTATGGGTCGTTGGGATTCAATCGAGTGTGAGTGTCGTGAATGACTATGTTTCGTCAGCCAGAGCTCCATGCGCAGCGTTCGACCTCCTCTCACGCGTACAAGTAATCCTACCTAACAGAGTTCCATTATTCTAAACTCATAAAAAAACTCAAAGCTTAGAACTACCTTTTAGCAGTAGAATATTTGCGAAAGTAGTTTTTCACAGCTCTGAACAGAAATAAGTTCTGTTTCTAAGAGCTTAACAGTAGTTGAATATTAATCTAAGACAGATTTAGCTATAGTACTAGCTACTCTACTCTACAGAGTTGCTAATCTAATATCAACTAGTAATAGTTTTGTAGGGATTGAAGCGTTAATAATGGTGGGGCAGACAAGGGAATCGCGCCTACTAATTCGGGCATTTCTAATGGGTGGGTGTTCTCCACTTTCGAGATCCGTCCTTAGTTTGTCCGGAGACTCGGCCGTAACTCAGAGTGGAATGACTGACGTTGAGCGGGGAGTACATGCGGAGTCGTCGCAGACTAACAGCGGATATCGCTCCTCTGGTCGTTATGCTTGACGTACATCGGCGGCCCCACTCTGCATATTGTACAATCCGTGGTTGTAGTGGATATCTAACGATCGAACCATCTATCTAAACAATATATAAAGATGCCTTGTAGCCAGATTGTAATCATCACGAGAGTAAATCCACCTCGAAAATGATTATGCCAAATCTCCCGCACATGCAACCATCGGTCGCCGAGAGCTCGCACGGGCGATACTACATCTACAGTCTTGTTGCGCTGCTTGTATTTGTTGTCGTCAAGTATGTCTATCAGATCTTGGCTTCGCCACTTCGAAGTGTGCCTGGCCCCGCTCTCGCTCGCTTCACACGTCTCTGGGAGATCCAGGCTGTGCGCAAGCACGATATTTCAACCTTGAATATTGCGCTACACGAAAAATATGGTAAAGCCACACCGAGGTCAATTCTGATATCGTCTTGAGCAGGAACGCTGTGGACAAACATCACTAACAGATACAGGTCCGATCGTACGTCTTGCACCAAATCGGTACAGCATAAATGACGGAGAAGCCGCAAAGGTGATCCTTGGACACCACGGTGCTCTCGACAAGTCACAATTCTATCATCCGTTCGGCCAACCGGATGAGTACAACCTTTTCTCCGAGCCGAGCATAGCCATTCATGCCGATACCAGACGTCCGCTTGCGCGACTATATTCACAAACAACTCTCCTCTCCTATGAGCCTTTTGTCGACACTTGCAACACAATCTTGCTGAAGAGACTAGAGGAGCATGCTCAAGATGGGAAGGCCCTCGATGTTAGGGAGCTTATGCAATACTACGCTTTCGACGTCATCGGCGAAATCACAGTTGGATCACGATTTGGGTTGATGGAAGACGGTGGCGATAAATCTGGAATCGTTGAGGCTATCGACGAGGCTATGAGTTATGCGTCAATCATAGGGCTTATTCCTGAATGGCATTGGTGGATCAGTATGGTGATGGAAAAGCTTCGGCTCGAACCCAGCTTTAGGAGGATTAATGACTTCGTGGACTTTCACGTCAATAGTCGCGTCTTGGGACGCACTAAATCACCCGAAGACCGCAGCGACTTCCTTGCCAAGATGCTGCCCATGGAACAGGAAGGCAAGGCGACACGCTACCATACTCGCCAAGCTGCCTCTCAAAATATCGCAGCGGGGTCAGACACGACTGCTATCTCACTTTCTGCTGTCATCGCATACCTGGCCATGTATCCTAATACGCTCGCCGCTCTCCGCTACGAACTCGACGAAGCCACGGCGAACGGTACCCTCTCAGACCCAGCGACCTTCCAAGAAGCCCAAAGACTTCCCTATCTTCAAGCCGTCATCATGGAAGCCTTACGTGTTCATCCCGCTGTCGGTGCGCCGTTGACTCGCGTCGTCGGTCCCCAGGGCCTCACAGTCGCAGGCCAATTTTTCCCACCTGGCACCGAAGTCGGGGTCAACGCATGGGTAATCCACAATAACAAGTCGATCTTCGGGCCCGATGCGCAGTTTTTCCGTCCTGAGCGTTGGATCACGAAAAACAAAGAGGAGCGTGCGGTGCTGGATCGCAACTTCTTAGCGTTTGGCGCTGGGCCGCGGACGTGTATCGGTAAGAATATTAGTTTGTTGGAAATGAGCAAGGTCATTCCACAGATTGTCAGAAAGTACGATTTCCAAATCCTATCCAATGCGGAGGGCGAGAGGTATACGTGGAAGACGAGGTGGTTCGCGAAGCCTAGCTTCAATGCTGTTGTTAGGAGGCGGGCACTAAAGGAAAATTGAGTAGCTCGATAGTTTATGTGATTAACACACTCTGATCCATAAAAGTGCGTGCGAAAACTTTTTCTTTGTTCTGCTCACGATGATCTTGCAATTGTTGATAGTAATAGACCCCCATAGTTCATACAAAAAGAGTCAAAGTCTACTCAAGTATTGTAAGCCTATCGATCTACGTTACATAATCTGGTGTGGTGTATAGTAATATGCTGTCGAGGAGCGAGGGACGACGAATAGTGCCAAACGAGGGAAACATAAGCATGGTCATCCACAGGTGCATTATGGAAGGAGCGCATACTTTGACTTGGAATATCTCGACGAGATGCGGAAGAGCAGTAGTGTGCAGCGTCAATAAAGTTAGGGATATTGTCTATTCCGTTGCCAAAGAATAAGCAAGAATGAATAAAAAAAATGGTGCTATTCTCAATACAAAGGCTCGCCCGAGTAGTACTAAATGTCTCTGTGAGATACCTGGATTCTACTGAAATACTGTGGCAAGACTTGCACACGCAAGTTCTGTAGATTAGTCTACTTCGTACTTGTTACAATCGCGTGCACACAACTTGAGGACGCGATTCGCGTTTGTGTGGGCACCTTACATCTTACAATTTACAGAGGTTGCTATAGATGATTAAAATTCCGGGGCTATGAGCCATACCGTGTCCGTGCGCGTAATGCGCGGATTCGCGTAATGCGCCGAACCACCAAAACACCCCTATTATCTTACCTCCATAACAACACAACGCGATGGGATTAGAAGAAGCCCTTTTAGAGTGTGATACTTTTGCATCTGAAGATGAGATCCCGTGGTCTAAAATAGCTGAAAAGCATGGTGTTGTGCGGTCAACGTTGACGCGCACGTGGAGGGGTGAGACGCGGTCGCGTAATAAGAAGGCTATTGCACAGCAAAAGCTCACTCCACAACAAGAGGAGGAGCTTGTAACTTATATAGGAGAGCTTACTGCTCGTTCTATACCACCTACAAGGGAGATGATACAGAATTTCGCGTCTTCTGTGGCCAAGGAGCGTGTGAGCGAGAGCTGGGTTACTCGGTTTATTAACAACTACTCCATCCATCTCATCTCTCAATACTCAACGGGTATGGACGCCAATCGCCACAACGCTGATTTATACACAAAGTATGAGCTATACTTCAACCTACTACAACGCAAGGTCACTAAGTATAAGGTTGAGAGCTGCCACACATACAATATGGATGAAAAGGGGTTCATGATTGGGATCACTACTAGGACGAAACACGTGTTCAGTAGGCGGATGTGGGAGAAGGGGGAGGTCAAAGCATCACTTCAAGATGGTAATAGGGCCTGGGTTACGCTGCTGGCTTGTGTGTGTGGTGATGGGACTGCACTGCCGCCAGGCATCCTCTACGAGTCTGCCAACAGTACCATCCAATCAAGCTGGGTAGAGGAAGTACAGCCAGGGGTACACGACGTACTTGTTTCCTCATCACCTACTGGCTGGACCAACAACGATATAGGCCTTGCCTGGCTTCAACAGGTGTTTGATCGCTTCACCAAGACCAAGGCGCGGAGGAAGTGGCGCCTCCTGATCCTTGACGGCCATGGATCCCATATGACTATGGACTTCATTAACTACTGTGATCAGAATAAGATACTGCTGGCTATCCTTCCTCCTCACTCAACCCACACGCTGCAGCCGCTGGATGTAGTGATGTTCAAGCCTCTCTCAACTGCGTACTCAAAGGAGCTCACAACATACCTTCACAATGGCCAGGGACTATCAGTAATCAAGAAGAGCGACTTCTTCCACCTATTCTGGAAGGCCTGGACGAGCACGTTTACTCAGGAGTTGATACTCAAGTCTTTTGAGGCAACGGGTATAGCACCCCTCCAACCCAACGTCATCCTTCACCGCTTTGCTGAGCCTTCTCCCCAGGCCTCTGATGCTAGCGGAAGCTCTTCTTCAACTTATTCTGGCAAAGATTGGCTGAAAATAGAGACCCTACTGCGCAAGGTTGCCAAGGATGAGAGTAGTAAGGAGTTGAAGAAGATCAGCCGCTCGCTCCACCACATCTCAGTCCAAAACCAGCTACTCCACCATGAGATAGCAGGCCTAAAAGAGGTTCTTAAGACTCAGAAGAAGCACAAGAAGAAGAGCAAAGTCCTTGACTTCCAGGAACCTGAGGACTATTATGGTGGAGCAGTGTTTTACTCTCCTTGTAGGGTTGATAAAGCACGTCAGTATGAGCAGGTAAAACAACAAGAAGCTGAGGCAGAAGAGGCTAGAAAAGTAGAGATGGCTGAACTCAGGCACGCAAACAAGCTATACAAAGAGCGACTAGCTCAGGAGAAGCGTGAGCAGCGGGTGAGGGAGAAGGAAGAGAGAGACCGTGTCAAAGCCAAGAAGGCAGAAGAAGTAGCTGAACGCAAGGCTGAAAAGGAACGTCAGAAGCAAGCTCAGGACGCCCAGAAAGCTATACAATTGTCCCAAAGAGGCAATAAGACAGCTTCAAAAGCTTCTATAGTAAGAAGAAAGCCTGCGCGTCGTGGTATAGGTGCGCGTAGTCAACCAAAGCCTGCAACGCCTCCTCCACCAGCTCGCACACACACCACCCGCAGTGGCCGCACCGCCACTCTATATAAATAAAATATATAGGCAATAATTATCGCATAGACCTATAGAACACTCCACTAAACAATCTCGCAATAATAACTATTGTACGTGGCTCTACAACCTCATTTTTCAGGTGCACTTTAGGGGGTTTCGGCGCATTACGCGAATCCGCGCATTACGCGCACGGACACGGTAGCTCTCCTGGAACCAACATCGGCAGGTAGCGCGACTTGAGCACCGACACGGTGCGAAACACCTGCCACCTCTCTGTTCCGCGTATAACAACTTGGGACTTCCTCATCTGTCTTCCTTTTGTGGAGCCTGCATAGAGCGTTAAAGTGACGTGTAGATCAATACCACTCCTGTTAGTCTTAGTGGCATGCGCTACGTAATTTTGGATTGGCTCTGTTCGTACAACCGAAGCCGCATTGGGATCTTGCGGACGATCCGGACTAATGAGGGGAGGAACATCCAATTCGTACATTCTTTAACCCCGGTTTGCAACGACACCCACTTTTCGTGGGCAGCGACACAACTGGTACGTATTGGTGGAGTGAAAAACAAGTGTCCGTGCTCAGATAGCTCGCTGGTTGAGTATAGCGAGATGGAGTAAGCATAACGGAGATAGAATAGAGTAGTACAAGCGGATTGCTCGAGGATCAGACTAGCGCACTAGAACGGATGGAATCTAAGTGGATCCTTTCTATGGAGACTACGTCGACAGATGAATCTGATCAATCATTCTCACATCGATCAGTTCTTCAAGTCTTCTAGCCTTCCACAGATCCTGAACTATCAGCCACTTATTTGTACATGTCATGTCCGTTCCAGCACTGTAGCAGGAAAGCTACCTAGCTAACCGTGACCTAAGTGCAAGCTTTTTCGTTCAGATTAGCCCTGCACAATTGAATTAGTAAACATAACATGCATTGCACAAAGCCCGTGACACAGCCTACCTGTAGCGCCAGTTACCGTAGGTAGTATCGCCGCCCTTTCCGCAGCTGTAAATCTCGCTTGTGGGGTGCGATAGGCTTCTGTGACGCCGCTATTGGCTGTTATTTACCTTCGAGATTCTGGAGTTGCAGTGGTACTGATACTGTTGCTGGTGTGCGTGGCGCGATGCGTGGCGCCTGTGCGGGCACTTGGTGAGGGACTTGGCGCAGTGGACGATTTCTTTGTCGTCTCAGGGAAATGAGATTACGATACCTAGTTGAAGCTCGCAGGTACGGTCGTTTTGCGAAACCCATACAGTCTGCAATGCCCGTTCGGGCGTGCACGTCGTCAGTTCGACCTTATGTTCAATTGCCGAATCCAAACCATCGCGGTCTCTTAACATTGAAGGTCTTCAAGTGCCTAAGCGGTGAAAATTGGTTGAAGTGTCTATTCTTTGCGTTGTACCTTATACTATGTTTGTTCCCCAAATCTGAAAAAGTGTTCAAACTACTACCAATCGACATTCAGCATCTCCCTCGTCATGCTCCCCCTGTATTCCGGCCAGAATGCCGCATTCAGAGCATCGCCATAACAGCCCACCAACTCCCAGAACCACATGTTGCCGACACTCAAGTTCGCCAGCGTCGACTCAAGGCCCTCTTCAATCACAATGTTCGCGAACAGATATGCCGGCTCTTCAACTGCCAGGAGATCTGGCTCGTGGTAGTGGTAGTGGCTTGTAGCGAGCGGGACAGAGAGATCTTTGTCGACACTCGAGAGGAGGTTATCCAGGGCGTCGTTGTCGAGGAACACAAAAGTTGTTGGTGGATCGGCGATGGCACGGTAGGCTGGGGTGTCGAAATACGTTAGTAGGGGGTCAAGACGAGTAGATGAGTCTGGTGCAGGCGTCTCCTCTATTGATTCAGCGGCCACGGTTCTTGTTCTTCTGGGAACGATGTCCAACTCTATAAATTGTGGAATGTCCGCAGCGCGAGTGAGGAAGGTTTTGCGCAAGTAACGGAGCTCGACTGGCGTCACCGGGCTGAGGATGTACACTATGTAATCGGGAGATACCGGGCCGGTTGCGCAGATTGGGGTACCTGGTTTAGAAATGAAACTACTCTGATATAGCTCGACAGGATCGGTCCAGTCCGTCGCACGGGAAGCTGTGGCATCGTTGAACCGATGCTTAGCACCATAGAACAGAGGATAGTTCACCATCGTATCATTGACGCTGCCTCGATTTGGCGGATGCCAAATCAGTCGCCAGAGTCCTTTGACTTCTTGTGCTCTCTCGGCGTGTAGGTAGATGTGCTTGTACTGTATCAGCTCCAAGTGAGACGAACGCGATCCATCACCAACAGCCGTAGATGCAGACTCGCAAGCTACGACCACAACAGGCGCACGCTGTGGTCCCGATGTGTGAGTGGCATCGATGAACATGACGAAGGTTTGACCCCCCTGAATGGGTATCTCTGGCTTCACACATTGGAAAATGGTGTATGCCTGGGCTTGAGATGCTGGAGTTTCGTGCGGCCAGTTGTAGACAACGATCTCGTCAGCGGGATGTCCCATATCTTGCTTCAGTACACGGATCTCTTCATCCGTTAATTTGATCAACGAAAACAGCGTGACCTGGTCTTCGACGATTTTCGTGCCGATCGGGATATGTGGTGGAAGGATACTTTCCGGGTTGTCGTCCTTGAATACTGGCTCCAAAGGTTGTACTGGGACAGGGATCTCACTCCACGGACGTTCGTCGAATGCTTCTGCAAGCGTGTATCTGTACAGCTGGTCCTTGAGCAAAGTCTCGACTGCTGCCTCGCGAGCTGCACGCCCAATCTCTGGTGCCTTCCCATTGACACAGTGCAGGACCAACAGAGTTTTGTCCACGAGACTTTGCGCGTCGATGCCGAGAACGTGGCCCTCGCCCATGTTGAACCCTCTCGCCATGGCAACGACATCCGTGATAGATGGTGCATAGTTTCGCAACCACGGTATACCAACGATTGACATCTTTTTTAATTCTGAGGTTTTCTGGGCTACTCTGTCGACGACGTCATTTAGTGCTGATTGGGTCCTCTTCGTCTGCTGTTCGTCCGCACGCACGAACCAGAAGAGTGGGATCACGTTAGATGCGCGAGACGAGAGTTGCGTTGTGCGGAATTGGGCCATGATAGTAAGGAAATATTGATCAAATAGATGATTGTGGTGTACTGGCGATATTTAACTTGATTCCCATTTTCTGTTCGATGCATTTCTTGCCGCTTTGTCGTCGTTGTAGGCTGCCTTACGCTGCTGCCTCACTGGTCTAACGCTAACGTTACATAGCGGGACATCCCGCATCCGGCAATAGCAGAACCACAAACTACGATTTCTGACTGTACACTAATTTCCGTTTCGGCGAGACCGTTGGTACCCTGCAAATTGTCGGTTGTCCCCTCGCGAGAAGGCATTGCTCACGGAAGCAAGTCGACTCGCCGCGCTGGACGCCTCACATCCTGCACTACACCTCACGACCTATTAGCAACTTCGCAGACACTAGAAACCCAAGTAATCACATTCGCAAAGTCTGGAAAGCAGCAAGGGACACCAGGGCGTGGATTCAAGTAGCGACTACAGAAAAGTACCATCTTCGTTTCCACCAATGAACTAACAGCTACCCTCATCTGCGCTTGGTGCAGTGCTCAACACCTTGGGCAAGTACTTGATACCTGTGGATGGGCAGTTTCCAGAAGTGCCAGTCGGATTGACAGGCACGAAGTTGCCATTCGCAACGCTGCCACGCACGTTAAAGGCGTACTGGATCTGGTTGAGCGCGCCGCTGGTGCAAGTCAGGATGGGCGTGGCGCCGAACTTTGCCTTGAGAGCGGCGGTGATAGCAGCGTTGGTGTAGGTCTTGGTCGAGCTGGGTGTGATACCGGCATTCAACAACCACTGTGATCATTAGCCGCTGATAGAGTTGATTGAAGAAGCGCTGCTCACAGTGTAGGTTGGCAGGTCTTTGAACAGAGTGATGGTGGTGTTCAGGAAGTCAACAAGTTCGTCCTGAGCTTTGTAGCTGGTGTAGCAGCTCGGCTTCAGTGTTGAATAACAAGTTCCATGTTTGGCCCACTCGTGCTCCCTTCACAAGGCATTAGCATGTCGTTTGACCGGTCCCCAGGATTGAAGGAGTTTACCAGAAAGATTCGTCTTCGCCCTGATAGTCCTTCCAGTATGTTTTCATGTAGTTGAGAATGTCTGTGTGGCCCTTGTTCGCGAGTGTGCAGCCGATACCGGTGTAGGCTCTGGAGCTGTCACATGACGACTTGTACGTGCCATCACAGTTATCAGGCCTGCAATTGTTATCAGTTTGGTTGCGTCATATTCACAGCAGCCGAAGAAACGTACCACAGGCCGTGGATGGTCCAGGAGTTGGCTGGACCGGTAGCAGGGTTGTAGTCCCAGAACTGGACCTGCAAGACTTGTCCTTGGGCCTCGGTGCAGCACGTGTTGGAAACGGTGCTACTCGAGCAGCTGAGCGCTGCAGATGCCGAGCACACGGGCGCGGTGGCAATTGCCGAGCCGGCAAAGATGCCGAGGGCAAGTAGGAAAGACGAGATAGAAGACATGGAGGATTTGGTAGATCAATGCTTAACTTTCTTGGCTGCATCCCGCAAGTCTTATATAGACTTACAGCCGTCTCGAAGAGATCCGGCTCCGTCGATCATCGCGAAACTCCGTCTCCTGTGCATCAACATTTCGGCAGCTTGGCTCTTGTAAGGAAGGTAAGTGTGTACTGCATGTTTGACCTTTCGCGTCTTGAACTTTACCTTCTGCTACTGGATTAGCGTTCGGTAGATGTAAGGCACGTGTGCAAATGTATGGAGAGATAACGGGCGCCTACGAGCCGTGCGCGGCCGATCGTCGGGCCAATCATCACGCTTGCACGATCTCAGCACGCGTCAGCCAAAGGCACCGTGACGCTACAACACACTGTCAACCATCGACTTCCCTCTCGATACGGCGATGAACACCTTACAGCTATGTCGAATCCCTTTGCGTTTGGCCGTGAGGCAGACGCGACTGCTGCAATCCAGCTCTGCTAATCGCACTCGTCGCAGGGGGTAGGACAATCAGAGCTATCGCATACAGCGGCCTTCCTCATCGGGAATAACACAATCATCCTTATATTGACCTACGCTCGACGTGCAGTGGTCGACAGGAGATTTGGGGTATCTCGGTCGCAGTTGCTGTTGTCGTCCTGCACTCCGGCATTGATCTTGTCAGTCCTTCAATTGCTTGACTGCCTCTTTTCCACTCTTGTTGGATTAGTCGATGATGCTCTCGTTGCTTGCTACCGCAGCTTTCCTGGCTCAAGCAGCCTTGTTGTCGCAAGCAGTCAGCGCACATGGCCCACGCCCAAGGAAGCTTGCAGATGTTTCCCGCGCTGCACCGAGTTCGGCCGGGCCCCTGGAAGTCATTCAGCTCTACAAGCCCGTGACTATACCAGAGTCGACGGGCTGCAATGTCGAGCAGACGCTGATGGAACACACTTTTGCCAGTTCCTACGGCGTCCCATATGTGGGAAAATATACCCCGCCCAGCTGCGACTTCAACAGCGTCGTGATTGAGTGGACAGTGACGGTCGCTGGCCGCCAGTTCGACCGGCTTGCGGAAATGTATCTCGGCGATATCGAAGTGTGGCGCACCTCGACAGCCGAGCCGACGGCATCGGGCATCGTCTTTAGATACCAGAAAGATCTTAGCATGTATCTTAGTCTCTGGAAGACTCCACAGGATGTCATATTCAGCTTGAATAATGTGTACGACTCGACATACACCGGCGCTTTCAACACAACCTTGGTTGCTACGTTCTCCCAAGTCTCAACTGCGTCCGCGCACGCTGACCTTATCCTGCCAATCTCGCCGCAGCTGGGATCAAGTGGCGCACCGAGTATCTTCACGCTCCCGGGGGACGACGCAACCAGCAAGCACATTATTCCACTGAACGTCACTCATGCCTCGGTCTCTATCGCCGCCACGGGCCAAAGCAGCGAGGAGTTCTGGTACACCAACGCTCTCCAGTCTGACATTCACACTTTTGAATCAACCGTGGGGACATTGATCGGATACGGGCCGTTCCGTGAAGTACAGCTCTTCATCGACGGGCTTCTGGCTGGCGTCGCTTGGCCATTTCCAATCATCTTTACCGGTGGTGTGGCGCCCGGATTTTGGAAACCCATCGTCGGTATCGACGCCTACGACCTGCGCGACTACGAGGTGGACATCACTCCGTTCCTTCCGTACCTTCTTGACGGCAAGCCGCACTCCTTCACCATCAAGGTAGCCGGTGTCGCCGATAATGGGGGCAATGGCGCAGCTACCATTTCCGAGGACAGCATCAACAGCTACTGGCTGGTGTCGGGCAAGTTGTTCCTGTTCTCCGGTGCAGAGTCGTACAATGGCACGCACGTCGCTCCTCGCATCTCGGCCGCGCCCACGATCCAGACCAGTACCTCGCTCACCTCCAGCAACGGCACAAACCAGACACTTTCTTACAGTGTGACAGCAAAACGCGTTCACACCGTTACATCTTCATTCGGCACCTGGACGCAAAATCTGGCCTACAGCAACACCGGCTACCTAGGCAGCAACGGACTATTCCAATATAACTCGCAGAAGACCTCTGGAACCTCCGCCGCAGTCCTGAAAAGCGCGCCAGCCTTCAGTAACACGCTCAGTTATACCTACCCAATCGTGGTGAACACGACTTACACCTTTTCTGGATCCAATTTAACCATCGACGCGTCATTGGACCGCGCACTGGAAATTTCGTCTTCGGGCAGACCAGACTTATCGACGTATACTCTAGTGAGTGGCCCGATGCAGTTAGACACGCGGCAGATTGGCAAGGCGTTGTATTCGAACAAGCCGAACAACAGCTACTCGTTTGGGGACATGGATCAGACGTTCAGCGAGCGTAGCTATAGCACGCGGTACTCGAGACATGTCAAGAGCCAAAATTTGACTGTCGTGTACGACGAGCCGAACTGAGGAATGACCCTGTAGGGCGACAGATAGCTACTGGTCGCTCTTGAGCAGGGATGCGTTCAGCCGATTGTTGAGATGGGAATAGCAATGCAGGTCCTACAATCGCCGGGGTCTGGTGTAAGTGGTCGGATACATAGCGAATCGTCACATGTGCTCTGAAGTGAAGATGTGTACCTCAGTGCTCGATGCTCTGGGTCTCATCGAGTTCATGGTGTAGCACAGCACATTGAGTAGAAAGATTACAAGGCGACAATGATGGTTACCTCTTGCGTCATATACGTGCAGCCCAAACAGCTTCCGTGTTGTGGGATCGTAGAATCTTATCTACGAAGTACCTACCGATGCCAGTTGTTTTGATTACCTAATCAAAACAACTGGCAAGTGCAGCCAATCAACGCGTCGCTGGGACGTCTCCACACTTCAGATGGCGCTAGTGGATCAACATCTCTTCGTTGCGCCCACGTTTGCAGGGCGGGTTCTCCCGTCGCGCCAACTCGCCCGTAAATCACATTCAAGTGCTTCTGTCTTGTGTCCGTGGACAACGATGGCCGTTTTGGTAAGCGGGGAGATCACCGGCTGCCTGGCTGCACATGTGGCAATACGCGTATCTTATACGATGATTGAGATGACTTTCTATCTATCAAAAGATATCTCGGTTTTGGCGGGACGGGTGAATTCCATCACCGGAGGTACGCTCACTACAACGGAACACTGTCCTGTCCAATGATCTCGCCCCAGGAACTAGTGGCCTTGATGCATGGTTGATCACGCACATTGCCGCTAACACCCGCGATCTTCTCCAGCGGCCGCAGCACAGTAGTAGTTGTTAGTATTTAGATCGCTACTATCTCGCCCTCTATAACAGTCTTCTGCTTTGTAGCCGACATCTCGAGCCTCTCCTCGGTGCACGCCCTTGTCGAACCGTCCTTACATCTACTCCAATCGCCTAGATGTACTCGTGTGCAACGCCGACTTCGTGGCGCTGCCCTCCGCGCCCAGTAAAGATGGGGTCAAGATCCAATTCGTAGCCAATCAACTCGGCCACACGCTGCTCACAGATTGATCTAGTAGTGGCCGTTGATAAGGAGTAAGGCTAAACTTGCATAGAGATCAGGCAAACTTCTGTGATCAATCAATCTTGTTCCCGGGTAGCCTGGCCTCCACATCAGCTAAATTTAGGAGATTCAAGAGTTATGCTAACAGTGGCGTAACATCCGTGATGTAAATGCTACGGAATGCAAGTAGGCAATTTCTGAAAAATGTTGCTTAGATACGAGTGTGAACCGCGAAGGATTCTAAAAGATAATAGTCAGTTCACCTTTTATTGACGATAATAGCACACATGATTGTAGATTGTATGAAATGTATCCTGATTTAACAATAAAAAGCCGTGCACACTACGGCCCCCTATGATGATCACTCCAGCTTGTTCGGCTATCATCATGGCCTGAATGACCGCTCGCTTGCGAACCGTGAGCATCGCTGCGTCCAAGGTCCTGCCACTCTACTCTAATGTCCTCTTTCACGATGATGCGACGCTCGTCCTCTTCGCTATCTCTATCGTCTCCGTTGGCAGGCCGTGTCCGCAGAGCATAGTTATTCCTTGACCCGACGCCGGTGACTGACTTGTGGCCCGTCAATTTGCTAGCGCTGTTGGATGCATAGTGCTTCGAAAACATGGTCTTCGGAAGAAGATAGGCAAGGGTAGGAGCACAGGCCGCAACGAGGCTGATAACTATCTCGACCATGATCCATGCCAGCAGGGTCGTATAATTCCACAGCGGATCCTTGGCCAGGGTGTACTGCGAGACAAGCGTCATGACTGAGGCAATGCAGGCAATCAGACCGATAGATAGTAAGCCAAATATGCGAGCCTTCTTCTTCCAACTCAGCTGAACTTTCCATATCACAATTACCGGGATAGCGAGAGCGGTGAAGTCCAGAGCAAGGTTCAAGCGAAGGATGCTGTTCATCGAATTGACAGACAGACATTTCGGTACCATACCCGATTCGGCAATCCGGAGCAAATCAAAACTCGCGTATTGAGGGTTGCACTTGAAGATGTTGAGAAACAGCGCTGCGAGAGTGTAGGCCGAACATAGACCAAAGAACGCCCAGTTGACATTCTTCCAGAATCTCGTCGTAAGGGTTGTCAGTCGAATGTTGAACAATGCAATGCTCATCTTGACAAGTCCCACGTAGACGTAAAACACAGTGGCAGCTGTCGGTGCTAGCTACACATGGATATCAGCAATGGGCAATGGCAGATTCGGGATCGTCACTCACCAGTTTGTAGTGGTAATACTCTTGATAGGTGATATCATAGAAGTGCTTTCCGGCCCCGCCGTACTGAACCATAGAGATCTGAAGCGCTGGGTACGTCATGGCTAGGAGATATGCGGGAATGATGAGCCAGTCATCGGCACCGAAACGGACCCCATGGACGAACAACCGAATGCCCAACCTCAGAAATGTGACAAGCGTTAGAATTACCATACAGACTGACAGCGCAGCTATGATACCCGGGCCTTTGGTCTCAAAGTGGTAATTCTCCTTTGGACGAAAAGGTGGAATTGTCACTCCATTTTTGGGGTCTTTAATGTTGGGAGTAAGGCCAGTAAGCAGCAAAAGTCCCGCTGCAATTCGTTCGTCGAGTTCGTTGGCCGGTGGGGTGTTGAAATAAGCAGACACCATTGTGCCACACCAGCTTGGGGCAGTTTCGAGAGACTGACAGAACAACTCAATCGGAGATTTTGGACCTGCATGCTCTTAAGGCCTCGCTCAGCCCATTGCCACGTTTGAAGAATACAGCCTTATCCCACCGACACGGTACGGTACGGGCAGGGTTTGTTGTGTTGCATACGAGGAGCGGGAAGTGCCCACGGGCAGAAACACTCACTACACCTGCATTGCCGGCCGATCCGGCCAATTGCCAATTCAGCACGTTAACCACCACACCACTACTTGAATCCTCTTGCTCGCCCCGGAACGCTTGACCCGCAGCCCCCTCCGATGGATTCTCTCAGCCCACCTCTAACAGGAAGTCAACAGTATGTAATCGGCACTCACTTCAACCTATGGAGAAGATCCCGAGACTCCTTGTAGCAATCATCTCACGGAGGACTGCTCCTGAGCGGAGTCCAAGCTCGTTAATAACAAAGACGTTCGGGTTTGGCACTCCAAACAGGACGTGAGAGCAGCCAGAGGGGTGCTAAATTTCAAATTCGGGCTGAGACATCATTTCACCTAAGATAAGACCCACTTAAAAAATCGTCTCGGTGGCATTCGTTGGTGCTTTCTCATTGGGATGCTAGTTACCTTCTTACCTCGGTACTAGGATGCGTGGTCGCGTTTCTTGCGAGGAGCAACCTTGGATGCGTGAGTGGCGCCATTTCCCAGCACTTCTAGTAGAAGAATGCGCGAGTTGAAGAGACGATCGCTTTCTGCTCTATTAACGTGAGATTGTTCGATGTCTACGGCGTCCAAGGTTTATGGAGGGGTTACGAAGAAACTACATACCTGGGTACCGGCAGTCTTTGCTTCGCAGAGACGGGACGGCTGGCGTTGGTGGCCTGTGCGCCGGAGCTCCTCCGCCATCCAGAACCACCTACCTGATGTGGGTAACCCTGGAAATGTGGGGCAGGGACCTTGATCGCTATCTCTGTCTTGCAAACGTCACATAAGACACCCCAGACCCTGAATCAGGACAATCTCCTCGTGTCATACTACATCTACGACACGCTTCATCAGCCTTGTCTTGACACGTTTCTCACCCCTAATTCCTGCGTTCCTGAATCCTGCATTAGCCTTGCTGTCCCGTGCGATGACGCAAAATCGTTCCCCTGCGACTCAAATCGGGCCTGCGAATCCGTGCAGGCACTGCAGAGGATCTCCGGAGTAGGGACCATGGGTCTGAGGGAATATCGGGACATCTCAAGAACCGGATGATCAGGAATCCGATGGCAACGTGGAACTGCTCCACTAGGCCGCTTGTAGTAACTAATGTCCGCTTCTCTCAGGAACCCACGGAGGAGCTAACCGTGTAAACCACTCCCGGGATCTTGTAGCTGCGAAGGATGCAAGAATAGGGAAAGCCTAGGCACAAGCTTTCCTCCCTCCTTTTATCAGTAACCAACTTTCACTACTTTGTTGTTACTGGTGGCTCGTTTGTTTCAGCCATATTCAATCTCACTCAACCATGTATTCACGTGCCGTTCTCTCCGGTCTACTGCTAGGAGCACTGCCCTTCCTGGCTTCAGCACAAGATGGCATGAGCGTCGCTGGTGCTCCATCAACAGGCGACTGCACTGGTGTCAAGGGCATCAGCCCAAAATGTAACAGCCAGGAATCTGCGTACCAGCGAGACTTCTTCTACATCGGTGGTGGCTATGTCGATTCTGGTATCCCGGGCCAGCAGATGTGGAGTGACCAGCTCTATGTCGAGAAATTGACCCCGGCCCGAAAGGTCAACAAACCTTACCCAATGGTTTTCGTCTCTGCGGGTGTCAACACAGGCGCAGAATGGCTAAACACGCCAGACAATCGCAAGGGTTGGGCTTCTTACTACCTTGACCAAGGCTACCAGGTCTACATTGTTGATATTGCTGCCAATGGTCGAAGTGGCCAGCAGCTTCTCTCCAAGTACCCTCTTCGCCTGGGTTCCACAGACATCATCAATGAGCAGGGCTTTACAGCTCCGGAAGACTTCAACCAGTACCCACAGGCAACCTTACATACACAATGGCCCGGCAACGGATCTCGAGGAGACCCGGCGTTTGACGCTTTCACCGCCGCCAACGTTCCCATCTCTTCATCTAACGTAAACGTGGAGAACACTATGCGCACGTCTGGATGCCAACTTCTCAGCATGATTGGACAGTCATACACAGTCTGCCACTCTGCCGGCTGCACTTATACAGCTATCTGGTCAGATGCATGCCCTGATTTGCTTCGTGCCAACATCAATATTGAGCCCGGCAACATCCCCTTTACCTCTTTGATTGGGAACAACACCGTTACTGGGGTTGGTCGCACCGCTGCTCGGCCGTGTGGTCTCACATACACACCATTGCAATTCGACCCACCGGTAACAGATTGCTCAACCATTACCACCGCTGAGGTTGGACCCGACTCCCCCGCCAAGCGCTCTTGCATCCTCCAGACTGGTACCATCCACAAACTCACCCAGGTCGGCAAAGTGCCGTATATCATGATCACAGGCGAGGCCAGCCCGCATATCACGTATGACCACTGCTTTGTCGAGTACTTCAAGCAAATGGGCATCACCAACTACCAGTGGGTCAAGCTTGCCGATATTGGCATCAAGGGCAATGCGCACTTCATGTTCCTGGAGAAAAACAACCAGGATATCGCTGCGGCAATCAATTACGGTCTCACCAAAATGAACCAAGGCCCGGCTGCTCCAGGTCATCCAGCACTCCCTATCTCTACGAAGTGAGAGACAGAGCTTGCGACGGCTCGATGAGTCGACTGGGGCTGGGCAAAGCGTGATTTCGCTGTGCGGAACGCCGAAAAACAGCATTGCTGAGATGATCAAGGGATATGTAATAATTAATGGTAGACAAGTGGATCCGACCGTCCTCGCCCCATGTAGAAAAGGGAATTAACGCATCGACTTTCAACATCCTTGTGAATATATTTGACTAAGTGACAATCACTAGTCCAACTCTTGTTCCAGACTCGCGCAAGGCGTTTATACACCTTCAGTTAATGTTCAAGCGTTTTGAAGAAGCTCACACCCGTTATGATCGTGTGCAAGTGAGTTTGACCATGTGGAGGTTTACCTCGTTAACGTTCTGGCCAATCTCACCCAGCGTACAACGAGACTTGGACGACCCGATACAGGCACGTCAAAACCGATGAACAGACATTGAAAATGTTGTGGTATTGAGAGCGTAGTGTATCCTTTTGAGAACGGTAGACTAACAGAATGTCATGGGCATGGTCTTGGCCCATGGTCGTCTCGTTCATCGTAATCAACTCAACAAATTATTTCCATTCCGCTGTATCTTGAACTTGATATGTGTCCAACCATTCCTTCCAAACCTCGTGTATAAGGACGAATCAGAAATTGTGTATCTGGTAAGCATAAATGTCCAACAATAATGTCTTTACAAGCACTGTGTGCAAAGTCACGAGAAACGCCAGCCATATAGACTAAAACATGAGATACCATCGTAATGGTACATTGTGGAGTCAGGAAAATTGGATTGTGCGCGGCACAGATTGGTAGTGTCAACACTGATTGTAATGATATGTTTTCTCGTTGTATCTACATATCTTCTGTTTCCAAGACCGAGGTGCTTAATATCTATCTGCCCTCTGCTCTGTGGCGTCAACCCCAAGCCGTTTCACTGAGCATCGATCTTGGCGAGTCCGAGACGCCGTGCAAACATTTGACAATATTTCTCGGTCGCTAGAGTTGGCGTCACTTCAAACGCCGGAGCATGGGAAAGCAAGCGGGCCTGCTTTTTTACAGCGTATAAAGGGGGTATGATGTTAGGTATGATGGAACTACCTCTTGGCTTGAGCCTAAGAGCACGAGGAGAGCAATGAAAAGGTCCTAGAGAAGTCAACATCAATTTGGAAATGATCTATAGCACTATTGTTTATCTACTCTGTGTATCTGTAGACGCAAACGATCCTCAAATGCTTGATTACCTATGTACTTCGCTACTAACCCCAGGACTATTTGCGCATCATGGCACCCGTCCACCTCAATATAGCCGCCATCAACTCACCTTCTGCTTTGTGAGCTGGGTATCGCACTACTATCCCGGCAGTTTTGTGGCCCCTTTGAATGGCAGTGCGCTGTCGAGCAGCAAGAGTGAGCGCATATCGACGTCGGGACTGGCGAGTACAACTGCTCTTCACTTCCCGACAAGGCACCCATCTTTCGTTGTCCCGATCGAGTTACTTCTCTTGAGCACGGCAACAACGAGCTTGTGCCAGGTCAGTGGTTAAGAGGTTTATCTGGGATAGCAGCTGCGTACGCTCAATCAGGAAGAACTGGACCAAGTCTTCTTTCTCTGCAATGGTCTTGAGGTTCTCTTTTTGCTGTTCCTCCAACAGCCGGATCGAGGATTTTTCTCGTCCACTTTCCTGAAGCAACCGATCTTGCTCAGCCAGCTGAGTTCGTAGCTGGGCTCGTTCCTTTTCCAATGCTTGGCTTCTTACGAGGAGGGGAAGGGCCCATCCAAGTGTATTATGTTTACGCGCGTCTTTCTCCTTGATCAAGGCTTCCTTTTCTGCAATCGTTTTGAGGGCCTCATCTCGTTCTTTACGCGCATCCTGGAGCTGTCGCATCGCATCCTCTTGCAAGGTTTGATTTGTAGTTTGCCGTACGCTGTTCTCCGTCATAGCTGATAGCAGGTCCGGAGGGGTCTTTGGTGTAGTCTGGAGTTGCTCAAGTAGCAAGAGAAGCAAATAAATAGGCCTAAAGGGAGCTTGACGTTATCGCTGCATATAGATAGCTTGTGTTCCTACAGTGTCAATATCTTATATTCTTATGACGCAGATATGTGTTCTTACAATGTAGATTTTTTGTATTCTCACAATGTGAATTCTTGTATTCTCGCAACGGGCAATCAGTACCCAGAGGCTCCCCTCTCACCCAGAATCGTTCGGATTCAGGCCGTGATGATTCGCCTCATTTATTGGTTTCGATACTTCTTCCATGCCAATGACGAGAGAAACCAGCACATTGGGGGATCCATTCAATGGCCTCTGAGTAATCTGTACACTTCCTAATCGCCTGGCTCACGCATATCAGCTGTTTTCTAGTCATGGAGTGTAGATTAAAAGGACATGGCCCAAGACAAGCAGACAAGATAACCTCAAAGCATTACAGGCAAAATATAGGTTCTCTATGATTATTACATTACCATTACCGCGAATCACACCTTGATCACTCTCATGACATCGAACAGCCCAATTTTTTGCTTTTCCGACATCCCGTCTTTCAACAGCCCAGTGACGTGATCGCCCTCGCGTCCCCTCTGATTACTCACCACAGTAATATCGTTTTTCTTGAACTCGCATGTCCGCCCTGTCGTCCCGCTGACCCACATCTTCACCCCCGCCCAGTCGCTCCCACTCAACAAATCCGTCCCGTACGCCGAACTCCACGGTGCATCAACTTGCCACGGATCCAGCGCATCCCTCAAATCCGGCGCGAACGCCGTCACAACAAGGACCTGCTTGGCCTCCGGCCCCGTCGCAAAACCAGATACCTGCTTCCCATCCGGCCCAACCGCCGGCTTCGTCATCTTCGTGGCCTCCTGCCGCAGCCACCGCAGATCCCGCTTGTGCTCGGAATTGTGCTTCTCGACGCTCCACCCCCCTTGAATTCCCTCCTGCTCATCAAACTCGCGCACCTTCTTGACCACCGCGGCGACATCCGCATCCGGCACACGGCTCCACAGCGTAGCGCCCAGAATCACCACATTCGTCCCCGGCACCTCGCTGCGCGTCTCGTACAGCACCTCCAGCCGCCCCTTGGTCGCGGGCTCCTGCTCCATGCGGTGCGCGAGCTGCAGCGCGTCCATCCAGCCCAGTCCGTGGAACTCCAGGCTGCCGAGCACCAAGAACACTTTCTCGTGCAGGTTGCACCGGCGGATCAGGAAGGAGAGGTAGGATTCGTAGTCGATGAGGCGGCCGATGTTGCCGGCGAGGATGAGGAAGGGCGCTGCGACCGGTATGTGGAAGGTGAGGTATTGCGCATCGTGGTCTAGGTGCAGGTCGGAGAGGATCTGAAAGGTGGTCTTCGGCGCGGAGAAGAGGCCGGATATGCGGCGCATGTTGGGGAGCATGGTGCGGGATGTTGTGTTGCTGCTGGGCTCGTGGGGTGATTTCACGTGGAGGCGCGGTGGGCGGGGTTTGATTGGGCCCGGCGGCGTGTAAGGCGAGATCTGGACAGCAGCGCTTGGGATGGGGATCGAATGGCGACGGGGCCGGGAGTGAGATGTTGTTATAAACACTCCGGCCCTTTTGCAGCCTTGCGAGGCTAGCTAGAATTCAGCCGCAGCCACAACCACAGTTGCAATTATCGCGACGCCGCAGTGCAGCTCAACCGGGAGTTACACAAGATGCATAGATATGTTACTGTGCCATGCATCTGTCAGCCCACGGTGATTGGCCTTTGATGTGTTGGATGCGGCATGGTCTAATTGTGGTGGTGGCTGTGGAGAGGCTCTTGCGGGTGGGATGAATTTAGATCAACGCTAGCCGCAACAGGGTTGGCGTCTGAGTCTTGTCAGCTTTGTTCTCCTGCGTCTGTGCGTGGGAGGTGTATCGCCGTTCCACCGTCTTTGTCTCACGGCCTCAACTGACACGATTCGCTGCGCTTACTCTCTCATGAATGAGATTCTTCGCTCTCTGAGTCGGATACCACGAGTGCGCCTGCTGTGTTACAACGTGTGCGCGGCCGGAACGCCCTCGCCACCTCACGTTGAGTCGACGACTTCTGGACCTGCCAGATATTCTGAAAGGTGTATCATAAATTGGGATAGATTAAGCGCAGAACACAGAAGTTTTACTACGCTGACGACTCAGCAGGATGGGGTATCATCGTCGTAACAGCCTTGTTGATTCTCGCCACTAGACCATGTCTTCTCCTGGAACCGGTGTTCTTGGTAACGGCTTGCCTCCAGTGACCTCCATCTTGAAGTCTTTGTGAACGCTCACTTGGATCCCATCCACGCTCGATTTATTAACGATCTGTTTCTGACTCCCATCGTCTCTGTCGAGGCTGATGCTACTCTCCGCATCGAGATCCCCATAGATCCTAGTCTCCACACCTGTTTTCCCAGTCTTGTTGCCGTTGTTGAGGTAATTCTGTAGCGTCGTACTTCCTGGTCGTTCGTCCAGCTCCAGGTATTGCTTGGATGCGCCGTTGGCTGCTGTGGCGCGCGACTTCTTTCCTGCACCAAACGATCGGCTCCCACTGCCTGTCCACGACGACATTCGGGAGATCATGCGTTCTAGGAGTGGTCGGCAAGCAGGGAGGTTGGCGACAAGCATTCCGATGTTCATCTCTGCGGACGCCCAGGCAAGAATGGCGCCGAGGTTTTGGAGGAAGCGCGTTTCGTCGTTCATACCGATGAGGAACTTGAGACGCACGATGGGAGCGATCGAAGCACTGTGTTCGTCAGGATCAGCGAGAAGGCGGAGGAGAGCGGAGACCATACAAAATGCCGAGTCCGAGCATGCCAATCACCGAGGCTTTGACGCGCCAGTCGAGCTGCACGTTCCACAGCAGGAAGATGGGCAGGATGGCGAAGATCCAGTCACTGAGAATGGAAACCACAGCGACTGCGTACGAGAGACTGGTCTGGATGCTGCGATCTTGGCAGACGCCAGGCATGGCGGTGTACCAATTTTTCCTGTTCGAGGTCAGTAAGATCGTAGTCAACGAACATCGGAGACTTACTGCACGGGAGCACACTGGAAGAAAAGGTACATGCCAGTTCCGCCCATGACGAAAAGACACGACGCCATGCAAGCGTAGATCATCCATTCGATCCACTTCTTGCCGTTGGCAATCCTGATCAGCGCAAACCCGATGGAACACTTGATCGTGATCAGAGTGAAACACCAGGGCTCTTGGAAGATGTAGAACCACATCAGGGAGTTGGAGTATTGGTACTCTGTTAGTGAGGCGTCGTAGGCACCGATCCCACTCCATGCCATGGCAATAGTGGCTACTGTGCTTGTAGCCCAAAAAGGCTATTACGGTAGGTCAGTCTCAGATACAGTTGCAGGTGGCGGTGAGCTTACGAGGTTGACCAGCATCGCCCAGTCGTCAGGTCCCCACGCGTTCCTCTTCGATCGGATCCAGAAGCGCAGCACTGTGAAGACGATGTCGAAGGGCAGCGGTACCAAGGCCGCCAGAGCCATTGGGTACGAAGTGGGCGCCATCTCTCCTTGGAGAAAAATTCTAAGCCGACTACAAGACGATGGGGAGTGGAACGCAATCGTCGGACAGAAGTGATTGTCGACAGTGGAGGCTGCGATGTGGAGAACAGGCAAAGAACGAGTTCAAATCCATCGTCCAGCCTTCGTCACGCCTCCTTTCAGCAACGCAAGTTCTTTACCCTGCATTCTGCCAGTCCCAGGACAAGGGAACGTCAACACGTCCTCTGCCCTGATCTGGCCCGATCTTCGCGCCAAGCTGCTACTTCGGGTGCTCGTCTGGACCTAGTCGCAGTGGAGTTTGACATTGACAACGGCGCGGGACGAGGACTGACGCCCGTCGCCGCGGCTACGCGAGATTGCGTACCTGCCTCTGCGGTGTGCCGCTCATCCAGCCGCGGAATTATTCTCCACAGCCTGTGGGATGCATGCAGTCAGCTTCTTAATCCGACATCGCACGACAGAAAGAGACGTTGTAGTTCAGTAAGATGAACTGCATTCACGTCATTAAAAACTTTGCATTTTCCACTCGATATCCTCTCGTGGAGATACCTCGACGAATCATCTCGACGAATTCTCTGGCATTTTGGAAATCGGACGATGTTTTCAGGCACGACGCACATCCTGGGATGTGCTGGTGATATAACCGACTTATACCCTGGCATGGATCAAATGCTGGCATCAAGTGGTAGCCTCGAAACGTTGGGCCAAGAAGTGGATCTCGCAAGCCTTGCGTACTGGGACGTGGGGGTTCGAGAAGAAAAACAGAACCTTCGAATCTCGAAAGATGGAAAAGCGAAATCCGCGCATTCAAAGTCACGGCTCCGTAGCTACCTGCATTCGTTTTCGCTACATCGCGACACTTGAAGTTCAGTCGTCGAGTCGCTGCTGTGTAGTCTGCTGTGGTCGTGCGTGGCAGTATCTCGGATAATATACACATTGGCCCACTTCACCAGATAGTGATCGTCACCGTCGGATCCACCCTCCTAGCCACTTAGCTGCCTCCGCACCTCATCCGATGCTTGCTCGTGGACCGCGCTTGCGCTTGAAACGCCTCTGCCGTCGCGGCCGTGGACGTTACGCCAAGCCGCGCTTGACCTTCACCGCCTGCGGTGCCCGAGGCCGTTACCGCGCAATAGCTGACGACTGTGAGGATGGGGGTACAAAACTGGAGCTGTCCCGCGATACAATGATGGTGTTGGAGCTGCTGTTCAGTCTTGAAGAGATACATTAGTTTACCAAATCACTCTGCATATCGAAACCTCAAACAGGTTCAAAGTCGCCATGTCTTCACCGCCAAGAGTCTTCGAGGGCAAGCTTGCCATCATCACTGGCGCCTCGCGCAGTACGTCACCCACAAACGAACGAGCTGAACACCAATCTGACCATCTATAGGCTTCGGTGCTGCACTAGCGACCTACTTCGCCTCCCGCGGCGCCAACGTCGTAATCAACTACGCCACAGCGTCCTCCGACGCCCGCGCCAAAGAGCTCGCGCACCAGCTCTCCACCGAGCACAACATCACCGCCCTCCCCATCCGCGCCGACCTCCTCGACCCAACCGCGCCCCAATACCTCATCGACACCGCCAAAGCCCACTTCACCACCCCCACCCGCCCCTTCCAAATCGACATCCTAATCAACAACGCCGCCATCGTCAACGCCCAGCCCATCCACGCCCTGGACATCACCCAGTTCCAGCAAACCTTCGACCTGAACGTGCGCGCCCCCGCCCTCCTCATAAAAGCCGCCTACCCCTTCCTGCCCCACGACCGCTCCGCCCGCATCGTAAACATCTCCTCTGCAACCACCACATGGGGCCTGATCCAACAGACCGCGTACGCGGGCACCAAGGGCGCCATCGAAGCCATGACGCGGGTGTGGGCGCGCGAGCTGGCCGAGCGCGGCACAGTGAATTGCGTGAGTCCTGGCCCGATGGATACAGGGCTGCTCAACGGGCTGCCGGACGAGCCGCGCGAGGCGCTGAAGCTGTACAATGCGCTGATTCCGCTCGCGCGCGAGAGGCCCGGGGTCGATACCGAGGGGATGTTGAGGCTGGCGGGGGAGATTGGCGGCAGGCCGGGGACGCTGGAGGAGGTTGCTGGGATTGTGGGGATTGCGTGTTTGCCTGAGAGTGGGTGGATGACGGGGAATCAGTTGGGGGCTAGTGGGGGAGGGGCGTTTGTGCGATGAGATGGATGTTTAGTATCAAGTACTTTGAATTTAGTAAGAAGATATTGGTTTTGGGTTTTGGGTTTGCTATGGTGGTGTTTAGAGAGACGATTAGGGTGTGATGATGGTTCCGCTTCCTCCTCCGCCGACACCTGTCAACATGATCGCGTCGTCCACGAGGTTGTTCAGCTGGTTGAACTGCCCCTGTAGCCACATATCTAGAATCACCTGATCCTCGGCAACATAGCTCGCCCTATGCGGCGGCAGCACCTTTGTGCACTCCTTCAGATCGTTGATGTTGTTCACGCCCAGCAGACTCAATCTCACGTACGCCTTCGCGTAGTCCTCATTCCAATGGTTCTGCCCATTGCTCGGGCTACTGAACTCCTTCCACTCGCCCGCTGTGCGCGAGTCCTTGCTCAGATTGATGTCGGACTGGAACTTGAGCACACGCGGTGCCGCAGAGCCAGTCGTTTCCGAATAGAACGCCACGTCCCACTCACCCGGTGTGGAGTCCTGTGGGTCGCCGTCGCGCACAGTGTTCACGAAGTGCTGTTGCGATGTTGTGTGCGCGCCGACGAGGGCGACGAGGTCGTGCGGGTCGATTGTCTTGGCGGCGAACAGCTTGATCAGCGTGTCTGCGGAGTCGGTGTGGCCCGGCAGCAGGCCCGTGGGACCGGCCTTCGAGTTGTCCTTGCGACCGACGAACGATCGGATGCGCGGGCCCAGTGGACACACGACAGTGGCGACGTTGGCGCCCATCTGGATCAGGTCGGCCATGGTGACGCCATAGGGCGAGTACTTCTTGTACCAGGCGGTCATCTGCTCGGCGATGGAGGCGAGACCGTTGTTGTCGGCGCGCGAGATTTCGTCGCTGAGGAGGATGGAGCCATCGGCGCCGCCGTAGGTGGATGTGTTGGACCACACGCCTGCATCGTGGAAGCCGAGGCGGACAGCTTGGCGGGCGAATTTGTTGCAACGACCAGATGTGCCGTTGAACTTTGCCGTCATCTCATAGCTGATCCATTTCCAGACGCAACACAGGTCTGCCTTGCAGGCTGCGCTACCGATGGCACCAGCGGGGATCGAACTGTCGATGGTGTTTGATTCAGCACCGAGCTGATCAAGCAGAATGGCCTTGATGTCTTTACCAATCGGAGTGAGTTGACTGTCTTTGAGGGTCTTGAGGTCGCCAATGAGCACTTTTGACTCGGCGCGCTTGGCTTTGTTCGCCTCGCGGCGCACTGCTGCAATAGTATCACCCATGCCGGGATGCGCTGACGAGAAGGACACCAACGCCAAGAGAGCATAGCCCAGATATGAGAAACCCTTCATGGTGATCAATGAATGCCAGGTTGCAGTTGATAACTATCTACTTGTTGCAGATCGGCGCCGTCTTTTATACATGCTGAGGTCGTGATAGTTGTGGAAGTGAACATAGAGTATGGGATTCTAGAACCACTCGCGAGCATTAAGTTTGGCGAGAGCGGTCCTTGAACAGGGTCCTCCATGGTACCGTAATAGACTGTAAAGTATTTACCAGGTACCTCTGTAGGTAGTTGCCTGTTTGGGCATGGCTGGATAATGTCACTGGTGTTTAGCCGGAAGTGGTGCATGTACCTGACGATCTACGCTCTGGGACTGGAAGACAGTCGACATGCTTGAGCGAAGAGACCAGGTGGTGTACAAATGGCTCAAAGGCCATTGGGTCACTCCTTGAAAAACCGGGTTCTCTCGTCTTCAGCGTACATGAACTTGAAGCGTCTCGCCCCAGCGAGATCAAGCCGATGCATAGCGGCTGAAGATATCTGCATACTCGGCGCATGCCAATCTGTTGTCCCATGCGACATGCTCAAAGCCCGTGTTCTAGATTATCGTGGAGCCGAAGAGGCCGCTGTCACGGTGGCCTTTATGAAGGTGATGCGGAATTGAGCGCGTGGTTGCCGTACCCGAAAAAGGATGGCTCGGAGACGGATATTTTGGACTCGAGCTCGAGGATGGGGGCTGGGGATGCGTCGTCGGAGAAGCGACCGTCTAGCTGGGCATGCGGGGTTCGTGAAGGGGAGACTCTGTCGCTATTTGGCGCGTGTGTAGGGGCATTGGTGTCGTTATGGGGCGTAGAGATCTATCAGTTCGTGGAAAGACTCAGGATCCGTTGAATGTCGACCCGATACAACAAAGTCTCGGCTGTCTTATGTTTTCGTGATCTGTGCTAGCTCTAGGGTGGGATGGATGCATAGTATTAAGTAATCGCTGACACGGAGAAGGTGTTTGCCGCACATGTAGATGCACCGTTTCTTGCATCTGACCACAAGCTCAAGGACGCTGTAGTGATGAAAGACCCATCGTCGGTGGTCTTGACTACAATGCCTCCGCAACCAAGGTTGGTCTCATGCGCTTCTGCACAGTTGTTTCGGCAGCCGCTTTCTTCGGTCAAGATGAGCGATCCGAGTTGCTGGCTGTTTCGATCGACTTGCTGGTCGCACCTGACGATGCTCGAGCGGAGGGGTTCTTGTTTGGGTCCTTGACGAGATCGGGTTCAAGGAGGATGCGCGGTGTATGGTGAGCCTATTACCTCGCTGTGGCAGGGGAAGAGGCCGGGCGGTGGCGCGTCACGAGGGGCCATCGCAAGGGCTGGAGGGGGCTCGGTGGGGGACGGCGCGCGGCCATTGAGTGAAACGATGCACTTGGAGGTCATTCTGCAGATTCGGTGGAGAGTCGCAAGATGACGTACAGGTGAGAAATCAGTGTGTTCTTTATTGCTAGCTACCTGGCACAAATCTTCTTTGTCTCGCTGAGGCCCTCACCGTGGCCCTTGCAGCACGTGTTTTCGCGTTTCGCGCCTCATGCACGCGCGTGCGGGAGCTGCATGTGAGCGTGTCGCGATGCACTGCGATGAGGGACTTGATGATCGCTCCAGCCTTGTCGTAGATAGGTGCCCTCGAGGCGCCTGCGAAGCTCACGCTGCTCGGTGGTGGTGTTGTGTTCGTGTTGACGCCGCTCGTGAAATGCCCCGCCTTGCTGCTTCCCTGCCGTGCGCTCATCTCAACGCCATCGCTGGGCATCGGCTGCACATCGTGCCGGCTCGAGGAGATTATTTGGCCCTGCCGACAGTCTCGTGCATCTCGGTTCGAGCACTCGCATGTGGTGAGAGCGATGTTGGCGGTGCTGAGGGTCGTCTGCTGCAGAGCTTCGGCGCTAGCTTTTCCTGCGCGCCTTCCTCTTACTCGCCCCTTCCTCACTCACCCCCACCATCTCCCCGCGCCGCACGACATGGCCGACACGACGCTGCTCTTCTTGCTTGCGCCAGCTGCGCGATACTCTCTACCCGTCTTCTCTTGTCTTCCGCCTTGACGACACAGGGGCAATGCTCAAAGCAGAGCCCCTGCCCGCTCCGTTGAGCAAAAGGCCGATCGTAGCTTCACGACCGGTGCATGCTCGCATGAAGCTGACAATGAGACTGACGATGGAGTTGACTTCATCTCCACACTGCTGCAGGCCTGTCTCCTCTCCAAGCCGCCTCGGCCTGCGTCCTTCGCTGGTGGCAGAGCTTTAGCAGCGACGGAGAGCCCCGCGCCCCGAAACACCACCACACATGTCACCACAGGCCGCAGCCAGCCATGGCGATGGGGATGGCAGTGGCGATGGCGACGATGAGTCGTCTGCTGCGATGGCACGGCTCGTGCTGCTGGCAAGCGCTGACCGCTACATGTGTGTAACCTGTTGGCGGGTACATTGCAAGCTCATCCACCCACTCGAACTCGCAAAGGCCGCTCCACCTGCGATTGACCTCGCGCCCTTCCACACCAAGACTCTCACCAGGCTGGCTGAGGTATGCCGCGAATATTTCTCTGATTATCGACTCTCGCAGCTTGACTCGCGCGTGCTGAGTCGCGTCTCCATCTCGGTAAGCACGATGCCGCTCCATGTCAGCATTGAGCACATGACTGATGCCACTCAGATTGAGCTTCAGAGCTCTCATCAACAAGACTCCTCACATCGCATACATCGCATACATCGCCGACGACGTTTTGTGATGACCATTTTGCGAACCCGATCAGCTGCGTCACGGACCACAGCAGCAACACACGTCGTTCGACCGAACAACACAGCCGGGAGGATAGTGTGGTCGCCGCTTAGTCATAAGTCCGACTGAGCATCATCGTGTGCGACATCATGCAAGACCATGTGCGAGCCACATCGCTCGTTCGGGGACATGGAGAGCTCCGTACGTGCATGTCGACCGCCCCGCACCCAGCTCAGGGAAGACGGGCCATGGCAATGCGACCGATCATTGCGAGTAATCCGGATGGCCTCGACAGGTCCTCTACTCGCAACTCCAGGGCCAAGGTGCAGCTGTGACACACCAAGCCACACTGCGAGTAGCCAAGGCCGACCGACTGCAATACTCACAGACGCTCTCGTCAGGATGAGGGGCGCCCTGATCCACGTTTTCGCGCCTCGCTACCAAGATCCCGCCACCCGTGTCTGGACCCGCACACTCTTTTTGCGGTGCTTGCAACGTTTGCCTCTGCATCTCCCTCTGCGTCGTCTTTTCCATCTGCCAGTGTTCCTCTTTCATCATTCATCTTCTCCTGCCAGTCACCTTTTCTTGCCAGTCATCCGCCTTCTCTTCTTTTTCTCGCTGGCCCCTCCCTCGGCCGAATTTCCATCTCCTCAGTCCACAGTCTTTCCTCCTCTTTCAGTCCTTTCTCAAGTCTCTCAACCCATCTCACGATCTCCGCTCCGCTCTCGTGTTTCCGCGGTTCACGGTCACCCTTCCCGTCCAGTTTCTCTGTCGTTTCTCATATCATCCCCCATCTGTCATCTTCTCGGTCCATGATCATCCACCTCCTTTTCAGTCCTTGGCTTTATTTCCCCAGGTCGTCTCATCCTTTTCTTTCGTATCCTTGTCCCATTGACTCGCAGCCATTTCTTATCACTGATCTCCTTCTGTCTGCCCTCTTCCTTCTTTTCAAAGTCGTCTCCTTTACTCGTCTCATTTTTGGCTCGCAGCCTGTCAAAGTCACATGCATCGATAGATGCCCCCTCCCGCGTTGTTGCAACCTTTTTGAAGCTCCCAAACACTCCGAGTATCGCGTTTCGCTCGTCTTGCATTTGGCTTCAGCGTTATTTGCGACATTGTCCAGATCGGCATCGACGCGCAGGGAGGATACGAGATCTCAGTCGCGCTTAGCCCTTGATTCAGAGCTGGTCATGTCACCTCCCTGGCCACCTGGTGTCTTGAGTATTGACGTTGGGTTCTGGTGACGGCGATGCAGTCGCATGTACCGTGCACCAGTATCACTGCTGGCGCGTCATGCCAGCTTCGACGATTACTCGGGCATCGACTTTGAAGGAAGTCCTAGGTGCCACATCTTCCGGTGGCTCCACGGCAATCGGCAGTACCCAGCGCTCCAGGAGCGTCGAGAAAGAGCAAGGTATTGGCAAAGTACCCTCCTCACTCCTGTCATACGCCGTTGATGGCGTCTCGTCTCTTGTTCCCAGTCGTGGGGTGGTATGGGTATGGATCATCAAGTGCGGGGTACGACAGCCTCTGGGGTTGGACAGCCTCGCGTCACGGCGACCTCGCAGGAGCTTGTCATGCGACCTGTCGTTTACTGACGTGCGGATGTCGATGTAATCTTGTCATGTTTGCTTTGATGGAGTTTGCAGGGCGCTCCGCTCCTGTTTGTGGTGCTGGGTGGTTTGCTGCAGGCGACCGCCGCTCCGAGCTGACAAGCAACAAACATCGTCGCTGCTCTAATCAGACATGTCGGACACCCGGGAGGCGGCATTACTGGCTCGCACCCAGTCGTAGAACGTCTGGGGACGGTTGTCGAGCTGCATGCGTGTGTTGGCATCGATCTGAGGTCCTGGAAGCGCGGGGCCGTCATCTGCTGCTTGCGAAGTTTCATCATCGTCATGACGGCGGCGAGCATCGCGCCTGCTGTAACGACTCAGTAAGAGTGCAGCTATCAATAGTAGCAAGAGGAAGAAGACGCCGTTCCGGATTGTTGATGCAGCACGCAGATGGTGGTCGAGCTTACGGTCAAGCTTCCAGTCATGCGGTTGATTGCGCGCGAGCCAGGTCGCCCTGCCCGCGCCCGCTCCTGCAAAATCAGACCGAGCCAGGCTCACGAGACCGAATATCCTACCTCTGTTGGCCATCTTCTCGGGTAGTGGTGATGTGGTGGTGTTGTGGTGTTGTGGTGGTATGGCGGAGATGCGGAGCGAAAAGCTATGCTACCACGATCTTGACCATCACCAACATGAAGACAAAAGCGCGTGGGACTCGAAGCTGCACGTATATTGGTTGACTGCGAAACGTTCACTCAGAAGAACACCCACGGCGCATTCATAATTCATCACGAACGATGTACCGGTGTTACATGCGGCAGAGCTGCGGGCAAACTGCGTGTTTGCTACAGTCAAAACACTAGGCCGAAATCGAGATCAAGTACAAGCCTCCATCTTGTTGTTTTAGATTACCTCGACCGGCTGCGGCTCTGTGCATGGAATCTTCAAGCGCGGAGGCCCTACATCTGAGTTGTTTCCCAACTCTTGGTCCAATGTCATGCTGCACGATCTGTTCTGCGAATCCAGCTTCAAAGCAGCGCTCTTTCAGTTTCCCAGTATGTCACGGCTGGGGAACGTTGATCCATTCGAAAGCCTCTTGAAAAGCAACACGGTTCACCCCTTCGAGTAAGCGCACAAGGCAGCCAACTTGACGGGGTCCCCTGTCCCCCATCCTCGAGCCGCAGCTATTCTGGATGGTATTTGAAGCCCAAGATCAGACATGGTGTGGCAAGATGAAGCAAAGGCCGTCGATGGGTTGACAGAAGCGGTCAGGGTATATTCGAACCACTGACATTCTCATCCCGTCCGTACGCTTTCGAGCTCGGCCATCATCACCGCATGTCCGTTGTTCCAGCCTTCACACTGGAGCTCTTGCAGGTCATCGATCACGTCCTCTCCGTCTTCGTGCTGGCACCAAATAGCATCTGTCGACGCTCGTGCTTGCTGAACCGCTTCGTCCACAGCGTCTTCAATCTGTCGCTGATAGCAGCAAAAGTGATCGTGACGGCTGTTGAGAAAGGCTTGACGGCCGCCGGAGAGCATGATCTCTCGGTGTATAGCTCTGTTCATTGCCAACATCCAGATTTCCTGGAAGAGAGCGAAGCGTCGTGTGTCGATGTCACTGCTTACTAGCTCCCACTGGTATTCCCGAAGGCACCCACCAAAGCCTTGCACGGAGTTGAAGTTGCTTGTCTGGACTCGCGTCCGCAGATACTCGGTGACGGGTTGTATCGCCGTCTGGAACCCGTACTGCGGGAAGGTGGCGTCCAGGACCCAACCGCTCTCACCAATCTCCTCCCTCCAATGCTTGTTGCTGTCCACCTGCTTGTTGTCCAGCTTTGGAGATATGACCAGTACAGTGTGAATGATGGCGGGGACGTTCGGCTCCTCTCTTCCCTCGTACCAGATGACGACCTGCTCGACTGGCTTTGGGGCAACGTGCAGCTCTCGCAGCTTTACTTTCATGCCTGTCGTTGGTCAGTGTCTGAGCTCGAGTCATCGCATTGTCATCACATACCACTGGTCAGCCATGCAAGCGCAGGACTGAGGTTGGCGATGGCCAAGATGCAGTTCTCAACGCAAGCGGCTTGCACTACTACTGCTGCTGTCAAGGCGTCGGGGATCGGCTCTCCTTGCGCAGCTGGCATGCTGAAGTGTTCGGCGAGCAGGACACGGGTGGGATATTCGGGGCGGCCCTCGATGCCGCGGTGGAGGTACGCGGAGTCCGTGATGATGCCCAGGAAGGTCAGCCTGCTAAACAGCATGGCGAGCCGATGCTGGAGACTGGCGAGTCGCGCGACCGTCCTCTTCAGCTGCCTCTGCTCGCACTGCCCTCCCTCCGCTGCGTGAACCGTCCAGCAGCGGCTGCAGCTGCACGCCCAGTCGGTGAGCGTCGAGTTGATGTCGCCCTCAGGCACGTCTCGACACCGCGAGCAAGTGACAGGCAAGACGCCCTTGTCAGCATCGTAGTTGCAGTACAGTGTTTTCTGTTGCTGCATGTTGGCGGTGCTGTGCGTTGTGTTGTGTCGCTGGGCAAGTCAAAGGCACTTGGGCAAAACAACATGGCAAGCTCTATTCACAACGCCGTTGGCATGGCCCCCAAAGCAAGCAGCACAGCCAACTCGAGATGATCCGCTGTTCCCCGTCGAACAAGCATCATTTGCGAATGTGCATCTCAAGCGCACCCTGCTATCACTTCCGCACCGTCACCACAGCAATACCTCGCAGACCCTGGGCCCACACCCTCACCCATGGGAGTATTCCTGGTCTATATATTAGACAAAATTCGTCGTATTATTACCCCTCCCCCACAGTTAAACAACTGCTAACGTAGCCCAGGTTGGGATGACCACCACCCCCGTGGTGTACAAATTCTTTTGCACTTTTTTGGGTGACCAGCGTGCCGGAGGACCCGCGTTCGAGTTTGGGTCTCTGCACGCGAGCGGGCTTCTTTTTTGCTCTATCTGCCCTTCACTCCCGCGGGCACTCTCCACTAAGACGTTTGTTCGTTTTGGGTGACCGCCGCGCTGGAGAACCCGCGTTCGAGTTTGGGTTCATGCGGGCAAGTGGGCTTCTTTTTGCTCTATCTGCTTTTCACCCATGCGAGCACTCTCCACCGTACGGTCTGCCAGTGTGGGCGATCAGTGCGATGGAGGCTCCGCGTTCGACTTTGGGTTTCCGCGTGCGAGCACTCTCCACTATTCCATCTGCCATCTTGGGTGATCGGTTGGACGGAGGCTCTGCGTTCGACTTTGAGGTCCCGCGTGCGAGTGCGTTACCTTTTTGCACTCCCTGTTGTTGAGACCTACAAGAGCACTCTCGGTCTATATGAAGCTCAAAATCCGTCGTATATTTCACCCCTCCCCCTCAGTTGAACAACTGCTAACTTAGTCCAGGTTAGGATTACCACCACCCGTGGTGTACAAATCTTTTTGCACTTTTTTGGGTGCCCACAGGCCCGGAGTTCGAGTTTGGCTCCCTCCGCGTGAGTGTGCTTCTTTTTGCTCACTGTGGCGTCACAACAGTGGCGTGGGGCTCCGCGTGAAAGCGCGGGGCTTTTGGCACTGAGCGGCGCGGGGCAGGCCCGCTGTTCGAGTCTCCGCGTGCGAGCCCGTTTCCTTGCGTTTTGCATCGGACATGGCCGCGAGAGCCCGCAGGCCTGAGCTGGAGGTCCGAGTCTCTGCGCTTCACATTCACACGGCGTCGAGCGCTCACAGATCCGAAGCTGGAGGTACTCAGTTGGGTTTCCCCGTGCAAGCCCGTTCGTGTTCACTTTGCATCGCGCTTGAGGTCCTCGATTCGAGTTCATCGTGTGGGCTGTTTCTGCGCACTTTGCATTTCACGGCTGCGAGAACTCGCTTGCACATCGTCACAGCGAGGGTACTGGAGGCGCGAAGCCCACGGCCCCGCTCTTGAGCTATTCACTTGCACTTTGCATGTCACAGCTTCGCACCCCACACGCGAAGTTCGTGGCCCTGCGTGTGAGACGATTGTATGCACTTCGTGTTGTCACGACAGCTGGAGCTTGCACACTCAAGCCGGAGGTGCCCAGTTTCAAGTCTGACCTCGTGAGCGCATTCGTTCTTGTAGCGGTTATGTTACGGCCATGCATTCGACGTGCGAAGTTCGCGGCCCACGCGTGAGGTGTTCCTTTGCACTGGGCGGGTATGTCACAGCCAGGCACTGCAGCTCTGAGCTGCGGGTGCGGGATTCGAGACTTCTCGTATGGGTGTTTTCGAGGCATCTTCACGCTCTTCGGCTCCTTACGCATTACGCGTTCTCACAGCGAGGGGAGGCACTCATTTCGAGTCTCAACGTGCGAGCGTATTTCTTCGTACACCTCGCATCGCACTCGAGATACTCAGTTCGAGAGAGAGCTCGCAGACCCAGCGGCGGAGGGAGGTCTTCAATTCGAGCTTCCTCGTGCAAGTGCATTTATCTTCGCACTTTGCATAACATCCAGGATCCTCAGTTTGAGGCTCCGCGTGTGAGCGTGTTTCCTGGTGCACTTCGCATCATCACAGCAGCGCAGCTCGCATTTGCAACCCCATCGCTGAACGTCTTTGTTTCAAGGCCTCTGGTGTGAGCTTTCCCCTTCCCGCACTTCACGTCTCTTGCACTTTGCGCCGGGCGCTGTAGGTGCGAAGTTGGAGCACCCTCACATGAGCCTGTTCCTGTCTACACGTTGCATTGTCACTGCACTTCGCATTATCACAGATGAAGGAGGCACTCAGCCTGAGTTTCCTTGCAATGGTGTGGGCCTTTTCGTGTTTGTACTACTACATTGCACTGGAGGTGCGACGTCGATGGCTTCTTGTGTAGGCGCGTCTGCTGCTGCACTCCGAAAAGTCAAGCAGTGTGCATCAACACGCCGTGTGTGTGCATCGTCACAGCCATGCACTGGAGGTGCTCAATGAGCCTCTTCATACTCGCGGTAGCATTCTCCTTCTTCCTAGTCTGCATCGCAGCGGATGTGCGAGGTCCGAGTCTCCTTGTGTGTGTGTGCGTGTGTGTGTGCATTTTTGTTTACACATCACGTCGTCACCCACTTCGGATCATCACAGCCAGGCTTGGAGATACTCAGTCAGAGTCTCTTCCTGTTCATGTAAGGCTATGACCTTTTGCACTTCGCATCGTTGCAGTTGGGCTTTGGATGTGCGCAGTGCTGAGACTCGGTGTGTGAGCTCACTTCTGTATACGCTTCGCGTTGTCACTTCGCATCATCACAGTCAGGCACGCGAGGTACCCTCCTGTCCATGCCTAGTTGTTTCTTTGCAGTCCGCATCATCATAGTCAGACACTGGCGGCGCTCAGTTGGAGTGCCCTCGCGTTAGCCTGTTTGTCGTTTCACCTCATCGTCGTCGTCGCCGCGATATCTCGCCGCCCCGGGACCCACACCTTGCTGTCTACAAGAAGCTTTCTTGGGTTATATATTGCGGTTGATTCGTCATATAATCACCCCTCCCCCTCTAGAGAATAATAGCTAACTTAGTCCAGGTGGGAGAAGCCACCGCCGGGGTGGCATATCCTTTTGCTGTTTTGGGTGACCATTGGGTGACCACGTCCCAGAGGTACTTGGTTCGATTCCCATGGTGAGACGCGTCTCTTTTTGCACTTCTGCGGCGTGCGGGGATGGCGTCTTTGTCAACGCCTTCTTCCAGCCACGTCACTCCTTCCACCAGTCTATTCTACGGACTGCAGGTTTGGGCATGCATTTTAGAGCTTTTCAGCCTTTTGCAGGAGTTCACCGGCGGTGCTGCGTTCTGCAGTCGCATCGTGTGCTCTTAAAAGGTCTACAACGTCGTTCTCGATACTGCGGTCTGCGACCAAAAAGCAATTTCGCTATGCGACTGCGGATGGTCTTGAAATGCTCGACATTACTATTCTACAGAGACGGCTTCAACGAGCTTTGAAAGCGCGAACTAACACCCCAGCGATTTCTACATGTCACAGCCTGCATCCAGCAAGTCCATCAGCCTTTCTTGTATCTCCTCATCGCCCTCACCCCGTTGCTCTTCTCGCATTCGCTCGAGGTCATCATCGCACTGCCCGTCTGCCGCTTCTATCTTTTCGAATCCTGGGCGCAGTAGCTGGAGCTCCGCGCACACAGCCCTTCCAATGTTGTCCCTTGCTTCAATGAATGCTTCGTGGCTCATGTCGAGAAGGAGGTCCTGGCGATCTTCACGACGAGGAAGCTTCTGCCACACCGCCTGATGCATCTTCGCAATTGCAATCTGCTCCATGGCAAATTCTCTATACGAGCGTGTGTTCTTCCGGCACCACCGATTGTCCTTGACCCACTCTGTGTACGTGTGGCCGAAGTCTTGCGTCTCTGCTCCTGCCGGATCCGCCCTCTCCCTCATGTAGTCAGAGTCTCGTAGACTCACCACCGTGTGTCCGTACTGCATCGAGGTCGCGTCGAGGGTCAGGCCTTCGGGGGATGGTGGCCAGGTGAGTGTCGGAGTGAGCGTGACAACCTGGTGTCTTGTCGCGATCTTGTAGGACCGCGACATCGGCGTGTACACCTTTTGCCTGTTGGGTGTGTCTTTCGGCCGGAGGTCCTTCTCGTCGATGCGCAGAGGTAGGTCTATGGGATTGATCAGCATGAAGGATACAGCGAGATTAGGGGCATGCTTACCCTCCACAAGCCAGCCCAGGACGGGAGTCAGCCATGCAACGCAGCTCCGGCATTGGTCGAAGCTCCAAGCGCCCAGGACCTCCGGCAGCAAGATGGCCGTGTAGTCCCACGAGTCTCCCCCGACGGTCTTCCTCCGTGCCAAGGTCACCAGCTTAAGGCCCTCGGCATCTACCTCAGCTGCAACCATGTGGGAGAGGAACAGGTTCGTCTGCAGGCACATGAAGAGCATGTTGTAGAGGGCGCCGACCCTGACCATCGACCGCCAGGTCCTCCTTGCCAAGCACTCTTGCTCGTGGCGGCTCTTGTCGGCGGAGAGGTGTTGGGAGGAGCAGTAATAGTGGCACGAAGCCCCGTCGAAGATGTCGTCCGTGGGGACGTCGCGGCAGGCTGGGCACGACGGGGGATTCCTGTCGATGGCGGCATTGCATCCGCGAAGCCCGCAGGCGTTGCGGCCGGGGATCTGCATGGCTGCGTGGTGAGGTGGATGAAGAGGAGGTGCGTTCTGTGCTTGACGTGCGTTCAGAAGCTCGAGGCTCTGCGGCGTGGGGTCGGCGACAGGAAGTGATGGCGAATGCAAACGCTTCTTCACACCGACCCACGCACCACACGTGACGGCTCGCAGATTTCGAACACAGCATTAGATTCGGTCAAGAAATGTCACAAATCTCAGGCAGATACATGGCAGAGTCAGAAATGGTGGTATTACAAAGGTATCTACAGAAGTGCTTCCAGCCAGACCACTTGCGCAGCAAAGCGTTCAAGAAGCCGAACGCCCTTTGCTACTCTCGTAGCTCAGCGTGTACGCCTCGTGGCCAGGCCCATCGCAATCCCGCACCAGCCGCGCGAGGTCCTCGAAAAACAGTGCGTCGGGGCCGAACTGGACTTGCTCAAGCCCGCGCCGCAAGCCCTCCATCTCCGTCTTCACCGCGCCCCAGATCCTCCTCTGTGCTTCTTCGAAGCCGTTGTCGTGCATCGCCAAAAGGCGCTCCACGCCCCCAAGCTCCGCCAGCTCTCGCGCCATGACGTTGTTGGTGGTGCGGATTATGCAGGCGATTCTGGTTCGCTGCCAGACTTCGTTCTCGTCCTCTTCGTCCTCTTCTTTCTCTTCTTCCTCCTCTTCTTCCTCTTCTTCTTCTTCGTCTTCGTCCTCTTCTTCTCCTTCGTCTTCTTCTTCCTCCTCCTCCTCCTCCTCATCCTCCTCTCCTTCATCCATCTCCGCTTCAAAGAAGCCGCCCAAGCGGAAAACGTTCCCACCCCTATCGACATCAACTTTCGCCCGGTGGTACTCCTCCAGCGTCTCCACCCCACGCTCGAAGGAGTATTGGGCGAACGAAGCGTCCGCCACGATCCCCTCTTCCCTGTTCAGCCAGAACACCAGCACCGTGTGCGCGTACTCGGTCTTCGTGTCGCTGCTGGCACCCACGAACCGCAGCTTGACCTCGCGCACCGGCTTCGGCGCCTGGTACGTGACCTCCTCGACCCACAAGCCGGCGACTACGTCTCATTAGCACAGTCACAGCACGCAGCACCGCCCCCTCGGGGACGGCGTCGGGGGAAAAAACGTACTCCGCGCGCACTCCGCCAGCCACAGCGTGTTGAACACGACGACCGCGACGCACTTGTTGATGCTTACGAACGCGTTCCTGATGGCTTCGGGCTCGTCTGGCTCGAACAGCGGCGTCGTGGTCAGGGGCGCGGCGCACTTCTGCGCCAGCAGGGTGAGGTGGGAGGGGGTGACGGTCGAGGTCATGAGGACCTCCGGGCAGGTGGCGTGCAGCTGCCGCATGGCGACGCCGTTGTAGAGGGAGGCGAGGCGGCGGGCGTCGCGCGTGGTGGTGTGGGGGGATGAGGCAGGTGGTGCTGCTGGTGGTGCGGCGGGTGGTGCTGCGAGTGGTGCTGCAGGTGCGGAGGGTGGCGCGCTCATGGTGGCGGCGGGTGGAGAGAATATGTGAGGGTGTGAAGGTGGTTGCAGGTACTGCAGCAATGTGTCTCGCGGGCTCTGCGGCACTGCGTCGAGCTGCTGCTGTGCTGGTGGTGAGTCTCCAGGTATGTCTTGGCGCGGGCCTTAGCGCGGAAATGCGACCATCTGAGCTGCGAACAGCATTAACCGAAGCTCGACGGCGCATGTTCTGTAGATTTTGCTTGGAGACTATTTGTTCTGAAATCAGGAGCAATGCGCTTGATGAGCTCTCTACGGAATTCGGGGTGAAAAAGATTTTGAGGTTTTGGTGCTGAACATTGCCTTTGAGCAACTTCGTGCTGATAGCTACGGATGCAGCCCATCATACTGGCACACAAGAGAGTTCCCATCAGTATTATGATTCTCAGCGCTTTGGGGGCGTTCAGCATATGCTGAAAGCGTTCATGATGGCGGTTCTAGGGGGTGGGGGCAACTGCTTTGGTTTCGCAACACGGTGCATCTATCTACGGTGCTTCAAGCTACGACAATAATTCATCTCCGTATACGACCGAGAGCAGTTTCACGAGAGCGATGTTTCCTGGCCCCTGAGAGGCAGTCACCAACTCCCAAAAGCCTTCTCGACGGCGCTCACCGGTGTAGCCACGACCCTCGAGTTCCTCCACCTCTGCCATCAGCGTCCTCATCCGGTTTTCAATCCTATCCACGATGTCACCCTCGATCCGCAACCAAGTCTCATCGTCCGCCGACCTTACCACCTGGGGCCCTCCCGCCTCCTCCACCCGCTCGTACACGATGTTGTTTGTGTGCCGGACCACCGCCAGACACACTGCTGGCCAGTTCGCGCTCCCCACTCTCCCCGCTCTCCACGACTCCACATACACGCGGTGCCGCACATACGCCTGGCCATAGCGCTGCCTCGAAGGCCGACACAGCTCTCGCACCCGCGGCGCCGCGTCCCGGTACGCATCCGGGTAGTCGTCGCTGAAGCGCCAGCCCTGCGCGTGCCCATACTGCGGCGCCGTAGGGTCAAGCATCACCCTCCCCAGCAGTTCCGACGAGAGCTGGAACATCGAGTGCTTCTGCGCCAACGACTCGGCGTGTATGCGCGGCGCGCCGTCCGCGGGCGTGCAGTCCACGTTAACGAACATAATACGCTGCGACGCCAGCGCGCCACGGAAATCGATTTCCTCAGCTTCCCAAGCTTCTAACGCGGGATTTAGCAATGCCGGGATGTCTTCGCACGAGAATTACGTACCGCCACCAAGGTACGCGAGCACACCAGCCAGCACTCGCATCGCTACAATACACGAATTAAAGCACACCGCGATGTCCCGAATCCGCACGCTCACCGGACTCACGTTGCCCCCGTTTGCAGCGCGCAGTAGGCTCGTGCTGCCCCGCCACAGCACCAGCGTGCCATTTGGCAGCTGCGTGCTGCCCAGCGTGCGGTCACACATGTACCACTTGCCGGTCACCAGGAGCAGCTTGTTTAGCAGGGCGTCGAAGCGGACGAGTTCACGCAGCTGGGCGAGTGCGTGGGCGTGGTGCTCGAGGCAGAAGGGATGTGGGGTGGCGCGGGCGAGGGTGAGGGAGGTGGTTGCGTGGCGCTGGCAGTGGGGAGCACTGCAGGGGAGGCGGCGGATGCAGGGGCCGAAGGGGAGCGTGATGCAGAGCATGGTGATGCATATATGGTGCGATATGCTGGCGAGGCGCTCGTGGTTGGCAGGTCTGATGGTGGGCAACTCTGGTGGTGGTTGTGGTACGGGCGAAGATGGTATCCGCACGGACACCTTGCAATAGCTGCAGTGTCAATGTCTCTATGTCAATCAGCGCAGAGCCGGGTGTCAGCACAGCTGTAGGTCATAATCAATGTAGTATTCACGGTGTACGAGGATCACAGTACGGCGGAGACAGTGCAGTGTATGGTAGTGGTCCATGTCATTCGACCTCCGTGAACGTGTGCTGCGCAATAGTGTGAATGCCTCCATTGACATAACCGCATGGTCATATATGCGAGCCAACTCCTGACATCCTGTCATCGACGCATTACATTCTTATTTAAAGGCTTTCAAGCCTGTTGCCCTGCAGTGCAGTGCGTGCGGGTCAAAGCCAGCGTAGTGGAGGCTGCATCACTGTTCAACGCCATACCCCAAGGTGCAGCTACCAGCACATGCATGCGTAACAGCCTTCACATCCAAATTGCGATTACATGTAAGCCTGTTTGCGTCAGTGATTGAGGTCACCCAGTGCGAGCAAACTGACACAACGTGTGCAGATATCGACAAAGCCAGTTCGCATTCGACAAAGCGTGTTTTACAACACGGATTTAAGTATTGATAGCTGCATTGAGAGAGATATTGGTCCGCCGTCATAGCAGCCTTGTGCAAACCGAAGTGCGCGTACGTATAACCCGTAGCGCGATCCTGTCTCTCGAGCTCCAAATGCCTTAGCCAAACCCCGCAAGCTCGAGCACACAATCTTCACCAAATCACTCCACGCCCGATACCTGCACCCGAGATACCTGCTTTGGCTCACTATCTTCCCCTCGTCACGCACGCTCTCGCTATCTAACTCCAGAAGCAGAACCCGCAGTACGCCCCTCCAGCGTCTCCGCCTTGCTTCCACCCGACACACCCCCCACTGCCAACAATACGGCGAGAGCAATGGCGCCTGTTGAGTTGTTTCGACACTTCCCGTTGTAGTATAAAGCTGACTCCCACCTTGAGTGCTTAGTCGCCAAGCTGCTTGCTCGCATCCCCGTACCCCCCGCCGCGGTAACGAAATAGATACACGCTCGCGTCCTGATCGCCACCCACACATCCTCCTGTTAGACTTCCTACAGAAAGACAACGGTATATGGAGAGATAGACGGGCTGCTAAGGCTCCGCCCACACCTCCCGGTAGCACAGATGATGGCTTGCTGGGGCGCGGGAAGCCTATGCTGCTGAGTCTCCTGACAGGCATTGGGTGCGGATTTCTTATGCGGTAGGGCTGCAAGGGGCATAAAGAAAGCTTTATGGGCTTCTGTTGCTGCTGCTGTCCGTTGGTAGCATACTCTGGCGGCGCCAGTCCACCAGTACCCTCCGCTCAGAGCACCAGCTCGAGGACTGCAGGCTCACGAAGCACAAGCTGACCACAAGCTAGTCACCCAGATCTGTTCCGCAAACATACGCAGGCTCTCACATTTCCGTCGACGCGCTCGGGATCCGACTCTACTGCGAACACACCGGCCCCTTTCGATGGGTACATCAGATGCAGCTCGACTCATAACTCTTGTGCTGGACTGCTCGGGTAAGGAGATACAAGTGCACGGCGAGCGCTTTGGTGGAGATGGTATGAGCAAGTGTGTTTTGCTTTGCGATGCAGGTAACTGGGGCTGAGGAAGGGGACACAAGGCAACAGGAGATATTGATGGGGGAGATTGGGAGAGAGATAAATGGGATGCGTGCGAGGTCTCTGTCTCGTAATTGTGTAACACTTCAGTGTCTTAGGATTAGATACACGTTCGAAGTCTTGGTATCCCAGTACCCTCGCATCACTATGGTCATATGATTTGTCGATTTCGTAACTTCGATGTGTCTTGAAGCTCGACCTTCGAGTTCGATTGCACTGCTGTCACCGCATAGTGCGGAGGCATACCTTCGGTAACTACGCAACTTGCAATTGCGGCGAGCCGATTTTGATCTTGCTGAGGATAGAAGTGATCCGGCAAAGCTAAATTCGTGCGCGCAGAGCGGAGTGGTGTAGCATTCTGTTTGCGAGCACACAACACAACAATGTCACAAACGTCTCGCGCTGCTTGGCGGATAATGACTGAGGCATCATGCATTTACAAGAAGTCTTTCAAAGGCAGCTGGCACACCGAAGGGCAGCCGGCATATCAGAAGACTCTTGTTGCTAATCACAGTCACTGGCAGTGCGAAGTATTGAAGTTCGTCCTGCCACGCGCCGCCGATGCGGCACACCCCCCGCCCCTTCACCGAGGACCAAAAAAGCGCAAAAAATAATTGTTCTACCCAAGGGTTCGAACATTGGACCTTTGGTCACTAATAGAAACCTAAATGTCACGGGTTAGCACTCTCAGTGTTCGAACAATGGAGAACAGAACGCAAACTGAACGCAACAACTAACTACTTCCAACACAGTGGATCAACAGTCCTTCCCTCTGACTGCACCAATAGATGAACGATTTATTAAATACATATAGTGAGCTTAAAGAACATGTGGGGTACTGGTGTAGTGAATCGGGCGTCAAGCGAGATGATGTGACGACACTGGCTACATTGCCAGGGCCACCCTCACTGCCATGAGAATCGCCGAGAGTCTTTCCCGCGGGACTCTCAGCGCTGCAGTGTGCCTTATTCGATCATTTGATTGCGGCCTGAACAGTACTGGCTGTGGTAGCGAGCTTCGATATCAATTCCATCACTGCAGCTCGACATCTGATCTGGTGACACTGGCAGTACGCAGCAGCCTTATAGCTGCAGTGCAGCTTGCATACAGACCATGCATTTTGGATCGAAATAGTGTTCACCGTGTGTTGTTTTGGTCACTAGCGTCCACAAGTTGCAGGTGAATATTCGTTTGTGGGTGTTGCACCAGCTCGGCCTTAGCAAAACCACTCTCTCACTCCCCACACACAAAACCACCCACTCTCGATACAGGAAACTTTTGCTGAATCCCTTCGCCTGAGACGAATCGAGAGTTAGCAGTCACCAGCGCTGCCCCTTGAGCGGTTCCTGGCCGTCTCACCCCTTCTTATTGAAGCTGCCCTCGACATGCTGCATTTCCACCCGCATGTCCCTTCGGCCACGCGACTGTCTACCAACAGCTTTACCTTCTTCCCTCCCAGCATCAAGGTATGGTAGTTCACTCGCAGCTACACTGCCTTCTCAAGTACCTCTTTTGCTGACCTCGACAGTCTCTTGCCTTCGCACCGCGAGGCACACTGCGCGGTCCGCAAGATGAATCAGTGCGATCACTTATGTCTGTTCCTGGACGCCGCACTCTGCCCCGAGCTCGAAGGTATGCAGTCAAATCAGCGCACATGACAATTCACTGACCATGTTTGCAGAGCTGAACCTTGGGTCAAGCCGTTGGGTGCGGTTCACTCCCCTCCCTCGCACCCTCTACCACATTCCTCCCATAGCGCATCTCAAAGCTCTGAACATCGAACTCCTGCCGCCACGCTACGTCTCTGAGATCACGATCGCCCACGTTGGCAAGCTGATTTTGGACGGCACCTCAGAGCAGTCTGGGTGCAGCGACTCAGGCTGCACCATGGCTTTAGGCATGGTCGAGAAAGGTTCTGTCAAGGGGAGAGTCGAGATGACTCTGTCCAGTGACGACAAGAAAATTGAGCGGTGTAGTACATACTGGACAAAGAGTTTGGTGTCCGAAAGGACAAAAAGATGGAGGCCCGGCAGTACCTGGGTCGAAAGGGAGGACCCAACCGGCCACTGTCGCCAAGCCAGGGGTAAGCAAAGCTGAACTGTGCTGGAGAAAGACGATATACAGACTTGAGGCTAACATTTACAGCGCAATCTCAAGCGCTTCGCCAGCCAAAGAGACGACATCTACGACGCAGCACCGTCGCCAGCCAAAGAGACGACATCTACGACGGTGCTGCGTCGCCAGTCAAAGAGACGACATCTACGACGGTGTTGCGAAGGCAAGGAATTTGGACAAACAACACCATAATCAGACTGCAAGATGTACCACGAGGGCAAAAAGTTGGAACCAAATCTTGTCAACTTGAGGCCTGGCGAATTGAGGAGCTAGATGGTCTTGCCCTCATGGCTGATCTTATGACGGTCTTGCCCTTATGGCTGATCTTGTGATGGTATAGACACACAGCTATGCTCTATCCGCAATGAGACTATTTACAACTTTTTACGTCGCCGTAGGTGCCCACTTGCTCTTCGCTCTTATCTTTGCGCCGTATATGTAAAACAGTATGGGCACTGGTAGAAATGCAACGCACAGAAAACCCAGCAGAGTGGTAGCCCAAGGCACGCCTAAGTTACGATACATTGCGTGAGTGAACAGCGGAAAGAAAGCTCCAGCGAACGATCGAATGAAGGTGTTGACGGCAATAGCACTGTTTGAGTAGAACCCGTAGCAATCAATGAGGTAGCTGAGACCCTGCCAGAAAGGTACCATGCAGCCCATACCGATGAGTGCTACAGAAAGAACCTGCGGTACCCATGTGATGTTCGGGTTGCTCGTCCACGCAAACCTATGTAGTGTCAGCTGCGGACTCTTTGGCATCAGGGAAGAACTCACCAGAACAATCCGACAGGAAGCGCAATTGCACCCACGATCATCGGAGGTAAGCGCTCTTCTGGTATAGACTTTCCATGCTTCTTGAATGAGCGTGTGAAGTTGGTTGCTGTACTGTAAGCGATGACCCCAGCGCCAATCACGATGCCGACGATAAAGGCGCCGAAGGGGAGCTGCGAGACGCCGAGAGACCAGCCGCGTTCGTTATGGAATGATACTGGGAAAGCCTCGAACAGCAGGTATACGATGCCATACAAGAAGCTCATATATGCTGTCACAAGCGCTAGAATCGGCTCTTGGATGATCATGATGAAAGGCCTCAGAAGATAAACATTGACCACAGTATGCATCGTCAGCTTCTGCTCGTCAGCCTTGGAGTGGTATGCGTCGCCAGTTTCTTTGCGTAGTTTGGCAGCTCGCAACTGCAGGATTCGCGCTGCTGACGTCTCAGGAATGACGACGAAGCCGATGCAGCCGAACAGCCCAGCCATGATCAGCGTGATCCAAGATGTCCACCTCCAACCAAGGTACGACTGCGTGATGAATCCTCCTGCGATAGGACCAGCAACGGGCCCCGCGAACCCTCCAGTTGCAAAGACGCAGATGGCGTAAGCTCGTGGAATGGGATCCCAGAGGTCGGCAAGCGCTCCTCCAACGACAGCGAGAGGTGCCGAGGCAAAGAAGCCACCGAGGAAGCGGCCAACGCAAATCGTCGCGATGTTCTGTGCGAGTGCTACTGGGATCTGGAAGATGGCGAACAATGCAAAGCCGAAGAAGAGAGGAGGTTTGCGCCCGAGAACTTCTGACATGGGTCCAAACGCGATCGGTCCAAATACGAAGCCCTAAAAGCGACTGTTAGCATTTGCGTATTGAAATTTTAGCGAGACCTACCAAGACAAAGAGAGCGACACCGAGAGTAGCCGTGACGAGATCAACGTCAAACATGTCCACGATAACGCCGATGTTGACACTGAAGATAGAACTCGCGAATGTCACAGTGAAGACCATCGATCCCATCGATATCGTGATTGCCCATCTGCGCATTGGAGTCCAGTTCTTCGGGTTCCCAGGGTCATTGGGGCCGTCGAATTCCACGAAGAACCTGTCTGGTACAGGCCCGCTGGAGGTATCATTCGTCTCACCACCCTTTTCGACATCGATTATCGCGCCGTTGGAGACATCCTGGTCTTCCTCGCTCTTGCGTGGCGTATCGCTGTTGCTCACCATTGTCGTCTTCGATCGGTTGGAGGGTGTGCGCACCGGCGGGGTGCTTGTTGTTGCCGGCATAGCAAACCTGTGTCAAGTAGCACTTGCCAGCTTGGAACAATGGTTGGGTACTCTGGAGTTATGTAGCAACAGCTGCGGCACGTTGCGCGTAGTGCGTGTCGTTATTCCCGGGTCGTGTGCAATGGTAAGCGTCCATCAGCGTGCGGTTCTGCGGCAGCCGCCGTGCGCAAGCACACTGTCAAACATCAGACCATTCCCTTTACCTTGAGACACAGAAGGGAAAGCCACTCTTATTGGGCTTGATAAGAGATAATTGTGGCACCCGTATCACGAGTACAACTGATGAGACGTGTTGAGGCTCTCGCTGGGCAGCTGGAACGTCATTGATGTTCGCGCGCTTGCCAGATCGGGACGGGCCGCTCTGACAAATGCATCTATCTTTCTACGGGTTTTGGCGAAAAGTCCGTCATCCAATGCAAGTTCCATCTACAAGTTCATCAAAACATGTGCTGGACATAGCTCCTCGGCCCGCTCTCATCTTGTTATCTCCAGTGTGCGCTTCTTTAGCCTCAGACAACGCCGAGCCTGACGAAACACACTTCGCCTCTTAGTTTGCCTGAGAACATATGTCATGTCTCGTACCTGTAGTCTTCCGAGGAGCATGTCGTATCCCACTAAACCCTTGGTATTTCCAATGTTCTTCTCAAGTCAGCTTCCAGATTATGGCATCCGGCGCCTCCGAATCAAGGAACTCGCTACCATTTTCTTCGCCGCACAGTTCCCAACCACGAAGAGAGAGGGGTGCTCTGTCTTGTGTAGGAGAAACATCCAAGTTCGATCCCGGGGCGCCGCGAAAGAGTGGGCGCCAGTCGTCCAAGCCTCTGATATGGAGCGCTACAGACATCACGTTGACCACCCATGGTCCTGGGTTTGAGTTCTGGCCGGGAGCGAGGCAGAGCTCCCGTGTCTCCGGGTTGTGATCATCGTGGGAGCATATATCGGGGCATATCAGGCAAGTCAATCGTACAGCGAAGGGCCCAACCAGATCGCGTGTGGTACGAGTTCTGTACATGCCTGTTTGCACGCGATACTGCGTCACTGGGCCATGGCTCTTCTCATCTTCGCTGATGTAGAGAATGAGTTGTCGCAGATACGAAGCGAAAACTGGTCCGAGGTGTTCCAATTGTGACCTCTGCCCTCGAAAAGGTTTGAGGATTTGGCGAGGGATATTTAACTCGACACGAGATAGTGTCACGAAGCTGTTGAGATGGATGGCTGGAGGCGAACTTCCCAGTACGATCATTTTCCCGGGAACCTTCAGTGCTGCAGCCTGTACTCGATGCTCAAGCTCATCCTCCATCTCACACTTGATCTGCTTGCCAGAAAGAAACAGACCGGCAACAACTGAGTCAAGAGACCGAGTAGGGCATTCGAAGACCAGCGAGTAAATCATGTGGCGCACCTCTGGTGGCAGAAGAAAGAGCATCTTGGAGGGAAATAGCAGGGGAATCCTACTATAGCTTGCTGTTTGTGGTAATCTAGAGCAACGCGTGCGCTGAGGGTTTGTTTAGGCGGGCTCAAGCGGCACTGCCAAGCTAATCGTCTGCGTCTGCCCACGTTCACCACAACACTCTCTATTCTATCGCTTCTGCTTCCCAAAGCTTGAATTACCTTCATCTTCAACAGTATCATCAAGCTCCAAAATGAGCAAGCTTCCGCGATCATATCGTGTCCTTTTCCGTCACCTCTTCTTCAAGACATCCACAAACAACAGCTTCCTCGAGCTTCCGAAAGAGATCCGCACTCTCATCTACCACTCCATCGCGCCCGACGCTTTCCTTCCCGGCGTGCCTCACGTCGCCTACATCGGTCTCCTGTACTCCTGCCAGCAGATCTGTCGCGAAATGGCCTTTGAGTCACTGCGTGCCATGCCCTACATCCTGGACCGCCTGCAGGAAGCCCAACTCGCAGAGGCCATAAAAGCACCTCCAAGGTTCCCCGTCAACGCCTTCTGTCACATAACAAACGTGCAAACAGAACTCCCCTTCACAGCCCTCTTCAGCACCGCCGAGCAGCTCTCCAAGCTCGCCTGGCTAGAGCCACTGCTCAAGCTGCACCTGACCAGCTTCACAATCACCCTCCAGAGCACCATATCCAGTGAGACGCCCACCTACTATCAAGTCGCCCCCTTCGCTGCCCGCATCAACTGCCTCCTTGCCCCGCGTTTGTGCCTCCTCGACCACTACAAGACACACAAGTGCTGCGTCCGCCGCCTAGCCAGCGACCCCACCATCAACACTGCGCACCTCGAGACCCTCCAGCAGACTGTGTGCAACGTGCGGATCGTCCGGCTGCATTTCCCCCAGCTGAACGCGGCACAGACACTCACCCGCTGGGTATTAGCGAAGGGTCCTACGCGCGAGAAGAACGAGATGAGACAGCACGGCTGGGATATACAGGAGCGCGTTGTCCGTGGAGAAGGCTCACCTCACGAGGTCGAGATCACCTGGAAGAAGATAGAGGACGGCGCCCGGGGACGGTATAAGAAGATTGGTGGGCTGTTGAAGGGGCTTGGCAAGCACAAAGCGGGCCGATGATGGATTGTCGCTCGAGCGACAATTTCGAGAAAAGATACACGCGTGCTACTACGAGTCACATCAACGTACCCAGCAGGAGGTTCACAATCGGTGGAATTACGAGCAAGCTGCCAAGCGGGCCTATTTCCACGTAACAGGGTTTGAACACACCGCCCGGAGAATTCACACACGGGAGGCTCTCATCTTGAGAGAAGATCTATGCCTTCTACTACGAGTCCTACCAGCGGACTCAACAAGAAGTGCACAATCGGTGGAACTACGAGCAAGCTATCAAGCGAGCTGACTTCCATATTACGGAACTTGAGGATACTGAGCTGGAGAACTGGCGCAACTATCTCGATTTTGAGGAGAAGCAGGGTCATTTTGAGCGCACGTCCTTTTATGCTTTTTATTATGAACCCAATCGGGGGAATTACGAGCAAGCAATCAAGCGAGCTTACTTCCACGTTACGGAACTTGAGGATACTGGAGGATTCGCACACGGGAGGCTCATGCCTCCGCAACAGGGAGACCACAGGAAGGTGCTAGACAATCTGTACACGTTGATGACGTTGTCGTTGCTGAGTGCTGTGCGGTCTGGATGTACCAAGCGGTTATTAGCAAACATTATATTTCATAACAAGAATCTCTATGCATGGCTCGCAGCAATGAAGTTTGCCTATTCTCATATGACAGCGAGCGTGACTACGAAACACGAATTGCAAATGCACAGGACAAGGTATTGGCAATGATTGCATTGATTAATGTCATACATTGTGCTTCATCGTCCTTAGTGTAGACGTGAGGAGCCACTGCCCTGTTCGGGGATCCGTTGAGAAAAGAAAATGCCGTGAAACCGTCGCTGTTTTGTTCGCCATTGTCACCATGTAAATGCAGGCCTAAGCCGATAGCCGTACGCCAAAAAGATGCAGTTAGTGTACAAGTTCACACACGATATGTCAGCGGAAGCCTAGGAAAGATCCATGGGTTCGCCGGTGGTAGCACCGGCCGCCAGCTGGTAAGGCGCGGGGTGGGGGATACAGTCATGGCCAGGCGTAGTCGGGTGCTTGAACATGGTTTGCACAGGCGGCGCGGGAACGTTGATTCCAGTGTTCATACCCCCTTGTTGCTGTCGTACCTGAGGTGAGGCCATGTAGCCCCAGATGGGCGGAACACCATAGCCGGTGGGTGTTGACGGAGTCGCTGGGGTTGAGGACTTGCGACCCTTGTTCTTAGGACCACCTCCACGCTGAGCTCGAGGGGCTGGGAAGCACGCGTTCTTCACACGAGTTTGGAACTCCGTCGCGAAGTTATCAAACGGCTTTTTCAGTTCGGTGGTATTCCAGCCAAGCTTGTTCTTCATGCATTCAGACTTTCGATGACTGATTGTGGAGCCTTCGATGCGAATGCCGTTGTTCTCCCAGCGCCTGCAGACGTCTGATCTGGAAAGAATGAGAAGAACGACAAGCAAGCTCACGTTGTCGTTGTCGAGAAGGTGAGGGCAGTAGTCGCAGACATTACAAGCAAACTCGCGCATTGCCTCAAGCTCCTTGGTGTCTGAGCAGTTGACAAAGCGTTCAGCCATAGAGAACGGTCGCACCATGTCCCTGCAAATGTGGGATTGGAGAGTGGAAGCGACGGAAGAAACTGAAATCGGGTACGTCTCCTCGCGGTTCAGTCGGCTTGTAGCTGCTGCAGACACGGTTCCTGGAATGTAGATGATCTCAATGTCGTCCCAAGGGCCACGATCGATGCGCAATTCTTTCGCTGGCTTATCGCCAGCTTCTTTCACGGTCTCTTCATGGGTCGCAGCAGCTTCGCGCGCAGCTCGGACAGCTTCTCTGGGGGTGGGAACGTTGAATTTGGATGCCAACTCGATGGAATCTTTGTGCATTTCAAAGCGGGAAAGCTTGCGCTCGACGTCTGGGGCACGGATCCAGTCCTCTGACCACGGCTCTTCGGCAAGGATCTTATAGAAGACTTTGGTGAGAGCACGAAGCTTGATCTCCTGATCAGAGAGCTGGCGACGAGCGAAGTAAAGCTCATCGGTCTCATTGTACGCGTTCTCAATGAAAGTCTTACGGTCTTTTTGAGTGAGGCTGCCCCTAGCAGGATCGTTCTTCCAATCGTTGATGACTTTCATAAACTTGGCGTGGAAGATGTCATCGAAATGACTTGACACAGGCTGAGCTGATGCTGGCATGTTGTAAGCATGTGACAACAATGTTACTGTGAATGGATTGAACTTACGAGCTATCGCCTGTGGTGTCGACTGTGTTGGTGGCGGAGACGCTGAGGCAGCCGCGTCCTGCGTGATTGGTGCAGGCGACATGATGAAGCTCGGACGCGGGAATGCACGAAGCTACCCGAGGAAGGAACGATTTGGTATATTGCACGCTGTCTCAAGTCGCTGTAATGACCGTAATGTTAATGAAATCCGATGGCGTTGACGCGCGATTACTTGTGTTGCGCTGATAGACGCGGGGTGGTTGGGGCGCTCTAGCTCGGGTTGCGGTGTGAAAACATCGCCCACAATTCACAGTCGCGTAATTAGGGGCTTGGCGAACGATGCATTGACAGATCACGTGTTGCATGCTCCATCGAACAGCCACGTCATACCCCAAGACACAGGGCTCCCGCCATCTCAGGTGTCATGTTGTCAACAATTTGTGTATGTCTGCTATTACTGAGAAGCCAACCGTTCTTGCCGCACCCCAGGAACGTATCAGCGGGTGTGATGTTGCAGTGAGCCCCAAACCCTAACACAAGGGTACACAACACGCCGAAAACGCGCCGACTACGCGCTGCTCGCTCCCAGTATCGGTGTGTCGATCCGGGGTAAGTAGTGAAACCCGAATTCTCACATGGAAGCGATGAAGGAGTCGTCAAACAAGAGCTATGGGCTTCCGCCGCGTCCCGGTCTTGTTGGTTTTCCATTGCAAGGGTTAGAAACGGTGTTTCGAGAACAAATATGTAAACTTAAATTGCGTACCTAGGTACACGTGGAAGCTGCACGATGGAAAGTTGCACCACTTGACAAATGCAGTACAGGTGCTCTCGAACGTGTAGCTAAGCATCAGTTCATACAAGCAACATAAAATGTAGATGAATCTGCTTGATGGATACAGTTGTACTAGAAAGAGATGAGTCCGTTCAGAGAGGGGTCTGCTGTGAGGCGATGCAGAGTCAGTGGAGCAAATCACTCATCTCAACACGGACGTGAGCAGCACCAAGTCTATTGCTACACTACTATTGAACCGTCTCGAGCAGCAGCGGAGGCGATCAGCGTGGCCCGCGCCTTCATCTCGACCTTGCTCCGCCGGCGAGGAGGCACGCAGTGCCCATCTTCTCCGCGACGACACACCAACCCACCACTCTACTCCTCATCCTCTGCGTCCTGCACCATTGGTGCGCGAGAGAGGGGCGAGGAAGACCTCACGGCACCGCGGACGCGGACCGGCGGGGGGGCAAACACGGTCTGGGAGGCGGGCGCGGAGAACGGCGCAGCAACGACTCCCCCAGCGCCCTGCCCGAACTCAGCCAGCCTGTGCTCGAGGTAGGCGATGCGGTCGCCCTGCTCGTCGTTGGCGCGCATCTGGTCCTGGTACGCGATGGTGATGTAGTCGTACTCGGCGTGGAGGCGGTCGAAGCGGGTGTTGAGGCGACGGATCTCGTCGTTGGCCTCGCGGACGGCGTTGTTATGGGTGAGCTTGAGGGTGGCAATGTGCTTGCGATGGTTTGCTTGCACGTCGAGCAGTGTCATGTTCTGCACTTGGATGACGTTGCGGGCGAGGTAGTCGAGGACCGCTGTCTGCCTGAGGCGCACGTTGAAGACGACCATGATGACCACGATGGACAGCGTGATCACGAGGCTGGCTTCGCGGTCGGTGATGTAGGTGGTCTGTTCGGGATTAGAATACTTGATCAAGCATTAGAAGCTTGACGATGCTGCACTTACGGTGCGCCAAAGGGCGAAAACGAAGCCCGAGAGCCAGGAGCAGACGACGGCCACGAAGATCTCGAGGTTGGTGAGCTTCATGATGTGTGTGAAGGGAATTTGGTGTACTGTAGTGGGATTTTGTAGTGGCAGTGCGGTGTTTGTTGTGCAGTTTGGCGCGCTGCAAGTTGATTATGACTATGCCTACTTGGCACGGACTCCGTCTATCACCTGGCCTTGTTCCAAGACAATAGAACAGCTTGCAAGTGTGCCAGGAGCTATTGCACAAGGTCTAATATAAGCTCTCTTTGACTCTACCTGTGTGAACCGGAAGGCATGTGCTGCACGCAGTAGCAAGTCAGTGACGAAGCTCGATTGTATGCACTCACCATTTTGCACGCACTCACCATCACCTTGATAAATCCTGCCCCGCGCGTACACTCGAGCACCTTAACACCCATCACGCTCGACCCGCAAACAGCATACCACAAAGACCTCCAGCTCTCCTTTGCCGTCTCACCACCGCCATCCCACCACCCACCATGTCTGTAAGTGCACGTCTCTTGAACGCGCTTTGATCGGCTGCCCATTCAAGCCTGTCCCAGTCAAGCCCGTCTCAGTCAAGCTCGTCCCTGTAACGAACTGACACCCTCCACAGTCCCTCTGGCCCGCCATCGCCGCCCTCATCACCTTCATTGGACTCGCCATCATGGCCGTCCTCCACTTCTGCTGCTGCCCCTCCTTCTCCTCCACCACCTCCCCCTCCCCTGACTACAACGACGACGACGACGAAGAAGCACTCCGCCGCCCCAGGCGCTACCGCCGAGGACCTCCCCAGCACGGCCACTTCAACGCCGACTTCAACTTCGGAGCAGGTCGCGGCACCAGGGCCGTCCAAGGCTCCGCGGCAAGCTCCCAAATCTCTCCGCGCACGGTGTCGGCGAGGCCCGTGGAGTCCTCCTCGCCCGCCTGCCTCTCGCCGCACACGCCTTCTCGTCCTGCTGCCGCCCTCCCAGATCCCTCTGCGCCGGCCCGCCCCTCGCCTCCTCGTGCCACCACCGCCCTCCTGGAGTCCTCGTCGGCCGCCCTCCTCTCGCCCCACACGCCTCCCCGCCCTGCTGCCGCGCCCCAGGAGTCGCCGTCGTCGGTGTACTCGCGTGCCACGGGCGGGGAGTAGGACTGCTGGAGTGAGTCCAGGGACGTCCGGGGATGGTGTAGAGCAGGGCGACGGGGCGTGACTTCAAGTCGAAAAGGGTGACTTCTGTGGGGAAGAAACTAAGTAGATGTAATGAAGGCGTCAAAGTGGAGTTTGCTTGTTCTGTGATGTGCTCTGATGTGAATGTATGCGTTTTAGGTTTGTGTTTGTTGGCGGGAAGTTGAAGAATTGATACTGTTGACGTACGCTGTCATGGCCTTACTATGGCAACTACGACATCGAAGGAATCAATGAACATAGCGAACGTGGGGATATAAGCCTATCGTCAGCTACGAGACCAACAAATCTTGACGGCATCTTGACGATAGGACATTGAACATGTGACGAACGATCACCGATGTGATGGAAAGAGCAGAGTTCAGAAATCAAACTTTTATTGAAGCATCTCGACGTATCGCGGTCACCTCAGAAATATGGTAGACAGAAGGAGAAGCTCACTTACCTGATGACAGCCAGCCATACGGTACGGTCCTAGCCCTCATCCGTACGTCACACCAACATCACGCAGCATTGAGGGGAACCCCAGTAAAGGGGAATTGGCAATCAAGCATCATCTTCGCGCCTTGCGGCACTCAGAATCAGCGACACCTAGTGGGGGAGAAGAACCTTTGTTTTCATTGACTCCTAGTCGTCATGCCGCCGTATATAGCCGTAAAACCATGCCGTAGTCATGGCAAACTCCTAACCCCAAGCACCAATTTTTCAGGATATCGAGAAGCAAAGGAGAACCGAGCCGGGCACAACGCTTAGTTGCGGGCGGGGCGATCGCCGAAGCGGCGGGGGCGCTCGACGGACTGCTGCTGGGAGACGGCAACGACGTTGGTGGGGATGGAGTCGAACTGTGGCTTGTCAGCGAGCGCACGCTGCAGGGATCATTCACAAAACTTACGCCGAGGGACTTGAGGAGGTCCTTGGTCTCCTGGTCGACATCGAGGGAACCAGACTCGGAGTTCTGGGTGAAGTCGAGAGCGGAGATCTCGGGGACGTACTGGTCCTTGCGCTCACGCTCCTCTTCCTGGAGCTTGAAGGAGATACCGCGGACGGGACCACGCTGGATGCGCTTCATCAAGTGAGTGGTGTAACCAGCGATCTTGTTGCGGAGACGCTTGGAGGCAATGATGGCAATCTGTGCGACGCGTTAACATTTGCGCGCTCGTTCATTCGCGGTGCGTCTCACCTCATCGCAGATCCTCTTGTTGGTCTCGAAGTCGAGCGAGAGCTTGGGGTAGTAACGCTCAATGATGACCTTGGCGGACTTCTTGACGGTCTTTGTGCGGACGCGACCCATTTTGGCGACTGTGTATGGATTTACGGGGAGTCGGTGGAAGAGGAGGGCTGTTGGGGTTAGTGGTCGTCGTGAGGCCTGCGTGAAGTTCGACGAATTCCGTTGTGTGGGCGGGGCGGCATCAACGATTCTCCGGTATACGCTAAGCCATACACGACTTAGCGCACGACTGAAGTCGGTCGAGCGGCAGCCGCATCATAATCGACGACGTCGCATTCAAATACTGAGAATCAATTCTGACGATAATTTGATGAACTGTTGCATTCGTGGTGAGATTATGATTATCCAACTGGCTCGCTAAATGACAGACAAGAAGCACTGCTATCTTGCATCCAGACCCTCGCCCGTACACCCTGTACGTAAACAACCGGGACTCCACGCTCATATCGATCCAATCTGTAGACAATTTTGATAACAGCCTATGAAGACAATCCTTGCTCAATGCCCACCACCACCAACCGGCATTGGGTTCGGGAAAAAGAAGGCGCAGATGGCGATGATGATGTATACCATGATGCACAGGGCACCCTCCAAGTAGTTCGACTTGCCGTCGCGGAGGAAGGAACCCACCACAAGCACGGCGAGGACGAGCGCGACGGCATCGAAGATAGCGAAGTTGTAGTCCATGTGTGGAACACGCAGACCCCAGCCGACAAGGATGACGAGAGGGGCGTTGAGCAGGGCGGTCTGAATGGATGCACCCATAACGTGAGCCATTGCCATGTTGATTTGATTGTCGTAAGCTTCGTCAATGGCAAGAAGATGTTCTAAAAGATGAGTCAGCATGTAGCCTCGTTGAAACGTGATCAAACTTACCAGCGATCTTTTCGACGAGCGGAATCAAGATGAGTCCAACGAAAGCATCACTGACGTGACGCTCTGCTACCATGAAGTGGATCTGCTCGACCAGGAAGATGGCGATCAAAGAGACGCAAGCTAACGAGATGATCAAGGCGACAAAAGCTTCCGTCAGGGTGAACTTCGGCTTGGCCAATTCCTCGTGACGATCCGCATCCTTGTGCTCATCTGCCTCGTAGATCTCGTGGAACAGTCCGTCATGAGATATGGTCTGATAGGCAACGTAGATGAGGTAGCCGACAAGCGAGATGATGGCGACACCACGCGAAATCCTGGTTGCATTGTCCAACACGAAGGTAGGGGTGGGAATCTCGTAGTCGGTGTTGTTCATCAAATACTTGGCAAAGACGGCCGGGAGAACAAGAGCCACTGCAAAGATTAGCCGTAGTCAAACTAAGGGACATGAAAAAGAACGTACTCGCAGCGACCAGCATCAAACCACTACCTGACTCGGAGACGGCCTCGTGGAACTCTTGCACATCGTGCTGAATGCCGCCGGCGACAAAGCAGGAGCCAAGGCAAAGCAGAAGGTTGGCCAAGATTGATCCCAGGATGGCAGCCCTGATGACAGGTACGTTCGATCCATTGACGTCGGTCTTGAGCAGCACCATAAAGAGGATGATCTCGACCACCGAGCCCAGTGTCGTCTCCAGGACAACGGCGATGGCCTTCTGATGCATCTTGCGCGACAGTTCCTGACCAGCAAAACCCAGCATGTTGGCGGCCGGGACCATGGCAATGTAGTTGGTGATGAAAATGGCGAGCTTCCATTCAGGCTTTGCGAAGTGCTAGAGCATAGTTAGAATCGAAGGTTCGTTCCAGTTCATGTGTCAAGCCCATACCAATGCAATCGCCACAGGAACAATGGGCCATAGACAGTTCACCATCATCGAGAGCGTACTGCTGCTCTTGAAGGCGATCTTCAAGAACTTAAAGGGGTTGAATCCCCTCCTGCCACTCTCACCGTCCGGGTGGACGCCCGGTGTGACCTTGTGCCCATTGTGATTGTATTGCGGCAGTGAGTGCGAACGAGCACCTCGTGGACCATGTGCGGAGTGCTGACGTGAGCGTTTTCGCGGCTTCTCGTTGTTATGTTCGCGTGGGGCGTAATCTCTCGATGTTTGCTCTCGCGACGATCTGTAGTCGTGCGACGACCGCGAGTGTTGGCGTGCCATTGTTGATTTGTTGTTGATGAGATGTTAGCGATTCAAAACCTCAGTAGGTAGTCGTAGCCGGAGCTTTATGCTTAGGTCGGGCAGGTGAAAAGGCGTTTCAGGGCGAGCGCAGCAGGTGCACCTGGCGCAATTGCTGAGGTCCAGTCAAACAAATGTGGGTGCATGCACGAAGACAAATATAACAGACAGGCTGGGGCGAGCCAGGCGTGTCTTGACAGGGGCTGCAGCGGGTCGTCATGGCGCTGGACGTTTTGATTCCCTGTTATTGAACCGCAAAAGGGCCAAACGCGGCGTGCACCGCTGGCATTTGTCGATTCGTGCACGGTGTTGCTGGATCGTCCAGGCGAGCACAGCCTCGCGGGCGTCTATTCGCTGAATCTCCCTTTTCTGCAGCGTAATGCCACCACTCGTACAGCACATTCAGGCCCCGCATCACTCGATTCGATGGCACTGCTTCCATTGCCCTCTTGCTTGTTTCGGCGGGTGCACGTCACCAAGCCTTGTTGTGATGCTTGATCCCCCTTGGCTTGCTGTTGAACTTGGTTCTGGAACGCACGCGCTGTGATGTCATGACGGCCCGGTAGATGAAACTCCGCATAATTCAGGGTTTCGACTCTTTGGCTCCACTTCGCATCTGGAGGCTGCAGGCACTTCGCGGGTCGGATCAGACGGCCCTCGTTCAGATGGATAAAGCTCAGGATACCGTTGCACTGGCCCTGTTGCGACGTGCCATAGGAACGCGCACCAAGCGCGCTGGATCCCTGAGGCTTGACGTGTCGATTTCCACGATGTCTGCGCCACACATCAGGTACCAACGTTTCTGTCCTACCAAACTTACGCAGATATCCTTTTCCTTCAATGTATGAGATAACCAGCAAAAGAACCGAATTGATCACATCGTTCTCATATCGTACTCCCCATTCTTCGATTGTGAAACGCGGGCGTGATCTGGCGTTATCGCTGCTCGGCGCGTGCACGGGCGGCGTGACTGATCGGCGTCATGGCAACTGCGACTCACTCATAAACACCTCTCTTCCATCTCTCTTTCATCTTGACTTCAATCGCGTAGCATCAAGATGGTCTACTCTTCTCGATGGGCTCTGTGTGCGGCCGTGACCAGCGCGGCTGCGCTGCAGATTCCCCTGCTCTCATCGAACAACCAGGCGCTTCTTGGCCATCCCTCAGGGTCGAAGCCGCTCGTCAATTCCACTGAATTGCAGGATCTCATCAGTGGGGATCGTCTGTTGGCCCGCTCGAAGAAGCTTTTTGAGATCGCAAAGCTTGGTGAGGAGGATTACAACCATCCTACTAGGGTCATCGGAAGTGCTGGTAGGTCATGCACGTGCTCCCATGTAGGGAGATGTACTAACATCAACAAGGCCATCTTGGAACACTGTCCTACATCTATGAGACCATTCTTGAGCTCGGAGACTACTACACTCTGTCGAACCAGAGCTTTCCTGCGGTCTCTGGCAATGTCTTTGAGTCACGACTTGTGCTTGGCAGCGATGTCCCGAAATCGGCTGCTCCGATGGGCCTGACCCCGCCAACGAAGAACAAGGAGCCGGTCCACGGCGATCTTGTCGTCGTTGATAACGAAGGCTGTCAGTTGTCTGACTTCCCGGACTCCGTTGCCGGTAACATCGCCTTTATTAAGAGAGGAGTGTGTCCCTTTGGAACGAAATCGGAGCACGCCGGTCAGAAGGGAGCCATCGCGGCTGTTGTCTACAACTACGAGAATGACCCCGTTTCTGGTACGCTGGGAACGCCATCGCCGGATCACGTGGCCACATTTGGCTTGTCTGGTGAAGAGGCGGCGCCCGTGTTGAAGAAGCTGAAGAACAAGGAGCGCGTCGATTCAATTGCTTATATTGATGCTGAAGTTTCGCAAATCGAGACCGTCAACATCATCGCGCAAACCGCCGAAGGCGACCCAGAGAACTGCGTCATGCTCGGCGCCCACAGCGACAGCGTCGCCGAAGGCCCAGGCATCAACGACGACGGCTCCGGCACAAACTCCCTGCTCGAGGTCGCTACGCAGCTCACAAAGTTCAACGTCAGCAACTGCGTCCGCTTTGCCTGGTGGGCTGGCGAGGAGGAGGGCCTTCTCGGCTCAGACTACTACGTGCAGTCGCTCTCGGAGGAAGAGAACCAGAAGATCCGTCTCTTCATGGACTACGACATGATGGGCAGCCCCAACTTCGCCTACCAGATCTACAACGCCACCAACGCCCTCAACCCCAACGGCTCCGAGGAACTCCGCGATCTGTACATTGACTGGTACGAGCAGCAGGGCCTGAACTACACCTTCATCCCCTTCGACGGCCGTAGCGACTACGACGGCTTCATCCGCAACGGCATTCCCGGTGGCGGCATCGCGACCGGCGCCGAGGGCATCAAGACGAAGGAAGAGGAGAAGGCCTTCGGCGGCAAGGCCGGCGACTGGTACGATCCCTGCTACCACCAGCTGTGCGACGACGTCGGCAATGTCAACATGACTGCCTTTGTTGTTAACACTAAGCTCATCGCGCACTCGGTTGCGACGTACGCGGTCTCGCTCAAGGATTTCCCCAAGCGCGACACTACCGTTGCCTCCCAGGCGTACAAGGAGACTACCAAGTACCACGGCAGCAGGCTGTTCATCTAAGAATAGATATGTAGTGGAGATTTCCGGCATTTGTGGGATGGTGAGAGCGTTGTAGCATAGTCATAGTCATAGCATTAGTAGATTTGCATACATAATTGAAACAAACCATCAACCTGCAATATACTTTCTGAGACTACTACTGAAGTCAACAAATACCAATTTACAGGAAGTCGAAGTCGTTAAAGTAACGCGTTGATCGTGAATGTTTTTTGGAGTGTATACAAATGCAACGTTGAAAGTACAACAACACCCATTAACAACAGTCTCAGTTTCGATTGAAGCCCGAACCCAATAATCTTCTCAACAAGAACTCTTGTGATCATTGACACTCGTATATCGATCGTAATATTTCGATCCATATAGCGAATAACATATCCACCGCATTACCTCTACAACGACAGCCTCCACGCTGCCAGCAGCGCACCACATCTCCACGCACGCAAACACGCCACCGATCGGGAACCCCGTCAAAGAAGCAGGTATACACAGCCACACAGCAAGCACAGCACCCAGAAGTCTTGTGATAAAGGAAAACATTTTATCTATATACGCGCACAACAGTGAAGTAAGGGTATGTCTATATCGCGCACCAACGAGAGTCTTCAACAACAAAATCTCCAGTAACGAAAGTCTTCAAAAGCAGCGCACGCAGACAGGACACCAATGCAACTGACCAGACACAAAAACCAGTACAGTAGATAACGCCGCGGCGCATCCCCGGTGCAGTGACAGCAAGGAAATTCCATCAGCAAACAACCCGCCTACCGCCTCTTACCCCTCACCTCGTCCTCCGAATCCGTCTCGTACTCGCCCTGGTAAAACGCCTGATTCATCCTATGCGTCGCCTGCTGCGCCGGGAAATTGTGTCCCAGCTGGGGTCCACGGGCGTTGGGCAGCGCAGAGCGCACATTGCGGACGTCCCAGGGGTCTGCGGGCGCGGGCGCGGGGGCAGCGAAGGGGTTGTTGGCGTGCGAGGAGGAGGGGCGGTGCTCGCGCGCCTGAGGCAGGGCGGTGGTGTTGTTGTAGTAGGCGAGGGGGGCTTGGCGGCGCTCTGTGCGCGGTTGCGGGGCGAGCGCGTTGTGGGTGCTGAGGCGGCGGGGAATGTCGGGGCGCGGTTGGTTGGACTGGCTGGGGCGGCGGATTATGGGGGGTTGGGTGGTGGGTGGAGTTGGTCTGCCGGCACGCGGGTCGTAGTAGCCGGGGTCGAGCTGGCGTTCTTGGAGCGAGGGGGGTTGACGTTGTTGTTGGAGGAGGGCTTGGTGTTGTCTTTGCTCTTCGCGCTCGATGGCTTCGGCTTTGAGGCGCTCTTGTTGCATCTGAATGACCTCTGCTTTGACGAGGTGCTGTTGCTCCGCTGCTTGGGAAGCAGTCATCTGCACAGAGCCTCTACGTGGCTTTGTTGCCGATGTCTTCGATCGCTTTGCTGCAGCCTCTCTAGCTGCAGCCTCTCTAGCTGCGGCTTCTTTGGCTGCGGCTTCCTTGGCTGCACGTGCCTCTTGCTCCTTCTTCTGCTGGCGGAGGCGTTCGCGGTCATCAGTCCGACGTTGCTCATGCGCAGCAAAGTTGTTCTGTGCTCGCTCGTCAGCTCGATGCTTAGGACGATCCGTTTCGAAGCGAACCTTTTTGAGGTTTTCCTCCCGCACCAGGTTAGCGGCAACCTCGCGATCAAGAGCCTCTTGTCGTCTCTTGTTCTCGTCACGACGTCGTTGCCTGTCTTCATCGCGACCGGTGATTTCGGGGGCGTAGGATGAAGCATGGCGTTGGTCGCGCTCAGTGCGAGCGGAGGTGTCCTGGAATGTAGCACTCGGTACGAACTCGGTAGTATGGTACGGGCTAGCAGGGCTGGCAGTGTGGCCACGTGTGGTGTCGGTCTGTGTTGGAGCCCGACGTGCGCCATTATGGATGATGGGATGGTTACCACTCGAGGTACCAGTCGTTGCAGTGACCAGGCTGGGCGAGTCGTAGTCGTAGAGAGATGGAACGCGGCTGGAGCCTACAAAGGACTCGTCTGAAGATGGATTCCACTGTTGACCGAAGCTAGGGTGGAGTCTACCATGGTTTGAGTCGAGTGGAGGGGGTGAGATATCAGGATAACCAGTCCGCACAGTGTGAGACGCGTCCGAGCCAGAAGCAGAGCCCGTGGATGTGCGTTTGGTTTTTCCTGTCGTTATGGACACGGTGGGCAAGTAGCTCTTGCCTTTACCCTTCTTTGCACCAATCTCAATGTGGATCCCAGGCTTGAGGGACTCTATCGGTCCATCTCTAGTGGATGGGCGACTTGAGACTGATGGCCGACGCGTTCGGGTATTGTAAGAAGGTGTGACTGGGCTGCTTGCCATGGGCGACGACGTGGGATCTTGGTACTCTGTCCTGCGTACCTTCGGATCGGAGCACATCTTCCCATGTCGACGTCCTTTCTCGCACAAGGTCTTGTCTTGGAAGACAGACCGATGTCCATCTGTCCGGACATAGACCCTCTCGTCAATTCGACACATCGTGAACTGTGCCCACTAGGATGTTTGACGGAAATGAGACTTGTATTTGGTGGAGAGCTAGCAGTATCTCTAGGTGCGACAGCCGGGAAGGGGAATGAGCTCTACTTGATGTGACAAGGGTGTGGATGTTGTCCTTCTGATTGGACGTTGACGGATAGAGGAGTGGTATGTCCAATAGGCGAAGTACTGTAAGACGAAGTGTGTGATCGGTACGGGAAGGTACTGAGACTTGTGTTCGATATTGGGGATGTATTGTGATGTTAAGGGTGTCAGGCAGTTACGCTTGGCTTCCAGTGAATTCGGGAATCTGGTGACAAAACAACTGAAACACTTCGTAAGAAGATCAACTTTGGCGTAAGTATAGAGAGGCAAGACGTACCAGGAGCGGAAAGAGTAAGAGCCGGAACGGCAGTGCAGAAAGCAGCACAGTGGAAGGCTGCAGCGGTTTATGCAGGAGTCAGAGCCAATGAAGCAGCCGTTCTGGCCCGAAAAGGTGTGGGCGTGGCGCAGCGCCTGACTGTAGCCTGAAATGCAGACTGTGTGGTGGAGTGTGGAGAAAATGGTAGGAAATTTGAGCGTTCATATTTGCACAAAAAAAGGTCGGAGTGGCAGGCCTCAGTGATGAGCGCCGTGGGTTCATGAGGAAAGGGCCAAGCTTTTGGGGTCGGTGAATGGCGTCTGCACAGCCCTTCCGGAGGAAACAAGCCACAACGGGCGCCTTACCAGCGGCCACAACTTGCCTGATCACGAACTGAACGGGCGGTGTTTACCTGGATACTCGACACCGGGAAAATCTTCCAGCTGTCCTGTGCGCGTTTTGTTGCGGTTGGCCGACATATTGTCTCAGCTCGATGGGCAGCAATCTAGTAGCCGAGGGAGCACACCTTGCGAAATCAGCCGCTGGGACTCGATGCCCAAGCCAGTGCGAGACGTTCGCTCGTCAATTGCAGCCATCGAGCGCGACCAAACGCCTGTTTGCCGGCGATGCCCAAGATGCGAACTCGCACGAGTCCAGCGACCAGCTGCACAGTAGAGAGTTGATGAGTGGAGGCTATGCAGCCATCCACCTTGCACGCGCACGCAACCTTGCTGTGCTGTCAGGGACGGAAAGCTGGCGATTTGTCCACTGGCGCCCAATGCCCGACCCATATTGCTTTCCTCAGGCACGGATCCGACGATGAGAGTGGATGGTGGATGAATGCACGCTTGGCCTGTCCATTTGCTGGTGGGGCGTGATCGCTAGCGCCCATCACGGCACGCGTCGACCACTCTCGCAAACCTCACTCAACCACCGTGCCCCAATTTGCGCATCTTCGAAACCTCAAATTTTCGGACTGAGCGCCTTCGTCATCAAAGTCGCGCAGAGTTTGCGCGTTTTGTCGCGACTCGGCCGCCGCAGGCAGCAAGGTGGGCGCGTGAGCAGCCACTGCCTCGTTGCCTGCGCCAGCCCGTCTGGGAAAGGGGTGACTTGACTTGACAATGCGAATCTCCTCTCGAGACACCCTCCCACCCAACCAAGCAGTCGTCGGCAATGTCCATATGCACTCGTCCGAGCAGCCTTTGTCGCCGTCTCGGGGTTGCTGAGGCTGCCTTTGATCGGTACGCCGGCCACAGTGAGACTTACAAATCTCGGCACCCTCTCGAAAACAGCATCACGCGTTGCACAGGCGCTTGTAAGCCACCGTGGCGGTCGGAGCTGTCACTCTCCTTTCGAGTACCCCAGAGATTCCGGTTTTTTCAAGTCCTCAGCCTTGCTGGGCAGGCGCTACGCGTCGCAATTGGGGGCGAAAACGCGCCGACGCGAAAAATAGACACACATCAATTTCAAGTGTGTCGTATCAGACGCGATCAGCATTCGATGAATGATCAACGCATGAACTCCACACTCGTAACGGGACGGAAGGGAAGCTGCGCCACAGCGGCAAGCAGCCGTGGTTCATCCAGACGGTCTCATACCGTGCTATCGATTGCAAGTTGAGCGGCAGAAGAGGCTTGGCGATGCTCAGAAATTTATGGTCATGACTTGGTTGTTTGACCAGTCCGCAGCGCGAAATCGCGACTGCAATTGGTTTCCTAGCATATCGCATAACTTGGGCATCTGGACAAGTGACCGATTGGCAGCGCAAACACCGCCTCAAGCCACACATGGGAGGCCTGAGTGGCTCAGCAAGCGCTACCAGTATCAAGGCTGCTGGTCACATTTTTGACCGCCTTATCCTCCACAGTGCTTGGCCGCAGTCTGGCGAAGTGACAAGCATCGCTGCGCGGACTCCCGCCACGCGCGAAGTGGAGTCTATACGGAGCAACTCCTGCGAACTCACCGCTAACATCGTTGAGAATCCCAGCCCTGTGGGCTTGTATCGACTTCCTCATCCGTGTCGCTGGTGTAGGATTGTCCTGCAGGATTGAGAGTGTAGATCGTGTAGCCATAGCCACGGCGCGTCTTGCTTTCTGATCCACATCAAGCAAGGCTACGTCCTGTCCGGGTATTCTCGTACACATAGTCGGGAAACGAACACCCTCACCATCAAGCCAGCGTTCAAGCCCTGGGCAGCATTGCCATCAAGGCTCGATCATGAGGCTAGCCTCAAGATCCGCTAACCCCGACCGGCCCCCAACTTATTCTCTTCTGCGTCTGACATCCCCTTCCACGTCTGACGGCTTTTACCTTCTGACACGCTGACCTTCACAGCCCCCGCTGACCGATCAAGTTAGACAACCATGATTCCTGACCCATGTCCAGCTGACAGCAAGGATGAGAGAGGTGTAGTGGTAAGGCGGCCTTGGGGTACCTGCATCAGGTACACGCGCTTGCGACCTTCTCCCGGCCGAGGAATTGCTGGCGGATACTGCGCAACCGTCGGGCGGCGATGGCTGCGTGTAGCCTTGCCACGGAGGAGGCGATACCGCCGTCTATTCTTGTCGGATGTGCTGTCGATCTGTAACGGTCCTCGGATCTAAGCCCTACCTAACGGCTCCGTTGACCCATGTCCAGCTGATCGTATGCAAGGCCAGCACCGAGGCTGCAGGTGTAGCTCCTCTGCTCGTGTTTTGCGGCACGGTTAGGCAACATCGTGAGATGGCGGTATCTTCTCACAGTAGACACGAGTCGGGATCCATCACCCAAATCCTCGACCCACATGTGTCCCTCGGCCTTGTATTCCTCCCATCCGTATTGTGGTCATTCTCATTCCCTTGGATGTTATGGACGTGGCCTCCTCAGTGTTTGTGTGGGTTGTCTCTGTGCGATACATACCGGTCTAGCAAGGTCTGCCTTCATCACTTACCAAGTGTCGGGACATGATAATGTCCACTGTGCCACGCAGGCAGAAGTTTCGTGTCATTTACATGGCGTTTAACAACCCTCCAAGTCTCAAACTCTCTGGTTGTGCTTGTCAGTAGGTTCGGCCAGAACCTCCACCATTGCGTGGCAGACCCACGTGCACACGTTTCTGGTCGACATAATCCAGCACATCGGGCAGAACCCTCCTCCAAGACGCTACCCGAACCCCTTGCTGGTCTACAGAGATCAGCAAAAAAACATACAACAGCTGGGATTCCCCAGTGGTCACCCACCTGAGTACTGATCAGCCGGTACGTTGCTTAAATAGGGCTGAGCGAACGGGAAGCCTTGTTTTCAACGTCCTATGGTCGTATGTGACAGTAAGACGATCAAAGAAATAGATATCCCTCATAGGTGAGCACCTCCCACCTCATATCACAGCGAGACCAAGCACCGTCTGCACGCCCGCCACGTCTATCATCTATTGTTACAATTTGACTCCAAGCTCGCTTAGAAAAGATGATTCTCGTCTGCTTCTCGCGACCCATAATCTCTGCAAGACATGTTACACGAAAAAAACGTTCCCACGCCGGATTATAGGAAAACTTATCAACTTTGACTCTGTTAATGATGAATTAACACCCACAACAAAGAGGTTAAAATACTAAGAGAAACACACGATTGTAGAAAAAATTTAACTGTACAATCTAGCATTCTAGAAAATTTAATTTTGTCTTTAGTTGCTATCTGGCTTCACCAGGCAATTTGGGTGCGCGGCCTTTTTGTAGTAGCACAACCAGTTGCTACGATTCCTAGTATGCGTGCCGTGATAGCCGGATGTGAACAGCAAATTCAATAACCGATTGAAGTGCGGGGCATGATGTCACCTGAATAGCTACATGCACAACAAAAAGCAATCCCATGCATAACTAGAGTGCGCTTGCTTACGGATCTAGAAGGTCGTATAGATTTAGGCAAATAGCTGGTCATCTCAAAAAGATATGAGGGGTTAGGTGTGTGCTTGCTGACAAACCCATGTGTACGCATTATATGAGAGATAAGTATTTACTTGGCTTTCCGCTGAAACCATTTTCCTTTTCTTCCCACAGACACGCAGCATGGACAGCAAAACAATAGTCGTGTCATCGAGAACACGTGAGCGATACCTAGTTGACGACGCCATATATCCCCAGAGCACCGTACGCCTCCAGAATCTTTGCCAGAGCTGTGCTCAAGTAGGACAAAATGCAGATCTCGACAAGGAGGAATTCAAGCTGAAGCTCGGTCTTACTAGCAGGTTCGAAAAGCAGAAAGACAGTTGCCACTTGTGTGCAATGATTTGGGGCTATCGTCAGAGAATGTCCAAGGACGACCTTAAGCTCGGTATGACTTCAGATGATGAGGGAGTTTATTTGGAAAGGGAGAGGCATAGACGGTTCAGTTTCCAGTTTAAGAGTGCATATCTGGACCTTAGGTGTGAGGGCTTGCAACTCGACCGTCTCGATGGTAAGCCGCCTAATCGAGTGTGAATAATATCTCACGACAATTGCAGGGAGTGATCCAATCTACAAAAATCTAGTTTCACAAATCGAAGCCCTGAATCCAGCTCTGGCAGATCTCGAGGTAGCTGTGAAGTGGTTTCAAGACTGCTGTAACAATCATGATACCTGCGAATCCACCATCAAAGCCTCGCCCACTGTTCATGCCCTACCCAGGCGCCTGCTGGAGATTACGAAAAGCGGAGTAAAGATGGTCTATAGCGACACGAAAGTCAAGTCCCCCAAATACGTCACCTTGAGCCATATGTGGGGTCAGAATCCAGACCATCAATTGAAGTTACAGCCGTCTACGTCGAAAGCGTTGTTTAAAGGAATAACGGACGAGGAGCTACCGCACTTATTCCGCAAAGGTGTCCGGATAACTCGTTATCTACATATAAACTACCTATGGATCGATTCCCTTTGCATTCTTCAGCAGCCCGATGATGGCCAAGCAGACGCCACAGCTTCCGAAGACTGGGAACAAGAAGGCATCAAGATGGCAGGCATCTATAGCAACGCCATTCTAAATATTTCTTTTCTTTACCCCCCTGAAGACGACCGCAAGATTTCCCACGACCCGAGACGACGCCTACCGTGCATACTACGCCCTGCTCTGAACGCAGAGCCCGCAATTGTCGCCACGCCGTCAATACCCACAAACAGAGAGGATTGGAGATTATCAAGAACCTGGCCTTTGTCGTCCCGCGCATGGGCCTTCCAAGAGTCCCTGCTCAGCTCTCGGACACTATTCTATGGCCGCAACAACTTCTTATGGCAATGCGCAAAGCAGTTTTGCGATCAGTCAGTAGGCCGTATCCAAAGACAATATCCTGGCAACATCCCCAAGGAGTATCTGCATGTGTCGCTCGAGAGCAACATCAGGACGCAGGTTTGGCTCTACCGTACGTGGGAAAATTGTGTACTCGAATATCGGCGAAGGGCCTTGACTGTGCATTCTGACAGGATCATGGCCCTCGCCGGTGTCGCGCAACGATTCGCAGAAACTCAACATCTGACATACCTGGCCGGCCACTTCCGGGAGCACATGCCCTTGTCGCTCGTGTGGCATCAGCGGGAGAAGGGAGCAGTGCTGGAAGACAAAGTCATCAATGCACCTTCTTGGTCTTGGTTTTCTGCACGCATATCTGTCGCGGCTTTTGAAGGAGCGTCTGATTTGAGATTCTCGGGTCTGGAGAATTTTCCTGAAGACCGTATTATATTTCGTGCCCGGGTAGTGAGGTATCAATGGCCTGGTCTGGATCCAGATATCCCGTCAGAGACGGCGTTCATTGACTTTAAAGGTCTCGAAATAGTTCTAGAGGCCGTCCTATTTCCTGGAACAATTGTAAGAGAGCGGACTGACACTTATGCAGCGCTGATATGCGAAGAACTTAAGTCTGCGTATCGAACAACTCCCAATAAAACCGACTATCTCAGTTACACACCCAACGCTTACAATTCTGAAAATAAGTCAGTTCTGTGCGCTGAGGTACAAGTTGCAGTGCTGTTCCAGCATGCCGCCGAACTGACGAGCACCAAATCCCATGGACTAGTCCTCAAACCTGTCGCCGGGAGGATAAATACCTGGACGAGGGAAGGGTCGTGGCGTATGACACAGTCGTTTGAATGGGAAAGTGAGGAGAGCTTACAGATAAGGAAGGAGCGTTTCTGGGCAGAAAACAAACGCCGATTGAGAGAAATCACGCTTGTCTGAGCAGGTGAATATACACGTGCCCACTGCCCATTGCCAATACCCCTCTTCTCAAACGGCACTTTCGCCTGTTGGCACAATTTCAGCCAGCGAGCTCTCAGACCTCTTTCGAAATTCGTGGAGCGCAAAACCAGGATCATACCAACAATTACTCCAGGCACCGCCCACACATCCGACCCGCCCACTCTTCACCATCGAGGTGGTTTCTTCTTGGAGTGCGAAAAGGGGTAGATATCATACTCCTGCGACTGCTGAACGAACGCGGTAGACATGTGCAGGTGGTACAGGCGGCCAGGCTGGGGCAACCTCAGAGCGTGAGTGGAAGCGGGGTCACGCAAAGAGACAGAAGTGGGCGACAATCGTAAAGACATACAACTACTCACACATAGAGCCCGTTGTCACGATACGCAATAGCCGGTCTTTATGAACGAAGGTGCGTCGTCAGCGCGAGGGCGACAATAGATCACTGACTTGCAACAGCCACGGATCCAGAAGCTGTAGCAATCTCGTGCCTACTACATCGCTTGGTGGGTGACGCTGGAGTGTCTTTGCTTCGCCCCTTGAAGATCGACAACGGTGAATTACGTGTTGTTCTGGATCTTGATTCAAGTGTACGGAACGCAAGGCGAGCATGAGAGCAAGCAACTGCTGACCTAGCCACCTGACCTCGACCCTTCAGCTGTGGCTGAGCGGAGTATGATCAGCAGTGGCTGCATCGATTCCTGTATTTACAGTATGGTAGGGGTAAGTAGGTAATGTTGCGTTTCTCTATTCAACGCTGTCATCGCCAGTATGCTAAAGGGATTTCGTGACTACATATTTGATTGATAGCAGTAAGTAGATTTGTTTTGCTTAGCTGCCGCAACGCTATAGACTTTCTAGGTCTTATTCTAAGATTACTATAATAAATTGCTATTCTAGACCTTCTTATAAGTAAGAAATCTGCTAGTAGTAGATAATATACTAATAGATTTAGTTTTAGCTTAGTGCTACTTATCTTAACTGTGTTACAGGTTGTTTTGGACGCTATCAAAGTAGAACGCATGACACCCAGGGTAAGACAACAGTCCGTTCACTCTACTTCTGGTCCACTCAAAGCGATTGCGCGCCTACATCTGATATCTCCTTACCTTCCTGGAATTGAGAGCCATCCGTGACTTTGATTCCCCATTTCTTACTCTCCTCTGCAATAATCTCCATATCCGCATCAGAGACCTCGTACGGGATTGAATCGTCCAATCCGTCGTACTCATCGATTTCGTCGAGTTCAAAGTCGTCATAAATTTCATCGGGTTCGTTGTCGGCATTGACTGCGTCGAGCTCATCAGCTTCACCAGACTCATTGACGCCATCGTCTTCATCAGCCTCCCCGGGCTCGCCAGCTCTATCGGATTCGTTGACTCCATCGATTTCGTTGGCTTCGTCGGAGTCATTGGCTTCGTCAGTCTCACTCTTTCCATCTATTCCACCGTCTTCATTGCCTCCATCAGATTCGTTGATTTGATCGGACTCATCTACTCCATCAGCTTCATCGAAATCATATGAGTAAAGGAATTCATAAGCATCATCATCCCAGCTATACGATTCGGGTACGATCAAAGCACTATGGCTCTGGTCGCAACCCGTAGGCGGCAGCAATCCCGCCTCGAGCCGCGAATAACACGTCACGCACGTCTTGGAAAGCATGCAATCCCTACACACCCTAAATGCGGTGCGTCCCTGCGGATTGCCATACTGGGCGGGTGGGAAATTGCCGTTAAAGAGTATGCCCGCGGGGATCTGCAATGGCTCGGTGCCGAGGCTTGTGGACTCGTCTGGGGCGTCTGTTTTCTCAGCGCGGCAGCCGCGGGCGTCACAGAACATTGTCGCATATGACGGTAGGTAGAAGTCGTCTGGTGGTTTGGTAGAGACGTGGGTTTCGAGTATACCGTCATAGACAGCGTACTCTTCGCCTATCTTGATCGCTTCGATCTTCTGCTTCACGGCGGCTTCCAGAGGAGGATTTTCGCCGCGATTACTTGACCATTTGTAGTAATCCTTGTCTGACCACCGCATCGGCTGATACGGCTTGACCTTGGACCACGCCCACTTCTCTCGCTCTTCGTCCTCGTCTAGTGTTGTAAGGATAGATGCTAGATATAGCCAGCCAACGCTGAATAACGGTCTGTTGTTTTGCTGAGTCAGCATGGCAAAGGCCGAGTCGGCGTGTTCTTGGAGGATTTCGCGCGCTTTTGCACGTTCGTTGCGTCCGACGTAGATACGAGCAAGGCACAACGACACACGAAAATGAAGCTTGAGTGCGATAGGTTTCTGCGAGAACCGGGCCACGTCGTGCAGTTTTGTCAACTGCGACATTATCTGATCGGCCTCGAGTCCTGTATTTCCTTGCGATACAACCTGCAGGTAGGCAGAGCAGAGGTGCACTGTGATAGGAAGTAGTACGTCGAGATCTCTGGTCGAAGGCTTGTGCAAGAAGTCTTTCAACAAGCTTTCCCAGAGTGCAATCGCTTCACGGAGCCTGTTTACGTCCTTCGAGAGAAAGAAGAGGCGACCGAGCCAGAAAGTGAGCCTGACCCGCGCGATATGGATCTCCTGGGGGGGCATCATCTCGATGCTGTCACATAGCGCGATGGCTTCTTGATATAAACCTTGAAGAAATTGGAGACGCCTGCTTTCTGAGTCGCCACCTAGCGTTCGACTGAGTGCGAGATGCAGATAGTTGTACGAGGCCTGACGGACAAATGTCTCCAGGATCTTATTCTTTCTGGCTTGGTATTGTGCCTGGAAGAAGTCGAAACCGCCGTCAAACTTCTGTGCGTGGAAAGCAGCCACCATGGTGTTTGCCCACATACTTGTAGACAAGCTATCCGGCCTTTGTTTGTTTAGTTCAATCATCTTCACTCTGATTTGTAGCTTCCTGGAGTCATTGCCCCAGTGTGCTATCCAGTCCAGGAAGCAGTCGTAGACTCTCGTTGTAGTCGCTTGATCGATGTCGAACCCAAGAAGAGCATCCAAACAGCGATCGACTTCGTCAAACGCAGCACTGCAGCTAGTCCTGGATGTTGCTTCGGCAAACCATACATTGGCGCGCCAGTCGGTTTTGCAATGCGGATCGAGAAGCTCAGAAGGAGTGCTGTTTGTGGCATCTAGGGTGAGAAGGATCGCAGCCTTTTGTATATCAAAGGTGACGGGGTCGTTGATCGGAATGTTCTTTGTCACCCATGCTTCGATCTTCCTCCAGTTTGGTGGTGTGAACCAGCCCGTCGTTCTTGACTCGTAATACGACTCTTCGACTACATTTTTCTCCTCGAGATCTAGTTCCGGGATGGTTGAGAACCATAAAATAAATAGACGAATCTCGTTTGATGTCCAGAATAACTTGCTAAGCAACCATCTCTGGGCGATCATTTTACTGGCAGCCACTTTCAAGTCGCTTGCTTTGGACATGTTTTGCAGCTCTGACGCGAAGGTCACACTCCACTGTTGACCTTTGAGACGTTGAATGACATCTGGGTGTTTGATGAGATCATATACAGCGTTAAAGTATTGCCCGTTCTCCCCCCAGATAGTTTGGTTTTGCGACAGAGCCTCCACCGGCCAGAACAGCTCAAAAATTCCGTCGTCAAAGAACAAACGTGCTATTTCGGTGCCAAGATCGACTGCAATACCATCCTCGAGCCGGGATGCGTCAATATGGTGTATAAGTCTGGGTAGAATCTGTCTCGCAAAGGCGGAGATGCTGTACAGCGGGTGGCTGTTAGAATTGCGTTGCGTGGTCGATAGCTCGGACAAGCATTCCATGAAGCGAAATGCTATATTACCCATGGCATAATTGCGCTCTACCGTGAAGCTCGATAGGCTACTGAGGCGCGAACGTGACTCGAAAAAGCCGTCATCTATGCCGAGCTCGTCGAGAGTGTTTTGATTGAAGGTGGCACTTAAGAATTGTCTAATAGCATTGATTTGCTGATCCTTCAGACCATGGGCTGAACTGATGGTTGCTTGGGACTTGGTCGATTCCGGTAGCAAGAGCGAAGTCATTTCGTCCGTTGCAAGCGAGAGGCAGCCCTGAGCATCAGTGGCGACCAGTCCTGAATACGCAGACTGAATACTTGTTCTGGTGGAAGCTGAGGCTTTCCCGCTGGCCAGATACTGTGAGATAACAGTAATGTGCGGCATCGGCGCACCTAGTATGTCCAGAACAGCCAAAAGGTGGAGCGCATCTCTCAAGTTCGTAAGCTCTGTCTTGGACACCGTGACTGCGAGATTGGACAGATTCCGCTTTATGATTGCCTCCCGGTCATAGCTCGTCCGGCTCAGCACTCGATTGATCTCACCCATGGACGCTAAGTGTCGGATCTCGCGTATTTGCGAGAGCAGGAGATAGTAATCGCCGGCTACGGCTTGAACTAGGCGGTTGCGGACAGAGGCCATGCACTCCAGCAGCTCGGGACTATCTAGTCCATCTGAGAAGAAGTCGCAGCGAGCGAGCCCAGCTTCAGTCACGAGGGTGATGTCGCTTCGATTAGGGTACGCTGTGTCAAGGACAACCTTGGAGAAAGAGGTGCCAGCATAGCGCGCAACAAACTCTAAAGAGCTAGCGTTGCCTGTCAGCAATATGCGTAGGTTCCGATTTGCCATTTCCAAGCTTGTAACCGCTCTGGAAATGACGTGAAGCTGCTCCGTGGAGAGTAACTCCAATCCGTCGAGAACAACGAAGAAGGTTGAGCCTGCAAGCTCGGCCGATACATTGACGATGAGGCTAGTCCAGAGATTGATAGCCAGGCCAGAAACAGCGTTTGATTTTCGACCATCGAATTCTTTCATGATGGGCAAAGCGAGATCCGAGAACTGTGAATTGTGTGTGCAGATTTGATACGCGATGGCCCTGATGATCGCAGCTGCTGTTAGATCTTTCATGCTTTGTCGAAGTAGTAAAAGGCAATAGACGACTTTGCATTGGTACGCAGCGTCCGCTCGTGAAGATGGGCGATCCCGATGGTTGCCAGATATGTTTTTCCAAAGTTCGACCCGGCCTCGACAGCAAATATGTGACGGGAATCATCCTGAGCAGCTACCCAGGCGTTGAAACCGTCGTGCTCTAGGAGCCATACACCTGTTCCGGGTATACGACGCTCTGCAATAGCACGGAAAGCATCATTCTAAGGCTCATTAGCGATACAGAACAACGTCTTGAGTTGATCCACACGGCTTGGTCCGAGCGAGGTACTGTACTCCATGATCATCTCGTGAACGTGACTCAGTTTGCCCGAAATTGTGTTGACAGAGGTGTTGATGGTACCCACGTCCTTGTGGATCTTGAGGACGGATGCTAGAATGAGGGCACTCGACAGCCTGCCTTCTTCTTCGATTAGCTTTTGGAGCTCTGCCGTACGGGCGCCCATATCCCCGTCGTATCCTGTTGCCATTATGTGGAAGAATCGCATGGTTACGTGAGTTCCAGATTTGAACTTGCGTTTGATCATTTCGCGAGTCGACCCGTTGTCCACACTGCCTTTAGCCTCGTTGGTCAACCGGATGTAAAGCGCAATACAGCTGACAGCCTGTGTCATGATGCGATGGAGGAACTGGCGCTGTGGTGTCCAACAAGGTTACCGTTAGTGTTTGTACGCCTATTCTTAGCGATAAAGGTGATGGGGATCTTGTGCTCACATGATAGCAAGGCACTTACGAATTTGGGATGCAATTCCGCGCCGGCACTCTCAGCTTCCATCAGCATCTCAAATCGTATGGAAAAGAACCCCACCTGTTCAAAGAGCTGAGCGGCTTTGAGGAAGATGTCACGATAGTTCCTCGTCGTCTGGATGAGCAGGTCAATGGCCTTGGCTAAAAATGAAACGCCTGCGCCCACGATAGGTATTTGTTCAGCTGCAGGCAAGAAGAACTCTGAGAAGTTCCAAATCACTTTGAAAACTTTGGCAAAGATGGTCTTAGCTCGTTGGAAGACATCCTTGGCAATGGCTTTCTTGGATATGCCAGAGGACTTTTCTGTTCCGGTTTCATCGTCTTCGGGTTCTGGCATTGCATTCACTGCTTTGATCTTGTCCGGTATGTCGCTGACGGAGAAGGTATCGTCAAGTGTCATTCTGGTTTCCCTTTCGAAATCTTCCTGTAGGGGTAGTAAGCTGCATGTTCTGAAGGCTTGCAAAGACCTATGAAACCTTCGCCTTATCCCATAATTTTTGGAGATCAATGTCGGGACTTTTGTCGAACTCTGCTCGACGTCTCGTCAGGTCGGTGGTACGCTGCATCTTTACTCGGTGCAAGCTCGTGTACTTCAACGATTCGGTGTAGCACTCGACTCAGAACTTCCTTTGGGGCCTTATGAGCGATGTCAATGGGTCAGTCAAGCCCTACTTATTCCTTGATGGCCCAGTGGTAAAAGAGAAAGAAGTCTTTAGAAGGAACGGACGGCATTCTGGTACCAGCTGGATGCCAGCGGCGTACGCCAGAGGCTTCCGCCTCCGTTGTGAGCTGAACTCTGCATACGCCCTAGACTAGCGGATCAACAACGAACGTATAGCAACCATTCAAAGAATCATATTGCCCGATGCTCATCGTAAGATCGGCGCACAAGATTTGCTGGCCAACATACTGCGGTGCAGACAGACATGTGCAGCGATGTGCGAGAAGTGTAACCAGTGAGGGGTTTTGCTGGAGTCGATCAAGTCGATCAAGCTCAACATGGCGGGCACTAAGCTTAGACGGAGCTAGCGCTTGATGAAGCGAGACAGCGCCAAGGTGATGTTCTGCGAGCCAGTGTTGCGAGGCACTCAGGATGACGATCACCTTGTCCATGCATTCAGCGCACGCCTTCCATCAGGGCACAACCAGAATCACCGAGCTGGACAGCTACGGTATGGGCAGTCGTTGCTCGAAATGACGCGGACAATCCAAGAGGTCAATCTGATTGGGCACATGATGAGGCTTGGCGCTTTGAGGTCTCACATGATGGCCGATTGCGTCCCCCTAACATCTCCACAAACATGCATCAAAATCAGCTCGTTGCTGGCCTATCGAAAAGCCCTTGATGTATAGATCAATCGCGCAATGCGAGAAGACATCGTGAGAGCCGCAGTTGTTGAGATATCCGGGTCGAAATCGGGCAACTCGGTTCTGGGATTCTAGATTTTGATTCCTGACGAAAAGGTGTACCTAATCGTAACCGATAGACGAGTCTTGTTTGCAGATACGGAACAGCAACAATAGCACCACATTCAGGTGCGAAGGCTCGTCGAAGGGTCAGGTCTGTTTCTCGACATCTCGCGGTGGCAAAAGGTGAGAGCGTAAAACGTTTGTGCCCTTCATAGGTGAGATCGCTGATGAATGTGGAATTAATAACACTATTATCACGATCGTAAGAAAGCTTGTCGGCGCGTCAAATTGGTCTCTTAGGTGCGTAGGAGACGCTGTCTCATCATGTTGTGAGGCTGGCTGAGGTCATGAGGCTCTAGTGCCAAGCCGCAGCTGAGTCACAGGAACGCCCCTTGAAGATACCTACACCAGGACAGCGGCAATCCATCGCCCGATTTGTGCGTCAAGCGCAAACCCATTCTGACTACCGTATTGACACTCAGTGCTAAAATGCAGTCTACGAACGCAAATTCTCCTTCTCCCACTGTCGAATAGCACAAACGTACGATTCCGTCCCTAAACTGTGAGAACCATGGTACTCGTCAAGGTTACCATTATTGGCATACCAAGGTGAAAATTTAGTGCTCACTCAACCTGCCGAAGAGTTTGATCTTGCTTCTCATCTTCTCGAACTCTCCTGATCGCACGAGACATCGCCACCATCCTCGATCTTGTCTGGAATACACGAACAATGTCGACGACACATTCATGGGCAGACAGCCCATGGCGCAATCCCGCAATCGTTTTCGACCAGCTGCCAGAATCGCTGATCCTCGAAGACCTAGAACGATCATGGGACTTCCAGAGAGAGGCCCACTTCCGCTGGTTGCAGAAAGTAATCTGGACCACGAATGACTCCTATCGAGTTGTCCTTCGTGACGTTGAAGGCATAGTAGGCGGCGACATAGCCAAACAACTGTGTAATAAACCTACAACATTCTATTGGCTTCAGTCTGCGCAAACAGGTGCTCCTGATGCCCCTGAGAAGTTGTGCATGTCTGGTGGTGTTTTTGCAGCTATATATGAAGAGTGGCATCGAAGCTCTGTTCACCCGAATATCGAATTTGGCCATTTCTTTGCAGCGCCTGTTCGAGTTGCAGGGACAGGTCCAACAAGCCTACCAGAGATCTTGAAGGCACATTCATCACTCTGTGCCCAGGCACAGCACATCTCAATGGATATGGATAACTATTTGGTGCATCCTCTTCTCTCAGCTGTTATCCTGGTATGCGATCGGGTTGAAAAAGTTGGATGTGGACCAGATGGCTTCGTCAGTCTTCGCGAAGTAGCGAGTACGCAGACTGTGCTGGCCATTGCTACCGGCACAAATCCAACCAGCACCGGTGTCCAAGTTACTCTGGATCGTCTCAAACCATTCGCTCTGCCCATCGACAGATCCGATACCACGGGCCTTGATGTCCTTCGAGTACCCCTAGATGTCGCTATCAATTTTGTCACCGAGTTGGAGAGTAAGATCGACGAACAGAAGGAACCCAGCGGTCGAACTCTAGACACGAGTCTCTGTCTTCATGACGTACCAGACGGGTACAATCGTGACATCAGGTATGATAGAAGCATATGGGCTCAAACGATGCGAGCAGAGGCAATGAAGATTGGGTTCAAAAAGCTGTGGGATACAAAATTCGCTGCCGTACGCGTTCACGCACACCTTTCTGGACAAACTTCAGACTGCGAACTGGAACACGTGCCCTTTAGTCAGAGGTGGAAACCCTGAACGCACATGCGTTCTTGGTTAAAATTGGTTCGGTGGCCGTGGCGGAACAGCTGTGAAGTTCTGAACTGTAAGAACATCTACTGCATCTATGATGGGAGTAGCCAAAAATCGTGTTCCACCTTTTCATGACTTCGTTGCTTTGCAGGGGTAAGTTGTCAATGTTGGCTTTCGAAAGCTGCATGTGTTATGCTACAAACTAATTAGGAAAGAGAGTAGCAGGCAAGTATAGAGCACTGGCAATCAACATTAGGAGCCAGGATGGGTAGGATACCTCGTTAGTCAGCGTCCTGCACACAGCTTTGCATCGAGGTTCTGTGTAGCCAACACTAGATATTTACCTAACACATCGGCCGACTCAGTAATACCCAGTTCCATGTACTGTTGTGTCAAAGTGCGCCAATAATAGAGTACAGATCGCTTCCAACTACCCTGAGCTCCCTGGGATTGAATGCTGTTTGATCCATGCAGTATGATGTGTCGGTTCCCCAGAAAAGTAGCGTGCGCAACACCCTGGTCGAGGGATGGGGCGCTAAGTTAGACCGACATTCGCACTTCCAGGACTCTAGGCACCCGTATGAGAACTCGCCATAATTACACTGGAGTAGTCGCGTGGCTAACAACCGCTCTTGAAAGACCCAGGCATGAGTGAGCAACGGATAGCGCTCATTCAGATCGATTTTGTTTCTTACTTGGCCACTGGAGTTGAGGATTCTGGCCGATGGTATGGGTTTGCCCGCTCATATCCTCGATTCTCAGACACTTGTCAGGCTAACGATCGTATTGTAAAGATAAATTTTCTTTACAATCGTGTGTTTCTATTGGTATTTTAGCTTCTTTGTTGTGCGTGTTAACCCATCTCTCCTCAGGTTAGGTACCTGAGTTTGCCGCAGTCGCTTCCCACCCGGGCAGTGACCATGACCAGACGCGCAACCCGCGGTGCCGCATGGCCCGGTCTGAACAGCATCGGGCCATTGGGTCGTTGAAACCTAGAAGCAGGATCGAGGTCGAGGTCGAGTTCGTGTCTCACGCCACCCACCAGCGCTTGGAGCTGTGCTCCCTGCTTCCTGCACTACTGGCTGCTTCCTGCTTAAGCGTCACTGTATGTATAGTCGTTGGCGATATGTGCAGACCCCCGCCCCCCCCCCCCCCCCCCCCCCCCCCCCCCCTTCCTTATAATTAGAACACCGTGTGGGAAGGCCTAGGCCCCCTCACCTGCAGGCATGCAGGTGTTAGTTGGTAGGTTGTATATAATGCGTGCAGTAGTTTTATTAATAAGTACATATCTTTCCTTTTATAGCCTTGTAATATATACTAGCTATTTACCTAAGTTAGTATAACCTTCTAAACTTGCAAGTAGGTGCATTCTTGTCATGCATAGAATTGCTTTTGATGTGCATGCAGCACAGCAAATCATCACGAGCCCCGGCATGCGTGCCGTGATGGCGAATGTGAACGGCGAATCCAAAGACATATTAAAGTCAGGATTAAGATCTTTTCGCAGCTAGGAAGAAAACCTGAACATACCACACTCACCCTTACCGAAGAACCGAAGGAGTCTCACCTGTAAGAGTCTCCACGCGCTTGTAACATGTCGACTCATGTAAGTAGCTCCACTTAGGATTATTCTTGCAGATTGTAGGGCGCGAGAAGGAGACGGGAGTTACCTTTCTGAGCTGAGCTTGGGTTGAATTGCGATCGTGATGGATCGTACAGACACACAGACAGCTACACAAAGCGCCTATTATCACGACACGCAATAGTTATAATTAGTCGTTAGCCATACTCGCAAATCCCATCCCTGTCACACACAACCACACGCCATCAAAACCCCACCCCCCCCATCCAACAACCCAGCCCCCCTCCACCACACCACCACCCCAACCCCAGCAACCTCCAGCACCACCCAAATCACCCACCGCCTCACCATCCTGGTACACAGAACCCCACACTCCACCCCCCCCTCACGCCACCCCCTTCCCCAAGCGTCTCCAGTCTCCACCCCCCAACCACTCGCGCATACCCAACCCACCCAGTCCCAACCGAATCCCCAGCACCTCACACCTCACACCCTGCCTCACACCTCCCACCCTGCCCAAAGAGCAAGACCCACAAAGCACAGCGCACTGGACGCGTCCCTTCAAGCCGTGGACTGCGGATTGTGGAGTAGAGAATGGGTGGTCTATCGATAGAGGAACGCGGGTCCTGGCGCCGCGGATGATGGATGGATGGCTGGATGTTCGTGGAACGCGAGGGAGAGCAGGAGGCGGGTGGCGTGGACTAAGGACTGAGGACTGGGGTGGTGGGATGGGGGCGTGGAGACTGAGACGCGGAGGGCGGAGGGCGGAGGGCAGCTGGGCAGCGGCTGTAGCGAGTGACACTGCATCGATGCGGTGAAGCGGGGGCGTGGGCGTGGTGTGGAGGCGTTGGGAGTCACTCACTGACTGCGGGCTGGCGGGATTGCGATGCGTATCAGCGCGCGGGGGCGCGCAGCGGGTTTCTATGGTACATATACATACATATAGCGTGCGTGTGGAGGAAGATATATCGAGCGACGGGATGGGGTGGAGTGCAGCGCGGGGTGGAGCAGAGTGTACCGCAGCTCCTACCGCAGCTCCTACCGCAGCTCCACCGCAGCTCCTACCGCAGCTCCACCGCAGGTTCTCCCGCAGGCTCTACCGCAGCGCACCCTCACTCCCACCGTCCATACCCATGAGCCTTGAAAACTCCCTACCCTGCGCGCTCCCCTCACCCAACACGCTCCTCCCCTCCTCTCCCTCACTCTCCTCCCTTCCCCTGAGTTTCCACTTCCTCCCCCCCCCATTCCTCCCCAGCAAACCCTCGAACCCCCTCCCGCCATCGGACCCACGCGCATCGCGCACAGGCGGCCGATCCTCCATCTCGCCCCTCGCAACCGCGACCTCCGCGCCCTGCGCCCTGAGCAACTTCAGCGCGACGCGGCCGTCGTTCCTCACGGCGCCGTAGAGCGGCGAGACGAACAATTTCCGTCCGCCGGGGGTCTCGGTGTCGAGCGTCTCGACGTCGCGGGCGGGGACTCTGGATTTCGCGCTGGGGTCTGCGCGCAGCTGGTCGTTTGCAACGAAGCCCGCGACACCCAGGCGGGCATACGCTTCTTTGCCGTGCGCGGTGACGCGCGGCTGGAGAACACGCGCGGCGACGGGGGGCGGGCGGGCCTGCGGGCCGAGTAGGGGGTGCGAGGACACGTGGGCGCGGGTGCGCAGGTAGGTCAGGCCGGCGGAGGGGTGGGTGGACAGCGGCGCGGTCTCGGAGTCGAAGGCGAAGCGGGCAAAGTCGCCGCCCGTGGCGTTTTGCTGGTACGAGCGGTGCTTGAGGCGGAGGGTGGGGAGGCGCAGGAAGGGGATGATGAGGCGCTGGACCAGGCGCGAGGAGATGGGGTTGTTTGCGGTTTCGACGCGCAGGGCGCGGATGGTGGCGGCGATGTCGGCGGGGGAAATGTCGGCCCACGAGGCTTCGCGCGCGGACTGCCAGGCGGCGGCCTCGGCCGGGTCGATGGGCGGGACGTCGCCGGAGCGGGCGGCGGCGGCGGCGCGGGTGGTGTAGATTTCGTTCTTGGCGAACTCGGTCAGGTGGGCGGAGAAGGCGTCGCGGTGCTTGGCGAGCTCGCGGTCGAGGTAGGCGACGAACTCGGCGGCGCTCTGGCTGGGCAGCCACGGGCCCTGGTGCTTCCAGCGGCGGGTGTTGTGGACGTCGGCGGAGACGGGCGGCGGCGGGTGAGGCGCAAAGGGCAGCGGGCGGCGCAGCTGCTTCTCTTGCTTGGTGCGGGCGTGCATGTTGTCGCGCAGGGCGCGCAGGAACAGACCGGCCTGGTCGAGGCCGGTGGTGTTGTAGGCGGTGGTGTCGTCGCGGGTCTCGAAGGCGCTGGTGGGCGGCGGGCCGGTCATGTCGCGGCCCTGCAGGTGCTGCAGGCCCTTCATCATGGGGATGCCCATCTGCTCCCACTTCTGGCGGGTGCGCACATGGTCGGCGGCCGAGTCGAAGTCGGTGACGTGCTCGATGGTGTCCAGCTGGGTGACGCGCAGCACGGGGTCGCTGGTCTGCAGCATGCGCGAGCGCGCGGGCAGGTTGCGCTTGAGGCCCCAGTCGCCGCGGGCCAGCGAGCTCTTGGTGGTGGCGATGGCCTGGTGCGTGGGATACGGCAGCGTGGCCGAGTCCGAGGCCTTGGTGACGCCTGCGCCCGACGTCTCGCCCACGACGGGCCGCGGCAGGGGCGTGGGCAGCGAGAAGAGGCGCGAGTTGCGCAGCAGGTGCGCCGTCGGCGATGCGCTCTGACGGAGGGCCATGGCGCAATGGATGGTGGTGGTGTGTAGTATTTTGAGGTGAGGTTCACTTTTAGGTGGTCCGTGCGGACATGCACAGGTAGCTTACGAAATACGAGGTTCAACTTAGGCCCTATACATTACGCAGTACAGGACGTGTGTAGTTCAGCCATGTGCATCGGTATTGGTATATGAGACGACGTGTGTATGGTACATTGTAGTACAGAGACAACGCAACTGCGTGTCGTCCTCTCGCCCCCTTCCCCACTTCAATCGCACGCTGCTTGTCGCCGCGTCGCTGTCGAGATGTCTAGATGACTCCAGATCTCGACGTCTTGCGTGCAGACCATGCTTCTGTAGGGGTCTGGCACGGTGCGGAATAGAATAATCGTGCGCAGTAGGTAATCGACTACTCGCAACCTGTTCACCCCGGCAGGTGCTTGTCCCAGTCCTGCGGGTCGTCCTCCTCCTCCTCGTCCTTGGGCCGGTTGTGGCGCGGGACGTGGCCTTCGATGGCCATGGTCGGGCCTGCGGGCGTGGGCGGTTGCGGCGGGGTGGCGCTGGGCGCGTGTTCGGTGATGGTATCTTTAACCAAGCTGCTGTTTGCCTTGCCCACCGCACCCGGCTTCTCGCCGCGCTCTAGTGCCAGCTCGGCGGCGGCGGTGTCGTGGGCAGCCCAGGCCGCGTCCATGTCGTCCTCATCCTCCGCCTTGACTGCCACTGGCACAACCTGAGGCTTCGTCCGCACGGGCAGCGTGGTGTGCAGCTCTGGCGCGTTGTCGACCATGAGTTCAATCCGGTCGCCGCCCGCGCGCAGCCACGCCGGCTCCTCGTTCAGCTGCACCTTGACGTACAGCGCGCGGCGGGCGCAGTCGTCCGAGCACCACACCTCCAGCACCTTGCGGTCGACAATCTCCACGCCGCGGTCCGTGTCGACGAACTGCTTGCGCGCCGTCGACCGCGCGCGCATCTTCGGGCGCGGACACAGCGCATAGCCGCACTTGTCGGCGATGTTGCGCTCCTCGATCAGCGAGTCGTAGTCGGCAGGCTGGAACGTCGCAACGGCGTCCTCGAAGGCGCGCGCGTCGGCGGGCGAGGGCCGCGCGGGGTCTGCCTGGGGCGAGGTCGGAAACTCCATCAGTGTCATGACGGCGTCGAGCACCTGCGCCTCGACGGCCTTGCGCTGCTCGAGGATGTTGGCATGGTGCAGGGCCACGTCGAGGTGCCGCTGGTTCACGGGCTTGCCCTCGCGCTCCGCGGCGGGCGCCGTCTTCTTCAGTATAGACTTGGGCGGCATGGCGGTGCGTGGTGGATGGGCTGGTGGCAGTGCACGAACGGCAGTGGGGAGGGCTAGCCAATCGCGGCGTCGGGCGCAAATGCAGGAGGGGCCATCGTGGCGTGCAGATGACGACGACCCCGGCACCAACCCGCAGCCCACGCCGCCAGCAGCCTGCAGCCTTCACCGCGACCACCATCGAGCGCGCAGCTTCACGGCCAGACACTCCGCCGTGCAGGTGCCGCCGCCCATTGCCCGACCCCGCGTCCCTCGGCACCGCCCGCCGCCCGCACCGCCACAGCCACAGCCAGCTCCCGCAGCTGCACCACGCACCCGACCACCGCGTTGGCGGCCGTCCGACATCGCCCGCTGAGCCTTCTGTAGCTGCCTACCCGTCGCTGCTCCCCGTAGCTGCTTCCCAGGGCTCCCCCGAGCTGCATTGGCGCCGCCATGTACAAAGTCAAGGCCGTCTTCGACTACGCGTCGCCCCACGACGACGACCTGAGCTTCTCCACGGGCCAGATCATCACCGTCACCGAGGAGGAGGACGCCGACTGGTTCGTGGGCGAGTACGTCGACGACGCCGGCAACAAGCAGGACGGGCTCTTCCCGCGCAACTTTGTCGAGCGCTTCGAGCCGCAGCCGCCGCCGCGGCCCAACCGGGCCTCGCGCTTCCAGCCGCTCGAGCCGCCCGCCGCCGACCCCGCGCCGCCCACGCCCGTCGTCGCACAGCCCGAGCCCGAGCGCGAGGACCCCAAGCCGCGCGAGGACCCCAAGCCGCAGCCGCCGCCGCTGCAGGTCCCGCCCGCCGCCTCCAAGCCCGACCCGGCCGTCCTCTCGCCCGCCTCGCCGCGGTCGGTCAAGTCCCCCCAGGACACACAGTCTATCAAGTCCCCCCAGGACGCGCAGTCCTCTGTCAAGTCCCCCCAAGACACGCAGTCCCCTGTCGAGGCCCCGGCCCCCAAAGGCCCCCCGCCCAAGAAGGCCCCGCCGCCCATCGCCGCCAAGTCGAACGCCTTCCGCGACCGCATTGCCGCCTTCAACTCGCCCGCCGCCTCGCCGCTGCAGCCCTACAAGGCGGCCGCCCCGCCGCCCACCTTTGTCAAGCGCCCGTTCGTGGCCCCGCCGCCCAGCCGCAATGCCTACGTCCCGGCGCCCAAGGAGGCCCCGGTCAAGTCATACCGCCGTGAGGAGGACCCGGAGATTGCCGACCGCCAGGCGCAGGACCAGGACGCAGCCGAGCGGTCCGGCCTCGCAGGCAACGCCCAGCCGGACGACGCCGAGGAGGAGGGCCCCAAGCTCAGCCTGAAGGAGCGCATCGCCCTCCTGCAGAAGCAGCAGCAGGAGCAGGCCGAGCGCGCCGCCGCCGCCATGCAGCCCAAGGAGAAGCCGAAGAGGCCCGTGCAGAAGAAGCGCATCGAGTCGCACGAGGGGCCGGCAGAGGACAGCGAGGACACGGAGCTCGAGAAGGTCGTCAGCGTCGGCTCTGTCTCCCGCCCGTCCACCGACCACGGCCGTCCGCCGCGGCCGCCGCACGACGTCAAGTCCCCCGACTCGCAGCACCACGAGCGCGAGATCCTCAGCGACGCCAACGACGCCGACCAGTCCGGCGCCGGCGAGACCGAGGACCAGGGCGACTCCACCAGCGTCGAGGGCGATGAGAAGCGCGCCGTCAGCCACCCGCTGCCCACAAGAGCCCCTGCTGCGCCCACAGAGCCGGACGTCGAGGAGGACGTCGCAGAGGAAGAAGAAGAGGAGGAGGACGAGATGGATGCCGAGACTAGGCGCAAGCTGGAGTTGCGCGAGCGCATGGCCAAGATGAGCGGCGGCATGGGCATGCCCGGCATGTTTGGGGGCATCCCCATGGGCGGCCTCCCCCCGAAGAAGAAGAAGTCGACCGGCGACAAGAAGGTCGAGGAGAGCGAAGAGCCCCACGTGCCGCAGCAGCGCGTCCCCATGTTTGCCATGCCGGGCATGCCGGTCAAGAGCCCGGAGCAGGAGCACAAGCAGCTGGCTGTTGAGAAGGAGGACGAGCCCGAGTACCCCGTGACAGCCGCACACCCCGCCGATGAGCTTCCGGATGTTGAAGACATCACCCCGCAGCCCATCTCACGGACAACCACCGCCGAGAGCGCGCCGCCCGTCCCGCAAGACAGTAAGCATCTCATCCCTCGCAAGCCCGTCCACTCGCCGCTCCAGCTGCCATCCTCGGAAACTGTGTCGAAGACCTACGTGGCTTTCGACGGGGTTTCGGAGTATGTCATGACTGTGAGCGTGTCGAGTATGTGCGTTCAGGCGTGGTTGTTAAGCCGCTAATATATTTAGGACGACCTGCTCCTCCACCTTTGCCAGCGACCGTCACCTCGCCAGGGCCTGGCTCTGAGTCGGGCGACGAGCTGACGGATGCCGGTGCTCAACTCGCGTCCCCACGAAGCCCGCCGCCTGTGCCGCAGCCTTCAAAGCGAGCCTCCTACTTCAACGGAGAGGAGCGTCCGGACTCGTCTGATCGCCGTGTCCCGCCCATCCCCTCAACCCCCGGCTCGCCGTCCTCTGCCCGCCTGCCTCCGCCTCCGCCGCCCACCGCCGCACCGCATCGCGAGCTGCCGATCAGGAAGCTCGACCACGAAACCGACTACGAGGGCGACTACGATACTGACATTGCGTCTGGCGACACCCACAAGGATGCCCTGAGGTCGCATGCCCGCGAGCCAAGCCTGGACGCGAGTACTCTGGCTGGTTCTCCCGTAATTCCGCATGGAATTCCGCCACTGCCTCCGACCGCCCCTCGCGCAGTTCCCCCGCCGCCGCCCCAGCAGCCCCCGAGCCGGCCATCAATGGACGCGCCACGCGCTGCGCCTCCGCTCCCGCCCGTGCCACCACCGACCCGGCAGGACGAGGATGAAGATGATTATGATCCGTACAAGTACAACTCGGCGGCCTCGCCCGTTCAAGCGCCTCCGGTCCCCAGGGGCATGCCGCCGCTGCCCCAGACGCAGCCGCCCGTGCCGCAGAATCGCCCGCCGCCGCCAATGCCGCCCGCTCCTCCAGTCCCGCAGCAGGCGGAGTCGTCGGACGACGATCTGTACGCGGCACCGGCGCCCAGGAAGTCTCACGACCGGCCGCCGCCGCTGCCTCCCCAGGCGCCTCCGCACCAGCATGCGCCGCCGCCTCCTCCGCACCAGCATGCACCCCCGCCTTTGCCCCAAGAGCGGGCTCCACCGCCGCCGCCACCGCACGCCCCGCCTCCTCCATCGCTCCCCCCATCGCTGCCCCCCTTCTCGCCCCCAGCTGAAGCCCCGCCGCGACCGTCCATGGGAGGACGCAAGTCGCTCGACGCGGGCCGCACATTACAGGGCCGCGTCTCGATGGACCAGCAGCGCCCCCAGGCCAGCCAGGACTACATGGCTGGCGACATCGACCTGGGCGCCGCGAGCCGCTGGTGGGAGCAGCCGAAGATGCTGCCGCCCACGCTGCAGACGCGCAAGGACGTGCTCGTCGACCTGCAGGAGTCGTCCACGGGCAGCGTGCTCGAAAAGCTCGTCTCGGTGCTCTTCATGGACTACTCCCAAACCATCATCTCCACGCGCTTCGACCCCGCCAACCCGGCCGCCACCTCGGTCGACCAGCGCCAGGAACCCCCACCCCCGCGCCTGCGCCCGGACCAGCTCGAAGCCGCGCACGACCACATCGGCCGGCGCATCGCCAAAGACGCCGAAGCCCGCCAAAACACCGTCGTCGGCTCCGGCACCCCGCACGCCCTCGTCGACGACCTCCTCAAGGCCCACAAAGACGCCCTCCTCCCCGTCTCCACCCGCGCCTACGGCGCCCCCGTGTACGCCAACCTCGCCAACGCATCCACCACCTCGCACGACGAGATCCGGCCCGGCGACATCGTGACTTTCCGCAACGCCCGGTTCCAGGGTAAAACCGGCGCGATGCATGCGAAATACGCGGTTGATGTGGGCAAGCCGGATCATGTCGGTGTTGTGGTCGAGTGGGATGGGAGTAAGAAGAAGGTTAGGGTTTGGGAGCAGGGGCGCGAGCATAAGAAGGTTAAGACGGAGAGTTTTCGGATGGGGGATTTGAGGTCGGGAGAGGTGAGGGTTTGGAGGGTTATGAGGAGGGAGTGGGTTGGTTGGCCGTAGACAGTAAAGGAGGATGGGAGGTGTGAGGTCTGAAGGATGGGGAGAGTCGAGTCGGGACGATAGTAGGTGTTCGTTGCCGAGCAGACGGGGTGCGTGAAAAAGGTGTTGGGGGTCGGAAGGGAGTGGACGGAAAGGAAGGGAATGCAGGGGGAGGAAGTGTAATTAGTTGGGCTGTAGAAGTAGATTTAGCAGGGTGTCTTGTCGATGGAGAGGGAGACTGAGTGGGAGCAGGGGGGTAGTGTATATGCATCCAGCCATCCATCATCAATCGTTCATCATCCAACATTTATCGTTCACTATCCACCATCCAGTCCATCATTCACCATTCATCGTTTATCGTTCATCATTGGTTATTCACCATCCACCCCCCATCCCTCCCATCTCCCCTCTCCCCTCTCCCCTCCATAACCCACCATCCTTCATCCTTCATTCCTCGCCATCCCCACCCCACCCATCCCCTCTGCCCCTCCAACACCACCACACAACCACGAAACCCCCCTCCCCCCCAACGCATCTCTACTCCAGCACACCTACACGGAGTACAAAGCCCAGACCTCTCTATATCTACAGTACCATTCTACCACCTAACCACTCACAGAGGTTAGGTTACAGAAGTAATGGAACAGTAGCAGCGCTACAGACCAAGGCTATGTAGAGATAGAGATAAAAAAGAGACTTTAGGTAGCTGCCTCTATTCACTGATCATGAGGTACTTGGAAGTCTAGCGCTGGTTCTGAGGTGGGATGCTTTTTATTTTTTGTAAGGGGACTTGTGGTATTGAGCAGGGGGGCTTATAAAGTGTGTGTTGTGGATAGCTGGGGAGGGAGGTGGAATGGGTTTGTAGACCTGGGGATGTGGCGTTGGGAGGTGTGTGCTCGCCTTGTTAGTCTGTCTGGAACATGGACATTAACGTTGAGTTTCACACGCAAGAAAAGGCACCCGTGGGCAGACAGATCTACACCCTCCCCCCCCCTCTGTCCTAGCCCACACATCCTGATGCGCACCGCGATTTGCTGCGGGGATATCGTATCCATGTACTGCATGTAACCCACAACCAATGCTGTAGACCCACATCTCCCTTCCTCGATTCCACCGAGAACCCAGAGCTGCGCGGTACACACACCTTACGCGTGACCTCGGGGATTTGATTTGATTTGCATACGTTTTATGTCTATATAGAATTGTGCTAACCGCTTCCTGGAGGGCATAGTACCTGGGACGTGTGCGCAGCGTACCGGGTGGTAGGGTTCTGCGGACGTTCGAGGGCGGTGCTGGTGGATGTTGTGGCTGTGGGGACGTGGGAGTGAGCTAGGGCGGTTGGTGGGGTTGGATGCACACCTAGCTGTTGGGGTTGCATATGCGGCTGGTGGAGGCGGAGGCACCGAGGGGGTGTTCGCAGTCCGCGGAATTTCTGGAGAAAGTGGGCTCTTCTCTGGGAGGAAGGAGCGAAATATATCGCACTTACAGGCGCTCCCTCGGCAGATGTGAAAGTCGGTATGTACTCCACTAGCCTCATTGCTCTACAGGACTTTCTCAGGGCGAAACCCACTACCGTCGGGGATTGATATGTCAACGTGCCGAGAAGCATTGCCAACCAGCATAAACGGAGCCTATATGCGCGGACTCTTGGAATCGAAAACTTTCTTACCATGCTCCCAGTCGGTGATGACCCTTGGCAACTTCCTTTTCGCGCTTTTTCCCGTCAGATCAGCTGGCTTTCTTCCGTTGTGTGCCCATTGATCCCAGAGCTGCATGAACTTCCTGAGCTGTTCGATGGCTTGATCCACGGAAAGCTGATACAGCCAGTTCGTGGCAACGCCCCACGCAAACGCTATTGTGCAGCTGAGTTGAGCCTGGACGAGGCATTTGTAGAACATGGACATGTGCAACATAGTTGCTACGTCGTTGACTTCCCATAACGCTCCTAGATAGCAGTTTGCACCCGCGGCCACCACGGCGTGAGAGAAGCCTTGAAGATCTCCTGCGTCGGATGCGCGACCCACACCGCTGAGACAGGCACGGAAGGTAACCAGCAGCACTTCAGACTGTACTGCCATCATATCCAAAACTCTGAAAGGATCTTTGAGCAACAGGTGTGAATTGAATGGAAAGTCAGCATCGTAGCGACCGTGCGTGCAAATGTGTAGGGAATCGGAATCTCGGATTAGGTCGCGGAATCCTTGCTGACTGACCTCCTCAGTCCACAGTGCCGACCCGCCAATGTTGGCGATCCGCATGGCATCCAGCCCAGCCATGGGGAGCCATTGGTTTCCTGCCGCTCCAGGTTGGGCAACAGCGTTGAGCCGCAGTCTACGCGGCTCGGGGCTGCACGAGCGTCTCTGGTGCAGAAAATGCAGGGCTCGTAGACTGGGGACCTGGGACACCATTTTCTGCAGCGCGAGGTACTGGCCCTTGTACTTTAAAGCCCCGAATGGAATCCTTGTCAGAACGCCAGATGCTACGAAGATGACGTGCGCTCTCTTGTCAATGCAGCTGGCAAGTGGTGCGATGAGTATCCCACTCGGAAAATCGCCGATCAAGTCAACCAATCCTGGAACGTCGCTCTCAATGGCACGGAAGTACATCATTATGTGTTGTTCCAGAGAGTTTGGAGTAGCCATTGGGCAGAACGCACCTATTCTGACAGCAACCTCATCTATGGCCTAGTACCAAGCAGCCGTCCGAGGTAAGGAACAGGTAAGCCACGATTGCATCCTGCGGTATGGATGCGAACTGCAGTAGAAACGGATCATGTCTGACCTCTGCTGCACCATTGCGGGATTCTTCCGCCTCTCGGAACTGGCGAAGAAGGTCTTCTCTCCGAGGATGCAGCTGCTCAAGCTCAATCTCTTATGCACACGTCCGGTCGGGCTTCACAAGCAACTCCTTCCAGAGTGCGTAATTGCGTATCGCTTCTGCTTGCTGCGCTGGAGGAACTTGCTTGTTGCCGCCCCACATGTACTGCGGCCGTGCGGCTTCCAGGAACGAAACCGCATCTTCAAAAGTGCTTTCGCGGGTGCTCGTAGTGGTAGCCTGGGTCAATCGTTCGGTAGATGGTACAGTCAATGGCCCGGTTACTCGTTGCTGGGATTGTGGATGAGCCAGGGGCCTGGCCAAACATCAGGGCAAGTCGGCCTCCTGAGCCCATCAGACGAGTGACGTCTGGCAACTTCAAGAGCAGGTGATACGAGCTATGATCTGATAGGTGTACGCGTGCAGATAATAACTAGGTGGCATATGGTAAGTAGAAGTAGTGCTAAGGTGTAAATAAGGAGAGCTTAGAGGTTATATAGTAAGATTTGCTAGAGCGATAGGTAGAAGATGCTGGACTACAGAGAAAGGCCGGGTTATGCTAGTAGCTATCTAAATTTGTGTCTAAAGAAGTAATATAGGGTGTTTTACGACTATGTTTCATATAGGTAATTTAAAATCTTATCTATCTACTACATACGTAATGCTCGGTTTGCCTGTTCAAGTAATAACCTTTAATTCCAGGAGAAGTTTCACCAAGCTAGTTTCAGAGGCAGTCACAAGCCTAGCAGGTACTGGGGTCATGTGCACGTGCTACTAATGTACTCCTTGCATACCATCTTTGAATAGACATCGTTATGTTCGGGTGGCCAAATATGGGTGACGGACGCTACGTCCAAAAGTCGTTTTGATTTTGGGTACTGAGGGCTTTCACCCATCCATGTTTCCGACGCAGCGGTTAATAGCATCGCATAAACCGGACATGTTATCATGAGTACTGAGTCGATGCAAATAAAGCTTGTCACCACGTATGACACTGATTGTCACAGCGTGACCTTCAATAGTCTTAGCTTTAGGCATGATTTTCAGTGTAAAACGGGGGTCGGCGGCTTGGAGAGCATCTCTTATCTGAGTCGCATTGCCGTGACATGAAGAGGGCCCCCAAATGACTTGGTCGTTGAAATAAAGGGTGCATGTGGAGGTGTGACCTTCAACAGAGTGGTCCTTTGGCTCCAGGAAAACTCGAAGATTGGCTTTGTTCGGGTGACTGGGAGCAGGTTCTAACTCATCTGGGACAGCCCAGCTACCAGCCCAGCTACCAGCCGAATCCTTTTCAAGGTGGTCTCTTTCAGCAAGACGCAAGACAGCTTGAGCTATCGCATCGGTTTGACGGAGGTTGATCGAGTCTGCCCCTGGACGAGGCTGGATAGTGGTGAACCAGTGCAAGCCTTCAGCAGGAACACCAATCGCAAAACGTCTTGGATGAGGCTTCTTGGAATCTTTGATGATGTTGTAAGTCTCACTGGCGATGTCAATGGCACCAGTTTTGTAGCCATGGATCTCGTGAGCGCGACATTCGCCTTTGCCATACATATACTTTAGGAGGCTGTCTGCTGTGTGCTCCAAACTCGGTTCTGGAATTAAGGCGTCGACGAGTGTCTTGGTTTCCAGCACAAATTTCGGGTTCTTCGAAGTAACCTTCCAATGGTCACCCTCACGCTCTACTTCTGAGTTTGGGCCAAGAACGTGTAAGACGCCTGCTTCCATGAGAGCAATCAGTTGCTCAACACGCCGACGAGGGGGTCCAGTTGATAGAAACGCGTTGAGTTTCGTGAAACTTTTCCAGGTGCCTCTTTCTGAATTCCCAAAGCTGATAATCTCGCGCAGGGACTCGCGTATTTCACGCAAAACGTCTATAGCAGCCTTCTGGGGCCCCTGCACATTGCCTTTCTTCGCTTCGAGGACGTCTTTCTGCAAGTGCTCAAGCAACCAGCTATTCCACGTCTTTAGTGAAGTGAATGATTTTTTTCCCATGTGGGGCTTGAAGAAGCGACCAGGACCAAAAACTATCAGGTGTAGCCCACTGGCGCAGATCTTTCTCATCCGATTCATCAGGCTGTATGATGTCGGCGAGGGTTTTATCATCCACTTGCTTTCCTTCTTCCCTGAAGAGTGCCTTATAATAGACAAACTTCACCTCTTTGGAAATGAGTGGCCAGACATCGTCGTCGAATTTAATCTCCTTGGCGTCTTTCAATGTTGCCAACGCTTCCTTAGTAAGATATTTTGGCTCAAACACGTCAGTCGCAGTCTTCTGATCGTCGCCCTTGGTAAGATAGGGAATGCCACCGCGAGAGCTAGCATATATTTGAGGTTCGAAACCAGTTGGGTGATACTTGAATCTGCCGTCTGCTTGGCGCTCAAACCATCCGCCTCGTCGAGCGGTCAGCAAGATAACATAGTCAAAAAAGACAAGACCAAGCCCGCGTAGAAAAACCACTTCATCATGTCCAATGGTGTCGAAGTTGATGTCTGCTGGATTGCCAGGCGGAAAATACCGCGTTTGAAGGTATTGCTGCCCATGTTCCACATCCAGCTGCTGCTCAATATTGAGTTCTCGACTCACATGGCCTTGGGTTAAGATGACGGCGGACAGCCCTTTCAAAAGTAGTCGTGAAATACCAGAGGGTTTCATTCTGACCAGCTCGAGGGCTTGTTTGCAGTCATCACCGGTGGTTCCCGCTTCATTATCTAATCTAACAGCCTCGGCGCGGTGTTCTTTAATCTCGATCTCAACTGAGCCAACGATTGATTCTGATTTTGAGCGCCTGCGAATCTCGTTGAAGGCCCAGATCAGATAAAGTCCATGCTGTGAACGAGTGGCATAGTCCTTTTCACCCAATCGGAAGCCATCTGCATCTCTACCCCATTCATACAGGGTCGGGCCCGAGTGTTGCAGGTCATGCGGTCCCACGCATTTCACAGTCGGATCTGTGAACAGAGTGACCTGGGAGGCGACCGTGTTCATAAGAAGACGGGGGGGTTGTTCAACCCGCCACACGCTGCCTGCGCCAGCCGGGTATCGATCAATGACATGAATGGTAAGCTTTGTTTCATGATTCAGAAAACAGCGTGCGGAGGCAACGATTCGTTCGAGGGTACTCGTTCCGCGAGGTCCAGCACCTACGATGGCGAGTTGAATATCGTTCATGGTGGACTTTTTGAGTATTGGTTTGAAGTTTTAGAATTTTTTCAAGTTGCAGAGAAGAAATCTGGCTTGGTGAATTGATGATTTTGGTAAATCTAGGCGTTCCATAGCCATCTATATACACATACCACATAGCGGACCCTCTTTACTAGACCCAGGTTAAAATTTAAACCTTTTTCAGTTGTTCCGTTGCATAGTCTTCCTGCTCGATCAGGGTGGCGTCCATAACAGAGCTGAGCTGCGGTCGAACTCAATACAAATATGATCAGGCCCAGTAAAGCACCATATTAGCAGTGATGCTCCTGCGTCAACATGCCTGTCATCTCCTACCCTCCACTGCTATCTTCTCATCGATCATTCTGGACCCCGCAGCTTACAGGGGGGTATTCTTCTGGTTAATAGCTCATAGGTCACCATTAAGAGTTTAGCCAATCTAGAGCAGCTGAACTACTCTCCTAGAGCTTTTGACTTGCTGGATGCATGCCACGCTGGCACACTATGTCGGCCCGACGTGTACAGGGGGTGCGCAGTGCACACGGCTTGCGCGTGGATGGGAGTGGTGGGGTGCGGAGCAGGCACGGTGGGGTTGTGGGGGCGTTGTTGAGGGAGGTGCGGGTGGAGATGCTCGATGGCCCGGGTGGTGGGGTTGTTAGTGCGCTTGTGAGTGCGTCTCGCTCCGTCTGAGTGTCCAAGAGTCTGATGATCTGACCATCTGGATCATGAATCGGCTTGCTGGGGTCCTGGGGATAGTTGTTCGAAGGCGGCGTCTGCGAAATTGCATGTATACTGATGCGTCAAAGCAGGTGGTGTAGAGCTGATGTCTGCGGGGGATCGGTGTTCCGGTTCCATAGCGTGGGTGAGTGCGCACTACTGTACTTTGGTATTGGGCAGCGTTAAGCCGTTCCTGACGGTACGTGCTCCTGTTCGTATTCGTCTCTATCGATGATACCGCAAGCTGAATACCGTAAAAACTGATCTCTTTGGCAAAACGCTAGCAGGGTGCGGGTATTAATGGACCCTAATCTAACGGCTTGTAGCTGCTCAATGTGACCTCCTAAACTCAACATAGGTAGGGTGCTCTAGGCGTGATAAATACTAGCTGAAACCCCACAGTGATCTCACCTATCACTGGTTATTTGCTGAGCTGAGCCCCACAGTTACCCGCACCCTGTTAGCGTTTTGTCAAAGAGACCAGTTTTTACGGTACTCAAAGAGTGAGCCGCTAAGATTTGCGAATCTACAGTACAGCTGGGGTAAGTAATCAATGTACATCCTTAAATATTCTTCTTCTAGCAGCACCTCTCTACAAGTAATAGTAAAGCACACTAGACTAAACAATAAAGTGCTAACATTAAAGCTAAAATAATTGGTATACCTCTATAGGTTATGTTTTGTTAACAGCTGGCTGCTGCGAAGTCTTGTAACACATTGACTACTCACCCCTGACATACTGTACTTGAGAGCGCAATGGGACCTGCTTTTAACCGCCATGGCTCAGCCTCAGCCTTACGCCACGTTGGTTTCGCACAAACCCCTGAGACAATGCGCTTCCTGTACTCATATGCAGCTAACGCTTGGTTAAAGATTGTACCACCCGCCAGTCTAATCAGCCAGTAATGCACTGTGACATCGGGCGACACGTCAATACCTAGGTAACCCTGGGGAGCTGCGAGAGGTACACAGAAATCACGTCACAACTGTTTCAAGCGTGAATACATAGAATCTATATGTAGAATTAGCATAATGTCATCACAAGAAAAGCTTGTGTACGCTCCTGAAGGGTTTGGAGTGGAAGTTTCATGGCCCAACCTTATGTCATAGCCATGCATCTTGGCCTGATTTTGCAGCATCCACAGGCTCTATGCTGGTATACGCCGTACGTTCGACCCAAAAAGAAGCGAAGACGCCACAGACCATTGTTGACAATAAAGAACACCACGGAACTTTGCCCAACGTCGATCTATCGAAATTTACCGTCCCCGCAGCGAAAATACTAGAACTTTGGGACTAATAACTTGCAGAATATTACAAGATCGTTTCCTGATTCACAACGATATCGCGCAATAGCCATGTCCAGATCGCTGCGCAAGGGTGTACGTGAAGGTGTTAACATGTCTACATGCTGGGAGCGCTATTTCTCAGGGATATGACAGGACATTCAGGGAGAATCGCAGGTCTTACGCCTAGCCCTCGCTCCTGGTAAGCCACGAATTTCGGTAAGGAGGGGGCCATGGAAAACGTTGAACAAAGCAGGTACCCTGCCCTTTCTTTGTTCGTTGATGCTTATCGCATCCCCGAACTAGTAGAACTAGACTACAATAACAAGAAATCTATTAGAGTTTCGAAAGAGGACGCCGTCATGATCTGGTGCAGCGTGATTGACCCTGACACGTTTCTATTGTTGCCTTTTGCGGCACATCTGGCACTACTTAAGCAAGAGCTTCCCGTGCACAATGCAGGAGAATCTCTCCAAATTGCTCTGCGTAATTTTTATCTCCCATATTCCGCAATCACGATGACGAGAAAAGTTGTGCCGAAGGAAGTTGCGTCGAAGTCCCTGCCAAAAGAGTCAAGTGTTAAGCGCAAGCTTACTGCTTCTCGCCCCAAGCGACCTGACAATTTGGATGAGTTGATGAAAATGATAGCCGATGTAGCGTCTGGTGGACAGGCTATCCCCAGAAGCGGTCGGGCAGGGCGTGGAAAGCGCAGTGCCAATGTCGAAAGCAAGACTACAGACGTAGACCGTAAGAAGAACTTAAAAAGGCGAACTCCAGGCTGGTCTAAGGTGTCAGTGGCTCACAAGGTTAGAGCGAAAGAGGCGGTTGAATGGCATCACTCAAAGAGGAGGGCAAGGTTAGCACTCGAGGACGAGAGCTATGTGCATCTCAAGCCAGAAATCAGCGACACGCCCGAAGCCTGCACAATCCTCAAACAACGAGATGTTGAGGGCCAATCTTTGTACCTGGTCGACTGGTACCCGAGCTGGGTCGAGGCAAAATCAGTCTGTCAACAGAAGATTGATGAATGGAAAATCAACAAGGACGAACACACACTGATCGACAACGTGTGCTAGATGTATTGGAATTTCATGAACCCTGGGTTGGAAAATAAAGGTCGAACGGTCGAAACTCTCGCAGCAGAGCTTTTTCAGCAAGATGAATGGGAGATCTACGACGGGGCAGCTAACAGCGCTAAGTACAAGAAATTTGCAAGAAAAAACGAGACCAACTGGACCATCTCTGCTGCGGGACTTATGCAGCGCATCTTTATCGAATGCTCGCGGCATGGAGTCAACGGCCACCTTGATATTCTCCAATCAACCTACAAAGACATCCTAGTCCAATACAACGGCAAAATCGATGATCGATCTACTGTGCACCAGCTCCAGCCTCCCGAAGGCAAGGCGGCGCGAGAATTCATCGAGCCCATCTTCGACCGACGAGTCTGGGGCGTGAATCTTGTAGAAGGATCTTCCAAAGCCATGGATACTTGGGAGAAAATGCGCGTCGTAGATGGCGCTGAGAATTTGGCGCGGAATTGCCCGTACCTCTTTCGCCACCCGTGGCCCCTCGCCTTTATCTCGCTATGTTGCAGGCATTACACGATGAAAAACGTCCTCGGGAACCCAGGTGATTGTTTCAATCTTACTGATAGCCAGGAGGGTCAGAAAGCATTGGCGGACTGGAAGGACCGGGCGCGCAAACAGATCATGAACACGTACCTCGACGAGTGCGAGTGGGACCGCCGGTCCGTCAATGAGGTGTGGAGGACGTTTCTGGAGGCGCAGATAATTCTTTCTCGGAGGATGTTCGTCTGCGGATAATGCCATCTAGCAGCGGCAAGGCATCGAGCATAACCAAAAAAAAAGGGGGGGCGGAAGAAGGCGTCAAGGTAGTTTATGTGCGTTTAGAAGACTGAGAGCCACTGCCTCAAAGGCCGAGTCGTCTGTGACAAGACGGAAAGTAGTCTCAGTGAGACGGATGAGATTGGTACGACGGAGAGCGATTAGAGTCCCGAAGCGCAATTTGGTTATTGTCATCAGTAACGGCGAAAAAGATGAAGGTAATGAGGCTGATGAGTGATAAAAAGCAAAGTGAGTGTGAGCATTGAGTAGGTTTTGTTTGAGTGTGGTTATTTACCTTCGCATTCGGGTTTATTTTCCATTTGGGTCAGTTGATAGTTTCACCGATGTGAATCATGTGATCATGTGAATCTGAAAAAGGTCCTGGATAACGAAAGATCCTCTTGTTGTTGTTTTACTTCTAAGCTAAATAGTACTCTAACATCTGGATGGTGGCAAATTGACTCGTGGATCTAGCCCATGCCAGCGCTGTCTTCCCCTTATTATCTACTGCGTTGGCGTCAGCTTCGCCAGTAGTAAGTAGCATTCTAACGACTCCTATCCAACCGCATTCTGCAGCCCACATCAGTGCCGTCTTTCCTTGGTAGTCCGTTGCGTTGACGTCAGCTTCACCCACACTAAGCAGCATCCTAACTACTCCTATCTCTCCAAGCTCTGCTGCCCACATCAGTGCGGTCTTTCCCGTGCCATCTCTTACTTCAAGGTCAGGCTTGTCCAAACTAAATAGTATCTCAACGACCCTCATATCTCCATATTTCGCCGCCAACATCAGTAGTGTCGTCCCTTCTTCATTCTTTATGTTGACATCAGCTTCCCTACAGCTGAGTAGTAATTTGAGAACTCCTAGATGTCCATCTATTACTGCTCTCATCGGTGCTGTCGTTCCTTCGGCGTCTCTCTCATCCACTCCAGCTTTACCAACATCGAGCAGTACCTTTATTATATCTGTAGATTTGCGACTCACTGCCACTATCAGTGCTGTTTCTCCGTCATCTTTCTTTGCATCAACTTCAGCCCTGTTGATACTAAGCAGAAGCTTAACCATGTCTATGTCTCCGAGATTTGTGGCCACTATCAGTGGCGTTGATCCGTTCTTGCTCCTTGCCTCGACATTAGACTTACCTGCGCTAAGCATCACCTTGACCGCTTTCTTATTACCATCCACTATTGCCTGTAGCAATGGTGTATGTCCATCTTCATTCGTTATTTCAGTATCGACGTTCCCAAACTGCAGTAGCAACGCACTAAGTTTTTCATTTCCATTTTCTACTGCCCAATGGAAATGTGCCCAGTAATTTTGGTCCTTGTTGGGTTCGGAAGACCGACTTTTGACTAAATTTGAACACAGATTGAACATTGCAGCGTTATGACCTGACACAAACCAACTGTGGTCTTGCCAATATGTCTTTGCATATGCATAAAACCGAAATGGGTTTTCAGGCTTAGGTTGAGAGGGGCCGCATGCTTCTGCGATAGTTTTGCTCATGTCAAACGCGGACTGTTTTCTTGAACTCAGAATCTTCAGAGCGAGTTGACGTGTAGTGTTTGAGAAATCCAGAGTAGTTTGTAAAACCTTAGATGGTACAGAGTGCGTTAGAATTGGTAGAGCCTTGGCGTTCGATAATTCGGTTCCAAAGACGTCGTAGTTGAGATATGTGATGACGATGTCTGCCAACGTTCTTTGCGCCTCTTGATATGAGAAGCTCACACGCTTCGGGATATCAAGTTCGCCTAGGATGTACTGCTTAACGCTGTGGTGTACGACCCGGACGGTGAGCTCCTCTTCATCAACAATGAGAAGACATCCGCAGCAAGCTAGTGCTGAGTAGACATCATTCAAGATTCTCGAAGAATCTAAAAAGCTGTCTCCTGGTGTAACGCTTAGAGCTTCCCGCAACTCATCTGTTGTCAAAGGTCGACAGGCTGCAAGCACAACTTGTAGCGTTTTAGTTTGGAGGGATGGATCCGAGTTTCCTGACTTCTGTAGAATCCTGGAAAACGTTTCCGAGAGAGTGCGGGGCAGGTCCGCCAGTGCTTCTCGAATGGCGTAGTCAGTCTTCATGAGGCATAAAGACTGGATTTGGAGGGCTGCCCAAAGGAACATACCCTGCGAACCCTCGGACAAGGCTGTTTGAATTTCCAATATCAAAGTCGGATCTCCAAGGTTCAGAAGCTTTTGGTCGAGACAACGCTCCAATTCCGCTTCGATGAATGCCTCGATATCTGACGAGATGTCTATAGATGAAACCATATGGGGTTTGTAAAATGCACCTACAGCCGATCGCGCCTCAAGACCTGACTCCTGGCGTTGAGAGACACAGACAACGAGTTTTTGTGTAGTCTGGATTTTGTTGATTGCATGTATCAAGATCCCCTGCTCCGTAGTGTTGCATTCATCAAATCCATCCAAGACGAAATATGCTTTGCAATGGGACGGAAAGGCTCGAATGAGGATGTCAAGTACCTTGTCGACGTCGCCAGTAGCGTAGGAATCTTCACAGCTCTGACTGACCTTGGACAGATCGGGCACAGCATTCAGCAATTGCCGGGTTAATGAGCCAATGATAGTTCGCGCTGATAGGCTTGCCGAGACGTCGTGTTTGCAAAAGAAGAATGCCACGGGATGTCGTTCTTGAGCTGCGAACAGGTTCAGGTCGTCCACGATATTTGCAAGTGACACAGACTTGCCAGAGCCCAGCTTGCCCACAAATATCAATGTTTTTGACTCCGCTGAATTTCTCCATTTTGCATAATCCGCACACTGCATGTAAGATGATGTGTTGCCAGCTTTCCTGATCTGCTTCCACGTCACCTCATGGTCGTATGTGGAGCAATAATCAAGCACTTTGAGCCTGGTGTGACGCGTCTGCCGGTCTGAGGTTGATTGGAAGAACTTTTTGGACACAACCCTGAATCCAGTCCCCTCCTTTATGTCTTCCAGGCTTGTTTCTTCTTTGATGCAGAGTGCCCATCGATCGAGTTCGACTTGAAAGGACTTCAGACGTGATTCACTCAGGGCTGATGCAAACTGTTGGACTGCTGATTTCTGTCCAAACTTGAAAAGGAGTCGACAAAAGTTTACGACAACAGTGAAGTACTCGGAAAGGTATGATGGTAGCTTTTTCGATTGAGGATAGAGTAAGGTCAAAGCTTGGTGGCGTGGAGCTGAGCGGCCAATGTCCATGAAGATTGAGGATAACTTATCGACGTAAGATGATACAGTTACGATGGACTGTTGTGGGTTAGCCATCGAAAAAGCGACAATGTCATAATTGACAGTACTGACCAACACCGACATGCGCACCAATGACCACACACCACATGCAATGAGATTTTGGGAGCCTCCCACTAGAACATCTCCGAGCGCAGCAAATTGTTGGACCCCTTGAAGGAAATTCGTGAAGCGAGGGCCATAGCAGCGTCCACTAAACTTGTCTGATATGCGACGATCAATTTCTGCCGTGAGGCACATGACGTCGCCCGGGCTAGGTGCCGTTGAAAGCGATTGCGATTTTAGTGTACGATACTTCGCCTTTTCTATGCTCGAGAGATCAGCTTCAAACTCAGAGATGGCTTGAATCAGACGGAGCTCTGCCGTCGGCGGCGGCGTCTTCGACAAGGCGCTCGACATGATGCTAGCATCGTTGAGCTCAGAACGGAAACAAAAGTCGAGGAAAGAGGAGAACGATTTAAGATGAGGGCGGGGTTGCGGCTGACGTGCAGCTTATAATCAGGCTGGCGCACAGCCTAGGCAGGCGTGATCAGGCTGTGCATCGCACGCCGTAGCGCCACATGCGTGTGTAGAATATGTGCTTGTCGTGTAAATAGGGCCACATTTACTTGTAGCTGCAATCGATCACGCGAACCCATCTTGACACAGTCCTGGGGCCGTTGGCCGTTGTCGCTTTCGAACTCTACAGCCGATTCGCATCCTTACCTTGTTTGTACAACGTTCACGCCGACCTGCACGCGCAAATCTGCAGCATTCAACAAAGAATGTAGCGTTTTGGGATGCTACCGCTGACGATGCTGTTCATTGGGAGAAGGAGAACCAAAAGTGCAGGCTTGAATTTGCGCTAAGCCAGATCAGTCACTAGCATGACCCGCCCCGGATCCAACAGCCTCAGCCACGACGCAACGCACATGTAAAAGGATATTGGTACAATCAGTGGATATAGCTGGACTGTACAGTCAATTACCATAGGACAGAAAAGGCGGTATTTATATTGTACGATAATTCAGTTTTGCAAATCTGACTTTGAGACCCGTGATCGTCCTCCTCAGATACGCTCAGGAAGGCCGAATGCACAAATCGGCACCCGGACTTGGCGAACGTAGCATCCCAGTCTGTGGCACTCACCAGCGGAAAGTAACGCCAGTTCAAACAGAACAGATTGAGGATCCTCGGCTCCTTCCCGATGTCATCGTCGTCATCAACGATTACAAAGCAAAGCATGATAGATAAGACTCTACGGCACATGGGTACTGTGTCACAGCAGCAAGGAGTTTAAGATGCGTCACCCACTCGCTCTATAGTCCTCCAAGTCATCGTCACGTATTACACCAGAACAATCGCAGCTCAGCACTACTATCAGCTAGTACAATCAGGCCAACGGGCCATTTAGCATTGCGAACTCACATCGCTACCCCCAACCGAAGTCCAATAGATACTTAATACGCACCCTGCTCAATACCCTGCCCAACACCCTGCTGCGCTCCACTATCCCTCCTCTCCCCTTCCTCTCCCACCTTCCCCTTACCCTTATAATACGGCCTAGGCAGATTGTCATAATATGGCACAACAATCACATCAGGATCGCTCGTCATACCGACCATACTCTTCGTCATATCCTGATGCGGTCGATTGCTGACCCGCAAATCAATCAACCCGGGTCCCTCGCTCTGCACAACCTCATCGATCGCGTCGCCCAGTGCATTCAGCGCCTTCTGCGCACGCGTCTCGTCGCTTGAGCCCCGGTCTAGGAACGACGTGCGGCGCGGATCGAGCGGCGACTGCGGGAGCGAGGCCGTGGCGTCGACCAAGAGACCCGGCAGCCCGAAACCCTGCGCAATAATGTCGTAGCGGGTAGACTTGTTGAGCCTCGACGCGGGTCGCACGGTGGTGGTGTCGCCGTAGATCATGTCTTGGCCCGCGAGACTCATGCCCCAGACTTCATTATTGACGACGACGGTGAGGACGCGCAGGTTGAATTTCCTGAAGGTGTCGAGCTCGGCTAGGTGGAAGCCGGCGCTGCCGTCGCCCTGGATGTTGAGGACGAGGCGTGAGCGGTCGGCGACGGCGGCGCCAAGAGAGTAGCCCCAGCCGTTGCCCAGGAAGCCTAGGTAGCCGGTGCAGACCATGGAGAGGGAGGCAGATGCTTCGGGTAAGTTTTGCAGAGCCCAGCCGCCGACTTCGCCGCCGTCGATGCAGATTATCGAGCCGTTGGGGATGAACTGGAACAACTTCTTGACGGCATGGTAAGGATGCAAGTGCCCGTTGGTCTCATCGATCTTGGGTTCGCTTTCATTGTGAGAGGCGCGGAAAGACTTGAGGCCCAAGGCTGTGCGAATCCACGCCTCTTTCGTCTTGTACTTGGAGTTGTCTTGGCTGACAGCTCTGTTCAGTGCAGAGACGGCGAGTTTAATATCTGACACAATACCTAGGTCAACGTGCTCCGAGCGACCTATCTCAGTACCGTCGATGTCGATCTGAACAATCTTGCAAGAGCTGGTGGGTACTATGGCGCCGCTGCGACCACCGAGAAGGAAACCTGTGCGTGCACCCAAGAGGAGAACCAAATCTGGTTGTGGCTTGCCAGTTGCGGCGAGAAGACCAAGATTAAGAGCAGATCCAGCATGGAAAGAATGATTTGTCGGAATGCCAGTACTGAACTTTGGGCTATGGAAGACGGGGATACTAATAGCATCAGCCAGGGCCACAATGTCATCGACAGCCTAGATTTCATCAGTTAGTTTCATAGGTACACATTGTGCAAGTCTAAACATCGCTTACGCTGCGAGCCCCGGTACCCACAATGATAGCAGGCCTTTCAGCTTCTTGCAAAAGCGATGCTATCTGATCGATGGCAGCTGGGTCAGGTCCAGGCATTGTTACAAGTGGACCAGTGACATTTCCCCAGGCAATCGACTCCTTCTCCACAGGCGTGAATAGCACATCAATCGGAAAGTCAACAAGAACCGGTCCGGGCGTTCCCGAGCTGGCCATGCGCCAGGCCAGACTTGTAATGCGAGGAATCTCGCCGACGTTTGTGACTATGAGAGAGGATCAGTCTAAAAATCGGGTACAAGCCGTCCGCGAGATGCTACTAACCGCGATGTGCAAACTTGGTAACGGGCTTGGCAAGCACTACTTGATCATGGAAGCCCTGAAGACAATTCGTCTCTGCGTCTCTCAGGGGTGGGCTGCTCGTGACGCAGAAGACGGGGCTTCGATCCGCAAACGCCGTGGCCAGGCCAGGAAGTCCATTGCAGAAGCTGCAAGCATCAGCTACCGTTTGTCCGTGTTGACGTAAGCCACTTACCCACTGTTGGCGGTAACGAAGCAGCAGCCGGTATTACCGCTAACCTTGGCATACCCTTCAGCTGCCTGCACAGCGACAGTCTCGTGTCGTGTATCAATGAGCTCAATGCCTGCATCTGAGCATCCCATCAGGAAGGCATCGAGATGGCCACCATGCAGACCAAATACAGTACGGACACCAAGCTGGTGCAGACATTGCGCAAGAAGATCGCCGCCTAGCAGCTCACGACCTTTTGGATGCTTGAGCTCTATACTGTGGGGCGCCATGGTGTTTCTTGTAATCAGAGCTCTGTCCTTGAGGGTTGAAAGAATCGATGTCAAGAAGGATGTGGGGAGCTGAAGGGCAGGAGTAGAGACACTGGATCGGTGAAAGGCATCCAGTGCCTAGACTTGCGCGTCGTCGAGAGCATCTCGTGAGACCTACCAGCATGCGCTGCCGTTGGACGAGGTTCACGATGTGGGGGTACCCCGCTTGTTGACCATAGCTCCCGCCAGTAGCTCGGACCCTGGTAATGTCAGGGCCCAGGATCGACCGAGCGAGTCGAAGGTGCTGACTGTCCTCGGTTGTACGAATCAGGGATACCGAGTTTGTGTTTATGTCACTGGTGGTGAAGCTTTGAGAATGGTGAATGACAGCTAATATTGCAGGCAACGTAGCTGAAGTCATCTATGTTATCATTTGGGGCATCTAACTTGAAAGTCGACCTATGATGTGTTTTGAGAGCGACTTTAATCCGTCATGAGGTCTACCCCGACACCTCTTAATGCTTCGACCGCCCATTCGGGATACTTCGTCTTCTCGCCGCTATATAGCGTGCTAAAGAAGTCTCGCAGAAACTGTGGGTATCTATCTTCCAAGATAGCCTCTCTTGCCAGCCTCATAAGATTCAACTGGTAGTGTACGTTGTGCATAGTAAGGAGATGTGCTCCAGCAGTCTCCTTCGCGGTGACGTGGTACACGTAGGCACGTGTGATGCCCAGTCCCCCTTCGGATGTTGGTCGGCAGCAGGTGCACTTGCAACCTTCCTCGATTGGTCCAAAGTCTTCAGAATGAACGACATTGCGTAAGTTCAGCATACCACTGGCGGTGATTGCATTGCCAAAGCGCTGTACTTGTTAGTAGAGTCGTTGGCTCACGTAATGCAAAACTCACGGCAGTCCGGGTGGGCCAAACACAGTCAAACATGTCTGCGCCGAGGGCGACAGACACGACCAGATCTTCAGGATAGCCAATGCCCATAACGTAGCGGGGCTTCTTCTCCGGCAACAGTCCAGTACAGGTATCGACCACTTTGCAGTAGTCACTTTTCGCCTCTCCGCCAGACAGTCCGCCAATAGCAATTCCCGGAGTATCCCGAGCAACCATTTCAGCAGTACACTGTCGCCGCAGATCCAGGTCTAATCCTCCTTGAATGATGCAGAAGAGATTCTGGCGCTCGGGGTATTTGTGGGCCTGTATGCAACGATCAAGCCAGCGCACTGAGCGCTCCATTGCCTCCTTCATGCGAGCAAGGTCTGGGGACGTTGTGACGATTACATCGTCGAGCTGCATCATGATGTCTGAGCCGATCGAGTTTTGCAGCGACATGGAGTGTTCGGGGGTGAGCAGCATGGGCGAGCCATCGTGAGGGCTCAGGAAGCGTACGCCTTCTTCGGTGACTTTGGCAAGCTTGAGCAGCGATACCATCTGGAAGCTGTTCTGGGCGTCAGCTACGGTGCGTGTATCGACGAGGAGCGAGGGATCACCCACCCACCACTATCTGCAGCAGTCAGCATGTTGATCGAGGCGCCTTCCAATCATGGAGAGTTCAAGATGGGCAAGCACCTGTGAGCATATTGTGTGGCCATGACTGCAACTTGTGTGCACCGCCTACGGCATCCAGTGTTGCCTGTCCTGGCTTAAGGCCTCTGGAGGTGTCAGCACGAGAGGGAGCTGAAAGCGACTGTGTGCCCATACAGGTGGTATGTGTTGTTCAAACATAGCCTGCAGCCTTGAGCCTCGAGCTGGTCCGGGGTGAGGCCCTTCAATGACGCCTGGGTCGCCACGGGCATGAAGATAGGGAGGGGTACTGGCCCGTGGGGTAGATGCAGCGTTGCAGCACGCGCCTTGGTGACCTGGATACTCGTTGGACACCACTCTTGTTGTTGAGTACACTACGTACCGAGCATTTCCCTAGCAGCTCAAATTTGAGCGCTGACGGTATGGGCGCCATCATGTATGGATTGTTCGAACGTCGTGCATCCCAAAACGCGACTCACCAAAATGTTCGCGTAGCTGCAGGGGTCCGGCGCTAGCGTGATTATCAGCGATACCTTCGAAAAGTCATCAGTCAATTAAAAAAACGGAAGCTTAACTCGGTCTGAAACTGCTCGAGACTGCTCTCTTTCAGAATTCATTGGTGCCAAAATCGGATTGAAAACATGCGGGCTGCCAACGCTGTGTGAGAGGTTGAACAGGTTCAATACTTCTGGCAGATGAAAACATGGAAGGACCACGCACGAAGTTGTTGTGTATGTCTCAGCCTCTGTTCGTCTAGCTATATTTACACTTAGTGTACGAGAAAGGGCGGACTGTGGTCGTCAACACCGAAGAGTACTTCTTGAAACGTCATGAACAACACTTTGAGCTAGCACCAATCAGCGGGGCAGGGGTTCGGAGTTCTGCTCCTTCCCCATACCTACATACGTACCTATTTCCATCACCAGCGTCATATCATTCTGCTAGTCTCTCTGTGCCCCGATTACTCAGATGAACCAGAGACAGCCAAGGCGCAGACCTCCAGTTGTCCGCACGCGAGATGCGGGGTCCCCACACAATGCACGATGCTCCAAGCCACACCTCGGTCGCTCGGGCTATGTGAGCCGGACAACGGACGAATAGATAAGGATGATATCGTCGCAATGCGATGCGACACAATCCCATGGTCCCGCGACCATGCCAAGTGAATCTCCAGAAGACAACCAGGCTGAGGCCAATGATCAAGCCAAGCCCGTGACAGAAGGTCTGGCCTGCAATGGTTGTCGAAAGGCTAAGCTGCGCTGTTCGCGAGATCGCCCGAACTGCTTGCATTGTCGGAAAACTGGTACGCAACACTCTTTCAAACATCTTGAAGCTATGCATTGACTGAATCTCCGTTAGGACTTGACTGCATATACGAGTCGAAACGAATCAAACCGGGCCTCAAGTCAGGAGCGGTCGAGAACCTACATAGAAGACTAGGTATGCAAACAAACACCTGAATATTTATCAATTCTTTCCTAACGATGACAGATGAAATAGAACATCGCCTAGCGAAGGGAGACGTGGAATCCACCAAACGATCCCGTAACGACGTTGATGCATCAACAGCTAATGTCGGTGGTGGTGGAGATTCAGTAGCTCAGAGCATTCTTGCGCTCCTGGCAAGAGAGCTTCCAAAACTGGTCACCCAAGGACAGAACGAGTCTACACCAACATCTGAATCGAGTTTCCAGACCTGCAAGCGACGTCGAGAAGATGACGCCCTAGACATTACGTCACGAATGGACGATGCGCCGTCCCTTCCGACAGCAGATATCTTGGAGCCCATATTGACTGCCTACTTCACACATGTTCATCCTTGGATTCCAATGATACATCAGAGTCGTTTCTTTGAGAGAGTTGCGGATGAGACACAACGCGAGCAGTTGCTGATCGTCATCCATTCTATGGTGTTGGCTGCGTACAAATTCGTACCAGGCGCAGGCATATACATTCGTGCCCAAACCAGAAACTGGATCATCTGCAGCGCCATGGGGAGTCTTAAGCTCGAGCATCTGCAGGCTCTGATCATCCTAGCGTTCAATGATTTTGGAGACGGAAATGCCGAGAAGGCTTGGTCGATCATCGGTTCCATGACTCGAACCGTAGAGTACATGCAACTGGCACAAGAGCAAGAGGAAGGCGAGCAACGACCATTTTCTCAACCATTCGCGCCCCTGCAATATGCGGTCCACTGGACCGAAGTGGAAGAAAGACGGAGGGTGTTCTGGAACGTATTCCTTCTCGACAGGTTGTGCTCAGTAACACAAGGCTGGAACACCAGTCTGACTTCCGACGATGTCTTTCGAAGACTTCCATGCGATGGCTATCTTTGGAGGAAAGAAGAGCCTGTTTCGACGCCTTATTTTGGAATCTGGGACAAGTCGAAAGGCCGCATTGGAAATCCTATCGATTTTATGTCCCGTCATCCATCACCAGGTCATGGCAGCAGCAACGTTAAGTTTCATGACACAATTGGCGACCCTCCAACTAGTGCGCCTTATCCTCAATACCAACACTCGGACATGTCAACTGTCGGTGCATTCGCCTACAACATTGAAGCGACCGAATCCATGAGCCGCGTCATGAGTTACTTCTTGCAGCAGAAAGTGAACGTGCGCGATCAGGGCGATATAAGTTCGTGGCTTACCCGATTCAAAGAGTTGGATCTGCGATTGGTTCACTGGAAGATGTTACTACCACAAAAATGGAAAGCAAATCCAAACCTTACACGGCAGGTTCCACTTATGGATCCCAATCTTACGACTGCACACATCACACATAACGCCTCCATGATCCTTCTACATCAGACAATCGCTTATCCTCCGTTGCACTGGGGTTTTCGAAATCGACTACCAAGCGGCTGTAGCGCGGAAGCCTGCTATTTGGCAGGCGTGGAAATTGCCACAATCACTCAGAAGTATTTGAGCAAGTCATTGAGTAATTCTCCAATTGGAAGCCAATACGCTTTCTGCATATTCATTGCTGCTCGAGTTCTTCTTGTCCATTGGCGCTATGAGACAGAAGACCAGTTACCTGCGGAATTTTGGTCACTTGTGCATAGCTTGGATGAGATGTCTTTACGATGGCGCGCATCTGCTCAAGTATCGTCCCAGACGCAAAACTTGTTCGGAAAATATGCCTCACGTCTCAAGGAGCTTTACGACAAGTGTTCGACAGATCCGAATTATCGAATTGATGTCATGAATTACACAAGCGATATCCAGGACCGTCACCCTGATTCAGATTCAGTCTTTGGATACAGTCTTTGGCCAGTGGCTCCCCAACCCGTTACACATCTTATCCCCGAAGGCACCGCAATTCTCCCATCCAACGCTCCGGAATCAATGGACTTCACGTCTATCCCATCGCTTGATCAGAGCTTCGTTGATCTGGACCGCGTTATTGCCTTCGATGATGGAAGCATGTTCACAGCAGCGTTTGATGCTGCAGCTGTAGGCTGGTAGGCACGTACCAGCATCATACAGCCGCACAATACAGCAACACTGGTTAGCATTTGTCGGACGAGAGTTTGATCAACCATAGCATATGACCAACTTTTCAGACTTGCTACGAGTGTTCTTAGCATCCTACCGACTACATTTGTTGCACATTGGTTTAGGGATATTGTGGATGCTTGTTCATTTCGGAGCTCGTTGCACACGGGTATTATGGATTCTACGGACCTTCAATGCAATCCCATTCGAAGCAACCGGTTCCCGAACTCGACCAGATAATAGTCACCATACACAAGGCCATGGTTTGCGTAGCGTTTCCTGGCTTGGCTGTTGTTGTTCGCTGTGCCGAATTTCAGCATGCCATCGAATCGCACACCAGGCTGACTCTCCTCTGCTCGCACGTATTGATACGGTGCAGATACGAGCCGTGCTTTCTCGCGAGCTAGAGCGAAATCCAAAGTGTCTTGCACAATCCTGAGCGCTGCATTACGATATCGCAAGGATAGTGCCGGTCGGTCGATCGATGTTAATGCTTGTGATAGAATGAGCATACCATTGGCTGCTATGACGCCGGCCGATGAATCACGCAGTGGGTTGCTCTCGTCCTCAATGGGCGCATCAAAATCCCACAAAGGAACATGACGGCCTCTGGTACCAACACAAGAAGGCGCTGTCTCTAGTCGATATAAGAAGTACTCTGCGAGCCCGCAGCATGCCTCCAAGAACGAAAGATTTTTGGTCCACATATACGTTTCGGCATACCCGAGAATACCCCAGGCTTGCCCGCGGGACCATGTTGACTCATGTGCGTAGCCTTGGGCGGACAGTTGACGCTTCAAGCACCCTGTTCTTGGGTCGATATTCGCTACGTGACATGTCGAGTACCACTGCCCGTTGTACGCGTCTTTGGACGATGACACATCAGGTTCCGGGCGCAGATGCGATCGCAGGAGCGTGGTTGCATGAGCCGTTGCCATATCCGCGAGCCTTGGTTCCTGCGCATGATGGGCTGCATAGTACATAAGGTCCAGATTGCACATGCTGTCGATGATGACAATCATGTTTTCAGTCTGGTCCAGAATCTCAATGTCTTTCTTCTTCAACAAGTCCCAACTTCTGATGGCTTGAGCAGATGGCTCGTATCTCGTCGCGAGACTGTGCGCTGCTTCTACGATTGAGTCCAAGCTCCGCGCATTTCCAAAGAGCTCCCAGTCTAATCGCAGTGCCGGCATGACGATAAAGCCGATATCGTGAGTATCGGTGCGGTTCTTCATACCGTATATAGGCTCGGTCCATGAGCGACATAGAGTGGTGAGCTGACTTCGCAAAGCCTGACGTTGGATCTGCGCATCGTGGAGCTGTACACTCTGTGGAAATCTGACCAAACGCTCAAGGAGAAGGTACAGGGTCCCGGGGAAGAATCCACATGTCCAGAAATCAGCTTCGCGCAAGCTGTAGGCTCCGTCTGCTTGGGCATCTTGAGGCACGATTTCAGGGAACGCGAATGGCAGGGCTCCAATGGCGACCTGTGCGGTTCGAAACGCTTTCGCGATGATGTTCTCCGAATAGAGCTCTGGGACGGTCGAAGCTTTTGAAGTGCTCCCCGCTAACACATCGGTTGATGGGTCGTTGAGCCCACATTCGGATGGTGGTGTACTCGTCAGAGGTGTCGTCGAATCAATGTCTTCATCTTCTGCGCCGCTTGTAGACGAAACAGATGTTCGCTCTCTAGACATATGGGACTTGGTGGTCTCGCGATCCCCTTCGGTGAACAAGATCTGCCCCTCAGCGGGCGCGACTCTATCCACGTCGTCGTAGGGAGTACGACATTCGACCTGAGAGTTCGATCTGCCATCCACTGAGTCGCAAAGTGCCCTGTTCTGTTCACTTCCTACTGTGTTGGGGAGATCTGTGTTGGTGTGGGCATTCTGCGTCGGCTCGTTCGTCACCGGGGCCAACTCGACTGTTGTGATTTCTAAGAAGGCATCCTTTCCGTCGGGGGGAATTTGCGGAGTTTCTGTGCTGGCTGTATGCGAGACCACAGAATGGGGTGCTGAGGCTAAACTTGTGTCCATGATTCAAGAGACTGAACACCGACAAGGCTGTATTGAGAAAAGCAGGAGTCAGAACCAGAGCGGCATTGGAAAGCCATCTCTTCTATGCATCAAGCCATGATGATCGACTTCTTCCGGGCCCGAAACCATCTCTTGCTGTGCGGCGAAGTTCGCGGAGTGACGCTGCTCCGCAGACCGCTGGCGATGCCCCGAAACCTCCGCCATTGGTGGACCGTTTTGCGCGCCTTGCCTGTTCGGGGTGTGGAGCGAGCCAGTTGCGGGGTCTGGGGAAGATGAACCGAAGCGAGCACACCACGAGTTCTTATCGACATGGTTACTGACCAAACTCTTCTTAGGTGCATGGAATACTTAAGCGGAGCCCTGTAGCCATGTTGTTATCGGCAGATCACAGCGACGGTCGTCACTGCTTCTCTCGTACAATCAATCAGATTGTTTCTTCGCGCCGCCAGTATGCCTCCTCAGCAAGACGATATTCGTATCGAGCAGGCAGATGACTCGGGCAAAAATCCTGTCGTAATTGTCAACGGCAAGGAGGTTGTCGTGAGCTCCGCCACCGAGAAGCCTAGTCGCTCACTCTGGGTCGCATGGCTCTACATCTTCGACGTAAGTCAGACCACAGTCGCTGGAGGGCTTGAGACTAACAAACTCTATAGTGGTATCCAAGCCATTACAGTCCTGAAGAGAAGAAGCTTGTGCGTAAGCTTGATTGCATTCTACTCACGCTGTGCTGTTTTTGCTTCTACATCAAGTGGCTTGATCAGAATGCTCTCAACAGTGCATACTGGTCAGGAATGAGGGAAGAACTCCACATCAAGGGCAACGAGTAAGCAATATCTGTTTTCCATTCAATTTCGGCTAACGTGAAACAAGATACTCTCTCTTCGGCACCTTCTACAACATCGGTTACATGGTCTTCGAGATCCCCAGCATGATGATCATCTCGCGCCCTAAGCTTGCCCGCTACTACGTCCCCATCATGGAGATCGCCTGGTCAATCCTCACATTCACTCAGTCTCGTCTGAGCAGCGTCTCCCAGATTTACGGTCTCCGCTTTCTGCTTGGCTTCCTCGAGACCCCCGCCGCGACCGGATCCATCTACCTTCTCACGTCATGGTACCGCTCCGACGAAGTCTTCAAGCGCGCTGGCGTTTGGTACGTCTCTAGCAACGCCGGTGCCATGTTCAGCGGCTACCTGCAAGCTGCAGCACACAAGGGCTTGAACGGCGCGATGGGCATGTCGGGCTGGAGGTGGCTCTTCATTATCGACGGATGCATCTCGCTCCCCATTGGCATCGCTGGTCTATTCCTGTACCCCGGTCTGCCAACTAGCCCGAAGGTCTGGTGGTTGACGGAAGATGAGCGCAAATTGGCTGTTGCGCGCATGCAGAGCCAGGGTACCAAGCAGAGCGGCAAGATCGGCAAGCGCATGCTCAAGCGCGTGTTCACCAACTGGCACTTCTATATCGTCGTGCTCACATACGTCTTCTTCCAGTGCACCAGCTACGTCGGTAAGTGTCGAAGATGATTATGATATGACAGCGAGCTGACAGTGAATAGGTGGCCAAATGCAAGCTTGGCTCAAGAAGGAGGCAGATATGAACGGCACCTACAGCATTGAGGAGATCAACCTGATACCCACAGGTGTTCAGGGCGTGGCTATCGTGACTGGCATTCTCGTCACATCTCTGGTCATGATTTACCCCATGTGGGCGGTCTTCTCCGTTGTGACTGGCATTCTCCTCTTCTCCAACGTGTGCTTGCGAATCTGGCACATTCCGCTCGGACTTCACTGTAAGCGATTCTGCTACTTCAAAACTGAGGATTGATAAGCTAACACGCAGCCAGTCTTCGTTTACTACCTCCTCGGCATGACCTCTTGTGTCACACCAATCCTCTTCCCATGGGCAAATATGTTAATGAAAGACGACAACGAAGCGCGCAGTTTCACTACTGGTGTAAGCCCTCTTTACCTTTTCGCACAAACGGCAGTCCACTGACACACCACAGGCTATGATGACGATCGGATGGGCATTCTTCAGTTTCTACCCAATCACCGTCTTTCCCATCCTGGAAGCACCGCAGTGGACGAAGGGCTTTACAGTCAACATTGTCTTCATTGTGTGCTACTGGACGATCTTCCTCATTGGCCAGTACCTTTGGCGCAGAGAATTGGCGGCGAAGAAGTTCGACATCAATGCGTCGGGAAATTCGAGTGAGGATGATTTTGTAAAGGAGGTTGAGAAGGACGACGCTGTCCACGTCGAGACCGTGGAGGATAAGAAAGAGACTAGAGTTTAGTGGAAGGAGCAAGCCTCAGACGACCCTATTGTAGCGCAAAAGCACTTCATGCAGTAGTTATAGCAAGCTAGCTCTTGCACATTCAAGAACAGACACGGCCGATCTCAAAAGCCCGAAAGTTCCACCTTATGCCAATATCCCAATGCTCGGGCCATGTTTGCTCCGTCGATGTTCCAGCAAAAGTATAAATCCTCCACGTCCCCCCGAACCATCTTCCTCACTACACCCACAACACCAAAATGCCGCCCCTAACCGGCTTCTGCGATAACCCAATCCGCACCCGCCTTGACTACACCCGTGTCGCTCTTTCCCTCCTCGGCCCCCTCGTCCCCTACAAATCCTCCTCCAACGCCCGCATCAAAATCGCTACTTCCACCGGTGCTGGCTTTAGCGAGACCGCCGCGCAACTCGAAGGCTTTGCGCGCCCGCTGTGGGCCGTACCCTCACTACTGCGCTCGGGCGATGCACCCTCACATCTCAAGACGTGGGTCGATGGCGTGAGAGCGGGAGTCGACCCAGAGGCAGCGGAGTACTGGGGGGATGTGCTGGAGGAGGGTTTTGATCAGCGGATGGTGGAGATGGAGAGCATAGCGTACGCGCTGCTGAGTAGTCCCGATGTGTTTGGGTTCCAAGATGACGATGCGGTGAGGAAGAGGCTGGTGGCGTGGCTGAGGCAGATCAATGGGTTTCCGATGCCGAAGAGCAATTGGCTGTGGTTCCGGGTGCTGGTCAATCTGGCGCTGGTGAGGGTTCTTGGAGTGCCGCTGGATGAGGTGAAACATCATATTGATGAGAGCTTGGAGACATTGGACACGTTTTATCTGGAGGATGGGTGGAGTAGCGATGGGCTTTGGTGCGATGACAGGAAGCAGGTTGACTACTACTCTGGTAGCTTCGCGATTCAATTCGCTCAGCTTCTCTTCGTCAGATACGCTCCTGATTACGACGCAGAGAGGTCAGCGAGGTACAAGGAGCAAGCAAGAGATTTCGCGAAGTCGTATTGGCGGTACTTTGGACCCAGCGGCGCTGCCATACCGTTTGGCAGAAGTATGACCTATCGCTTCGCATTCGCGGCGTTCTGGGCTGCAGTGGTTGTTGCCGAAGTTGATCTACCCGCACCACTGGATGATTTGGGCATTGTCAAAGGCTTGTTGGGAAGACATCTCCGATGGTGGGCACAAAAGCCGCACATCTTCAACACCGACGGCACGCTGAACATCGGGTACACATATCCCAACATGTACCTCGCCGAGGACTACAACTCTCCACAGTCAGTTTACTGGTGTTTCAAATCGCTCATCGTGCTCGGCATCCCAGAAGACCACGCATTCTGGTCCTGCGGAGAACTTCCCTATCCAAAATCCGACTCGATCGCAGACGTGGAATTGATCTGGGCACCCCGACACATACTCTGCAACGCCCCCGAGCATCACTTCCTCCTATCATCCGGCCAGTCCACGAGCAAGCGCTTCAAGGCCCGTGAGGCCAAGTACGGCAAGTTCGCGTACTCCTCTGCATTCGGGTTCAGCGTCCCTTGCGGCCCGTTCCTCGAGCAGAGTGCGCCAGACTCCACTCTAGCAATCAGCTTTGACGACGGTGAAAAAAACTGGAAAGTTCGCTGGGACCCGTATGATGTCGAAACATATCCTGTTCGCGTTGGAGATGAGGAAGTGCCGGCACTAGCTAGCAGGTGGCGGCCATGGAAGGCAGAAGAAATCACGATCTCGACTCTACTGATACCGCCGGTGAAGAAGTGGCCTGGATGGCATATCAGAGTCCACAGGGTGGTATATTCGCCAAAGGGAAAGACCCATCCACTGAAGCTGGTAGACAGTGGGTTTGCGGCCTCAGCGCAGACTTCGAGCGACATTTCGGTCTTCGAGCGGCGTATAAAGGCCATGTCGGATCTGGCCGAAGTCTCGCAAGGCTGGTACAAAGACGGCGACTCTACGCTCGTCATCTCTCAGTCTGGTGCGAGTGGTGTTGTAGACCTGACATCTGACTTCTTCTCGAAGATGGCGGGCGACGGCTCCCAGGACATCAGTACCACGGTTTCTGTCATCCGTGCAGACCCAAATACGTAAGTTCCATATCGTTGAGTGATTGATATCCATTGACGCAGAATGCAGCAATCTTGTTGCACAGAGGACCTTGATTCCAGCTGTGCATCACACGCTGATGTCCAGTGAGCAGGCTGAAGACTTAAGTATTGTGTACACGTTTGTGACGGGCGTTTTTGCTATCGAGGCTTTCGCAGATGAAAATCCGAGCGATATCCAACGCATGTGGAAGAACAGACCGCGAGGGAGCGAGCTTCCAGCTCTCACGTTCTTACATAGAAAGTAACAAAGTATTCAAGAATTGTAGCAAAAATCACAACTTCACGAAGATCCTGCACCTGAGATACAAAATTTGAAAATAGTTGATACGCGTTCCGACACTATATCCAGATAAACCCCCCCACCTACGGTTCCCGAGTCTCAATAGGGCTATAGCTCGGCTTATACTGCACCCTCGTGTCCCCGACATGTTTCAGAATATCCTCCGTCCGATGCGCAAGCCCCGTATTCGACCGAGAGAGCAGCGTCCTCTGCACCTCGATCGGAAACACCTGGAACGTCTCCACGGGACTCAGCGTAACAGTGCGGGAGATATTACGAGAGCCCAACAAGATCGTCGACAGGGCGAGCAGACTCAGCAGCACCGCGCCGAGCGCGATTCCCAGCCATTTGAAGTCGCTCTTGTAGAAGATGACTTCGTGCGTGTGGTACGCGGAGAAGGTTTGTGGCTGGGGGAAGATGCCGTTCGGGGCGCTGAGGACGGTGAGGTTGGTGGCCGAGTTGCCGTTCATGGCGAGGCGGAAGAGGGTCTGGCCCATGCCGTTGAGGACGTAGTCTGTTGGGTTTGACCAGCGGTAGTCTGAGATGCAGAGGGAGTCGTTGCCCTGCTTGGTGTAGAGGTACAACTGTTCGGAGAGGATGCCGAATGTGGACATTTGCGTTGCGTTGGCCTCCCATCCGGACCACGAACCGAAGTAGGTCGCCATGTATCCCAGTGCCCACAGTGGTCCTGGTCGCTCGGATGTTGGGGCGTCGTGAGGTGCGGTCCGCGAGATATTGTTCGATACCCATTGTGAGGATGTTTTGGGCAGTACCGAGACCTGTGTGCCTCTGATTTCAATGTCGTAGTCAACTTGGCCTATTTCGATAACGCAGGTTTCCGTGATGACAGTTGAAGTACAGTTCTGGGCTGTTTCAGGTGTGTACGTGCTTCTTAGGACGTGGACCATGTAGTTATCCGCAGTTCGCTCGTACGTCTGATTGACCCGGAAGAACCAGCGTTCTTCAGTGGAGGCTTGCGTCAGATCCATCGTGGTGGTCTCGCTCGTGCACGTAGCCACAATACCAGGGGCTACGACTGTGCCTCGACAAGTGCCGTCGCATCTGTATCCAACTTCGTCCTTTGTGTGAATGGTGTCATTGCGGTACCACTGTACAGCTGCAGCGGTGAAGTCCATACGAGCCCCTGAACCGGTGTATGAGAGCGAAGCAAGACCATTCGGTATCTCGGGAAGAATATCGAGTGTCAGAGAGATGGTTTCAGCCTCGGCACCAGTATGAGATGCGGTCGTCGATAATTGGAACAAAGGGTTGTATAGAAAGTTGCCTATCGGTACCAGTAAAGAGACGACTGCCAGTCTCTTGAACCCGTTTGTGCTGAACACGGCTGTCTTCCAGGTACTCCTTCGCAGCCAAAAACCGCGATCCCAGATTCGATTGAGATGTTCAATAGTGGTGCCCGCCTCGGCTGCTCTCCACCAGGAGATCGAGAACGCTGTCGATAACAGGAACGCAAATGAGAGCGTGATGATGGGCGCTATGATGGCCAACAGAACAGACGGCCGTGTTTTCCAAGAGGTTGTGGGCTTTCCATCGGACAGATACACCACCAACGCGGCACCTATGGAGGCAGCCAGAACGCAGAATATCGCCAGCAGAATAGGCCATTGCGAGTGTCGCGTAGCTGATCGTGAGCGCGCAGTGTAGGCTTTTGAGTCTGCAACGACCCCCTCAACAGCTACACCAGGTTTCTTCTGGTCCATCATGGCGAGGTTAGCAAGCTGCTCGACAACAGGCAGTAGATCTTGACAAGATTAGTCGACGTGCACGTTCAGGAGCGCACGAGCGTGCCACATATACTCGCGGCGCTTCGTTTTCCCCAGCATGTACATGCCCAAGTCAGAGGCACTGCGACTAATGGACCTAGACCGAAGCCACCAAAAGTTCAGCTGAAGCCTGTTTAGGTCTAGCGTGACCGAATTCGCTACACCATTACCACCGCCAAGCTCATCATCGTGAAACACGTCTTTTGAGTGGCTAGCAGACCTCCGGTCTCCACGAGCTGAGAGTTGTATTGTTAAGCTTCATGGACACCTGCTGTGACACCCAAGAGCCAGTATCGCGAGGCTGGAAGGTGCATCCGGTGTCGAGTCGCGCCAAGTCTGGCAACCGCGTCCAGATGCTTGTTCTGGATTCGAGCGATACAAATATATGACGAGGGCAGCCTGTATCTGCAGATTGGCTTTGTACGGTCTGAACTCGTTGTAACAACAGGCGGGCAGCTGAAGCGTGAGGCAGGTTCGCCGACGGACGATGCGAACAACTTGGCAGTTGTCAAAATTGCTCAGGATGGGAGAAACAACGGACAATCGTACGAATCATCAACAAGCAACAGTTGTCCCAAGTCATAGGACATTGCGGACCCAATCTCGTTGTGTGCGGTTTGTCGTGAGCCGTGGCCGCGTTCGGGCCGGCAAAGCGCGTAACAGCACGGACGACTTCCACAGATCAAGCACTCAGCCTTGTATAAGTGAAGACCTCTGCTTTACTTCCCTAGTCCTCTAGGCTATAAGATCTACTTTCGTCTGGTAAACAGTGATTTAAATCTGTCAAGAGCTGATGGCTGTCGTTGTGCCTTCAGGACGGGCGCGGTTCTGGGAGGAATTGGAGATCGGAGACCACCGCTGGGAGTCAACGGAATTTGCATGACAGGGACTGGCAAGCCCCGATGATGAGGCGCAAAGTCAGATATTTCTGCATCATACGCTTGACCGGATTTCTCGGACAGAGAGGCTGAAGCTGTCGAATGTGACGGATAGCTCGGCAGCGCTGTTGTAGGCTTGTGTGGATATTGCATATCCCAAAAGCGCTTATGTTCTGACGATTCGGGGGTAATAAAGCGGTGCATACAAAGCAACTTGATCAAGCTGACAGTAGTATCGTGAGGAAGTCGCTCCGTTCGTCTACCAACTTCCTCTAGATTCTCCGAGGTGGCTCGAATAGCAGGTCCATTAGATAATACCAAGCTCAAGATTTTAGGAAGACCATTATCGTCGACGGCTACGGCCCTATCGTTGTTCCAGAAATGTTCGGATTTTAGTACCGTAATTATGCATCGCTCTTTGTCGAAGTCAGAAAGTGCACCCTCCGTCATTCGAGATGTGGCAAAGGTAAGCAAGCCGTGCTTCAGTGTCAAGGCTACAAAGGATTCGAAACTGCATCGAACCTTCACAGTCGCCATGCGCTCCATCTTTTGAACGTAGGGCAATACTTCTCTCCCTTTCTTCCGCTCTAAAGTGGCAGCTGCCATCAGGAAGTCCTCTATACTGCTAGTGCTGTTCCTTGCTTGGCCCTTTGTCCAATGGTTGTGAGTGAGCAATTCATATTCCGCGAGCATGCTTTTGCAAAGGGCAACGGCTGCATCGAAATGCGGTTTTTGCCAGTCGTTAAGCAAAGAATGCATTTCCGTCGTCAGAAGGAAGTCTTTCACTGTAGCAAACAACAAATTAGCTTGTGGTATACCAACTTTATGGCGGGCAGCTCTGACCTGTCCTGTGCAGAAAGTCGACCTTTGCTCTTTCGCCAAAGCTTGCAGTTGCAGAATCTGGATCCGAGATTCCTGTGACTTCAAGCAACCCCTTGGTCCTACCATTGATACGCACAATCATGTCTTCCATCATTCCTTCCAAGTCCTCTGGATCTGTCAGGTCGACCGGAACTATCAATGGCTGCTCTAAATCGTCGTGCAATTCATCCAGATACCAGTATGCAACGACTGATAATGACTGATCAGCCGCAAGCGCCACCTGCAACATATGTGACAAGTGTGGTTGATATATCGTATCCAAGGATTTAAACATGTGGCGAAAGAATTCGTTCAGATCACTAGGAAAGTGATGTAGTCGGTTTCTGAGTAAGGCTAGACTGTCTCTGTTCCTGAGTCCTTCAATAAGCGAACGAACCGCTAGGCGAACCCAGAGAAAGACTCCTTGTGACCTCGATACAATCTCTTTGATGATTTCAGCGGCCTGTAAAGAACCTACAAGACGAAATTTTGGTTGAGCACGCAGCTTGTCGTCAACGTATCGTTGTATATCTGGCCTGTTCAAATCTTGTAGATAAAGCTTACGAGAGGCGTCAGAACCATAGGCTTCTTCGAATACGTTCCATGGCCGGCTTGCTATACAGATCTTGACCCCAAATTCTGTCAAGTGGCGAATAATCTCGACTAGGTCTTCGTGATCTCCACCAAACTCGTCTAAACCGTCAATGAAAATGCAAAATCTCGTGCGATCATTCTGGTACTCTGAAAGGCGTCGAATGGTATCCAGCAAGAAGCTCGTCGTCCATTTAGATTCTTTTTCGAATGAGAATGGAGTGGCTGCTGTGTTGACATGGGCCTTCGCTTCAGCCCATGTGGCCGGCATGACAACTTTGATGGCGTCATGATTTTCTCGAAGGATATCATAGAGTAATGCTCGAAGAAGACCTTCCAATGATCGCTGCAAATCTGTCCCATTGATCCAGAAAAAGTAATCCACTACTACAAGATGCTTTGAGTCGCACCAATGCTGCAGCGCGTCTGGAAGCTGCTGGTTATCCACAAGGTATTTCATAAGCGTACTCTTTCCGCTGCCTGGCTTGCCACTGATCCAGAATAATGGATCTGCAGATTGTAGCCAGGAAGCAAATTTGTGCTTGAATAGCCACTCAAACGATCCTGAGTGCGCCTCTGAGACGGATTTGTGCCGATGCCGCATGCCTGGGAATGCTAGGTCATTGAGTATAGACATTGAAACTGCAATATCAGAGGTTCTCTCATGCCAGCTTCCCAGGGTTTCTATGACTCTTAGATCGTCCTTTTCTCGCGCAAGGGTGGAATCCTCGGCAAGCTGTCTCTGCAATCGTGGACCGGACTGAGAGGCACGAGATTGAAGATTTGCTAGTGCTCGCATTGTATCAGTTCGTAGGTCAGAGATTTCCTGTTTGATACCATCTCCAAGGACGTATGATTGAGCCGAAAGCTGATCAAGTACTTCCCAAACACTTTCGCGTCGTGTGATCTCGTCCGTCATCATTTCGCGAAGATCAGATACCATGGTGTTCAAACTATTAGTTTGACCATTTATCTGCCCGAGAGTGTCTTCCACGTTTTTACGGTCTTGGCTAGAATAGTATTGTTAGATACTGAACCGTCATGGATCTACAGGGTGACATTACCACTGGAAAATCGTTAACTCGAGAACGATTTGTTGTCGATAAGAGTCCAATTTCTTCTCCATGGTGGTAATTTCCTGCTCTTTCCAGACTGTCGAAAGTGCAGCTTTGAAACTACTCCACCTGGAATGCGCTTTTCTGGCCTTCAGTCGCTGTAGCACTGTTTGTAGTTCTATTGCAGTTTTCTCGCATTCGCTTGCAATCGCTCTAATGGACCCATAGTTTTGCAAGGCTTCTTGTTGAGCCTTGGATTTGTATGCTGCAGAAATCTCCGCGCATCGCTGTTGGATTGCATTTGTTACAGTCTCCAGCTCTTGCGAGCCGCGAGAAGAACCTGCCTGCGAAAGATATATAGCCTTTGTGCTGCTGAACAGGCTATGCGTGAAATCGATAAATTGAATGATATTGCTGGCTAAACCCACAGCAGCGAGTGCTTCCAGCACCATGGTTCTGCGTGGATGAAACAAACATGAGCGACGAGGCTGAAGGTGGGCATTTCATTCTTTTTAACCAGTGTCGTACGCCGGCAGGCTGGTTGGCCCGCTCGTGTAGGGAAGGCTGAGTCTATGGTGGCTAGCCAAACAGCGCCTCCGCACACGCCTTGGCCAGAAGCGAGTGCACGACGCCCCCAGTGCCTGCAGCCGGCTCGCCATTTGCTCGTCGCATCCAATTCGCACCCTACTGGCCCTTCTCTGCAGACGAATGAGCCTTTCCTGCACCGAGACGACTGACGCTGACGGACGCCAAAAGCGACTGGACGTGGCTGACCCGCCGTGCCTTTTGAAGCCCAGCATTCCCGCCTCGTCTGTTTCCGTTACCCAAGAGCTTACCTCGCCAGCGCGCGCTTAGCCCACACAGAGCCGCGCGCCCTCAGCGCCTGTTCGCTGCTCGTTGTCGCCTGTGTGCTGTGCCCTGCCTCCGCTTGGCGCTCCTGTGCCCCTCTGTGGCGGCTGGCCTCTCTGTGGCGGCTGGCCAGAAGGAGACCAACCGATAAGGGGAGGCCAGCCACCACAGAGCGTCGTGACTAGGGACGCCCACCCCTATAATATAGGTAGCGTATCTGCGATGCAACGTAATAGAGGTATACTAGTAAAATTAGCGTGTTATAACATTGCTAAACACTCTAAGTAATATATAGTATTATTAATACATAAGATTATAGTATATAAACTACCAAACACTCTACAGATGCGCCCTGTGACGAACGAACAGGGGGGGTACCAGAGAAGAGTCGTTGGATAGCAGTGACAAAACGAGCGGCAGCATGGCCCATGACACGCTTTTTGGTGGGAGAGCACAGGTTTGAGTATAGATGCGCACCGCGAACGTTCAACTACAAATGTATTGAGCACAATCCGAGCCCCCAGAAGAAAAGGTATCCCGTTACGCTGTGCGTTCCGGCTCGCTTAGATTAACGTTACAACTCTTGCTTTGTCTAGGATGTTGCACTGCCCTGCAGCCTAGGCCTCTAAATAACTCCTTTTAGTACCAGCTACAACTCTTGCTTTGTTGACAGTATTAGAACTGTACCACAGCCCAGACCTCTGAATAGCGCCATTCAGACCAGCTACAGTTCTTGCTCCGTCCGAGATACTGCTCTATACTGCAGCCGCAACATCCAAGCGGCTCCTTTTCGTACCAGATACAACTCTTGCCCCATCCACCCCATCACACCAAGCACCAGACCCACACAAGAACCACTCGCGCCCCCGCAACCCGCCAGCGCACAACCCCAGACCAACCCCGCCGCCCGATCTCCGCGCCCGCTGCCAGCGCCAGAACCCCGTTATCACAGATGAACACACCCCCCCACCGTCCAGGAAACCCAGGAACCCAAGTGCGGACCAGCCGACGACCATCCCCCCACGGACGAGCACCGCCAGCCCTCGTTCCGCACAGAAAAAACCGCGTACGAGCGTGCGTTCCGCGGGCGCTTGCTCGCTGGGGCGCCGAGGACGTGTGCACAGCGTCCCGGCCGCTGCCGCGTTCTTGAGGCTGCGTGCGCGTTGGCGCGGGGCTCGACGCAGACTGCACGAGCGGGTGTGGCGGGCCTGGCTGCGTGGAGCATCGGTATAGCTCAGGCTCCTGCGGTCTCTTGGGCTGGGAATGGGGCGGCGTTGGTGGACGTCGATGGCTGCGGGCAGGTGTTCCGGTGAACGTGGTGGCTTTGGGCGTCATGGAGCCCGGATTGCAGGTTGTGAGCAGTGAGCGTGGGTTGTCACTGTTAGCATCAGGTATTGGAGGTATCTGGAGGCCGGGGCTGTGGTGCCGCGTACTGTCTTGAATGGAGCCAGAGTTGTGGTTACACGGAATGACGCCGATCAGAGACTTAGACTGCAGTGTAGTGCGATATCTCAGACGGAGCAAGAATTGTAGCTGGTCTTCGACGGATGCTAGGTAGCTCTGGTCAGATGTCGGGTAAACCGCCAACTGGATACTGCGATGGAGAGAACCACAATTCTCTAGTCGGTACACGGGGCATTGAAAACTCCCACGTTCATTATCCCCTCCACAGAGCTTCCACGATGCTGGGATGAAAAAACGATTCGCCCCATCGACATCGCCTCGTCGTCGCGCACGTCCCCAGCGAACCCGCAGCATCACTTCACGCTCGCCAGCAGAGTTCGTGCCACAACCCCCTCCCCCCTTTCCGTGTCCTCCTCGCCACGCTTTACTCACTCCTGCTCTGACCCTCCCACCGCATTACCTTCATCCGAGCCCCGCAAGGCGCGGAAACGCAAACTACCTCGCACCCTCCGTCTCAAGGAATCGCCGCGTTGTCTCGAGGAGTTGCAAACGCGTGGTAGGCACCTGACGCCGCAGCCTGGAATGCCGCGAGACAGTGGGTGTCACCTCGACATCCCCGATCCCTCGATATCCGCTAACACACATCACTGTCCCCGGTGGGGAGGACAGTACCTAATAGCCGGGGTACTATGCAGGGCAGCCGTCGATCACCCAATAGCCGTGGCATCAACATGCGAAACCGCGGTGGCACAAGCTCCTGATCCGGGGACGGGCGCGGTGCAAGCAGAGCCGCGAGCGCCTGTCTGCGTGTTGAAGTCGCTGCTATCCTGCGCCTCCGTCTTTCGCGGGGCAGCAGCGCTCGGGTGGATCGAGTGTCAACCTGTCCTAATCTGTTGAAATACCGTGTGTGGTGTTGGGCAACGGTAGTGGAGGTGGTTGATGAGCAGCGTCTACTGTTTCCCAGGATTGCGGCTCTGCAGCGAGCTGGAGGAGTGGAGTGTCTGTTTTAGTTAGGATACATGGGTTTGATGGACACGCACAAGGGTCGTCGGAGTGGACTACACCCCTCTGCCCTAGGGTAGCTCCACACACAATACTTACACCCGACACCACGGTATGAGAAACCGTCACACCGAAGTTGGCGTTGTCGAAAGCATCAGTAACGGCAAGTCTGCATTTGCGACGCGGACCCTGTGCGGTGCTATTGCGGATGATCGTCACGGATGCTGCAAGCTACGACGGACCGGTCCGGCGTCGGGAGACCCTGCATTGGATTTACAAAATCAGATAAAGAGAAGAGAGAGACAGCGTGTAAGACAGCGTGTATGTGTGCAGATAGTTCAATGCAGGGAATAATGGAGATTTCATGTAGAGCTACAGATACACACCCAAATGAGATAGAATGGTAACGCCTGCTGCCGACGCCGTGACAATGCTGCGGGGCCGAAGCCCTCAAACGTCCGGTGGACGGGAATCGATTTGCACCTGAGAAAATACCTAATTTCGGGCGTGCGATGAGAAGACTCATGCACGCCTGAGACGCACTCGGACGCGAAAAGACGTGCGTCGCACCGCTCCCTCCTACTCGTCGGCCAGCAGCGGCGCCCTCTCGCGGTCCTCGCTCACAATCTGGCCCCTGGGGAACGGATCGCGGCCCAGCAGCCCGGGAACCCCGACGGCGAGCGAGAGCACGAAGAGCAGCCCGCCGACGGTAAACGCGAAGATCCACTGCAGCTGCAGGATGGGCAGCTTGCTGAGGAACTGGCCCACGCCGGTCGCTTGCACGTGTTAGCAACAGTGCGATTACGCACACAAACAGATTCGGACTTACAGAACGACAGCACCGACAGCGCAAAGCCAATCGTGTAGTCCTTGTACGCGGCGAGGAAGAACACGCCGTAGCCCAGCCAGCCCCAGATAAACACGTTTGCGACGATGCGGCCGACGAGGTGGGTGGAGTGGAACGCGACGGCGCCGACCCAGTAGAGGGCGACGAAGTTCCAGGCCAGCGGGCCGGCGATGGTGCCGATGTGGATGGTGCGCGGGGTGGTCGAGTGGCGGAAGTAGGCGAAGCTGAGGTTGAAGAAGTTGATGACGAGCAGCAGCTCGGCGAGCCAGAAGTGGCTGCGCACCCACAGGTGGATGAAGCCGAAAAGCAGCAGGTTGGAGGTGATGTAGTGCGTGCCGATGTTGGCGGCGGCGAGCAGGTAGGTCTGGTTGGAGGACCAGAGGGACCAGGCGTAGACTAGCTGGAGGGCGAAGAGGATGATCCTGGGTTTGTTAGCAGGCACTTGGATTAATTGGAGGGCAATTGCTGACCAGTAGATCGAAGTGATGATGCTGCTCTGCGCGAAGGGCGTGGCGGGCTGGTGTTGCCAGAATCGGTGGTGCTTGCCATGGGCTTCATTGGGCTGGTTGAAGGTGTAGTAGAATGCAGTGACAAGGAAGATGATGTACGAAAGGCCGGTGGAGATCTTGTAGAGCAAGATGGACTGGCTGGAGAACTCCTCGCGCTTTGCGAACGGATTGCGGCTGCCTGAAGCGTCAGACATGATGAAGCTGCTGTCGCGTACGATTGAAGACAAAAAGGTGAGGGGAGTGACAACACACTAGCTAGTCGTTGAAGAGAGACGAGCACGAGCAAGAGCGAGGTACTTGAGGACGCGTACTGTCACGCCATATAACCTGCGACCGTGAGCTATGTACGTCACCGGGGTTTCGTGCTGGCGTTGCTAGCGGACCCCGCTCTCACACCCGCCCCATGACAGATTTGCGCACTAGCGATTGGCTCCCGCGAAGGGCAACCTTGCATGCCGTGACATCTGCGCATGCAACACGGGCACTTGAAGGATTACGTGCATGAGAGTGGCGAGTATACATACGGACACGCCTACCTGGGCTGCTCCGAAACCACGCATGCAGTCGCGGATCCCCTAGAACACCGCGGCAGTGGATACGGTGGCGCGTGCGACGTTTCGGCTGTAAGAGTGACATCAGAAGAAAATGGGCGATTACAAACGACTCGGATTAGGCGCAGAAGCGGGTATCTCTACATAGCAGAAGTCAAAATCTTCGCGTCTCGCGATTAAAGCGGGCAAAACTCGCGGCAAGGGCGCCGACTTGTTGCGTGCTATTACCTGTGAACGCCCTAATTGTCTAGTCCCACCAATCAACGCCGGGCTTGGTATGATCCTTCAACTGTGTTGCGCGACTAGTGGGCTGGTGTGTCTGGTACGGCCCAGACGTCTTTGTGGTCGTCGGCCTTGATGCCAATGGGTGCGCTCTGAGGCACCGGTGCAGGGCCTGGTGCGGCAAAGGGTATTGTGCTGTTTGCGGTAAAGACTGGTAGATCTTGTCTTCGGGCAGGCGACATGGGACGAGAGCCTGTCTGGAGCGGTGCTGCTGTTGTCTCGGCGTTCTGAGATAGCCAGTGTAGAGCTGCTGGAGTCTGAGGCTCCGATGCTTGCGGCAGGTTGCTAGCTGGAGGAGCTGGATCGAACGACCGCGAGTTGTAGTTCGCAAACTGCATACCAGGGGCAGGCGGTGGTGGTGGAGGCGTTTCTTCACGATGCAGAGCCGTCATTTTGGGTACTGCTGTAGCAGTCACGAATGCAGGCAGTGGCAGCTGCTCGCGGAGCTGCTCAGGGGTGATGACTGAGTCTCTGAGATCGGTCGGCGGTTCGATCACTCCGGCAGAGCTTCGACGACTAGCCTCAGGGTCGCCTTCGGGAGAGCTTTCCTGCGGGGCGACAGACGGGGTTATCTGCTGTGCAACGCTGGCCACAGGTTCGGGGTGAATCGGCTCTGGTTGCTCAAGTGGTGTTGCGGCGGCGCTTTGCAGCTGGGGAGGCTCTGGTGTCATGGTGGGTGCTGGTGTGGCGGATGGTGATGATGCCATCTCCGAGGCTTTTGATGTGCGTCCCGAAGCACGCTTCGTGCCTGAAGGCTTGTCGTCGCCTCTGACGGTGCGACTTCCCGGTGCTTTCCGGGATTTTTTGCCGGCTGTCTTTTTGGAAGCTTCAAGAGCCTTATTCTTTTCCGCCTTCTCCTTCTCTCGGGCCTCGTATTCCTCTCTGGAGGGCATCTTCAAGGTGACACGCTTCAAGCCTGTGGTCAAGGAGTCCATATCATCGTTCTCCTTGCCTTTGACGGATGCTGCCTTGTTAGTGTAGGCAGATGGCACTCGAGGAACTGTTGGCCGCTGGGGCGCGCGCGACGACGCGGCAGGATTGGGACCACGGCCCTTCGTGACTGGAATGTTATTCGTAGAAACGGATGAAGGTGCAGCACTTGGCCTCCTTGAATTGCCAGGCGGAATGCCCGGTCCACGACTGACACTGAAGTCACTAACAGATGACACGCTAGAAGCAACGCTCATACGACGTGACGACGGAGTAGCTGGCGGCGGCTCTGCAGGTGCAGGCTGGAAGTCGGCGATGGTCTGTCGACGACTCGTCCGTGACTCTGTCCGAAGGGACGCCTTGTCCTCGTCGGAGCCATGGTCTGCGTAGGATGCAACAGGCTTGCGGCCTCGGAGTTTACGACCGGACGGCTCAGGCTTAGCCGAGCTCGGTGCTGCTACAGGCTTTTCTTTCTTAATCTGTGGCGGGGCAAGTTCCTCGGGCATGCAGCTCCTAGTCTGGCGATCCAGAGGTACCAGCAATGCACTTAAAGCATGCGCCGCAGTGGCCCAGTCGACGTCTGGGGGAGGCGGAGTGATTGGTCGAGAGGGGTTGACGCCTCTTACGGGCTGCAGGTGGGAGAGTTTTGTTGGATCTACGACCTTGGCAGTGAAGGATTGTGTAGGAGAAGAGAAATGAGCAAGAGATCCCTGCTTGATCTTCTTCAAAGCGATCGGCAGCGGAGGCTGGACCAGACTCTCAAGTTCAGCTAAATGGCTTGCATGCCACCACGATGGGTCGTAAGTGATGGGCGTCAAATTAGCCTCAGCTGATTGTACAGGCTGATGGCCATTTGTGAGATTGAGACCATCTAGTCTTTGATCCAAGTCGAACGCTGAGCCGTTGCTAGGGCTGGGCGGGCTTGAGTCGTGGTATACTTGGCCATCCGTGAGGCCGCTGATGTGACTCATGACTCCACTGGCCAGAGCCCTGTCGCTATAGCCGCCTTCCAGTACGGAGATGACGCGACCGTCGACCGATGTGCCTTCCTCCTCAGCCAGGCGAACGACATCGCGGGTGAAGCGAGCATAGAACTCGGTTGGCACGTTAACGGCGTGTCGCTGCATGCCGGCCGTTTCCCATTCGCTGGCATCAAATCCAGCCGAAAGGAAGATGGCGGCCTTGGGTGCGGGCTGATTTGGTCCACTTTTGAACCGCTTCGTGTGAAATCTGAGATACTGGCGAGTCTTGTCAAGAAGAACCAGGTACTTGTCCTCGTAAATGGCCCAGAACTCTTCTGGCGTTCTCCAGGACTGCAGGTGCACGTTCCAGATAGACTGTCCGTGTGCGTTGTCGATACAAAGACTGGCTGCTTGAACCTTGTCGTCGTCGCCGTCTTCGCAAGGATACGAGTTGATGTCGTGCAAGCTGAAGTAGCCAATGGATGTTTTCTTGCGATTGGCTGTGCTCTTGTGCATGTTCTGCACCTTCTTGTTCCGCGCCCAGGTGATGGCTTGCGAGCCGTCGCCGTGATGGAGATCGAAGTCGATGATGGCGGCGTGGGTCAGGCCATACTGCATCATGGCGTGCTCGATGCCGACATGGACGTTATTCAGCCAGCAGAAGCCAGATGGGAAGTCGGCTGAGCAGTGGTGGCCTGGTGGGCGCACGCAAACGAAGGCTCGAGATGGGCCATTGCCTTGAGCTGAGCCCTGGAAGACTGCATCCACTGCATCCAAAACGCCGCCAAGCGCACCCTGGAAAGCATTCAGCGACTCCTCGCAGAGGTAGAGATCGCCCGAGTGGAACTCGTGTTTCGGCGGTTGCCCTGGCGCTGAGGGCGTGTCCCTTGTCAACTCTCTGCCTGTGGTCGCCAGCTTGGTGCCTGCATTCACGCACAACGATTTGAGCTCCTCCATCCACTTTGTTCCATGCACGTTCGTGACGACTGGTGAGGTGATGTCGACCAGGCGCGAGGTCTTGCGGATCGCAAAAGGGATGCGCTCGGGCGGGCTGTGGTCGGGATGCAACGGGTGGCGCCCCTCAGCGTGGCGCCCACCGAGACGCACGTATGCCGTCGCTATGCCCAGCACGCTGGCGAGAATGCGCTCCGGACGCTCCATGATCAGACTGAGCATGTTCTTGGGCGTCTTCGGCCGAGAGAAGCGGTGCCCGTAGCACTGGTCGTGTACGATGACGATTGTGCCCGCACTCGCGGTGCCTGCCGCGCTCTCGTGCCGCACCAGCTCCTTCTTGAAGTGGTCCTCTGCAATGTCGCACGCGCGCAGCGGCAGCTTCTCCTCGAAGTGCGGCTCGAGCGGGCTCTTTGCCCCTATTGGCACGGACATGTTGGGTGCGAACGACGAGCGGCGGGAAGCGGCGGTGCGCGGGGTGCTGTTCGCGTCGCGCAGCGACGAGTTGGATGACTTGCGCGCGAGGGCGAGCGACGGGGCGGGCGAAGAGGGGCGGCTCAGGCTGGCGGTGCTGGTGCTGCGGCGGAGCTGGGGCAGCGGCGAGGACGGCGCGCGCGCTTTGGGTACGCGGGGTGACGCCGGGCCGGGCGACGGGGCGCGCAGGTTGCTAGTGCTCGTGTGAAGTGAAAGGCGGTTGACTGAGCGTGAAAGCGGGTTGGGCTCGTTGCTGGGCTGTTGTGCCCCTCGCGGCGCCGTGTCTCTGCCGGCGCCCAGCGGCGGCGACGGCTGGCTCTGCATTGCTGCGGGTCTGCGCGTGTCGTGGCGCGTCCTGTCAGGCTGTCAATGTTTGGCGGGGTGTTTCAGCAGTGAAGGGAACCCAGTCCGCCATGACGGCTGGCCGCTGCCCACGTCAAACAGGGGTCCAACACGCGTCTGTGCATGCAAGTGCAACGGCGTCCACAAGCCCTAAGATAAGCCAGGTACGCCCAAGCGAACACCCAACACCATCACGTGTCTCAAGCTGTTTACTGACATGTTATCAAATGTGCCTGATCGACGCTGACATTGCCGTCTTGATTGATCCCGACTGCTGTGACGTCAGGCCTTGTCAGATCTTACACGACATCCTTGCAACTCACCAACTAGTCGGCTCGACGCGTAGCCAGGATCATTGCATCCTTGTTTTACCTACTCACAAATTTTGTAATCCACTCCTAGAGAGGTAAGATGGCATCGTGATGCACCGCCAGTGACCGTTGCCCCACCTCTCGACAACATTAGTGCTACAGCAGACTCGGCACAGCAACAACCATATTTTCTCGAGAACCCCAAGGTCGCCATACAGGACCCATTTAGAGTTTTAGGCTGCAGTATAGTGTAGCATCTCAGACGGAGCAAGAGTTGTAGCTGGTCTCGATGGCGCTAGCCAGAGGCCTGGGCTGTGGCACAGTGCAATGTTGTAGATGAGGCAAGAGTTGTGGTTACACTGAATGGCGCCAATCAGAGGTCTAAGCTGCGGTACAGGTGCAATGTCCTCAACGAAGCAAGATTTGTAGCTGGTCTTCACGCTAACTAGAACCATGACGAGGCCTAGGCTGCAGCACAGTGCAGTGTTTTAGATGAAGCAAGAGTTGCAGCTGGTCTGAGATACAGCACACTAACACTAAAAGGAGCTGTCTAGAGGCTTAAGCTGCGGCATGGCAATGTCTCAGACGAAGCAAGAGTTGTAGCTGGTGCTGAATGGAGCTATCTAGAGACTTTGGCTGCAGCATAGTGCAGTATCTCAGACGGAGCAAGAGTTGTAGCTGGTCTTAATGGCGCCAATCAGAGGTCTTTCTTAGCTGTGGCATAGCAATGTCGCAGATGAGGCAAGAGTTGTACCTGGTCTCCACATTGAGTAGAGCCAGCTGCCACCCAGATCAAGAGCTCCGCAACGAGCAATCCCCCAGTACACTCTCCATAACCTACTCCTCCAAAACCCCCGGTCTCGCACCACCTCATTTCCTCCCCAGCCAAGCGTCCCCCCACTAAACCCGCGACAGCAACGCTCTCACAAATCTCATCACCCCTTACCCACCCCACCAATCCCCGCACCCCAAAACCATCAGCCCACAACACCGCGAACGTAAAACCCCACTAACCCCATCCGGCAACCATCCATAGGTCCACACGCGCGCACGCCGCGCAGCCAATCGGCAGCGCCGGCCGGCGTCCGCAGGGGCGCGATGATATCACCGTGATCGCCGGCGGGTATGGGAGCGGGTGCGGGAAGAGGGGAAGAGGGGAGGGCGGTGGGTATTTACTATATAGAGAGCGTTGGCGCCGCTGGGGCGGGGGCATAGAGGCATAGATTACTGCGACCAAAGGCAAGGCAAGGCAAGGTATAGATTACACCGACTGCAAGGCAAGGCAATATGAGGTCCTCGATTCCATCCTCGGGTGGGGATGCGGATACAGACACAGGTATGTCGCGGGCGAGATGTGAGCGCGCGACTAACACCCCAGCAGAGAGAACACTGCACCTCGACACCTCCAGCCGGCACCGCACCTGCAACGGCCGCCGCATCGAGCTGCACACCTGGCACGGCCCCGACGACAAGGACAACCCGTACTCCCCCCCCCCCCCCCCCCCCACTCCCCCACGTCCCCGCGCTAACGTCCCAGCTTCAACTGGTCGCCCGCGTACAAGTGGTTCCTAACCGGCACCGTGTGCTTCGTATCGATCCTCACAGGCCTGCCAGCAGGCTCGTACGGGTCCGGAAACGCCTGGATGGCGCCGCTGTGGCGCGTGCAGAACGACCCGTTTCCGAACCTGTACTGGGCGACCGCGAGCTGGAACGTGGGCGCTGCGCTGGCGCCGCTGGTGTTTGTGCCGCTGACGGAGAATACGGGGAGGATGCCTGGGTACTTTGTGCGTTCCTTCAATGGCTGAGTGGATTGCGGCTGGCTGGATTGGGGGCTGACGCACGCAGATTGGGTACATCGTGTTCGAGCTGTTTCTGTTCGGGTCGGCGTTCGCGGACAACTTCGCGACGATTGTGGTGACGCGGTTTTTCGGCGGCGGGGCGTCGTCGGTGGCGATTAATATTGTCGGCGGCAGCATCAGCGATATCTGGAAGGGGGACCGGGCGCGCAGTTTACCGATGTCGCTGTTTGGGTTCACGAGCGTGGCGGGGATTGCGCTGGGCCCGTTCGTGGGGAGTGCGATTGTGCAGCTGCAGAAGCCGAGCGGGGGGCTCGATGCGCCGTGGCGGTGGTGAGTGGGCTGCTGGGTGTCGAGGGGTGGATGTCTGTCGCTGATACGACGCAGGATCTACTACATCCAGATCATCTACAACGCCGCGCTGATTCCGGTCTTCTGGCTCATCCTGCGCGAGACGCGCGGCGATGTGATTCTGGCGAAGCGCGCGAAGCGGCTGCGCAAGGAGACGGGGCGCGAGATATACGCCGAGTCGGAGCTGGACAAGCCGTCTGTGGCGGCACTGATCAAGATCTCCTTCATGCGGCCGACGAAGATGCTGCTCACGGAGCCCGTGGTGATCTTCTTCACGCTGTGGATCTCGTTCGCGTGGGGCATCCTGTTCCTGTTCTTCAGCTCCGTGGTGCAGACGTTCGGCGACGCGTACGGGTTCGGCATCTTCCAGACGGGCCTGGTGCAGCTCGCCATCACGGTCGGCGCGCTCATCGGCACCCTGGTCAACCCGCTCCAGGACTGGATGTATCTGCGCTCGGCGCACAAGAACGTCGAGAGGCCCGGCAAACCGATCCCGGAGGCGCGGCTGTACACCAGCATTCCCGGGTCGCTGCTGTTCACCGCAGGTCTGTTCATGTACGGGTGGACGTGCCGACCGAGCATCCACTGGATCGTGCCTGGTAAGTTCCGTTCTGCTACCTACTGCGACACACTAACTCTTCCAGCCATCGGCGTCGCAATCGTCGGCGTGGGCATCTACTCCATCTACATGGGCGTCGTGAACTACCTCACCGACGCGTACGAGAAGTACGCCGCATCCGCGCTCTCGGCAGCGTCGCTGGGCCGCAACACGTTCGGTGCGTTCCTGCCGCTCGCATCGGGGCAGCTCTTCTCGACACTGGGGTTTGGATGGGCGGGGAGCTTGCTGGGGTTTGTGGGTCTCGCGCTGAGTGTGGTGCCGGTGGTGCTGCTGTTCAAGGGCAGGGAGATCAGGGCAAGGAGCCCGTTTATGTTGGATAGTACGTTTGACGGAGAAGAGGCGGAGGGGCGGAGGAAGAGCTCCGTGACAGAGTAGAGGGTTGAAAAGCATTTTGTGATTCAACGGTTGAAAAAGCGTCCAATTTTACGTTCATGTGTGCCAAAAAATCTGTTACTGTCAAATGTGAGGTTGATATTGTCAACGCGTCAGGACATTGCGGGGCTGCGGGTGGCGACATGCCTCAGCGCATCCGAACGTCCAAGTTAGGGCATGTCTGAGCGTAGAAACATCGCGAGCTCACGTGACCGCCGAGGTCGGGCAGAGAAGGTCGCAGAAGGCGAGAGACAGGGGTTACAAAGCCGAGGCTTGCGCCGAAGATGAGCCAGGCGGCGATTGCGCGGAGCTTGGACAGTTGATGATGTCGAGATTGAAGATTACAGAGCATTCGCACCGCCACGCCGCAACACCAAAGACTGTCCGGCCCGCCTCCTGGCTGCATCCATCTCACGCCTCGCGCGATACCGATTGGGCGCGCGCATCTCCGTTTCGTCTCTACACCTGCCGGCCAGCGGCTTCCGAGGTCGCTCTCCATCATGCTTCACGCCTCGTGGCGGGCCGCGCTCCGCCAAACGTCGCGCTCCCCCGCCGCCCTCACCACGTCGCGCGCCGCCTCGCGCTCCCTCCCCGCACAATGCTCCGCGTCGCTCGTCGCGCGGTTCCCCCAGCGATGCCCCTCGCCGCCCGCCGCCCTGTGTGCCTACCGCAGCTTCTCCACGTCGCCGCGCCGGTGCAAGGAGAAGGACCCCAAGGCCGCGCCCGAGCCGGCTGAGGAGACGGACGAGGCCAAGAAGCTGCGCGAGCAGGAAAAGGCCGCCGACGAGCTCGAGGCCAAGGCCAAGACGCCCGACCCGGCCCCCGCGCCCACAGGCTCCGGCCGCGGCAGTGCAGGCGGCTCTGGGGGCGAGGGCGGCGGCCGGAAGCGCAAGAACAGCCCGCTCGTCAAGCCGTCGATACCAGAGGTCTACCCGCAGGTCATGGCCATCCCGCTCGCCAAGCGCCCGCTGTTCCCCGGCTTCTACAAGGCCGTCACCATCCGCGACCGCGAGGTCGGCCAGGCCATTGCCGACATGGTCAAGCGCGGCCAGCCGTACATCGGCGCCTTCATGTTCAAGGACGACGCCGTCGACAAGGACGTCATCGACGACCCCAGCGAGGTGCACGACGTCGGCACCTTCTGCCAGGTCACGAGCGCGTTCCCGGTCGGCTCCGAGGACAACTTCGCCATGACCTGCGTGCTGTACCCGCACCGCCGCATCAAGATGACCAGCCTGCTGCCGCCCAAGGGCGACGCCCCGTCCGCCGGCGAGGCCACCATCGCGGATGTATCTGACGACGCCCCGGCCGAGACCAAGGCCAGCGAGTCCAAGGGCGACGTCGTCGCGAGCTTCGAGGAGGCGAGCGAGGACGCAAAGTCCAAGGACGAGGACCAGACCCTGGCCATCCTCAACGGGCGGCAGGTCAGCATCGCCACCGTCGAGAACATGGTCGAGGAGCCCTTCGACATGAAGAACAACAAGGTCATCCAGGCCCTGGTCAACGAGATCGTCAACACCTTCAAGGGCGTGGCACTCCTCAACCCCATGTTCCGCGACCACGTCGCCACGTTCTCCGTCCACACCACCATGAGCGTCGGCGAGGACCCGGTCAAGCTGGCCGACTTCGCCGCCGCCGTTGCCCAGGCCGAGTCGCAGGAGCTGCAGGCTGCGCTGGAGGAGATGGACGTTGAGAAGAGGCTCAGAAAGTCGTTGGAGGTCCTGAAGAAGGAGCTCATGAGCGCCGAGCTGCAGAAGAAGGTCAGCGACGAGGTCAACAACCGCGTCCAGAAGAAGCACCGCGAGTTCATCCTGATGGAGCAGATGAAGGGCATCAAGCGCGAGCTTGGCATCGAGTCGGACGGCAAGGACAAGCTTATTGAGAAGTTCAACGAGAAGGCGGGCAAGCTGGCGATGCCCGAGGGCGTCAGGAAGGTCTTCGAGGAGGAGATGAGCAAGCTGTCCGGCCTCGAGCCTAGCGGGTCCGAGTTCAACGTCACAAGGAACTACCTCGACTGGCTGACCCAGCTGCCGTGGGGCCTGAGCAGTGCCGAGAACTTTGGCATCAAGCACGCCCGCGAAGTCCTCGACGAGGACCACTACGGACTGAAAGACGTCAAGGACCGCATCTTGGAATTTATTGCCGTCGGCAAGCTCCGCGGCTCTGTTGAAGGTAAGATCCTCTGTCTGGTCGGCCCGCCCGGTGTGGGTAAAACCTCTATCGGAAAGTCGATTGCGCGAGCCCTGAACCGCCAGTACTACCGCTTCAGTGTCGGTGGTATGTATGACGTGGCTGAGATCAAGGGCCACCGAAGGACGTACGTCGGTGCCCTGCCCGGCCGCATCATCCAGGCGCTCAAGAAGTGCCAGACCGAGAACCCGCTTGTCTTGATCGACGAGATTGACAAGCTCGGCCGCAACAGCAGCCACGGCGATCCAGCAGCAGCGCTCCTCGAACTCCTCGACCCGGAGCAGAACAGCAGCTTCCTGGATCACTACCTCGACGTGCCCGTCGACCTGTCCAAGGTTCTGTTCGTCTGCACAGCGAACATGTCAGACACCATCCCCCAGCCCCTGCTCGACCGCATGGAGATGATCGAGCTGTCTGGATACGTCGCGGACGAGAAGATTGCCATTGCCGAGAAGTACCTTGCCCCCGCAGCCAAGGAGATGAGCGGCCTCAAGGACGCCGACGTTATCCTCGAGAAGGAGGGTATCGTGGAGCTCATCAACAAGTACTGCCGCGAGTCCGGCGTGCGCAACCTCAAAAAGCAGATCGAGAAGGTCTACCGCAAGTCTGCACTGAAGATTGTGACCGAGGTCGGCGAAGACGCACTGCCAGAGTCTGAGGCGCTCACAGAAGAAGGCAAGGCCGCGCAAGAGGAGGCAGAGAAGGACAAGACAGACGTCAAGGACACACCAGAGGATATTCAAAAGCAGACCGCACCGAAGCCCCGCGTGGCCCTCAAGGTTCCCGACACCGTCCACATCTCGATCGGCAAAGACAACCTCAAAGACTACGTCGGCCCGCCCGTCTTCACCGCCGACCGCCTCTACGACTTCACCCCGCCCGGCGTCGCCATGGGCCTGGCCTGGACCAGCATGGGCGGCTCCGCGCTCTACATCGAGTCGATCCTGCAGAGCGTGCTCTCGGCGTCCTCGCACCCGGGCCTCGAGCGCACCGGCTCGCTGCGCGACGTGATGAAAGAATCCACCGGCGTCGCCTACTCGTACGCCAAGTCCGTGCTCGCCCGCGACTTCCCCAAGAATCGCTTCTTCGAGCACGCCCGCATCCACCTGCACTGCCCCGAGGGCGCGGTCCCCAAGGACGGCCCCAGCGCCGGCATCACCATGGCCAGCAGCTTCCTGTCGCTTGCGCTCGACACCCCGATCCGCGACGGCGTCGCCATGACCGGCGAACTGACGCTCACGGGTAAGGTGCTGCGCATCGGCGGCTTGCGCGAGAAAACGGTGGCCGCGCGCCGCGCCGGCGCGACGATGGTTATCTTCCCCAAGGACAATCTGAGTGATTGGCTTGAGTTGCCTGAGGTAAGTCCATCCATATCCCGATATCCCATCCCAATATCCCATTCCCATTCCCATTCCCATCCCCATTCCCATCCCCATCCCCATCCCCATCCCCATCCCCAACTATTATACGTCATATCGCTAACACCACCCAGAACATCAAAGAAGGCATCCAAGGCCACCCCGTCGCCTGGTACCACGAGGTCTTCGCCCTCGTCTTCCCGGACCTGAACAAAGACGCCGCGAACCGCCTGTGGGACAAGGAACTCAAGTCCAAGAAGGGCGACAAGAAGCGCCGCGAGCAGAAGCGGAAGGATGATGATGAGGAGAGTGGGGAGGATAGTGATTGAGTGTGTAAGTGGGGTGAGGGTTGTACGATAGATTTAGATGTGGAGGTGGCGGGGGGTGGGGTGGTGGGTGGGGAATTGAGGGGGGGAAGGTGAAGGCGCAGATTAAAGAGGAGTGGATACGAACGACGGAGACACAGACACACGAGGCCACGCATCACCGGCGTTTGGGCATTGGCGTTGCACTTGCATGCGATCGGAGCGCGTAAAGTACTGGACACACATATACAGCAAGAGGGGTGGCGAGGGGGGCCGGGGGGAGAGGAGAAGCAGAAGAGAGTGTGCACCACTGCACATTAGACTAGACGAGCGCACCTCGGTGTCGAAGGTGTCGAAGGTGGTTTGTACAGCTGTAGGATACGATATAGGATAGGATACGAATTGAATTGCTCTATACTCCACACGCTCCATACTCCACTCGCGCCGCCATGTCGATGTGACTCCATGCTTTCGGGGGATGCTTTCGGGGGATGCTTTCGCGGAATGGTTTCGGTTTACTCCTCCTGCGTGCGTGTCGCGCTGGAGACGTGTGGGGCAGGAGTGAGTGCGGACTGGCCTCACTGCCTGCGGACTGGCTTCAGTGCCTGTAGACCACGGCGTCGCAGACTCCGCGTAGCATGACCCGCGCGGACTGACCTTCTCTCTCGCTGCGTCTCGCCCTGCGTCGCGCTCCGGCACACGCACACCCACTTGGCACCTCGCTGTTACTGTACTCCGCACCTCACCTCGCCTCGCCTCGGCCGCCCTTGGTTTGCGCGTTCTGCTGAATCTGCTGGGTCTGCTGGATCCACCATTCGCCATCCGCCACCATTCAATGCAGCTACACCAACCGGTACCGCAGCAGACCCGCACCGCAGCAGATTGGTGATCTTACTCCCTCATTCTTCTTCCTCCTCTTCTTCCTCTTCTTCTTCTTCTTCTTCTTTTTCTTCTTCTTCTTCTTCTTCTTCTTCTTCTTCTTCCTCTCCTCCCTCCTCCTACTTTCCCCGAATCGATTTGTGTTGAGCTGAGCTGAGCCAAGCTGAGCCGAGCTGAGCCGAGCTGCAAGGTTTGCAAGGTCTCCTTAGTCCTGCAACGAATTTACTAGTCCCTGACAATCTGAATGTAGCCATAGTTTCCAGAGTTGATATTTTTAGGCACCTTCTGCCCGCCTATATTTTCTGCGCAACGAATAATCGGCACCTCGATGCCAGAATACATGTGCATAAACGGGGTTACTCGGCTATAGCTATACAGCTACTCGTCTACAATTGCACTGATTTGCTTCCTACATGTAGCTTACAACTGAAAATAGGGATGTGGGTGTGGGTCATCTGTCATGATATACAGGACACTGCAGTTGGATGGATAAGGAGCAGTAGTTACGCCCAGAAGCGGCACAACAAGCAAGTGCTACAACGCACTCATCCAACAGCAGTTGCCAAGTGTGCTCACTCCGAAGCAGCCATTTCCGATAAGTCTGCCCCGCCAGCTCTGACTGCAGCTCACTCCAAACCGCCGTTTCTAGGTCTCGAGAAGACGGCGCGTTTACGCGGGCCAACCTCTCTATACAGCACTGCAACAAAGACCAAGAGCTACCACCTGAAGTACAGAGTAAACAGAAGACGGGAAGCAATATCCTACTCCCTTTTTTTACAGCACGCTGATGTATTTCAAGAAGCCGCAGGTGTTACAAGACTCGCTTCTCACTTTCCCCCTCAAAGTACCGCGCGTGCTGTCTGCAAATCTCATCGTGTATGGCGTGGCTGTTTTCCAGTGCACGCACGCCGAGATCTCGAGGTGTGTACAGTACCTATAGCAGGGGTGCGTGATCAACATAGACCCTCAACTATCCTGCTTCTAGCAGCACCTCTCCTTAAGTAACAGTGAAGCCCACTAGCCTAAACAATAACGTGCTCACACTAAAGCTGAGATATTTTGTATACCTCTGTAGGTTATGGTTTGTTAACGGCTGGCTGCTGCGAAGGCTTGTAACACATTGACTATCGTACTTACCCCTAACACACTGTACATGGTCGTCCAGAACGGGAAGATATCTGGGAGTTGCGGTGGGCGGTAACGACCTCGGCGTTGGCAGGGTAGCAAGCATATCTCTGCGCATAGCTTGCGGGCTGGTGGGGGTAGCTCTGCACGGGCAGCAATCACGGTCACAATCACAATCGCACATCGCACATTGCTTTCACAGTTCAGAATCGTTCCATGTAAGGAGAGCCTGCTATCTACCCCTCCCTCCCTGCCGGCCTAGAAAGAAAATCCGACGCATATGCGGACGAAGCGTAGATACAACCCCTCCAACAAACATACTACTGACTCGAAGGTAAAAAAATTGAAAAGATAAATACTGCCAAGGGTATGTCGTGAAGCGCCGAGAAGCGGAAAACGAAGAAACAGAAGGGCGAGAAGCGGGAAGGCAAAGTGGAAAGCGAAGGCAAAGTGAAAGGCGGAGAAGTAAACAGAATGTGTCAAAGTGTGTAAGGCACGGCACGAATCGAATCGGTCCAGAAGCGCGCAAAACCCAAAGAACCCCCCCGCTTAGAAGAATAAAGAACCCGTGTATAACCCACCCTTCCCCAAACGCCAAACAAATAGAAAATGCTGCAGTTGATTGACATGATGCTTTTTGCGTTTGCACGCGGTCCGTCTTTGTTGTCCTCGTCTCGTGGTCGTCTTATCCTCATCTTATCCTCATCGTATCCTCATCGTATCCTCATCTTATCCTCATCGTATCCTCATCGTATCCTCATCTTATCCTCATCGTATCCTCATCTTATCCTCATCGTATCCTCATCGTATCCTCATCGTATCCTCGTCTTCCCTCGTCTTCCTTCGTCTCGTCGTCCCCATCTCGTAGTCCCCATCTTATCCTTGTCTTGGAAACTTCTTCTTCGCCTCATATCTTCACTACTCAATCTCACTGTTAAGATAGTCCTCCAGGTCCTGGGAGCGCTTATTGGCGAGATCCGAGTTTGTCCGCAGGCGCGCAAAGTACTCGTGTTCGTACTGGGGGGTGGCGAGGGGTTCGAAGACGGCTTTTGTGTCGTGGTGGGGTAGGGGTGGGGGGGCGGTTGATGTGTTGTTGTTGGTGGTGCTGAGAGGGGGGGTGGAGGGGCGGATTGTGGTGTTGGATGGCTTCTCTTCCAGCGACTTGTCGAGTGGGGGGTGGAGGTAGTTTACGGTCTTTCCGGGGGAGGCAGGGGCGCCTGTCAGAGCTGGGGTGTGTATGGCTTTGACGGGGCCGGTTGTTGACATCGCCGATGTGTATGGGTCGTCGTTCGCTAGCTGGAGTTCGTCTCCTCTTACGCCATCGCCGAATCCGGGGGCTGTCGTTGCGGGTGACTCCCACATCCTCTCGTTGATTCTCTCCTGCTCTGGAGGAGCTGTCTGCGTTTGCATGCTCTCGCTGAGCTTCTTGTGTGAATGCTCGCTCTCGTGTAGATCCTTTGAAGGCTCGGCAAAGCCTGTATCCTGACGGAGTGGAGAGTTGAAGTTTGTGTTGGCTGAGAATGTGGTGAAGCCAGTCCCCACTCGGTAGTTGCGTTCGGGACGATCGAAGATCGAGAAACCAGTACCTACACGAGACGGCGCAAGTGAGCTTGGTGCTGATGCTGAATCGTATTCAAACTCGAGTTCAAGCTCTGCCAGGAAATCGGTATCCGGAGATTGGTGGTGGGGTTCGGGAGGATGGTCATGGTCGTGATCATGATGGGCATCACGCTGCTTCGGTGTGCCATCCTGAGCTTGTGTTTGAGCCAGTTGGTGCACGCGGTCGCTAAACGAAGCCTTGTTTGCTACTGTGCGGTCCTGCCCGTATGTGGGCGTCAGCTGTGATGGCACTGGCGGTGCATCGGCGACGGAGAGGTTGAGCGGCGTGTTGTCGCTCGACCTGGAGTCTACGAAGGGACTATCGAGACCTCCCGGCGTGATGTACACTTCCTTCGCTTCATTGTCGAAGTCGTGCATACTGGCTTCGCCTCCACCCCGTTGGACGAGCTTCGTGTCCCCATCCACATACACCTGCTCCCATCTGGTCTCGCGGCTTGCGGGTAAGCTTGCCAGGTCGTTGTCCAGCTCGGAGTCGTCAAGAGACAAGATAGACTGGTGACCGGGGTATGGCGAGTAGTCGCTTTGACGGTGCCTGCTCCTGCTCCTGGTATGATCTGGCGATCGGCCACGCTCGACTTGGTTGTTTTGCATGACGTAGGATCCCGCTGACGGTACGTATTCTGTTGACGGCATATTGGGCATGTTGATCTTCTCAAACGACGACCTCGAGTGGGAGAAATGGCGATGCTGTGTGATATCGTTGTGGTCTACAGCCATCATGGGATCGATATACTCCTTGTCGCTCCTGTGCGAGGAAAGGCTGTCCCTGATTGCGTTCCTGGGTTTGAAGCTGTCGACTTCCAGGGGTTCCGGGAACCTGCTCAGCAGAGCCTTGGCTGTCAGGCGGTCACGCGGCCTGTCGCTGAGGCACGCTCTCACGACGTCCTTGAAGAACTCGGGGATGTTGGAAGGCCGGTTCAGTGTCTTGATAAGCGGTCGTTCCTGGCGCTCTGGCTCGTCCTGTTGCTCGGCAAGCGCCCAGAGCACCATGCCCAGCTGGAAGAGGTCTGATTTGACGCCAATGTAGATTGAGATCCTCTGACCGCTCTCGATAAGCCTCGCCAGCTCGGGTGGCTCCCAGCCCACCGGACACCCGCGGCGGTTGATGTCGATGATCTTTGCGTCGTCGTTGCTGTCGATGACGATGTTTGACAAGGTGAAGTCACCTTGTACGAATCCAGCTTCGTGGATCTCGGAGAGTCCTTCCACTATCTGGCGGGCCCACTTCTCGCGCCGGTCCCACGAGAGCTGGTGCTTGAAGTCGTAGATCATGTCGACGAGCGCACCTTCTTTGGCATAGCTGATCAGCAGCCCCTTGATCAGCTCGCCGGTCTCATCGACGATCACGCCCTCAAACTGAATGACTGACTTGGAGTCTTGCAGGCTGCAGAGGGCGTTGATCTCGTAGAGGAACTCATCGACAGCGTCTGGGCCGGGGATCTCCTTCTTGATGTACGTCCGGTTTTTGGCGCCGACCTTGTACACGAATCCCGAGATGTGCGAGTCGAAGTCGATGTCTCTTTCTTTGAAACGCTGGAAGTCAAGATGGCTGATTGCTGAGATGGACGGGTAGGGGATGATCTCGTTGACGTCTTCGGTGACGTGGACGTGCAGGCGGCCTTGGTCTGTCTCGAGCTTCAAGTTTGTGACAGTGTCGTAGAACTGTATGGAGGGCAGCGAGTCGCGTATGGCTTCGTAGATCCGGGCGCTCTTGTCTCGCTGGTAGTGGAGTGACTTTAGGTCTGCCTCGAGAGAATCGGGCTCGAGGTGGCGGTAGTCGCACGAGACTGTCACTCGCCGCCACTGGTTGCGTTCTTCTGCGTAGGTGACGAAGAACTTTTCTCGGTCGGACATGTCGCGGAAGTGCATGCTGAGGTTGAGGATCCACTTCGCCTCCAGCTCCTCCTGCAACCGTGCATCGTCGCCGTCGGAGAGCGAATGGTGTGAGGCGTGGTCGTGGTCGTGGTCGTGGTCGTGGTCGTGGCCGTGGTCGCGGTACGAGTCCTCCAGCTCGATGGGCGGAGGACTGCTGGGGGGAGGACTGCTGGGGCGACTGCTGGGAGGACTGCTGGGCGCGCCGTCTTGCAGGTTCTCGATGCTGTAGTCGACCTGGCGTGCGCCGGCGGGCAAGTTCGAGTCTGGCCCGCCGCCAATGGTAAACTGCGGCAGCTCGTGCTCCTTCTGCTGCTCCTGCCTGTGGATGCCGCTCTCGTGCGGGCTCAGGACGTCGGGCGCGGACACGGACGGGATGGACAGCGGCGGCGGCGTGAGGGCGCGGTTCGCGACAATCGAGGGCTTGCGGTCGGCCGACGTGGCGCGGCGCTGGTCGGGCTCCGGGGGCACCTCGAGCAGCTTGTCGCGCATCTCGCTCTGCATGCGCTTGAAGGTCAGCGGGCGCGGCAGGCCGGGCACAACCTTCCTGCTGCCGCGGCGGTGCAGCAGACCGCCGCTCGACTGCGGGCGCGACTGCGGGCGCTCGCTCTCCTTCGTGGGCTCCGGGCTGGCCTTGGTCGGCGACTGCGGCTCGTCGTCGTCGCGCTTCAGCCAGCTGCCGATCTTGTTGAGGCTCAGGCGGTTCCACATGCTCCTGTTCGCACCGACCTCAGTGCGCGCGCGCTGCCTGCTGCGGTCGCGGCTCGTCCCCCCATGCTCGGCGGCCGGCACCTGGTGCATCGCTGCGTTGGCTGTCTCACACGCTTGCTCGGCCGCTGCCCACGCTCGCCTACGCTCTTATGCCCACGCTGCCTACGCGCAGCACGGCTTGGCCGCAAAAGCAGCGGGCGGTCTCGATGTGTCTGGGGCGGGTGTGGCTCCGGCGCGCGCTGCGACGGGGGCTCGATTGGACTCGTGGTGTCGGTTTGGCGCCGCCGTCATGCTGTGTCGGGCTGGTGTTACCGTGGCTGCTCGCAGCATTCATGGACGTGCATTGCCCGCAGCGGTTCTGCTTCTCCTGTCCGTGGGCGAGGCACCCGGCGCGGTATTTTCGCGTGGGCAGCGTCGCTAGAGTCGGTCGCTTGCTGCTCTTGACGCCCAAGAGTTGGTTGGCGCCTAACTGCAAACAATCTCCGCACGCAGCACCGCGGAGCAGCGGGGCCTGGCGATCCTGTGCGGCTCAAGGCAGTGGGCAGGCTGACGACCAAGCGGCCTCCGTTGTATGCCGTATGCGGGTGTGAGTCCTCGTATGTCAGATATGAGGTGTGAGGCTGGGGGCGTTCCTGCCCAATCAACGCATCCTCGGCGAGAAAACGTCCTTTGCGCCCTGCCACTCCTGTGCGCCCGCAAAGCCGCCCAATGAAGCCCGAAAGGAGTCTTGAAAGGCTACCCTGGGCCAGGTGTTGATACAAGTCTCACACGAGCGGGGAGCAGGCACGTCAAAAAGCCAGTGTGCGCAGCTCGCCATGTTATGGCTGCTTGTGGCGGTCAGACGCTGCGAGCAATTGGCCGGTGAGCCCATCAGGCCTGCAGAGCGCCCAGCGCAGGCCCGAAAAGACGACGACGTCGAGTCGAATCAGACGCAGGGCGACCGCGCTGCAGCTGCAAGAGAACGCGTCTCACCCCCTGATTGGCGCGAGCTGGCCACAGCAGCCACCTCTGCGCGATGCGGTGAGCGTGTCACAGTGCTCACGCTTCACTGTCAACGTCCTCCGGCCGTGGTGCTCTGCGCAGTACGCTTCACAGGGCAACTTGCGGGCTTCCACATTGGAACCCTCTGTTTCCATCACTGCCCTCCTTGGGCCTGCATGCGTTAGTCTACACATAGCGCAGCGGCTAACCTGACAACTGCGATCCGTCTGCAGCTCATGACAGACGCAGGAGATCGGTACATCCGGGAAAGTCTCTGTACACGAGTGCCCCACTCTGTAGTCGCACAAGAGGCCTTCTTCGTCACCGGCAGACTCGCTTCTGCACGTTGTGCTGCAGAGGGCGCCGACATGCTCGGGACACTGCAGCACCTGAAGCACCACGCAGCGCCTGCAGCGTTCGAGCTGCGTGAAAAAAGCAACCCATGCTCCGTCCCAGGCAATCTTATGACTCAATCCGGCCGACTATCCAACAATTCTGTTGAGTTCCCCTCAACCTGCACCGCAGCCCCGCCCCCTCTCATTCAGCCTTCATCTTCAGTCCAGTAGCGGCACAGTGTCAAAATGCAACACCATGATACTTTTGCTCCAGCGCGTCACACTATTCGCGCTGGCCGTTCGCACAGCCCTACGAAACGCATGCCGCATGCGTTGTCCGCGATTACTCTCGCAGTCCAACGCCAGCCGGACACGTCAACGTACTGTGTAGTTCACGCGCGCTGCGCGCCAGCCGCAATTGCTGAGACAACCACGCATGCACGGCGAATGCAAGCCTGCAGCCATCATCGACTGGTGGAAACGTCTTTATCATGCGTAGACCGTGACATGTACGGACAGACATCGACAGCGACGTGACATGGACGTAGACATCACCGTAGACACCACCGTAAACATCAACGTAGACACCCTGACCACACTAAACCACCCCCAGCACCCCTTACGCCCACCGCAAACCCCGCGTCAAAGCGCGCGCCCTCGCAGTCCCGATACACCCGCACCGCGGCCAAGACGCGGCGTTGGGATGTAGAAAAAGCAATGTTCGTGTAGAAAAACTTTGGTTCGGATCGGCCCGCGGCCCGTGATGGGATCATGCTGGCCTCCCGTGCTGATGACGATGTGCTATGTCGAGGTCGAAACGCTTTTGTCTCTAGGGAGGCGATGTGTGATGTGCGATGTGCGATGTGCAATAGAACGAAGAACCAACACCGCAGGATGTCGCCCTGGACATCGCGCTGGCATTTCGACGGCGATGCGGGTGTGCACGCGGAATACGCTGCACGTCGACGCTCTGTCACCTCGCCGTGCCGTGAACCTTCGTTCTCACATCCGTGGTCAAACCCCTTTGTCTCAGGTCGCCCTGCTGCGTCCATCCTTCACTCCACCGTGCTGCCGAACACACTCACCAGTACGGTATTCCGACATACTCCCTGCCCAGACCCGTCCGATCAGCAGCTCGGCAAAACACAGCATCAGACACGAACAGCCCACATTCGTGTCTCACGCGGAGTCTTGCGTACGAGACTGACCGCGCATGGACGGAGGAGACACTCTCTCCGGTGTCTGCGGCGTAGGTGCTGCAATAGCAACCGTTTGGAGCCTACAAGCGTACTGAGCAAGCGTACTAAGCAAGCATACTGAGTACCTAGTCCGACACGCCTGGGCACGGTGAATCTGCTATACATGGCCGCCTCCACATCCCGCCGGGCCGCTGAGTTGCATAGCGAACTCACGGCGGGGCTTGAGGGACTGGCGCTGACACTGGTATGGACTGGCACTGGCACTAACACTGGCACCACATCCCATCAACACCCACCCACGAGATCGCACAGCGAGCTCACGGATGAAGCATCCAGACGCACTGGCGTCGACCAGCACTGGTACTGACTGGCTCCACACCATACCACACCATCCTCCACCGCACCCTCCACCGCACCCTGCCCATCAGCACACTAGTACGGCACACACCAGTCCCACTCTGCCTCCACCTGCACCGCCGTGCCCCGCCCCGCCCCCCCCGCGCCGCTCCAAGAAAACTGTGTTGGAGACGGAGATGGAGACGGAGATGGTACGTATCAAAACTAGCTGGGCTCGTAGGTTGTAACCCAATTAGACCCTACGGGCAGACCTGGGCCTGGTTATTTGGCGAAGGAGAGTTTGATTGTTGTTTCCTTCCACCTTGATCGAGAAAGGAGTCTTCGTGCTTGTCTCTCACTTGTATATATATATATAGAGGGAGCCACTTCTGCCTTGCTTTTAGCTCCTTGTCTGATGCTTGGTATAGTTGCCTACATCTTTTGTTGGTAGATTGCCTCTTTTGCGCCTGTGGAGGCTGCCTTATACAGATGTTGCTATGTTGCAAAACCCCCTGGCGCGATATAGTATATAAAATGCACGAGCTGTCGCCAGCAAGGCCATGGCGACACTCGTTGAATGATGGGTCTAGCGCAGCATGTAGGACACCAGGTAGAGGCCGCCAGATTGTTTGCTACATGAAGTAGAAACGGCCCGTGCTGAGTTTACTTGCTCAAGGTGCGGCAGCAGGTGAAGAGAAGCAAACGATAAACTTCGTTTCCGCCTACCCCAACACCACCCGAACGACATACAGCAACCAGCCACGTAACCCAACTTTAACGTATCACAGTACCAGCACCAGTGCGAGCTCACGCCAACCGGTGCGCCGACCCTTGGCTCGAAATGACACATGATGCTTTTCGCACTACTTCAATTACGGATCTGAATACCGTCGAGGCTGTGAAGAGAGCAGAGGCTAAAGCTTTGGCTTTACAGGTGCGCAACGACGAGCTGATGCGCGAGATCGAGAAGCTTCGGCAAGAAATCGTGCAGCTCAAGAGGGATGCAAATGAGAAGACCGAACATGACGCCCAAGTAACGATCGATCTACACAAGACGGAAAGTCACAGCTCAGTCGACTGGCGGAACACGACTCTGGCGAAACAGCTGCGCGAAATGAGCCTCAAGAGTCAACCCACTACAGGCGATACACGTCCAACTCACCAGCAGACATCGTACAAGTCGAACACCGAGATTCCGACGTGAGTACTCATCTTGGTTCTGGTAGCTGGTCGTCGATGCTAACGTCGTTTTATAGTCAGGGACAGAACAAACAGAAGCCGTTTTCGTCCTTGTTTCCTCCTACAGGCCACCTCTCGCAGCAGGCAGGCGCACCAATTAAGCTACCGATCGGCTTTCCTCGCCACAGCCCATTCTATGCGTTTCCTAATCTCACTAAAGCGGGCAGCGAGGCGATCAGCCGCCCTGCGCCCTCGCCGGAGACCTCTCTGGAGGCCACCGTACCCTTTAAAAGAAAGATCACGGATGAGTGGGCTGTTGACGGGAGGGCCGCAGCAGAGGAAGAAGTTAGACAGCGAGAACAAGAACAGAAGGCTAGGGAGCGAGGAGAGCATGGAGTCCCCGATAGCCAACCCTCAGATTCCGATCTGAAAGCTCGTGAGCGTTCCGTTCGGTGGAAGGTCGCGGGAAAGGTACTTGAAACGGATAGGTACCGAAGTCTCAGATGTCTCGGATACAGGAGGTTCCACGAATGAAGGCTGAATGTGCTGCAGCCTCTCAGACGTGCCTGATGAGGTGCGCTTCTGATAAGTGCCCTGCCTGTCAAATCATTTACATGGCACTTTTGTAGTATGCAAATCATCTTAATCACGACCAATAGCATGCACAATTACAGCTAAATCATTCTGTTCAAGGATCTGCACCCCAACGAGAAAGAAACGTGATAAAATGATCGATAGGATCGCCCTTTCTTATCGTCTAGTGCTGCATTCACTAAGTGGTTGGTCGGGTAATGATCTGACGTACTTGAGTGCAGTACAGATAGTGTCTGTACTTTATCTGACAGGTCTGAAAGTTCTAGTTCTAGTTTTTAGAACAAAGTTACTTTTTCAATATTGTCCCTATTCTTCTCCGTAAATGCTTCTCCTCTCATCACTCCATGGACATACGTCTGCCCGATGATCTTGAACATCCCATTGTCGTACGGCCGGAGAATGACGGGCATTTTGGCTCCAACTGGAATCCACACCTGATCTGAGCCTTCCGTGATTGGAGGACCGAGTCCCAGACGGCCATCGTTAGTGATGTACATCAACCGGTTGCGAGCTGCGCGTCTGACATTTGTTTCGAAGTATGATGCATGCTCTAGGTCGTCTTCAGAAAGCACTGAGATATCTAGCGCGTTCTCGCGGCGATAGTACGCGTGAAAGTCCCGGACATGTTGATCTGGGTTCTTGTCTGTTGGTTGGCATGACAACTCCCAGGTTGATGTTAGACCAGCGGTCATAGTGGACGCGAACGCTAATACAAACGGCTCTTCGTATGGATAAACCAGGGAGTTTGGGATCGGGATGGCGTTTGGTCTCCGCAGCTTGGGAGCGTCGCTCAGTAAAAGCGCCATCACATCAAGGCATTCGGCGAGGTACTCCGTCACTGGTATGTGACGGACGCAGCGAACAGTGTCCAGTCGCAGCCCCCAGAAGGACGCCTGGCTGAAAAGCCCTTTGCGTTTGGTAAGCCCTAACTCGACTCTGAGACTTGGACGAAACCCGGAGGCTGTATAACAGGTTTTGGTGGCGATAAAATCTTTTCCGTCAATGTCCCATCGTGGCACCCATGAAGGGTAGTCCGATTGAATGCTCTCCCAGGTGTGAGCTACGTGAGCTATAACGTCGAGACCAAGATCGAAGTTGTCAATAGCGGCGATTGCTAGTTGATGATAAAGTCTCAAATACGTGTTGGAGTTTTTGTAGTTTGGCGCAACGATCGTAGCCCTACTATAGTAGTAGTTCCGAGGGTACCATTTGTATGGTTCAACATCGAGCCGCTGCTGTTTGAAAGCGGAAGGGTGACCTAGGAATGCGTATACGCTGTCTCTACGGTCCGTACAATTCAAGCCACGTGCTCTGCTGAGGATGTCGAAAAAGGTCTCTGCTTCTTTAGGATCCGACCCAAGCTCAAGACGCGTGCCGGCTAAGCACGAACGCCAGTAATCGTTGCCTAAATGTATCATCTGTAGATCCAGCAATGGTGGTTCTTTCGATCCCTTCTTCACATGACGCAACATTGTTGTGAAATCCGTTAGTTCGGTCTTGTTGAAACGCTCTTGGCCACAGTGAAAAACTGCAGCTCTGCCTAAGCCGAGCTCTTGAACAACCCAGACACGTTGGAACCATGGTCGAGCCAGAAGACGATGCAAGGCAGTCCATTGAGCCTTCGTAATATCCGCAGGTTCAGTGAATCTGATGTTGCAGTATGCGTCATACTGTTCTCCTGTAGTTCCAACCGCCTTCATGTGTACATCCGCTAAGTATCTTATGACTGGGATAATGTGTTTTGCACGATACATGTCTTCAACGTCATCATCGTGACCAAGCCAGATGCGAACACAGCGCGCTTTCCAATAGATCAAGCCCATTAGTTTCACCTGCTCTTCACGTTCACCGATGTCTTTTTGATTGATGCAGAGTGCATCTGCCCACAGTATTCTGACCGTGGCTTCATGGCGAAGTGCTTGTAACGCGTCGGCTAGACTTTGTGTAACATACGCTCTTCGCCCGTCACCTTAGTCGTCTTAGTGCCGTGATATAATCCACTTGTTTTAAGTATGGCTTACAATCTATCTCAATCGTGTAATTGGAGTTGCCCCAAACATATGAAATAGCTTCGTATTCTTCGAAGCCACTGATGGACGAGTTTGCACCAAGGTCGTCGTAAGCAAGCAAATCAACGATTTGAAGGTTACAGATGATGGGGTCTTCTCTGGTACCAGGCTCCAACTGGAGAAGACGAATCTGATTCTTCTGCAATTTGGTATATCGATAACGTGCTTTCCGGCGCGTGAACAGACGTGAAAGTTTGGGCGTAGGGTCTAGCATTTTGAGTTTACGATGCATAATGTACGCTAAGCACCAAAATCATGACTGGGATCGAGCGAGAACAAAAAACACGATACAGCCAGGTGGAAGAACGCTTTGATGAAGTGCAGTATACAACAAGATCGCACGCTGTGATGCTGCGAGAACCAGACATCATAAAAGTGCTCTTCGGGCGGGCATTGGCGTAATGGAGAACCTTGATGATCCTGGCGCCTAAACAACTGTGCTGATACGATGCCTCAGGATGCCACTCTCGGCGCCTACTGAGCCACTAGGCATCTTTGTAGGATCCAAACCTTCTCTATCGGAGCTATTAAGCCGCGAAACCACTACTGGATTACTCCGTTCAGCGGATACATTACAGCAAGAGATAGTCCGAGTAAGAATGTTGATCCTTACTGCCAGACGCTGCATGTTGCCACGTAACTGGTCAGATGTGGGTGCAATATGCTCTAAGTGCCACTCTGCGAACTGGGCCAACTTTTACGGACTTCAAACACTGAGACCAGACCCCTTGCCACCGTGCAGCCTGGCCTGGCTGGCCTCAGTGTGCCGGGCGCGTTTCACAGCTCTTACACGGCGCATAGCGATGCAGAATGGTCGGCCAAAATGCCACGGAGGAGTTGTCAAACGCCACTGGTGAGACCAAAGGTAATGGAAGCAGTCCATGAGGGCTTACATATGCAACATCATCGTCCGTGGCCCGTGGCAATGGACCCTGACTGCGCTATCGTCTGGAAATGGCAAAGCGTAGAGAAGGTCGGAAACCGCGTTCCGAGTGGCATCGTTAGCTCGGCAGCCTGACCTCGCCGCTTTCTCTACGTTTCTTGAGCCGTCCTACATAGATGATACTGGTAAAATTTCTAGCATAGCAATACAGTTTGGAAAGCTTTTTCCGTCATTTTGTCAACCATCTCGCCTTGCATGACCCCATGTAAATACGCCTGGCCTAAGATCTTGAACACGCCTTGGCTAAGTGGTCGTAAAACAAAAGGCATCGGAGCACCTCGCGGCAGCCAGACCTGATCTCCCTCTCGCGTGACCATTGGTGCCAGACCAAAATGATTGTTCGTGGTAACATAGAACACCCTCGAAATTCCAGCCAAATCAAGATCCATGTGGAAGTTGTCGCCGATGTCGTCCTCAAAATCACACTGTATCCGTGGGGGGCCGCGCTCGTGTCGCCGCAGGTAGCACTCCAAGCCATTGATGTGACGGTCTATGTGTGGTTCGGCTGGAACGGGGACCAGATCTGTATCAGTCGTGATCAGTCCGGCGGTCAGTGTCATGGCCAACGCAGCCCAATCGTTGGCGGAGGTTCGGGTTCTTGATGTTGCAGCTGGCCAGTCGAAAGGGTGTTGTTTGAGGTAGCTCGCTCCTGCGGCTCGCTCGGGGAACAACGTTTCGACCAATGTTTGGACGGATATTGTCGCCTTATCGGTTGCAGCATAGCGGATGGTAGCCAGTCGCGAAGCACGCAGACATAGTCGACTGAGGAAAGTATTGCCGGCAGGAGTATACACATTCATTGACGTAGGGCTGAGAGAACCTGATGAGTGGTATAGCCTGTTGCATCCGTGAAAGTGAGACCCTTGATCGATAACGTTCCATAATGGAACCCAAGATGGGATATCGAGGCTCAGAGTATTCTCGTTGTGGGCTATATGCGTAAGCAATTGAAGACCTAGATCGCGATCTTTTACTGCGTTTATGGCAAGGTTTATACATGCATGATGAAAAGTTGCCGATTTGTCGTAGTTTGGTTGAATAATGGGCAGTCTTCCATCGTAGTAATTCTGGGAATACGACCGGTAAGGGTCGGCGTCGAATCTATGTTGTTTGAAGGCTGAAGGATGTCCCAAAAATGCGAAGATAGAGTCCCTTTCGTCCGTACACTCTAAACCGCGCGTCTGGCTAAGTATGTCTAGGAAATTCTCAGCCTCTTCCGGGCTCGATTCAAGTTCGATGCGGTCGTCGTTCCGAGTCGCTCTTTTATATCTCTGACCCAGTAGCAGTAGTCGATTGTTGATCTCATATGAGATCCAAAGCCCGGATCTGGAATTAAACAATGAGTAAACAAAGTCACACAAGTCTGTTTGGATAATCTGAGTCTCTCCGCAGTAGAACGTAGCGTCTCTAGAAAGTCCAAATTCTTGAACCACCCATACTCGCTCGAACCATTCGCGCTGCAGGAGATGTCGTACAGCTTTCCAGTTCACGTCGTTGGCTTCCCTCTGCTCCCGAAAAAACTGTTCACTCAACTCTCGAGCAGCAACCCCAAACGTGTTTCGATATGAGAAAGCGAACTTCCGAATGAGTGTAGCGGCATGACGAGCACAATACACTGGCTCGTGATCTCGACCCAACCATATGCGGACTTGACGTGCCTTGAAGTATATCAAACCCATTAGCTGTACTTGTGCTGCACGTTCATCGGTGTCCTTTTGATTGATACAGAGTGCATCTACCCATAAAATGGTGATTTCCTTCGAGTCACGAAATCTACGAAGTGCATCCGCAAGGTTGGCTCCGATCCGCATAGTTCGGGCATCGCCTACATATGTGTGTTCGAATCAAGATGCATTTTGCGATACGAGCCAGAGGAAGAGACCCTAGGAGTGCTTGAGGGATTCGACTCACACATAATTTCGACCTTTTTTGAGGCCTTGCCCCAGACGTACGAAATGGTATCGAACGATCTCAAGCCCTCGATAGGTGACTCTGCTGTGTGGTCGTCGTACGATAGTAGGTCCACATTCTGGAGTGAACAGGAGAGCTGGGACGTTCTTTCGCCAGGCCAGAGTTTAAGCAGGCGCACCTGATCCTTATCTAAAGGCGTATAGCGGTACGGTAGTCTGCGGGAAAGTAAGGCTGGTAGCAACGCCATGATTAACCTCTCAGACGCGCCTGATGGTGTGTGCTTCTGAGCAAAGCCTTGACTGTCCAATTACTGCAATCAGACACGCCCGATCAGCCCCTTGGTGAATGCAGCAATAGGCAAGAAGAGAAGACAGCCCTAAGGTCTTATTGAGACTTTTTCTGATCTGGCCTGTCGAATGTGCCTGTGTGTAGTATATGAATCTAATGTCGGGGGCCAATGTCAGTGATAAATAATGAACGCTACCTTGAAGATCAACAGTGGTGCCGACTGAGGTAATATGAGTAGAGGTTGAGCTATGAAGGCGTTCAGGTGCACCGTTACCCAGTACCTCACATCATATATGTACTAAGACCAGGGAGAATGCCACCGATGGTCCATTGAAACACCGAGCGGCTCAGCTTTAAGCGCTGCAATGTGTACTGCTTGCCGCCGCACGCAAAGAGATCCTGGCGCCTGTGGCTATGCACCATTGGTGCCTGTCGTATTGTCCTCACAGGACCACTCAAACCCGTATTACGGGGTTATTTAAATGGTGTCCCTTAATCTGCACAGCAATGCCCTGGAATGACTAAAATTTGCAGCTCTCAGGTATAGTTGTTGTTCGTGAGCTGGATCCTTCGCGACAAGCCACGCTGGGCTGAACAAACCACGCAAGCATGTCTTGTACCTTTTGATGGCCTTGCATATCTGGAGTTTCTGATGATATTCATTCGGGCTCTCAAGTTGCAGAACAAACGGCGGACTAACAAACGACGGACTGAGGATGAGCCAGGTACACCACACGACAGCAACGTAGGGAGAATACCAAAAAGCACTATAGAATAATTTCTTGCCTACAACATAGGTAATTCTTAACTAAATCTCTGCTTTAAGTATTATAATAGCTACGAGTTCTGTATGAAAGCGAGAGTCGGGTTTGCCTGCGAACTATGGAACCGTGGCTCTCTAGATCCGAAATAGAACAGCGCAGAGCCCAGCCGGAAAGCCGGTTCCGAACATTGTCAGCTCTGTAACGCCTCCTTCTCTACGCTTCTTGAAGCTTCTCGGGCTTTTTGCCCATTAACAAGCAGGTTTGCACAGACAGTCAGACGGCGTGAACCATTTAAATATCTGTCCAAGCTCGGGTACGACTACTGAGAGGGCAATCCTGTACTGCGTGCGTTGCCGCATTACTTCGAGCGACATGTCGGACCGCAACATGTCCGACCACGACGTAGAGAATATCGGGAGACACTGCCAGTTGGAGTACTGTGGGCAACTAGATTTCCTTCCGTTTCCGTGCGCGAGCTGCAAAAAGTGGGTTTCAGCCGGTTCAGCCTTACACCATGGCTGACGCGTGTAGGTACTATTGTCTCGACCACCGGTCAGAAACCGCGCACGCGTGCACAGATGCAAGGAACCGCCAGAAAAGCGACACGAAAGAGGAGAAGGAGAATACCACCACAGAACCTCCCAAATCGATATCGAGTACGTGGAGACCAGAGGGCCCATGTGCCAGACCGTCCTGCAAAACCCGAATCGATGGTCACACCCATAACGGGGGCGTTGAATGCCCCCGGTGTAATCGTCGATATTGCATGACCGACCGCCACGAAGAGAAGCACGACTGCAAAACACTCGAACCGATAGGCGCACGGCCAAACACTGTCCAGCAACATACACAATCCGCGCTGGCGAAGCTGAAGCTCTGGGCCGAGAAGAAACGTGCCGAAGACGAGAAGCGACGCATCGCATCCAAGAAAACTGGTTTCTTCGGACTCGGCAAGAGCTCCACCTCCGCCGCCTCCTCCGCGCAAGCCGAGCTCAATGCCCTCAAGCGCGTCGCAAAAGGCGATGCCAAGGTCCCACCGGAGAAGCGCATCTACCTGACCGTCGAAGCCTCGGCCGACACCACGAAGGCCAAGTATCCCACGGGGAAGTTTTTCTACAACAAGGACGCCAGCGTGGGGCGAGTGCTGGACATGGCTGCCAAAGCGCTGATGGTCGAGAACGTGAACAACCGCAGCGAGCTCGAGGAGGACAAGCTGCGCGTGTTCCACGTGCAAGGCGGGCGGCTGCTGAAGTTTTCTGAGAAAATAGGCGATGTGACGCTGAGTGGGAATATGATCATCTTGCTCAGGGGTGTGGGATCTGGAGAGCCCGATCTCATCGATCTCTCTGAGGGGTGAGCAGGGGTTTTGGTGAAGCCTTGGTTGGAGCGCAAGGAGGCGTTTTCGCAGAAGATACCCATCGAGATATGACTTATGAGAGGCGTTCGCGACGCATGAAGCCAAACTAGGGACCGCTGCTTTTGCATGATAAGTTGGTGTGATGTGTGTGCTGGCTGTTGCTGTGAATCGTCATCGTGACTTCTTAAAAGGACGAAAAGGCATAGCCTACGGCCACCGACACACCACCGCTCTTGCATCGAGCTTGGTGTAGTAATGGCAAACGTCCGCAATCGAGAGCTCAGACATACTAGAACTCTCGATACAGTAACGGACTGCAATATTTGATGCAATGGTCCAGATTTCTACCAACGCTCTAAACAGAGGTCCAAAATGAGCGACATGAAGGGTGGAAGAAGCTCCATGAGGACTGATCCACAACCCATGGTCTATACAATTTGGCGATCTGGCTGTTCGTTATCTGCATCACCTCATCTCTTAAAAACTCAAAAGACAAAACTATATCTTAGACTTCAATGCTACGTACGGGCTAAACGAATCTGCATGCATGAACCTGAACTGCGCTGGTGTCGAGCACTTCGAACACCAGCGTCGTCTGCCGCCTGTCAGCTACAAACGGTCATATTTCTCGACAACAAAAACACCAATCCCCGCTAGGTGGGGACATGCAACCGGCCTGGTCGTGCCTCAGAACTATATATCAAAACGCCGTAACGCCTCGCTTGTGTCGCGGTATGTGTGCACTATGTTGCACCTTCAGCCTCACTCTCCCGCTCGCACCATGCAATCACGCCGTGGCAGTCGTTGCCATGGCGAAGCACGTGCGATGGTCGTGCTACTATGCTCATGGGCCTGGATCTTGGTTGCAGCATCGCAGGCTGTGGATCTTGGAGTCCCAGCCGATGCTCGCCAAGTTGTTGACGCCATCGGCGAACGTGAGATAGCGGTCGCTGTCATCACCTTTGCAGTCATAGTTGCTGGCTCGCTGTCAGCTGTTGCCATATCCACACGACGGGGACGGCGCATACTCAAAGAACTGGCAATACCAGTAGTCCTTTCTGACCAGGACCGCGGCAACGTCATGGCCACCGACAAGGATCGACTGGACTCGTCCATCGATTCTGGCTCGTGTCAGTTGTGCGCGCGCCAGCGGGCGAAATCGGTCTCACAGGTTATTGTCGAGCGAGAGGCACTGGTTGTTGTACGCGTCCACGGACACCTCGGAGAAGAAGGCGGGTGCGGCAAATAGTTGGACCTTGATGCGGTTCTTCACGATCATGTCGCCGGCGGTCGCGACATTTGCGCATGCGAGGAACGACGACACGATGGCGAGCGGAAGACTGCGCATTGTAGCGCGCACATGCAGGTGGGTAGGCGCAGTCGCAGGGTGGCTCGTCGGAAAGTCGGCGGTGAGATGGCTTGGGTGAGGTCAAGATTGTGAACAAGACCAGGGAGGCTGGCACGACTGGTGACGCTCAGTTGGTGGGTCGGCGCGTGCGCCCATTGGCTTGCACTGCCTCGCTGCTTGGCCGCAGACAGCCTAGGGCGCACATTGTTCGTGCGAGCGGGGTTTAGCAGCACGAGATGGACAGTGACTTGGTTGAAGAGTAGAAGAATGTTCGTCGGTATGAGAGATCGCGCTATGGAACGACATTTCTTGGGAGTGTTTCGTGCCAGGCGGGCTCCCCAGACCCGAAGCCGCCAAACATCACACGAGCCGTCAGCCGCCCACCCCGGAAACCGCCAGTTTGGATGATGAACAGCGACAAACACAAGCAATCGACCTTACGAGATGCTCCTGTATGGCGCGTAGCTTAAGGTATCCCAGCCTGCCAGCACCTTCCTGCCGGGGAGTCTTCGGCGCTCTATGAGTCTACGCACTGAGAACGGAGGACGCGTATGTTCAACCGGCTTGCGCCCGGGGCACACGCACCTCTCCGGCCTGTTGCACACCGGACTACGCACGATGCATTCAGGATTCGGTAATATGTGCGGACCTCGTATGTCTGCGCCGCGATGGCCTGTGGAAGCAACTGTCTTCCTACCTACCGCACCCTTGTACTCCTTATACAGTGTGCGCTTGAACGGCGGTATTCAGTCATAGTCAGGTGACGCATTGGCTGTGATGAGAACGAGAGAGAATGAGATGGAACCTAGGAAATTGCCAGGTGGCTGGTCGGACGTCATTGGGTGCGATACTGTGTCTCTGTGCCTCCATGCTGCGTTTTGTCAACAAGCAGCGGTGTGCTCACAAGGGCGTCAAGCGAGGAGCGACAGTTTGATCTCCGCAGATCGCTGCAAAAGTCCTCGTGGAAATTACATGTGCTCGGTAGGCGCCGGCAAGGGTGCCAACGCACAACGTCACTTCAACTGTTCAACATTTCCAGGATAACCTTGCTTGCCACAGTCCCTACCGTACGAACTTGAGTCTGTGATTGTGACTTTGCTGTCATTGCTGTCATCTGCGTTGCCTGTGTTACCTGCATCAAGGCCAGTCCGACCACCCACTTGGCAAAACAGGGGGTTATTTCTTCTTACATGGTTGGTCATTCAAGTCAGATAAGCACAGGTATAGTTACGTTGTAAGTCTGTGGCCACGTTGTAAGTCTCTTGTAGGGATATGCCAGTTCTTTATGTAGCTGGGTATATGAAATATCTACACCTGAAATTCGTAACAGTCATGGTCAAGTGGTATCCGCCAAAGAAGAGAAGAGAGAATCGAATGTAGCTCCAGAGTTTTCCAGTTTCCCCTGGTCCCACCGTCCAAATACGCCATGGATCTGTTTTTCCGTGTAAATGCAAAGCAAAGTGATCATTGGTGAAGTGCTCCCAGCTAGTTGGTGAAGTCCCTCGCATGGCGGCGCTCGTTGCTGGCTACGGCAACGGAAGCGATCTGAGGACCAGGAGCGTCGCCAATGAGCTTGTTCGCAGCGTGCCAGTACAAGTTGTAATTGAGGAGCTCATCATCAGGCTTGTAGATCTCGGTTCCCTTGACACCCTTGGGAACTGGCTTGCTGTCGTCTCCGCCCGTTACAGCAATATTGAAAGCCTGGAGAAAATTAGCAACTTATCGAGAATACAAGATATATCGAAGCTCACCTGAGGCCAGAACTGACGGTTGGCGACAGCACCGTTGTTGTGGATCGATGCGACTTCAGTGCGCAGCACGTAGTTGCCGGAAGGAATTTCACTCGGGATGGTAATTGTGTGGGCGTTGCCGTTGTCGTAGAAGATGGCATCGGTTCCCCACTTGCCAGTCTGGCCGCGAGCCTCGCCCTCAGCGTAGCGGGTACCCTGAGGGTAGGATGTCAAGGCCACTTCGTCGATCTTGAAGAACTCGAGCTTCGTCTTATCGACCTTCGAGCAGTCACCATTGCACTTCATTTTAAGTTAGCATCTTCAAACTTGTCTAACAATGCTCAATATACGCACAGGTGCCAAAAACGAAGCAGTCCAACCGTGATGAGAGCAGTCCCATCCTTCCTCGCCCTCGCCACAGCTGCCCTCGTGGTGCCAGTGGAAAGTGACCTTGGAGCCGGCAGGGGCCTCAGCGGTGTTTGGTGAAGGGATGGCATCCCTGTGGGCAATGATGTCCGGTGTGTTGATCTCGTCACCCATTATAGGCTGGTATCCCCAGCCCTGCGATGTTTTCCACGCGGGGCTACCCTTCTCAAGGGGGGCGCTGTTATCAGCACCGCGGAAACCCGGGTACGTAACGCCGCCAATTTCAGCGCTCTCGACGGCAGTGTGGCCGGAAACCTGGGCAACGAGACCCGCGAAGAGGACGGCAGTGTTGAAGATCTTAGACATCTTGGTGTTTTTGAATGGATGTGTGGTTGGGGTGAAGTGAGGATTCTGTGGTCGGTTGTTTGGTGAATGAATGTGTCACGTGCTCACAGAGCTGTGTAATGAATGTCTAGTCGAAAGTTGACTATAGAAAGAGAGACTGAGGCGACCGAGCGTGGGGATACAGTTGAGCGTGAGGGCAGCAACCTTTTGTACCTACTCTGGACCGGCTCCCGGTAACCCCCTCTCGTATGTTGTGGAGGCGCTTAGTTTCCTCTTGCGATCAGCCACCCGGACCCAAGCTGTACATCCAAGCTCGTCGTCTTTCTTTCGAGTAGTCCGACTGGTCAACCGTGCGGTCACTCCACAGGGGCTAATGTAGGTACGAAGACACTAGGCCCTGGCCAGAAAGCGACCTTATCGATAGCTCCACGCATCTGGAAGGAGAAGGTTCTTCGGCATGCCCAACGTTTGATCCTTACGGGTCCTCCACCTGGCAGCCAACACCGATTCCCGTCTGACGATAGCCTTCAACATTGCTAGCTCTTTTGGTGACTCTCGCCGATGACTTTGATGCCTACAGCACCCTCCGGCCCAGACACCCGCCGCAATCCACTTTCTGACATCACGACCAACCTTGTAGATTACGAGCAGGCCGTTCGGTGTGTTGGGCCAGGAACGCCCGCTGCCAAGGAGGGGCGTTCCTGAATCCAGACTTTGAAAATGTGGAGCCGTGGAGCAGCGTCATTTGCATCCCCGGCGAATGAGCGATGAAGGTGTTACGTACGTGTCTGCTGAATTTCTCCTTACGACGGCGTTGATCTTTGGAATTAAACGGCTCGGCTGCGGGCTCGGCGCGGTTGCTGCGCGGCAACGTGGTAGGCCTGCCGCCAGCCCAGCGTTTCAGATGTCAGCGTTAGCGAATGCCTATCGATAAAGACGAAGGGCACATGCCCGGCAAAGCTCGTCAAGCTGCTGTGCACCTTCAACAAGGCCGGATGTCGTCACGAGCTCCAGTTCCCCTTCGGTAAAGAGACCTGTCGCCGGCACTTGGCATCTAGGTACTATGGAGATACGGCTGTCTGGACCCATACCATCCTAAATTGATGGTGGTGCAAGGCACCAAGATCCGCGATCGATCGTCCCTCGCCAGAACCGGGAGCATCAAACCTCGCATCAGTGTCACACCCGCTACTTTTCTTCTTGCGTTGTGCCACTTCCCCAGTTTTTCCCGAAACCGCGGAAAGTTGGTTTTGTTTCGTCTCATGCGAGGTGTGTGTGGGGCGCGCCTTGTGCTGCTTCGGTAGAATGCCAGCTCAAAGCATACATACGCGCGGACAGCCACCTGCTGTTGTTGTGGTGTGAAAGTGCTTAGGTCCGGCGGAGCCGTTTCCCATCTGGCTGCGTAAATGTGGGTCTTTTCATTTACCTTCATGTCGACGTTCACAAAAGTTCGAGTCGTTACACTGGAGGGGACACAGCGCTGTGCATGCAGAGACACGTGCAGGTCTAGCAAGACAGCGAAATTACACCATGTGAAGTTGGCAGCTTCTGGCCAACTGGACGTCCCAAAGAGCCAGGATGTGACGACGCTCGAACCATCACCAAAGCCGGCCACACTCCAACATCACATCTGGTTTTTGATTCGTTCATGACGCTTCTAGCCTCTGTTGAAGGACGCGCGACAGTACGCGCCATGATTCCATGTCCGCCGAACGATCTAAGCAGCCACAATATGGTCATGGGTAGTTCATAAGTCTGTGCTGCGGCTGGGTAAGCAACATGTGGCAATCATCACCACTCCTTCTCAGCTCAAGCATGCACCGTTCAGCTTCTCGCACATGCCGGGTATTCAAAACGCAGTCGGATATTGGTTCTGACGCACTACGAACAGCAGGTTATCTAGGTCCAACTCTGCTGACGTCGACTACCTATACAAAGCTCACGCATGTCGCTAGAGTAGGCGAGGTTGATCATGTCTACGTGCACGCCCCGGATCAGCCGCACCGAGATCAAGATGGTTGTAGGTAAATGGGCACACATGAAATATAATAGTCATTGTATTAGATTCAGCAGCAGCCGGACGTAATATCTACATATACAAGGTAGTCGGAAATTCGTCAGTCTCTCCACGTCTCATGATCCTCCTCCACATCAGTTCGTAATGACTGGCGCAGTGTTGTCCCACTTGTCCTTCTCGGCTGCATCCACAAGGAACCTCGCAACGCTTCCCCGAGAAACAGTGGAGAATAACGACACACTCTTCCCATGGTCAGGGTGCTCTGTGATGTGCTTCGCCTCGCCCTCTACCAATCTAGACGGGCGTACAAAGACGTAGGTTTCACCGCTGGCTTTTGTTTCGGTCGCAACCAGATTGTGATCATCATACTGGTAAATCATATTGCTTCTCTTCATGAGCACCTGCAGCGTGCAGTGCATGTTAGCCCAGGACTCACCCACGCCGAACGCTTGCATGATGACGATCTTGGGTGTCTTGAACTCCTTCATTACTGCGACGACATTTGCGTTGGAATCAGCCATCAGTCGTGGAGGCGAGGTGACGGCTGCGAAGGGGCTATCGCTGGCTCTTGGTGCGCTGAGAGTAACGATGATAACCTCAGGTCTGCTCTGTGTGAAAGCTTTCCGGACGTCGTCTATTTCCAAAGGCGTGCCGGTTGTGGTCATGAGTCCTGCGCTAATCTCGTTGTGCATGGCTTCTGGGTTTCGGACCAATGCGGTGACTGCATGGCCACGTTGAAGGAGCTCCTCGATTACGAGCTTGCCAGTGCGGCCGCTTCCACCAATGACGAGGACTCTCTTGCTAGAAGCCATGACAGTGTTGTAATTGTCCACGAGGTTTGGTGACTGTGATTTGTTGATGTGATGAACTTCGTCGATCTGAGGTGTCTGCGATGGGATTTGGTGATTGTAGATAATGTGAGTAGTTGATGATGAATTTTGAAGCTGAAAAGCCAAAATCTTATACAAAGTTGTGCTCGTAGTCGTTGCTGTTGTTTCGCCTGTCGGAGATGTCATACTCGGACAAGATCGCATCTCCGGTCGTCCGGCCGCTGACATTCGGCTCCGAGCAGTCTCACGAAACAGCTGGTAAAACGTGAATGCCTTTGAGGAGGACCAAACATGGCGGAACTGGAGTACCCATGTACTACAATCCGTAATCATGGTTACTCCAATATGACTTTGACAAAGTTCCTGGCCAGCAATGTCAAATCATCGCAGCACAGTCTCCAGTAGATACAACAAATAACACCGCATCGTAGCAAGAAGGTTTCCAACTCCTAGAAGTTCGGTCTTCTTACTATTGCTCGATTTGGCGGTCACTATCAGACTTTCTCTTTGTATGATCGAGTTGAGCTCACCGTCACGTTTCGCCATCTTTCCCTTCAACACCGCTTCCACAGAACGACTACTCGATCGCCTTCTCTGTCGAATCCTACAGCTTCATCCTCATTGACACATTCAAATAGCTCCAGAGCAGCTAGGTGTTTGGTGTGCTCTCATGAGTGCATGGCTCGGGATGCTTTGAAATGCATTTCTTAAAGACTTGATCAGTAAACCCACAAAGCCAGAATGTGATTTGTATGTTTGAAAACTCAATTCCAGTGCACTACTCCGCTCGCCGAAAATACATGTCCTTGCCTTGACGGTAAACCTCAAGGCCTTCCATAAAAGTGCCTTGATATTCCGGGCGTTCCAGGGTTCCGACTTTGAATTTTGGAGTTGTACTGGAGCGCTGATTTGCATAGCAATCGATCTCTGAACACTTCATGAAGTTAAGAAAATTTCTAGGAAGTAGAATGTGGCATATAGACAAGAAATTGACGGACTTGATGTGTTGCAAAGCAAAACAATAAATATGTCAAAAAAGTACAATGCATTGTGTTGAAGATTTCCGTGATGGAAGAAGAAAATAAAATATCAACAAATCGAAGTCTATCACTGTCGACGCCAAAGCGCCTCAACCGACTTACCAGGCTTTCAATCACGATGACGGAATGCTCTGATCGTTGGTCGTGAAAATGCCCCTTGGATCAACGTCCGTCTTGATCTGCTTCATCCTCTCGTAGTTCGCTCCGTACAACCTCTCGCTCCACTGCTTCTCTGTCAATTCAGTGTCGCGATAATTGACGAAACCTCTCAGCGGGATGCCCTCCTTCCGTAACTGGTCCTCGAACGGCTTAAATCCATCCTGCATGTACTTGATGCCGTCAGCAGGCCACTGGCTCAGACCGTTTGCCAATCGACCTTCCCAGCGTACGAGCCAGAGGTTGTTGGCGTGTGCGTGAGAAGTATCCGTGTCGCGAATCTCTCGTGCGGGCTTGCCGCCCCAGAGGTCAAGAAATCCGAACTTGGTCATGTCGGTGCGGTTGAATGCGAAAGTCGTGTGCTCGTACAAAGCATATGCAGATTCATATGTAAACGGCTGGTCGGCTCGTAGGACGAGAGCCTGAAGGTACATGCTTCGTGGTGGGAAGGTGTCGGATGTTCCGTTGAGGGAAGGTGTGGCAATGTTTTCCATAGTCCAGAAGTCCTCGGTCGAAGTCACCAGGGTGGTGGTGTTTGGCAAGCGCTCGAGAAGGGGAGCAATGACGCTGCTGAAGTCATCAGGGTTGCCGTAAAAATATCCACTTCCGGACCAAGGCGTGGCGAGTTGCCATCTGATGGCGAATGTATCAGGGGCGTCGGTTTGCGCGTAGTCTTGAATTGCCAGGAGAGCTTCGACACCGGTCTCGATAGTGGTATCGGCTGGCAAGGAAAGGGTGAAGTTGGTCACTCTCTCGTGCTCGGGCTTCCAGGTCCTCGTGGTTAGGGAGAGTAAAATACCATATGATGAACCAGCTCCTTGAGCTACCCAGAAGAGATCTGCATTCTCTTGTCGTGAAGCTTTGACAACAGTGCCGTTGTACAACATATACTCGACGCTGTCGAGGAAATCCATTGGCGTGCCGAGGAAACGAGTTGTAGTTCCGAACCCACCACCGATTGAAGAACCGGCCAAACCAATCCAATTAGCTCTCACGTGCGGGAAGTGAAGCCCATGATTCTCCCACAGCCATGTAGCTACTGGTCCAACACGGCTTCCACCTCCATACCTGCGTGTCCGAGTCAGCATTTGCATTTCACATCACTGTATGCGAGAACCTACGTCAAGAGCTGGTTGGATTCGTTGAATGTCACATCGTCGAAATTCACCATGTTGATGACGAGAGCACCGTCGTGGGTGCCGCCCAAGCCGTAGGCGCCATAAGAGTGTCCGCCATTGAGGGCTGAAACCTTGACCTCGGCCTCAACTGCACATGCCAGCGCTGCAGCGATATCTTCCTTTGTGACTGGTGTTATAACCGCTGCCGGCTCAGGATTGTATCGTAGCGACCATGGTGATGTTGCGGTTTCCCAATTGGTGTCTGCTGCAACGATCACTTGCAGACGTTTCTGGGTCAGACATGTTCTCAAGACCGTTGCATCTTGGGCAGATACACTAGCTATGAGTGTGGTGAGGAAGGAGATCGAAAGTACGCCCGAAAGGCTGCGTTTTGGGAATTGCATGGTGGTCTTGGTTGACGCGGATGAACGCCTCTGGTCAATTCAAGATGTGTACCACACCATCTTATATGTACGCACCTTTGGCAAATTTCCAGCTATGCCGTCCATAATCTACAGAGTTTACCAAAGGTCTTGCGGCTTCGTTAATTGCTGTCTTGGCGCCAACGTAAGCGTCGCAGTGGGTCCGAAATAATGCCCGGAAAGGTACTCGACTATATTATACAAAATAGCACGCTCTGCTTTGTCAATCAGGTAGCTATCGAGTAGGATGTAGCTGTCGATTACACTGGCGGGGCATCTCGCGAATCGAGAGTGGATACGAATCGACGAAAGACTTCAGTGAGATTCGCCGCTCTCAGGCTCAAAGCGTGGTAGGGACTCGGCGAAACTTGCTATTGTCTTAGTGCCAGACATGTACGGACCGAACACTCACTCGGCACTTGTTTCTGCAAAGAAACGTGCGCTCTTCACAAGGCCCGGATGAACGCGGAAAGGCGTGACTAGGATATACCTACAAGACCGCGAGCTGGCCGTCTATGCAGGTACTCCAAATCTAACGAGCCAAGATGCCCGGAGGCGATTGGGACGGGACACGATACAAGTTCTGGTCGGTGAAAGTTCGTCAGCTAATAATAAGTATATTTTCTCACACGAAGCAGTGATGCACATTTACTGCTGTGGCTCAAAGCCGGGCACGAGGCGACTCATCAACCAGCAAAGTCTGCCTCGCCTTCTCGTTCTCGTCCCTCCACCATTTCTTTCTCTTTTCATGTCCCGCCATAAATACCTCAAACCACCTCTTGTCATACGGTGGTAGCCTCCGCCCAGGCTGGCCAAGGGACGGCTCACCTGCCATCGTTCTGACCGTCTCGAAGTATTCCTCAAAGTCTGGGAACACCAGTGTGAACCCCGGCCCATCACCCTTTTTCGCTATTCTGTCGCGTTCCCATTTCTGTTGCTCTTCGAGCGGTGGTAGGGAGGCGCGCCCTGCAAGCAAGCGTGCAGCAAGCACAGCCTGCCATTCAAAGATTTTGAAGGTTAACCCTGCACCAACGGCTCCGACGAAGAGCAAAGTGGGATCCTTCTGATAGACTACATGCTGATACAGACCTGGGACGCGATTGTTGTGCACTTTGACGTCGGGCAGGAATGGGAGAGACCAGGAGTAGCCTGTGCCAAATATAATGTTGTCGACGTCTTTGACAAGCGACCCATCGGTGAAGTGCACAGTTCGCTGGCCGCTGGAGGTCTCTATACGCGATATCGAGGGCTTCTGAGCAATAGAGGGATGATGGAATGCTACGTCCCCAAAGTAGCCGTTGGCTTTGTGACCGATAACGACGGCGTAGACAGGCGTCTGCGCTGCACCAACAAGGTCGTATGCGATATCTGCGCCGGACACCGATGCGCCCACGATTATAACTTTCTGTTGACGTCAGCGAACGATGGTCGTGAGGGAGCGTGCTAGACTGACCTTCCCTCTGTACGCGTCGCGCCCGCGGAACATCTTGCTGTGCTTGACAGTCCCTGGGTGTGCGCGCTCGAGTGCGTCCAAGCCCTCGATTTTGGGAATGTATGGGACGTTGAAGTGACCGCTGGCCACAACAACGGCATCGAACCACTCTTCCCACCACTCATCCTCGCCCCTGACATCACCGTCGCTTCGCAACACCAGCCTCCACTCGTTGCCGACTTTCTCTGCCAGTTCGACGCTTGTGTTGTATGATATGAGCTTCTCGTACCCGTTGCGGGATACTAGCGACTCGACATAGCCGCGGATCACTGCATGGCTTCGGAAGGGCGTGTCGTCGCCATGCTTCGAGACAGACAGTGCGCTCCGTTGCTCCGGGATCGGCTCTTGCGAGAACGACATAGCAAGGCTGTCGACATTGGTCTCGAGGTACGGATACACGGAGGATTCCGCATGGCGCGCTCGTGTAAGCCTCGGTTGACGTGCGGGGAGGCTCGCAGGTGGTTGATATGGGAGGTCGCCGGCACGTGTTGCAAGGGCGTCGAGATCCTCGGGCAGTAGGTTTGGCGGCGGTGTCTTGTCTTCTAGCCTTCTCGCGCGTAAGTGTGTTGTTTGCTGCCCGCTGGCGTTGAGGTCCCTTACCAGCACCCGCCCGGCGCTTCTCTCCGCTCGAAAACGCGAATGACGTCAAACGCTTGTTCCTGCGCAAGCGCATCTATAGAAATAGCTCCAGATGGACCAAGTCCGATTACTGCGACGCGCTTGACACCCATCCTGTCAATGTGAATTCACCACGAAGCCCAGAGTGATCAAACACGGGATGCAAATGTCCTCAAAATGCCCTAAGAGACTTGGAGAACTGATAAGGAAAAAGCGTCGCGTAGCGTCAGCACCTCATTTTGGCCGCGGCACTGTGCCACGCTTCGGCATGTTGAACACCAAGTACCCTACCTAGTCGCATGGCAGGCGCGTAGGTTGCTTGTGAAAGACGCGCATCTTCCCCAGTGCGACGTGGTCGTGTTTGCGACATGTGGTTCGAGGATTGCGCGATCCTACAGACCCCGGTCCCAATTGGCTCGGCGCACCATTGACCACTTCAAAGCAGATTCCGACTTGACCACAATGGTCGTCAGCTAAAGAATGCCATGCGTCTTGGACGGCAGGAGGCAATATATGCCTATCGGCATCACGTTCGGCATGATGGGAAATGGCGATGATGCCGACCTAGATCTCACGCCAGGCTTAACGCAACTCTGTGACGGGATGGCGAATTGCTTGGGAACAGATTCTTCAGGTACATGAGAACTGCGTATAACATGTGTCCCGGCTGCCCTTTAGCAGCTCGCTTCCAGAATACTGGGACGACCCGAGGGCATGGCATCAGAATACGAGAAGAGAGCCCCCACAAGCGGGGCTCAGAGCGACACGTCTGATTCGGAGGACATGGTCGATGTCGAGCTGAGCAGAGCAACAAAACATGCAAGGCGAAAGCAAGTAAACTGCTTGAGTGCTTCAGTGCTTGAGTGACAGACCCCTAACTAACTGAGCACAGGGTCGACACTACTGTGCTGCCACTCCTCTTCTTGGGGTTGCTAGTCTTTCAACTAGATCGTATGAACCTCGCGAGTGCGCTCACCGACGGATTCGCCCGAGATATCGGCGTCAATCAGAATACAATCAACCTGGGAAATCAACTCATGTTCCTCGGCATCGTGGTGCTAGAGATACCATCCAACATCATTCTCCAGCGTCTTGGCCCAAGGAAGTGGATCTCGGCACAGGTATTCATCTTCGGTATGGTTGCCACGTTGCAAGTCTTTGTAGTGAACAAAACTGGTTTCCTTGTGGCTCGCATGTTCCTAGGCTTGTGTGAGGCCGGTTACATACCTGGCGGTATCTATACGTTGTCGACATGGTATACCAAGCGAGAGCTTGCTAAGCGAGTAGCCGTGTTCTTCTTTGGCATGTTTGGTGGCAACGCGATCAGTCCTGTGCTCGCAAGTGGTATCTTACAGTTGGGTGGCAAGAGGGGCATGAAGGGCTGGCAGTGGCTGTTTCTGAGTGAGTTAGACCCCTGAGTGCAGCGAAACGGGAACTGACATCGTGATAGTTGAGGGAGTGTTTACCATGATCGTCGCAATCGCCCTTCTCTTCCTTCTGCCCGGTAGCCCCGATGCTCCTCGACCCTTGCTTTCTCCCGGATTGGTCCGATTCAGCGAAGTCGACCGCGATGCTTTGAGGCAGCATCTTGAAACAGATGATGGGGAAAAAAAGCATGGAGCGCAAGGTATGCACATTCCACTTTCGCTGGTCTGGCAAACGGCGAAGCACTACCGACGCTGGGCTTCCTTTGTATCGACCTTCGCAGTCTTTTCCACCTGGTCATCACTCACCACGTATACACCGACCATCATCATGGCTTTAGGATTCCCCCGCATACAAGCAAACGCCCTTGCCTCAGTTGGCGGCTTCCTGGCGCTCGGTGTCGTTTTCTTCTTCGGCTGGCTCTCCGACAAGACCAATAAGCGTGGAATCGCTGTGATTATAGCGCAGATCTGCTATCTAGTCGTCCTCATTGTTACCCGCCAAGTGCATTCTTCGGTTGGCAAGTGGTCCCGATGGGGCTTGTGGACAACGACCAATGCCTTTGCAATCGGGTACCATCCCGTGCATAACTCGTGGGTTCAATTGAACTGTAAGGATCCTCGTGAGCGAAGTATCAGTATCGCAATGTGGGTCATGTCCGCCATATCGGGTCTCATGGTTGGAACGCAGTACTATCGTGCAGATGATCTGCCCTTCTACAACAAAGGACTGAGAACACAGATCATCATGGTTACGATCGGCATGTTCTTCGCCATCGTGCAGGAGTTGGTATACATCTTGTATAACCGGAGAGTGTTGAGAATATGGAAAGCGGAGGGTGGCGAAAAACCCTGGTTGTACACGCCGTAGTATGTTTTGATCCAGACAATCTGGCATAGAAGATGCATCTCGCATTCATGCTGCTCCATTTTTGGATACCTGTTCGCTCTTCTCCTGGACAGGTTCATCTGCAGCTGGCTTGCGGCTCCATTTGCCCTTGTATTTGCCGCCTTGCTGTTTAATCCTTTCTTGCTTGGTGTCTGCGACAAATCCTCCTCGAAATCTTTGCTTTGGTCTTTCGATCTGTTCTGCAGTCTTCCTTTGTCTTGTCTCTTCGTTGCGGCCATTCACGTGTCCTGTAACCGGCGGGTTTGCAGTTACCCAGGATTCTAGCTGGGGCCGTATCCTAGGGCACCATATCTCTTCGCCGGCATCAAGCTCTGCGTATGTGATAGCAGTCATCAGATCTGACGACTCGGGCGGATTGGAAGTCGTGTACGTGGCTTGTCGTGTCCGTAATAGAGTCGCCATGTGAGATCGTGACTGGCATGCAAGGCCTAGATCATGCGCAAAACTCCGTACATAGAAGCCAGAACAAACAGTAAGGCGTATACGAGCGGCCGGCACGGCAGCTGGAACTGTCTCTCCAGGATACGGAAAATCGTGCTGGCCAGGCTCGTACCACCCAAGCAATGTGCACTGGTCAACGTGCATGTTCCTACTTTCAAGCTGCTTTGGAAGTTCTTGGCCATCGCGTGCATATTCGCAAGCCTTCTTACCATTGATCTTCAGGGCAGAGTAGATAGGTGGAGCCTGGGAGATGTTGCCTCGAAACTGCGCAAGCTTCGCTTCAACCAAGGTCTTCGTAACATGTGCGCAATGTGCGCGCTCAGTGATCGTGCCTGTGCAATCATACGTGTCTGTACTAGCACCAAAAAGTACAGTCGTCTCGTACGACTTGGTGCAAGCAAGATACTTCTGCAGCTGCTTCGTGCCTCGACCAATGCCAACAATGAGGACGCCTGCAGCCAGTGGGTCCAACGTTCCGCCATGTCCCATCTTGAAGACCTGGTCACTGCTTTTGCTGGTTCGCTGTGGCTGGTGTTGTAGAAGAGGCGCAAATGTCCGTGACGGTGCAAAGGTCGCCTGGAGCTTCTCCAGCACATCCGCAGACGAGACATGGGCCGGTTTCGCAACAGCTTGTTCAATCAACGATGAGGTCTAAGAACATCTGGCAGAACTTACCAAATATCCCCTCAAGGACTTGCTCCCCTGATGACTCCATATTGAGCGTACACGAGGAACGTTACGATGAAAGGAAGATTTGTGTGACAGTTACGCGCTAAACCCACATTCAGCTAGCTTATTCGAACAGATGTCAACCAAAACTACGACAACACTAAAAATCTAAACTATATAGAGAGGCACTATGCATCATATCATTATTCGTGTGTACTCAGCGACTTCTATGGGCTCTATAAATGAATATTCTATCAATACAACGACCGCTGCTTTCGCCATAACGTGGTCCGATCACTTCACATTTGGATTTACTTCACCAATTCGTCCGACTAGCGTCAGTATTTTCGGCCATAGTTCCGGTATTCTGAAAGGCTTTGAGATTGCATCGTCCATCCCGGCAGCCAGAGCTTGCTCCACTTGTTCCATGCGCGCATTTGCGCTGACAGCAAGAATTGGCAATCTTGTGTCAGTCTTTACTGGTGAGGCTGTGTTCGACATGTGGAGCTCGTGGAGTCCCGCAATCGTACTCTCGGAAGAAGTAAGCTGTTTGGATGATCCCAAGTGCGGGGCAACAAGCAAGCCCTGCGCTTCGTAGTCGCGGATCCTCTGAGCACAAGTAAGTCCATCCATGACAGGCATCTCGATATCCATCAGAATGATGTCGATATCGTGCAGGCTCGGTGTCGCAAAATAGTCTTTCTCTTCGTGTTCTGCTGTCTTTTCATGGGCGTTCTTTGGTGTGCCTCGCCAGTACACACTTCCTTTGAGCCAGTCGAGAGCTTGTTGACCATCCCCTGCGACGCTGATGTCCCATCCAAATTTGGCCAGTTGCTTTTTGAGCACTTTCTGATTCACGAGATTGTCCTCTACTATCAATATGTTGAGTTTTGCCCTTTTCATTGCTTGCTCAGTCGATTCTGTGCGTTGTAGGACTTGACGAATCTGTAAAGATTTGCCAGCAGGTGGTGTAGCTTTACGTGTGCTGACATAAAAGGCAAAAATCGACCCAATGTCTGGATCAGAAGAAACACCAATTGCTCCGCCCTGAAGAGTTGCAAGAGACTTGGAAATAAACAGCCCTAGTCCGGAGCCTCCGTATTTGACGTGCGTACGAGGAGTCGCCTGAGTGAATCTTGAGAACAGCTTGCTCTGTTCCTCGTAAGTCATGCCGCACCCGGTATCTTGCACCTTTAGCCAAAGATAGGTAAGCTCTCCGTTACCCCATTCAGGGCCGTTGACCAAATCTTTGGGTTGCGGTTCGGTATTTGCGAATGTTACTGAGTCCCAAACTTTCGGCGGCCGTGTTGGAGATGCTCCCAAAGTTACGGTGATCTTACGAGTTGGTCGATCTTTTGTGAATTTAATTGCGTTAGTGCTGCGAGTGGTCAGTCGGATTCAGCATTGGTCGCGAGGAAAACGTACAGGAGGTTGATCAAAATTTGGAGCAGGCGCGAAGGATCCAGCACAACCCAATCGCAGCCCTCGAACGTCGCATCCTGTCGGAATTCGAGTTGAATTTCCATCTGACTGCACTCGACATCAAACATTTTCAGGGCTTCGGACACAACCACTGCAGATTGCACACGGACAGGTGTGATCAGGATAAGGCTCGAGTCTAGCTTCGACAGCGTGAGTACATCGTCGATGACACGTTTTTGGTGTAATGAGCATGAAACGATTGTTTGAAGCGATTCGATGCTTGTTGCGACCTCTTCCCGTATCTTCTCCAGATCCATGTCCAACATTGATGTCTTTGCATCATGTAGCGGAAGCCCTTGTAGCGATGCTATGACCGAGTCGGCGCATTGTACCACCGCAGATAAGGGATTCCGGAGTTCATGTGAAGTCATGTCAATAAAGCTGCTTTCGATTAGCAAAGGTAATTTCAAACAAGCGGTGATGATCACACTTTTCCTGCTGTCGTTTTGCCTCTAGAGCCTCTGCTGTCGTTTGCTTCTGTACCGTCTCGGCCCATTTAAATTGCTGAGAAAGTTAACTAGACGCCCTTAAAATGCACACAATTCGATCTTACGGATATGTCAAACAGTGTCCCCAAGATACCTATTGAAAATCAGGTTTCGAACACACTCACTAGAGACGCAAAACTTACTGATGACTTTGCCGTTCTTGTCCAGTTCCGGATGATTTGAGCTTTGTACCCAGATATTGGAAACTATTCCGTCTTGATTGATCCAAGTCTTTTTAAGTCGAAACTGCACGCCGTCGGATTTCTCGCCTGCTAACATCCGAGACCAGTCCTCTTCCACCCTCTCCAGGTCGTCGTCTGCAACGAGGCCACGCCACTCAAACTCATGGAGAGACAGACGGGAGTGCCCGGTAAGTTCAAAAAATTGCTCGTTGACATTGTTCATGCCTGCAACTCGATCAGCTACAACCGTGCTTGTCTTGCGGAAACCTACCTTGTCCTGGAACAAATATATAAATGGCAATAGGTGATATCTGCGCAAATCTTGCAAACTTTTGCTCCGAAACTCGTGCTCGCTCGAGCGCCTCGACACGTGCCTGTGCGGTCTCCTGAGATTTCTTTTGTGCCATAATGTCGATTGTATTTCCGGCAATGCTGATCAGATTCCCTTCATCATCAAAAATCGGAACGCACGCCGAGAGGACCCATTGCGGAAGATTGTTTGAACCGGCAGATGGTTTCCATCTCATCTCGAAGGTCACTGGACTCCCGGAGGCTAATGTGTTCCACATTGACATTACAAGGGTCTGATCCTCGGGATAAACGAGGTCCATAAAGGAGAATTCGACATGTGAAGGAAGATTGCGCGGATGCGACGAAAGTCGGTACCATGCCTGGTTGGCGTGGATGAGTTTCCCCTCCGCGTTGTACTCAAACACTCCGACATCCGACATTTCCATCATGGTCTGAAGCCCTTCCCACCGGGCAGTCAGATTATTTCGGGGTAGCGTTTCGCCCAGGATGGACTTGTTGACTTTCATCTCTTGCAACATTTCATCTTTCGAGCGGTGATATACGCGGCCCCAGTTGCCTACATCCGCTTTGACAACCGCCTCTTTTTCTGACACTGGCATGGTTACATTGAACTTAGCCTCCTCCTTTGGAAGAATCTCCCCAGCTCTTATGACTTTCCACATTCGGTCATTTCCAGTCTCTTCCGCTACCCAGCTCCTTTCTGCAAACTCATGATACGGCTTGTAAGATCCAAAAGCCAGCGCCCAGGACCTGAAGAGCAACGCTGACCGGTCCTGCCCCTCAATACGTTCTTCAAGCTTTCCACGCCGGAAGGCTTCATTACGAAAAACAAATTCGAGGGCTGTTGCGCTGTGACCGGTTCTGACCACGAAAATTGGAGCGGGGTCCAGTTCTAAAGCATCAGGGTCGAAGGACGGTGTTTGGAGGCGGCTTGACGTTGACGACATGCCGACGTCTTTTCGGTGCCCTCAATTCACGTACGCTTCGGCTGGGCGGTGGCTGCATCCAGATTGTTGATAGTAGTGGGCGGACAAGCAAAGTGTGAACTGTGAACACGGTGACGTGCACGTGCAGAAAGTCAGAGTCTCGTCCTGTTCGTCGGGCACCAGACTCGCTCAATTTGCCACTTAGCATTTAGCTCAAGTCCAGTTGCGACCGTAGGTGCAAAATAGCAACAGGCATGGCAGGCGCGGCTCTTGATGTCCAGAGATGTTCACCACCAACATTTGTGATAGGACACGGCGATGCGGGCCGAGAGATTCCTCATCGTGTCCAGATGCATTCGACAAGGGGATTTCGATCCTTGCCCTGATCCGTGGCCAAGGGCGTTCCAGACGGATGTGCAGCTAATGTGAGACTAACCCGATGAAGTATGACTGCATGACGTCATGGATATGAGTACTGGCGGCTTATTGGCTTGCAAGAGAGAGTGTGGCTGGAACTGAGGAAGTACCGGCAAAGTTCGTTTCTGAGACATCATTTTACTTGTGCTTGTAGGAATTTGTCTGGCAATTACCTTTCAGATGATGCTCCCAACCTTCGTATAACTTATCAACGCAGGCATGTGGTAGAGAAAACAGAAGAGCATTACTATCTTGAGGAATTAGAATGGCGCTGTAACTCCAAAAGACATCTCTACAAACCAAATGGCTTGCTCTGTTCAACGCATCTGAGTTAGAACCGTCGAAATAGCTTCAAGTCTCATTGATTGAGGCATTACATCCAGAGTCCGGAAAGGACTTGTGTCATCATTGCGGTCTTGTAGATGGACGCACAGTGCGATGGCAGAATTGAACGACTCGCGTAACACCTCGCAAACACTGATACGAGAACGAGCGTGGTTTGTCGCAGTCATACTTCCTAAACTAAGGCCCAAATATCCTGCGTTTGACCACCACCTTAAAGAAGCTCTTTGCATCCAGGAATGATATGGGCTGGTCTACGTCAGCAATCGCATCGTCCACTGCGACTGTAGACTTGATCGTTGTAAACGCAAACGGCCTTCAAGGTCTTAGACACCGTTTCCAACGTCATGTCGTTGAGACCATCGTCTCCCCTGTCCCATCGAAGGGTATTGAATGGAAGTACTCAAGGTTATGTCAATAATATTGAAGCTGCCCATGTCAAGATGAAGAATTCTGCCAAATATGTTGACATTGCTGCAGCAGCTGATAGGTTTTCCTAGACATCTTACAACTCCTAAAGTGCCATTATTTTCATAATGGCTTACGCCCCCTCCCCCCCCCCCCCCCCAAGTTTTGAGCCTTGTGGTGATACTAGTGATGCTGATGTTACTGGTGGGTCGTGGCTCTCTCGTTATACTACCACTACGCGATAGTTAACGTAAAGAGAGTGCACATCAACTCTACAAAATATTTTTTTGCTAACACTATGGGTAGCATCCCACTAAAATTCAGCTTTAGGTTTTATAACAGCGACAAGTTCTATGTCAAAGTGGGTTGGCTTGAAGGTCGATTGTGTGCGATTGATCTTCCAAAACTAACGGCATCTGGGTTGTTATATTGCCATTAGTTGCTATGGGGCACCATCATTCAATCGCTACTTGCTTGTGCCAATCGGCATGGTTTATGGGGCTACTATTAGTGCTGGGCATTCATCCGGGCTAATTGCATCCCAGTCACAACAGGTAATATTATCGAGTTGTCTGCGGAGGAGCTTGATAAGAAACATAACAATATCAAAAGGGTGTGGATAGCAGATATGTGACGTTATACTATCCCAGAGCAGTGGCTATCAGATGACATCTGTTCTCCCACGCGGCCACCCCGAACATCCCCCTAAACCGCCAACCGCCGACCCCTAGCGCGCGCGACGATTCTCCGCCTTCCGACACGGCTCGCAGCGATAATCAAGAACCCGCTGGCCCTCCGCGAGCTGATACCAATGTTCCTGGCGGTCCCATTCAAGATGAGGACTGTTAACCTTGGCCACATCCTTGTAGGAAGGCTTCGTGTCCGGGATCTGGCAGTGGTTCCTACGATCAACGGTAGCTGGACATCCGGCCGTGGGACGCTTGACCCATTTGCCGTGTCTAAAGAAACCCTCGGATTTGGTGAGGAAGCGGCGGTAGTCCTGTGGAGTGTCTCTGATCATGACGCACTTGTCGCCTGTGAGCCATACCCAATGGCACATGATTTGTATTCTTGTATGTGATTTGAAGGTAAGTAGTTGTAGTTGAAGTCGCACTTGTAGTTGTAGTTGTAGTTGTGCTCGTAGTATGATGTCTTGTTCTGTATGAAGAATATGAAATGCAGAGCGGTTCCTGAGGTGTTTTATATAATTGCGCCAGGATGGTGAATGATGTACACTTTTGCCTGTACACTGTGAGCGTGAATCGCAGGGACTGTTACTACGTGAGCAATATTGAAAGAACACTGGTCAATGTGAATCGGTGTTGCTTACAAGCCTGATCTGCAGAGACTCCTTTGCAGCCGTCAATGGACATGGACTGTGACCGAGCCACAGCTCTAAAACAACTTCCAAGAACAGAACAATTTAAGTTACAGCACAACATCTGTAACAGGATTATAGTGATTCGCTGGTAGAGTGAATTTCTATGTCTCCAAGGCCATCAATGTTGTCGGAGAAGGCATGTATTATGTATGGTGGATCGTTGAGGGGAGGAAATAGATATCTTCAAAGGTACAATTCGGAACGGAAAATCCAGGAGACCTCGTGTCCCATGGCTAAGTATGAACCGGTATAAAATCATCACAACTCCTTGAGCTTGTTAGCTTGGCTCTCCTCTTTCCTGAGCTCCTTCGCGCCAGTCACTGGGCGGCCTTCGACCGCCTTCTCTCCACCAACCATCTTGAAACCATTGTAAAACAGCCATTCAGTAGCGTGTTCGACCGGCTCATCAAACATGTAGGGCAGGAATGGGACGGCGGCAAGGCCGAGCTGCATTATGTTAGTGTTGCATAGTGGGATCTCGAAGTTGTGCTTACGCCAATAGGTCCCCATGTTCTCAATACTGGATTCTTCACGTCCTTCATCGCACGACCGGAGTACCTGACAATGCTGTGTATGGTGAATGCAGGCAGGCCCATGGACGCGACAGCCTGGAAAACAGCTCTCTGGGCCATGACAGCCCTGTAGTCCTCGATAGCGGGTATCCTCCCTGCGACAACCTCACCACCAGTCAACAAACTGCCTTGACCACCCAACTTGATGCCCTCGGTACTGGTTGCTTTCTGCGCAAGCTGTTGCACCTGACTAACAATGCCAGTGGCCCGCCCCGTTGCTGCCATGTCTTTGTTTTCCTTTTCTTGCTCGTTACTTTCCGTGGGCGATTCAAGATAGTTCTCAGGGTGCAGGATCTTCTGGTTGCGGATATATGCCTTGTAGCCTTCGTGGGCAACATCACCGCTCAAGTAGAGCCAGGACACGGCGTATGCGCCCGTGACCAGGTAGGGGTGTGCAACCGGTCTGAAGGACTCGCCTATGTCTGATGTATACGCAACATAGCGCTGGGCGGAGAGCATAATAGTGCGGATTCGGGTGGCGTAGGCGGCATAGCGGAGGGAGGTGTCGGTTGTGTCCTCGGCGCTGCAGTGCATCAGTGGTGCTTTGAGTTGCGGTCGCGTCGTGTATGGGTCTTACCGCCCGTCCGAGATGGTCTCCCACATCTTCTCCTCATCATCAAGCACACTCTGTATGTCGACGGGTAGCTGCTTGCGTGGCGGGGGCACCGAGAAGTCGGGGCGTGCTTCTTTGCGGATGCGCTCCACTCCATCCACCTCTTCCACGATTACCTTGTCGTCTTTGGCCATTGTCGGGGTAGCTTTCACACAGTTTCGTGACGTGTAACAAAACAACAGCAGAGAGATGTAGACACAACACGCAGGGACCGTATCGTATGATATGCGCGCGCAATTGCAGCCACCAGTGTAGCTGCCTGCGCGGTGCTTCGTAGCTCCGACGTCATCCGCCCAAGCTCCGGCCGCCCTCATTCCTCCGAGGTTCGTTCGGAGCTGCCACCAGCATCCGCCACAACACGCGCCACAGCACGCGCCACACCGCCAAGCCTCCCTTTGAGTCCGTTCACTCTCTCCGCCATCAACACGCCGCACGACTTCCATCCATTGCGCCCCCATCACCCTTCGCTTAACCCCCGAACCGTATTACCCACCGCCAAAATGGTTGCTATGTACACTATTGCCGGCCGCCAGGTCGGATCGCACATTGTACGTTGCCCCGAGCACCTCCGCGAAAAGTTCGAACCGAGAAGCGCAACACGCCCGGCATCCCCAGGGCCCGCCTGCAACTGCCTCTGGCACTCCGCGCAGAGCTCCGAAGCTCGGGCAGCTAGCACGGCGATGCGGCGGGCCAATGCCGCATCTCATTCGAACTCCAACCGCGTCCCGCGAACCCACGCCAAGCGCTCTACTGACGTTGTTGTAGCTTGCGATCGCTACCCTCGCGACCACCTTCTCCGTTGCCGCCTTCTCCCTCTCTGGCGGCGAGAAGGTCGACAAGACCCAGCCCCCGATCAACGCCAAGAGCAAGGACGAGGAGAGCTTTGTCAAGTAAGCCGCCCGCGCACGACGTCCGGCACTGCAGTACCTGGACCTGCGCCATATGATCGGAGCGAGACGTGCCGTCATTTCGCCAGGCATTCATGCTAACACCTCGCAGGAGCTTCGTCCAGAAGGCTGAGGAGAAGGTCACCGGAAAGCACTAGATGTATACCAGGGCTGATGAGGGACGAGCGGGACATGAATTGTAGATACGCCAATTGTACCAACAAGGAGCATTGCAATGGAGAACACACATGACACCTGACAACCATCATCGTTTGAAAAGAGTATTCACATAGGCCATGTTGAGGGCTTGAACTAGGGCTTGCGAGGCCTAGCTCAACGCGGCGCGTGAAAGCGCAAAGAAGTGTGTTGTTTAAGGCCAACATCCACGCAAAAGCACCAGGTATCATGCCCAAAACAGCATCTACAAAGTTCAACCTCAAGAACGCCTTGCTCTCAGATGCCCGCTCAACTCTGCACCACACCAGCACAAAACAAGCTGACTACTATTCCTCATCCTCAAGAACGATCCTCTTGCTCATCGAGTCCACGACCTTGGAGAAGAACTTTGCCGCATGAGCCCTCGGGAAACTAATCTCCTCCGTCAAGTAATCTGGCAGCAGATCCAGCAGATCCTTGTCCCTCTGCTCGTCCAGCAACGGCTGGTACACAAACTCGGTATCGGCGTAGCTCTCGCCGCCCTCGGAGATGGTGAGGTGGAAGTGCAACGCTGCCGCCGTGTTAGCAATTGATCAAGGCCAAGATTGGTGTTGACTTACTCCCGTTACGTCCCGTCTGTAGGCAATCGTACACGTCCTCGTCGTCTTCGTTCTTCTTGACGCCGACAATGACTAGATTGGTGAGGTCGCAGTACATTTCGACTTTCTGCTTCTGCAGCATGGCGTCTTTGGCAGCCTCGGCGCTGCCGGGCAATACCACGCCCGTTGTCCGCGCTTTTACTGCGCTGCCGGGTACCTTGGCATCTGGCTGCGTCGACGAGCGTGCTGCTGCGAGCTTGGTGTTGAGTGTAGTGTTTTCTTTCTGCGCCGTGTTCAAACCGTCGGTGAGTTTCTTGTTCTCGGCGGCGAGGGAGCTATTTGTCTTTGTGAGGGCTGCAATGGTCTTGTTGAGAGATGTGATTTCAGCAGTGCGGGTTTGGAGGTCCGCAACTTGTTGTTTGAGGGCTTTGATGACGGCGTCTTGGTCTGTGTACGGTGTCAGTGGCATTCAGGGCTGTTCACGTCTGAGCATATACCTTTTGAGACCTGCTCTGTCCGCCTCCGCAGCTGCTCGAAGTTGGACTCTTTCCCTGATGTTGCGACGTCTTGCAATGTCTCGTACTTCGCCGTCATAGCCTCCAATTTCTTGGTCAGATCGCCGACCTTCCGTCGCAGGGCGGGGTCGCGCTCTGTGTCTGATGCGCTTCCTGCGCGTCGCCCCGCGGCTGACGGTTGTCGTGTCCTGCTTGCTGCTGCTGGGCGCCGTGCTAATGGTCGTGCCGAGGGTCGCGGCGGCGGTGGCATGCTCTCAGGTATCTCTTCGACCTCAACCGAGTCGTCGACATCCATTGAGTCCGCATCCGGCTCAGCCTGTGTCTCCGGTATTGTCAATGTGTCCTGCTCCGCCTCTGACTCTTCGCCGCGCCTGCTTGATCGCGCTTTTGCTGTAGATTTCGCCTTGGGTTCCTTCTTCGCCACCGGCTCCTTTGCCGCTGGTTTGCGCCCTCGTTTCGCGGGTGCGGGCGCGGGCTCCTCCTCAGCGGGCTCCTCCTCCTGTATCTTCTTTGCCTTGGCTGGTCGCCCTCTCTTAGCTGGCTTGGCAGGCTCTGCTACTTCTGTGGTCTCGTTCTCGTCCAGCTCATCCGCTTCCACTGCATCGTCGTCTCCGCCTTTATTGCGCTCTGCTAGCGCTTTGCGACCGGCCTTTGCAGGCGCCTTTTTCGCAGCAGCGGTCTCCTTCTTAGTCTCGGCTACACGCGTTGGAGGCTTGCTCTTTGCAGTCGCCTTGGTCGCGGAGGCAGCTTTAGCTGGTTGCGCCGCCTTGCCGCGCGCCTTGCGGGCCGGCGCTTTGTTTTCTGTGTTGGAGTCTGGTGTCGGCATGGGGTTGAGCTCGTCGAGTGTCATGTCGTCTTCTGAAGCCGAGTCGACAGTGAAGGAGATGTTTGCGATCGCATTGCGAGGCGCCATTCCTGCAGTTTGAGGGCGTTGCGCCAGCACTGAAAGTTGGAAGTTGCGAGTGTTGCTGGTTGGACCTGCGACGAAAGCGGGATAGATGTAAACAAAGATTAGCTAGTGCACAACGCGATACCACGTGCTTCCCCATCACCTATTACTGACTCTAGAAAGCACACCTGTTTGCGAACAGTATTACTGCTGTGATGTTGGCATTACTTTGTCCGTCGCCTGTTGTGCATGCTCTCTATGATACTCCAGTTGTTCCTGGAAGTGATCGTGTCCAAACACATTACCCGCGCTGCCCTCTTAGCTGATATATACAACCATCTTCTCTGCAATGCTGATTGCTCTTTTATTATTCTCCTTCTTGTTTCGTCCGGTTCTCCGCAAAAGCCTATGGCCTCAGTTGGCGGCTCAATTTGATGTCCTCAACTTGACGCCTGAGTCTTTTCATTGCACTTGCAACGCGATGCGACGGAACTCCATCCACCCCTTCGTGCTGTTGTAGACCAGGTTCATGATGGAGAAGGGCACGGAATCGAGCACGGACGGAACAATGACGACCAGTACAGGGTGCCTCTTACGTTGCCGGACAAACGGTGGACTGAAGATGCGAGCCACAGATGAATTATACTTTATAAAATAGGGAGAATATTAGAACACTTTTTCACCTACAATACAGATGAAGCTTGACTGAATTTTAGCTTTAGCAAGCTCAAAGGTCACTAATCCGCCGTTTCCTCCGAGATCTAAGAGACGATAGTCGTTTTCAAAAGTAAATCTTTGGTGGGGCACACATCTAACGTTAGCAGCCCCTCCACTGCTTGACACCTTGACAAAGTCCTGACAAATACACGCTGGCCGACACTACTGATTCCATTCGCCAATCACAGCCCCCGGATTCTACGAAGCGTCATCGGCATGGATCAAGCTTGGCGCGTTGTGGGGTAGCTAGTGCCCAGGTGTTCCTCGATATGGAATCCCGTTGCCGAAGCATGCTACCGCGTCCCTTGGAGCGGAGTAGCGACATGACGTCTGGGATGTATATCACGAGCCCGACCTGGGTCTTCGTTCTTGAGATAATTTCTGATACACCGACTATCATCTTTGCCTTGTCGCTCTTGTCGATAGTTGCTACGCTCTGGGCGTTCGGAACATAACGTCTCTCAGTTGGCAGACCTAGCAAAATGACGGCTACCGAGTCTCCCGAGTCGAAGTGCGATGTGTACGTTTAAGCATGTTCAAACAGTAGCAATCCTCACTGACGTTGTCTAGCCTCATCATCGGTGCCGGGCCTGCTGGGTGAGCAGCTACATCTAGACCAAGGCGTACTACCCCGTTACTAATGGGTGCAGCATGATGATGGCAGCATGGATGGCTCGCATGGGAATCAACGCGCGCATCGTTGACAAACGCAGCACCAAGATCTTCGCAGGACAAGCGGATGGCCTGCAACTCCGCAGCCTGGAAATCTTCGACAGCTTTGGTTTCGCGGATCGAGCATGGAAAGAAGCGAACCACATGATCGAGATGTGCATGTGGAATCCTGGTGAAGACGGAGTGTTGCGGAGGAGTGACCGTGTTCCTGATGTGCCAGCTGGGTTGTCGCGATTCACGCAGATTGTCCTGCACCAGGGCCGCATCGAGCGCTTCTTCCTCGATCACATCAAGAAGCATTCAAAGGATACCCTGCATGTTGAACGAGCTGTGCTTCCGGAGTCCCTGGAAATCGATGACGAGAGGTGCGACGATCACTCTACGGACAACTACCCCATAAAGGTGCAGTTGCGACACCTCACCAATGAGGAGGCTGCACCCGCCCAAGCCAATGGTCAAACCGTGAGCGATGGTCTGTTTAGGAGCAATCTAGTAGACGACGATACGGATGACTTGATCAGGAAGGGCAGGGAGAACAAGGGAGGTACCGAGACTGTGCGGGCGAAGTACATGGTAGGATGCGATGGAGCGCATAGCTGGACCAGACGACAGTTGGGCTTTCAGCTTGAGGGGGAACCGACCGACTTCATCTGGGGCGTCCTGGACATCGTACCTATCACAGACTTTCCGGATATTCGCAACCGCTGTGCTGTACACAGTGCGTCGTCTGGGTCGTTGATGGTCATTCCTCGCGAGGAGAAGCTGGTCCGGCTGTACATCCAGCTTACTGAGATCAAGCCAGATGCGTCAGGTCGAGCTGATCGATCGAAGATTACGCCTGAAACAATCATCCAAGCTGCGCAGAAGATCATCGCCCCTTACTCACTCACGTATGAGTATTGCGACTGGTTCACTGCTTACCAGATTGGGCAGAGGGTTGGAACAAACTTTGACCACAAAGGTCGTGTTTTTCTGACTGGTGATGCGGTACACACACATTCACCAAAAGCTGGTAAGTCTGAGTAAATCTACTAGCAGCCACAACGCTGACAAAGTCCAAAGGCCAAGGAATGAACGTCAGCATGCAAGATTCCTTCAACCTCGGGTGGAAGCTGGGCCTGGTCGTCAAAGGCATCGCGCAGCCCTCGATTTTGCGAACCTACCAGTCAGAGCGACGCAGAATCGCACAGGATCTCATCAACTTCGACCACAAGTTCTCGCGACTGTTCTCGGGTCGCCCGGCGAAAGACGTCATGGACGAAGAGGGTGTGAGCATGGAAGACTTCAAACAGGCCTTCCTCAACGGCAACATGTTTGCATCTGGCCTGTCTGTCGACTATGGCACAAGCATGCTAGTCGCGAAGTCAGGGAGCTCGGCCGATCAGGGCGACGGAACAGACGTCTCGTCAACGCATCATCAGAAAGTTGTGGGTAGACAGGAACTCGCAACCAACATTAAGCTCGGCATGCGCTTCCCCAGCTACAAGGTGCTGAACCAGTCTGACGCACGGCCGTGGGAGTTCCAGGAGAAGCTGCGGAGCGATGGACGGTTCCGCATCATCGTCTTTGCAGGCAACGTGGTGAGCGCGCAGCAGCAGGCGCGTCTGAAGGTCTTCTGCCAGCACTTGACCTCGTCTGGATTCCTTGCACCTCACCTTCACAAGAATGTCGCGCTTCTGACGTGCCACGCGGCGAAGCGCACAGAGGTCGAGCTTCTGCGCGACTTCCCAGACGTGCTGCATCCGTTCGATAGCAAGATGGGCTGGGACTACGACTCGGTGTATGTGGATGACGTCAGCTACCACGAGGGCTTTGGCGACGCCTACAAGAACTATGGCGTAGACAAGGAGAGCGGGTGCGTGGTGGTGACACGGCCGGACCAGTACGTGGGCTACATTGACTCGCTGGACGAGGAGGGTTTTGTCGGCGTGGAGGGGTACTTCAAGGGCGTGCTTGTATCGTAGACGACGACGTCGGCGCACTGTGTGGCTGGCAGTGCGTGCCTTGCGAACGACGCAAGCGCCTGTACGCAGTACCTGCAGCATAGCAACGCAAGAGCCCAATGACCACGGGAGCCCGATGTTTCAGACGTGCACGCCAGCAGCAGCACGGCAGCGCCCCAGTCGCACGGCAGCTAGTGGATCTGCTGTGGAGAGCCTCGCCGGGCTGAGTTGTCGCGCGGTCTAAGCCACGCGCCAGGCCACCCAGCAGCCTAGCGGCGCGTTGCCCCGCCAACGGCCGGAAGCGTCAACGACGCAGGCGCCACGATCCGCGACGTCCGCCAGCTCACGCCGCTCTAAGACGGCAGTCCCACCCATTTCGAGGTCCTCCATACGCGATTTTCTTCCGCAGCTCACGGTTACCCAGCGCACTGCAGCCGACAGTCATTGCAGCTGTGTTGTCGCGCATATTGTCTTTTCTGCCGCACACGTCGCGGCGCGCGTCGCCAGCATGGACCGGCCGCGTACACCGAACGGCGGGCGCTATGGACGGCCGCCCGCATATGACGAGGATGACCTCTTACCGGCGACGCAAGGGAGCTCAACAATGCGCTTGTTGACAAATGCGGAGGACAGCTACCAGTGAGTGTCTTGTGGGCGCGTCCGCTCGCCCTGCTCCCCGCCCTGCTCCCCGCCCTGCTCCCCGCCCTGCTCCCCACCCTGCCCATTCCGCCGCGCTCTTCGGCATTGACGACTCTGCCCCCAGAAGCCGCTCGCTCGCCGACGCTTCAGATCTCATGTCCGGTGTCGACAGCACCGCCGGCGCGCTGGGCCAGCGCATGACGCCGTCCGAGGCAGGCCGCACGCGCGGCGCCGAGGCCGACATTGTCGACTTCCTGCGCGAGGCCGGCCATGCGCTGGACGCGACGACGCCCGCGCCGCAGCCCATGCCGCGCCGCAAGTCGCTGAAGACGCGCCTGAGCGACTCCCTCTACACGCAGAAGCCGAGGCTCGTCCCGCATGACCATGGCTTACCATTGCATCCGCTCCGCAGACCCCCCGAGCCCTCCGCACGCGCATACTACCCGTCCGCCTCGAGCGTGTCCAGCCTGTCGCGCGCACAGTCGCTGCTGGACTCGGCCCCCAACATGCCGCCGCCGCGCGATGTCTCGCCGCCGTACCAGCCATACCGCCGCCCGCTGTCGCCCGACCGCCCGTACTCGCCCACGCGCACCTCGTTCGACTACGCCCGCCCGCCCGCCGCCGCCCACTACGAGCCCGAGACCATCGACGGCAGCCCGCGCCCCGGGAGCCCGACCCGCCCCGGCAGCCCGCGCCGCCCGCTGCCGCCCCAGCCGCTGTTCGCCCACGGTGCGCGCCCCGGCACGCGCGACGCCGACATGGGCGGCGACATGGGCGACATGACGGCCATCCCCATCGACCGCGACCCGTTCGGCGACGAGCAGACGTACGACCGCCGCCCCGACTTCGACGCCCGCGGCTCCTACATGTCCGACGACACCTACACCGACGGCTACACCAACATCGACGACAAGGACGAGCACTACGGGCCCGCCCCCACGGGCGCCATGCCGCGACGAGGCGTCCGCGACGCCGTCATGACCAAGAAGGAGGTGCGCCTGATCAACGGCGAGCTGATCCTCGAGTGCAAGATCCCCACCATCCTGTACAGCTTCCTCCCGCGGCGAGACGACGTCGAGTTCACCCACATGCGCTACACCGCCGTCACCTGCGACCCAGACGACTTCGTCGACCGCGGGTACAAGCTCCGCCAGAACATTGGCAGCCAGCGCGAGACCGAGCTGTTCATCTGCATCACCATGTACAACGAGAACGAAATCGACTTCACGCGCACCATGCACGGCGTCATGCAAAACATCAGCCACTTCTGCTCGCGCATGAAGTCGAGAACCTGGGGAAAAGACGGGTGGCAGAAGATTGTCGTGTGCATCATCTCCGACGGCCGCAGCAAAGTGCACCCGCGCACGCTGGATGCCATTGCGGCCATGGGCTGCTTCCAGGAGGGCATTGCGAAGAACCACGTCAACCAGCGCGAAGTCACTGCCCACGTCTACGAGTACACGACACAGGTCTCGCTGGACGCCGATCTCAAGTTCAAAGGCGCCGAGAAGGGCATTGTGCCGTGCCAGATGATCTTTTGTCTGAAGGAAGCCAACACGAAGAAGCTGAACTCGCACCGCTGGTTCTTCAACGCTTTTGGCCGAGCTCTGAACCCGAATATTTGCATTCTCCTCGACGTCGGAACGAAGCCTGGACCAAAAGCTCTCTACCATCTCTGGAAAGCGTTCGACACCGACTCGTCAGTCGCCGGCGCTGCTGGTGAGATCAAGGCCGGCAAGGGCAAGGCCTGGCTTGGGCTCCTTAATCCACTGGTGGCCTCGCAGAACTTTGAATACAAAATGTCTAACATCCTCGACAAGCCGCTGGAGTCGGTCTTTGGCTACATCACTGTGCTGCCTGGTGCACTGTCGGCGTACCGCTACCACGCCCTGCAAAACGACCACACCGGGCACGGCCCGCTCAGTCAGTACTTCAAGGGAGAGACGTTGCACGGCCAAGACGCAGATGTCTTTACCGCGAACATGTACCTTGCTGAGGACCGTATTCTATGTTGGGAGCTGGTGGCGAAGCGAAGTGAACAGTGGGTCTTGAAATATGTCAAGGCTGCGACTGGCGAGACTGACGTGCCGGGTAAGCCGAATCCCACGGCCGATGACAACGTTACTGACACCTGCTAGACACTGTACCCGAGTTCATATCCCAGCGTCGACGTTGGCTCAACGGTGCTTTCTTTGCGGCTGTCTACTCCCTGCTCCACTTTAAGCAAGTCTGGTCGACGGACCACACCGTCTGGCGTAAGATCCTCCTACATATCGAATTCGTCTATCAGTTCGTGCAGTTGATGTTCACATTCTTCTCGCTCGCCAACTTCTATCTCACCTTCTACTTCGTCGCTGGTTCGCTTGCCGACCCGGAGATGGATCCATTCGGTCACAGCATCGGCAAAGTCATATTCTACATCCTTCGCTACACCTGCACGCTACTCATCTGCATGCAATTCATCTTGTCCATGGGCAACCGTCCTCAGGGTGCGAAAAAGATGTTCCTTTGGAGCATGATCGGCTACGGCGTCATCATGGCGTACACAACGTTCGCCTCAATCTACATTGTCGTGTACCAGCTCAAACATAGCGACGCCCCAAAGACGATTGGAAACAACACATTCACCAATCTCATCGTCTCCACCGCAACAACGATCGGTCTCTACTTCCTCATGTCCTTCATGTACCTCGACCCCTGGCACATGTTCACCTCATCTGCGCAATACTTCGCCCTGCTTCCAAGTTACATCGCGACGCTGCAAGTATATGCCTTCTGCAACACGCACGACATCACGTGGGGAACCAAGGGCGACAATGTGGCCAAAACTGATCTGGGTGATGCCAAAGGAAAAGCAGGCAACGTCGTCGAGCTCGAGATGCCATCCGAGCAGCTTGACATTGATTCAGGCTACGATGAAGCCCTGCGAAACCTACGCGACCGCGTCGAAGTCCCCGAGAAACCCATGAGCGAAAGCCAGCAACAGGAAGACTACTACCGCGCAGTGCGAACCTACATGGTTGTCATCTGGCTCATCAGCAACGCCGTTCTAGCCATGTCCATCTCCGAGGCCTACGGCAACAGGAAAGTCACTAACAACTTCTACTTGACCTTCATCCTGTGGTCCGTTGCGGCGCTCGCTCTCTTCCGCGCCGTCGGCTCTACCAGCTTCCTCGTCATCAACTCCATCCACGCCGCCATGGACACGAAGCTCAAGTGGGAAGATAAGATCGAGGACAAGAAGGGTGGCAGCACCGCGCTCGGCGGCGGGATTAAGAGTCAGCGCAAGGGCAAATGGTGGAAGTTTGGCTTCGGCGGGAGCTACGGCGGCTCCGTGGTGTCGAGCGCATGGTTCAGCAAGTCGAGTATCTCGAGCAAGCTGTCGAGCATCAGTCCGAGCAACTGGGGTGGTAGCAGTGTTGGGAGATAAGACGAGGTTGCGGGCGGAAGCAAGTCTTAGGGGACATGTGGTTCCTTACTAACGAGAAGACGAGGCGGGATGTGTCTACGAGGAAGAGGAAATATTATGAAGTCATGAAACGTCAGTAATGCAGTCCTTTGGCGTTTGGAAAGCGGGGGGTTCGTTAGATATTAGTTAGATACCTTACCTTTGCGCGCTGCGCAGGTCCTGCTACGGCAGCGGCATTGAAGATACGAACAGTGTTTGTATGATGGGGATGTATGTAGATGACGCAATACGCAGTCATACAACCGGAAATGTTTTGCTTGAAAGTCTACAAAGTGAGCGTGCATGATTCGTGATCATGGTCTGTGACACTAGCTTTCCAGCAGCTTTGTAATTTGATACGGTGTATACGGTGCATACGGTCGGCACGGGCAGCATTACCCATCGTGCCCACTCTTCTCCACGTGCTACGAACCCAACACAGTAACGAGCGAGATAGAACAGCCAGTATACACATTTACTTGTACATCCATTTGTGATCTACTACGCTCAATGCTCATGCAGCGAAGCGATGTTCGTCCGGATTTCGCAGTATCAAATGAAGCACAAACTCAGAGTCCGCGGGAAGGGAACTATAAGATAGGATTATATCCACATATGATGGGCACATATCATTCTCCCATCTTTTCAACGCATCGTCTCGGAAGAAATGGCATCCAAAAGCATCTTGGTTGTTGGCGTCACTGGTTACATGTATGTTTGGTCCTGGCTCTTCACGACATGTCTGACTATAGTGCAGTGGCGGTTCGATTCTACAATCGCTTTCGCACAGTTCAACAGAGTCGTGGCTGCGCGATGTCAGAGTCGTGGCCCTCGTAAGGAAAGAGTCTGAGGCGCAGATCCTCCAGACTGCAGGGTTTGAAACTATCCTGTGTCCGGCCTACGACGATACGGAGAGACTGCAGGAACTCGGCGAATCCTTCGATAGTAAGTCGGTGCATGAAGTCCCGGAAGCCTATTGTGGCCAGCAACTAAACACAAGCACAGTCGTCATCCAGGGCGGCCACAACGACCCCAGAACCGCAGTCCCACTCATCCAGGGTCTCGGTGCCAGGCGCGCAAAGCTGAACACTCCAGTCCACTTCCTCCACATCACCGGGGCTTCGAACATCAGTGACCGCCCTATCACGCAAGACTACGTGGAGTCGAGGGTTCTCTCGGACCAGGAGAGTGTCTACCACTACATGAAGTACCGCGAGTCCATCGAGGGCTACGGCCAGCGCACCGCAGACATCATAACCGTCGAGACGGGCGCGCAGTGCAAAGTAGCGACCTACACCGTCATGGCGCCCACCATCTTCGGCATCGGCAGCGGCCGGTTCAGACGCTACACGACACAGCTCCCCGCCATGATCAACAACATGCTCAACACCGGAGTCTGCCTGGTGCTGGGCAGCGGCGAGACGCGGTGGGGCCGTGTCCACGTCGACGACCTGAGCATGTTCTTCGTGTGCCTGTGCCGGAATATCCTCGAGGGCCGAAACGTTCCCGCCGGAGAGAAAGGCGTGTATTTCACGGAAGCCGGGTCGTTCACGCATAGAGAATACTCGCAGCGCTTAGCCGACGCCGGGTTCAAGCTAGGGGTTCTCGCGGCGCCCGCGGTCACGGAGGCAACGCTGGACGAAGTAGCCAAGGGCTTCACGAACGGTAACCGGCTCATTGCAGAGCTTTCGTATGGCGCCAAGTAAGCCCCCCTGTTCATTTCTTGTGCTGTTGAAACTCGGCTTACAATACCCAGTGCGCTGATGAAGTCGGAATTGGGCCCCGTCCTGGGATGGGTGCCGAAGTACCTAGACGAGGCTTGGGAGGCGTCGTTCGAGATTGAGCTCCAGGGCTTTATGAAGGACTGTCCGGCTCTCGTGCAGATGCCTCCGGATTATGATGTCCACAAGCCGGCGCGGTTTGAGGGCTGATGGTACATCTGGCTTGAGGGAACAGGATCCGATATCCGTAGTTAAAAGCGTTTAGGGGTTAGCTGGTACTGAACGCATCGTTTGAAAATTACAACATTGTGTATCATTTTCGTGATTAGACGTGACCTGTGTCCGACGATGTTGGTCGGAAGGTGGTGCAGAGCTCCGCGCTAGTGCCCCACCCGGCCAGCGGCAGATCCCTGTCCAAAAAAGAAAGATTCCCAGCAGCGCTTCCGTCCAGACAACGACTTTGCTGCTCAACACACACCCGCAACCATGTTCACCGTACCCGGCTGGAACGTGTCGGCGCCCGTCACGGCCCAAGTCGAGCAGCCCCGACCCCAGGACCCGAACAAACTCGGCAAGAAAGCGCTGAAGCGGAAGCGCGCACAGGAAGAGCAGCAGGTCAGCACCGAGGACTTTGGCAAGCTATGGGAGAAGGCCGAGGCGCAGAAGGAGGAGGTGCAGAAGGCCGCGGTGCAGCCGACGGGGGCCAAGAAGACGCCGCAGCCCGCGGATTCGGATCTGCCAGCGCGCGCGCTGCAGCGGGCGGCCGAGGACGACGCCGAGGCGGCTGCTGAGGGCGAGGCGAAGAGCAAGAAGAGGAAGCGCGGGCCGCGGAAGAACGCGGCGACCAAGGAGGCTGCGGCTGCAAAGGCCGCTGAAGCTGGCGACGCGCCCGCAGGCCCCAAGACGGCCGACCCCGAGTCGAAGCGCTCGAAGAAGAAGCAGAAGAAGGAGCAGAAGGCGCAGAAGAACGAGCAGAAGACGATGAAGTCGGAGCAGGCCGAGGACGCCGCGGCCGACGAGACGGCGCCCGCAGCTCCCACGCCCGCCACGTCCGTCGCGACACCAACGCTCACGGCACCCGTCGCGCTCATCCCCGAGCCCGCGGGCCTCACGCCGCTCCAGCGGTCGATGCGCAGCAAGCTCGCGAGCGCGCGCTTCCGCCACCTCAACGAGTCGCTCTACACCAAGCCGTCGGCCGACTCGCTGGAGCTGTTCCGCGACGACCCGTCCATGTTCGAGGACTACCACCGCGGTTTCGCGCAGCAGGTCGAGGTGTGGCCGCAGAACCCCGTCGACGACTACGTCGCCAGCATCCTCGCGCGCGGCAGCATCAAAATCGCAAAGGACCCCTGGCGCGCGCAGATGCGCGACAAGAAGAAAAAGGGCCCCGTCGTCGCCGCGCAGCAGCCCGACGACGCCGCCGACGCCGACCGCCCCGTCATCCCCCGCGGCAACAACAAGCCGCTCCCGCGCACCCACGGCTCCACCTGCCTCATCGCCGACCTGGGCTGCGGCGTCGCCTCGCTCTCGTACCGGCTGCAGCCGCACCTGCAGTCGCTCAACATCGCAATCCAGTCCTTCGATCTGTCGCAGCCGTCCGGGCCATCCAAGTCGCTCGTCACCGTAGCCGACATCTCCGCGCTGCCGCTCAAGGACAACAGCACCGACGTCGCCATCTTCTGCCTCGCGCTCATGGGCACCAACTGGCTCGACTTCATCGACGAGGCGTACCGCGTGCTGCGCTGGAAGGGCGAGCTGTGGATCGCCGAGATCAAGAGCCGCTTCGGGCGCGTCGAGAAGAAGAAGGCGGTCCCGATTAATTCGATCGGGTCGCTGAACAAAGGCGGCAAGCCCCCCAAGAAAAAGGGTGCTGATAAGAAAGACAAGAAGAAGGACGACGCGGAGGGCATCGAGGACAGCGCCGACGAGGCCGAGCTCGCGCAGACGGTCGACGGCGCGGCGGGGCCCGAGGGCACGGATGTGAGCGCGTTCGTGGCGGTGCTGCGCGCGCGCGGGTTCGTGCTGGACGCGCTGCCGGAGCGGCCGGGCGACGCGATTGATCTGGGCAACAAGATGTTTGTGAAGCTGCAGTTTGTCAAGGGCGCGCAGCCCACGCACGGCCGCCATGCGGGCAGCGAGGGCACGAGTGCCGGCGCCAAGGGCAGCTTCAAGACGAGCAGCGCCATCAAGATGGGCATGAAGGGGAAGAAGTTCACGGCCGTCAGCGAGGAAAATGGCGAGGAGAGGGGGAAAAAGGACGCCGCCACGCTGAAGCCGTGCTTGTACAAGATCAGGTAAACAGTGTTCGCCGCATTGATTCACAGTGTTCGCTGCATTTATTCATCTGCCTAGTCTACAGTGGCAGCTTTCCAATCCTGACACCCCCGTCATGTGTGGGCGTGTCGTCTCAATAATACAAGGGCAGTGCTGATGCCGTGCCTCGAAGCTCGTCATCTGCAGGCGTGAAATGAAAGGGTATCTTGCATGCCTCAAGTCCGTCGTACGTAGCATACCGGTGACTCAATTGAAGCCGAGAAGGATGCTGGCAGCCATGTCGAGGTTGCCGCCAGCAGCTTCCAAGGCCCCGATCACCTGTGCTCGCGAAGCTCCTGTGCTGCCAACAAGAGCCTCAATGTCTGCTTCCGAGAAGCGGTTGTTGGACGACGACGCCGCCTCTGGCGCCTTGCCAGTGGCGCCGCTAGCCGTTGATTGCGACTGCGGCTGTGACGTCGAGGGCCCGGCCGCAACGGTGGGATCGGCAGATGCGGTGGCACCCGCCGGTCGCACAGCACCCGTCTTTGCGCCGATCTCGGTCCCGTTCGGGCCTGCGACCGTTGGCTCGTTCATCTCTGCCTCCTCAAAGGACTTGGGAATCTCCGACTCGTGCAGGAACGGCACCTCGAGACCCTCGAAGCAGAGCGCGTTCTTCTCGAGGTCAATCTTCGCCTTGTAGCGCTTCAGCATGTCCAGCCCGAACAGCAGATCCACGTCCTTGCCCTCCATGACGGTGAAGGCGCAGGGCATCTCTGCGCCACCGATCTTGATGATGGCGTGGTGGACACGGCCCAGAATGCGGGCGGTGCCCACGCCGCGAGCGACACCGGCATATCGCGTGTCCATGAGCCGCATGATGCCGCACCGCTCGGCGCAGGCGGGCGACATGATGGTGGCCTGGGCGCCGGAATCGACAAAGGCCTTGACGGGCACGTTGTTGACCTCGGTGTTGACGTAGAGCATGTGCACGCGCACGAAGACTGGACGTGTTAGCAGGGGACATATATGGGTCTATGTATACGACACACCCTCGGGGTTCTCGTTGTACGCCTTCTCCAGGTTCTCGACAACGCGGTCCTGGCGGATGAGCTCCTCGATCTTGCGCTGGGCGTCGACGTTGAAGGGGTCCTCGTTGAGCAGGGCAATCTGGTTGCGGCGCTCGCGCTCGGCGTCCTGCTGCTGGCGCTGGCGGCGCGTGAGGACGTCGCGCCACGAGGCGGGGTCCATGACGGCGGCGCCGAGCTCGGGGTCTTCGGCGCGCAGGCCTGCAAGCTGGCGCGGGTCGCTCAGCAGCTGCTGGCGCAGGGCCTCGGGGTCGGGGCCGCCTGGCGGGCGGGCGGCGTTCCTGTTCCTGGGGCCCGGCTGCTCACGGGCGGCGGGGCGCGGTTGGCGGATGACCACGGCGAGCATCTCGCCGTCCTTTATACCCGCGTCCTCCAGCGTCTGTGTCTCGCTTGCCACCGGCTGGCCGTTCAGGTAGATGCCCTGTGACGCGGCAGGCTGGCCCGTCTCGGCCTCGATGAAACCCTTCAGGTCCTGGATGGTCAGGCCCGGCGGCAAGTCCAGGGTCAGCAGGTCATTGTCCAACTGCGAGCCCGACGCGGTGATGGATATGGTGACGCGTGGCCTGAAGCGGCACAAACAGATCAGCAAGCGGCGTTGCAGTAGCACAGTCGCCGTCTCGGCGAGCACTCACATGGTGGGCGGAAGGGGTGGCGGGTGCCCTGCGGCTATGCAGGTGTTGCTGAAAGGAGCAAGAGAGCGTGGTACTGTGTGCAGAGCGCGGTGCTGGAGCGAGGCGCCGCGCGGACGTGGGTGGCGGGGTCTGGGACCTGGACTGCGAGAGGCTCCAGTGCTGGCGGCGGGCGCAGTGGCTCCGCAGTGCGGGTGCAGGGAGCACGCCGTGAGGCTCGGTGCCGTGAGGTGACGGCGGCCGCCTTGGAAGGCGGTGGAAGGCGGTGGGCCCCGCGTCGAGCTCCGGCGGGATGTTAGTGACGTTAATCAGCGCGACTGGCGCGGACGGCGGCGAGGGCACGGATCATGGACAGAGGGACATGCTGGCCGTCCAGCGAGGCCGAGCCGGCGCTGCGGTGGGCGTGATATAGCCGCAGTTTGGGCAGTATCGACCGCGCGCTGCACACCGAGTGCATGCGAGCAGCGTACTGCCTGGAGCGTGAAACGGCCATCATGCACGCCTGGCCGCGATCCCTGGCCATGGCGGGGCAGCCTCATCCTGCCCGCCGTGAGCAGCGCGCACAGAGCGACCCTTGCTGTGATTAACGTGATCAGCGTGATCAACCGTCAGCGGTCCGCCGTGACCTCATCGCTGGGCGTGCTTGCGAGCGTTCATCAGCCAGCGGCCAGCGACGCTGTCGCCTAGCTCCTGCCTCCTGCCTCCTGCCTCCTGCCTCGAGCACCGCTCCAAGCACCAGGTCAGCGCGTGGCCACCAGCTGGTCGGCAGAATCGACCAGAGCACAGCAGCAGCAGCATGCAGCACGCAAGACGGCCTCGCCCGTGCGGCGTGCGGCGTGCGGTGTCAGCGACTCGGCCTGCAGAGCGTCGGCCTGCAGAGAGCTGCCTATTGCTGCTTCCTTGCCGGCATGGCCGCTGCTGCCCTGTCTGTTCATTGTCAACACTGGCTGTGCCAATCAACGCTGCGTCACAGACGCTCAAACTCACCGGCCAGCAGAGCCATTCGTCCTGTCGCCAGCAAGGCTTTGTGCGACATGTGTGCCGTCCCCAGACTCTAATTAAGCTTTCATATTGCTTTTGGCGACTGTGATCAACAGCCGGCCAGACACCTCCTAGCGTCCCGCAACCAGCCTGTGGATCTCAACGGCAAAGGCTGAAGCAATGCGGCGGGGCAAGGGTCTTGCACATCCACCAACAACACAACTCCACGGCTTCCTCCAGGCTCCAGCACCGCTTGCTGCACTTGTGCCCATTCACCGCCGTCGAACCCTGTGCAATCCCTGACCATCGAACATGCCACGCGATCTGCTAGCCGACAAGGCCCTGGAATCAATGCCCCAGTTGTCAAGAGAGCCCGCTGCTGCCAGCCCTCCGCCCGAGAAGTCCAAAGCAAATCCTTATGGAACCTCTTTGGTCCGCGTGGGAGATCCCTTCAGCAAGATGACCAACAGCAAGATCCATCCTTTCTCCTCATTGCTCAGTGTAGACGATCTGGACGACTGCGACTGGCTTGAGCATGCCGCATTCGATCCAATTGAGGCGGCATCGCGGGAAAAGGTCAGTACTTCTCATTAGGCTCATCTTTTAAGCAACAGCCCTTTTACCACTTGCTCTTCGTCGCTCTCTGTGCCTCTCATAAGCGCTTCGACCATCTGCGCGCATTTCCATGTGTGGTGTCACCTCATACAAAAACACCGCTTATGCGCGCAAGTCCCTTGCCTCACCAATCACCCCATTCGTGCAGAACATCACTACCATCCAGGTCATCTGCTCATTTGCTTTCCCCCACTGTTATATTGCTGTTACGCAGCATGACAGTGACTTCGCTACAACCTCCTTTCTACTGTGTAGCATCGCGCCACGAGTTCTGGTTACAGCCATCGTCACGACACCGCCCACCCCAGCTAATTTAACCATATCGACAGATTGAGTACCGGCTGAGAACATGCGGCGAGCTATGTACCGGGATTTTCTCATCAGCGTATCCCACCTCCCCAGGACCTCTAGGGGCGATACAGAAGACACGCACATTCCCTTCTGTTGACTCTCGCGACTCGGATCGAAAACGTATCCTGCTGGGTCACGTTATCAGTACCAAGTCATCATCCAAGCTGGTCACTGACGATTCCATGGACTATCCCAAGGATTTCCGCACCAAGTACCAGCTCACACCCAGCATCGGCCACAACGAGGATGGTGAAACCGTTTGTCTGCATTCGCTATGTGTGCACCCCGACTTTGCAAGCCAAGGGCTAGGGAAAATGCTTCTAACGAGCTATGTGCAAAGAATCAGGGACTCCGGAGTCGCGAGGCGCATCGCCCTGCTGTGCCGAGAGCGACTGGTCGGCTTTTACGAGAGCGCCGGATTCAAGAAAGTGGGGCCGAGCAAGTGTCAGTATGGGGGCGGCAACTGGTACGACATGGTCATCGAATTTGATGGTGGCCACGATGACCATGACTTTTAAAACATGCATTCTAAAATTGAAGCTTCTTCTTGAAGTCTGGCATCCTATGTGCACAAATCTCTTTTGAACTCAGTTAAGCTGATAGACATCCACAGAGACCACAAGGTGCTGTTGAGAGCACGCCAACATTGACAATTATGCAAGAGAGCAAGCACCAAGGGCTAGTTGACCTCAGCCTCGTACAATGTTACGTCAGAGGCTAAGCTCACCTAAGCTAGGCAGCAATCTACGAGAGCGCTGAAGCTCGTAACTTCACTTATGATATGTCATCTGACCAGCCTTCTATTGGATGATCACAACGTGCTTCAGCTGCTTTGTTGCATAGAGAAAACATCAGGCTGCTAATGGGATGGATACCAACTTTCTACCCCCGATCAGGACCGATGCAGACATTCGAGTGCTTACACTCGCTCCTAATCAGAACAATTCTTCAGGTCATTCGGATGTAATAGCTTGTGAGTTCGAAAACATATCAATCGGAGGTAGTGTTCTGTACACAGCCGTCTCGTACGTGTGGGGTGATGACTCCTGTCTACGTTCCATCGCTATCAATGGTGTCGTGGTCCAAGTACGTAACAATCTATGGCAGTTCTTGCACCAGATGCGCCAAGACTCACATACAGGCTACCTATGGATTGATGCATTATGTATTGATCAGAAAAATCTGGAGGAGCGAAGTAGTCAGGTTGCAATCATGGGCAAAATATATTCGGGTGCTGCCAACGTGTTTGTATGGCTTGGTGCAGCGACAGAAGCATCTGAAGAAGAACGGTTACTCGGCACCGTATCCCTCTGTTTCCTCGAGCCTAATGGTGTACTCGCCGTCAAACGAAATAGAAGAATACACCAACATAGCAAGAACCTCCTCGCAAGACTGTCAAAGCACGTCTACTGGACTCGAGTCTGGGTAACACAGGAGTTCATCCTTGCAACCAACCTCGAACTGCGCTGCGGGCCAGACTCTTTACAAGGCGCTGCTCTGATCAGCCTCTACGAGAGAGAAGTGGGTTCTGAATTCCCCGAGATCTGGCAGCTCCGGTCGGAAGAAGCACGATCCTGGAACTACGGCCATAACACCACAGTGCCAAACATGTACAAGTTCATCCAGCTCCGCAAGCAATGGCAGACCCGTACAACACCCTTTCCCTTGCTCTGGCACAGAATTGGTCTCTTCTCCTTCCTCGGGCTGCCCACGCCGCCGCCCGGCACGCACTGCGCCGATCCTCGGGACAAGATCTACTCACTGCTGTCGCTCGCCGACGCCGAGGAATTTTCCCGCGCTCCCTTGTATCCTGACTACACCAAGACGGTGACTAGCTTGCTGACCGAGCTGGTGGAGAGGGATTATCGGAAAGTCGAGCGAGAACTGCCTCCTAGAAGTAGAGATTATTTGACGATCGATAATTCGGGGGTTCGCGGACTACAAAAGCGTGCCCTACAGCTGGCTCGCCTGTTGGAGATTGAGGATCCGGAGAGCGCAAGCTTGTATGCGGTCAGGAAGGCACGTTCTAGAAAGTCTTTCTTTGGGGTGCGCCATGTGGAATGAGAATGTGGCTCGGGACAGTTCACAGTTCGACTACACTTGGTTCTATGTCATCGAAGACTCCAGCCATCATAATATGAGTTGCGTCTCTGTTATCTATCATGCTTGACCGCCTCTCAAAATGAAGCCGCAAGGTTCGCCACCTACTACATTGCTTTCTTCGCCATGTGCGCGCTCGGAGTCATGCCATTGAGCCTTTACGCCCCATCTAGCTACGAAGAACCTCATTGACGAACCTCATAAATCATGATCACTACGCTCTCCCAGTTATCGGGTGAAGTAGATTTCAACTCACTTTGAAGGGCCGAGTGCTCCTGGCTCATGGTGCTACCGATTTGTCAATTCCAGCAACTCTGCATATCTAATTCGAAGACCGCCGTTTAAACCAGTTCACATAACGAGTCCAGTGGACTTGACTTGTTCGAGTTTTATATCGATGTCATCTACTAGGTCAATCCGGGGTCGCACAAGATAGTGTTTTCGACGGTGAGAATCGACAGTAATTCAGAGGATAGTTGTGTATGGTCCCCAGAGTCTGGTTGATTAATTGGTTGAATAAAATTCTCGTCTATAAGGGTACATGTAACGCCTCTCTGGGGGCATAGTAGACGTGCGAAATTGGTAGTGAGCGCATTCACAGTTCGTGTTTGGTAGTGCCTTGGGTCAGCAGTGGAGGTCTTCCCGAGGGAGTTCAAGTGTCAATTCCTCCACCAGTTGAGAAAGCGTCACGATGTGTCAAGGGTGCATGGGCCATCAGAGGCATGCGTTGGTAAGCGTCGCAGATTCCGAGTGTTGGCCGTGGGCCTCTCCGAATCTGGGAAGGCACGAAACACCTAGTAAGGCAACTGTCATCCTCAAACTAGTTCACAGAAGACACGAGATAACACCTCGGGATTAGAGGCCTTCCCAGTGCGGGAGCAGGAGATGAGGCGTCCAGCTGACCCGTTGCATCAGCAGCAATTTAATCAGTTCTGTTAGACTAGAACAACACTGGATCTAGTCTTCGTTGACCCCGACAGCAGCAGTGTGGCTTCGCAAGGCCGACCATCACAGGCAGCAGGCCGTTGTTTGGGTACCTTAGGGGAACGCACTTCAGCCTTCCTGTCTGGCGCCACCTGACGTATCATAGACCGAATATTATCTTGACCGACTAACAAACCCCTAGCTTTGCTGCTTAATATCCAGACTCATGATACTAAGTATGTAAGAAGACATTGTGTAAACGAGAGCGATCTCTGACACTGAGAACCATTGTATGTTGGCCTGGATCGCCTAGAGAGTGATGGTCCGTTTATTCTTCTCTCGATTTGGTCTCCTTTGCATTGGCTGAGCTGGCGGTACCAAATGCACTCCTCAAGAAAGAAATAGAAAATCCATTTGCGCAAACGTATCGAACGTCGTAGCATTGCCCAACGCTGGGGGGGGGGGGGGGGGGGGGGGGGGCGGCATTTGAGTGAGCGTTCACGATAGACTAGGTGCCGGTCTACTTATGGTTCCTTCCCAGCTTCGGACATCTCTTCTAAGAAGTGGAGCTACGATCGTTCTTAATGGTCGGGGAACGTGGGGGAGGTTCGGACAACGAGAAAATAGAAGCTCATATCGTTTGTCGGGTCGCGGCCTCCCAGACTGTTCGAGATCTCCTTACTCGCCCTGACGGATCCATCGGTTGTTTGAATACCGGACTGCGCCGAATCTGCTTTAGAGGTTTACAGGCTGCTGCTTCTCGTCTCGGTGGAAGATCTGCTCGGTCATGACCAGCGGTATAAGGCTGTTGCAAGTCACCTGTAGGTACCAGTAAGCTGTGCTTGCACTGGGCAAAAGAAAAAACCGGAAATCACAGAACCAAAATGGCATGTGACCCTGCTTGCTATCAGCAAGAACGAGGGAATGCCGACATCAAGTCACAACTGAATCAAATGCGGGTGACCACTGAGTGCAGATCTCACAAAAAGCAGGACGGCAATACTAAGATCAGCGTTCCTTGTCCATGGCGTAGGCCCCGCCAGTGCCCTTGATGACATGTCTTAGAATAGCCAAGTATCATAACGGATCCCAGACTAGGTAGTGCTGTTCACTCGTATGTCTCAGAACTCGTAGCCATCATGATAAACCCAGGGCCAGCGCTGTCAAGAAATTTCATTATTCGATGCAAACGATCTGGGAGACGGTCCACCGACTGTTCTGACATTAAGCTGTTGATCATTTCTACTAGCGCCGATACAACATTGACTACAAACTGGATGATATCCTTGTAGCCAATCGTGTTAAGACTGATCCGTTCTCGCCGTTACTCTGAATGATATCCTGTTTCTATTGGTGGTTGTCGGTTCGTCTCAACGAATGACGTGAAGAAGTTTTGTGTCAAATACACCTGACTAAAACTTCGTATTTGCTGTGTATTGCTCAAGCACAAGGCTACGGCCCTGGAGTCGTCCACCTCAGAAAACTTGGGATGGGCGAGGCCGTCAGTAATCGACGATCTCGTAAGAGAAGTGGTGAATCAAACCTCCTAAAGACAGCCCGGAGGCTGTACCGTACCTCAGCTACGCTACAAGTCAAGCTCTGCAGGTTTTTGACTACACTAAACAAGGCAATGAAGATGGATGAATACTGCCTTGTCAAGCGTAGGTCCGTGCCACCCAGCCTTTGGAGAGCTCCAAGACCGCTGCTCTGATCAAGCCACTTAGCTGCGTGAGGTGGGCTGCGCCGCTGCGACCATCAGTGTGAGGCAGCTACCTAGTTCTTTCAGCCGTACCGATAGCGATTTGTAGGCAGCAGCGAGGCAAACCCCGAAAACTGGAGGCCTGCAACAAGTGGGGCGTGCGAGGCGTCCCGCTGATCCCATGCGTCTTGAGTCTCCCGGTGATTCGGCGCCGTATTCGAACACGCTGATGGTATCCAGTCGCTCCACAGGGATAGCGATGGCTTATGTGAAGGAGTGCAGTATGCCCGCCCACAAGACGTTGGGCGGCTAGCCTGCGGGGGTCTAGTGCATCTGATTGGCTACTGGGTAGGCGCAGCAATGCGCCGTGGAATCCTCGATACCTAACAATATCTAGCGCTCAGCCTGCCTCATTCATGCGGAAACACTTGCGACGTTAATTTGCGACTGGCGCGGCTGAGTGGGCTGCCTGTGGATGACGGTGAGTCGTGCATGTTGAGGCACGGAGAGGCATGATGTATATCAAAGTGCGCTCCCCGACCGCGTCGAGGAGCAGGCCGTAGCAGAGATGATTTGGGAGTACCGCTCTTGACTGCAATTGTATCTCTTTTCGACTTCCGACTACTTTTGGCGTACACGCTCTAGTTTTTCTTGTAAGCTGCCCAAATTGGATACCTCGGACTGCTTTGTGAGTCGAGCAGATCCAGCTCTCAGATCAGCAAGAGAGACGACACGCAGCAAGATGATCAAAACAACGAACGTAGATGATGCGACTATCGTTCGCCAGCATAAGCATCACCAAGAGGTAGAGCCCGCTAGCACCACGGCACGTGCAAACCATGGATGAAAGTTGAGAGCAACAAACAGCAGTATGCCGAACCGACTGCAGAATGTCGAGCAAGACCCTTCCTCCACTTTAGCCAGCTGAGAATTGTTCCAAAGTTTCCACGCGTTACGAGTCACGTGGATGCAGAGCCGCATTGGTCAAGTCAACCGTCCCCCACCAGAGACAAAGGGACCGAACAACCGTCGCGCACGAGTGCGAAGCTGTGCACTAGCTAACTACAACCTCTACACATCACACAACCACCCAATATTATATTGATCACAGCTAATTCACAAAGTTCGACGAAATTGTAGATGCAGAGATGGAGGACTCGATGAGATCAGTCTGTGGCTTAGCCGTGTGCGGCCTCTTCCCCAAGGCACCCAACCCACCTTGCACTTCTGCACACTCACTTCCTCATCCTTTTGCAAAGATCACCCTCCCACTGCCACTCTCAGCATCCGTTTGTTATTACGCATAGGTGCACAGCTACTGCGTCCGTGAATTTTAGCAATTCCCACCCTCATCATCGCCCGCACATTCTTAGGCATCGGCGTCCTCTTACCATAGCATGAACAGGCGCTTGGTACTCCTGGTGCTGGTCTCCTTCTTCCTACAGCCAGCTGCAGCCGTAGACCCTGCCATGGATCTCTCATTTTCTGTCCCTCCCATGGAGCAATTCTACACTGAGCTCGATGGCACCCTGCGCTGCATTGAGTGTGCACTCCTCTACTGGGAGTGCATGTGCACTTTGGTACGATTCGAGCCTTCAGTAATTGAGCCAACTATTGACTAAACCACAGTCCCAGTCTTCATCGTCGTCTTCCTATCTTCCTGCGTTATCGAATGAATCTTCGTTCTACGACCCTCCTCTCTACCCCGATAACGACTCTACCATGGATCTTAGTGGGGTGCTAGACTATGTGAACGGCTCGGCCCCGCTTCTCATTGATGATGCTGTTGAAAGCATCAACATGAATGCTACAATGGTCCAGTCAGATACTGTCGGGGCTCACGTTGACGACACATACGTCCCTGGCTATCGTCAAACAACGTCATCGCCAACGCTATCACCTGGTGTATCGCCTGGTACATCACCTGGGCACAGACGATATGCACCTCGTAAGGACGGGTTTGCCTGTGCAGTGGAAGGCTGTAACAAGATGTTCAATCGCAATTGCGAGTTGAAGTGAGTTCATCTCAAGCAATACTCGACTGTTATTGACAACCCTAGTCGCCATCTAAAGATACACTTGGGGCGTAATGAGAGGCCTCATCGATGTACGGTCTGCAGCGAGGGGTTTCTTTACCCCAAAGACCTCATTCGTCATCAGCGAAAGCATGTGAAGCAAGCCTCTGCCAAGGTAACCTATTACTGTTACGTCGATGGGTGCTCCAACATTGAAGGCTTCTCCCGCCGCGACAATCTCCTTCGTCATCAACGTCGACAACACGAGGGCGTTGCGTCGCCACTGGCATAGTTTCACCGATGCACGATAGCTACCTCGCAACTGCACCCATCACCTGCATTACGCGTTGCAGCGATCCTACCAACCTACTGCTTCCTTTCCCTACGGCCGCGCATCTGAACAGAACTTCCACCTAGACGACCGGACTGCTCTCGTCGAACCACGATCTCATATATTCTCCGCCTTGCCTCGTTCCGCTTCTGCCTTAACGTCGATATTGACGTCGCGCCACGACATTCCCGACTCTTGTTTGACTGTTTGTTCTCTGATGTCTTTATACCCCTAATCCCCAGCGCTCGCAGTAGCGCTGTTGGTAATGTTGTTTCCTTACTCGATGATAGCATCCCACCTCTGTCCTGTTGCATCGCATTGGGGTAGCCTGACCTTGGTCTCATACTTTGCTTTTGCATATTGATGCCCCTAAAAATTTCATGGCATAGCAACGAAATACAATCACATTATAGCGACGACATGCTGCTCAGCATGTCGTCGAAGATTAAACAAATCATGTTTGGCTTTACTAGCAAAGACGCACTTTCCGAATCTGTGAAAACACTCTGATGTGTTAACTAGATGACCGTGAGTAGCAAAAAGCGCAGACAGTAGTTATCTTCTGTGCGCAGAAGGTCATAGAGCTCCCCTCCAAGCTGTTGCACATCAATCTGTTGAACTTTGATGTGGTAGGTAGCAGTCATGTGATTTCGTGTGAGCGCGACACGCGACTTAGTGTACGATCTTAAGGTCGATCGACCCGTAAGGCTGGCTTTGACTCGGACACGTGCGTCATCACTTCTAGCCACTGCCATTGCAACCAACATTTCTCAACAACACCCACACTTCTTTGAGCATTTCATGCACGTCGAAGAGGCAGACCGGCCCTGGCAATATGCCGCCCGTTCTGTCGCGCAAGCGTCTGAAATCAGATTCCCCAAAACCTGAACCGCCACCAAAGCGCGCACGGGCATCGAAACTGTCTGCACCGAAGGCACCGGCACGTCGCGCTCAGCCATCTATGTTCGATGCACCTCCCAAAGTCAATCGTACGCTTTCGCAAACGAAGAAGTTCTTGGAGGGCAGCGACGACGACGACAGTGGACCCTCGAACACCGATAGCAGTGATGAGGAATTCGAGGACGTGCCTTTAAATACAACAAGTATAACCACGGTCAATGGAAGGGAAAAGGGGAAGAGCAGAGCAAAGAAAGCATCGGAATCTGATGAGAGCGAGGACGATGACTGGGAGGATGCGCTAGGCATACAACATCACACCAAACACGATGCTGGTCCCGCTCCCAAGATCTCTGGCGACATTGCGCTCACTTTATCTACCGTGCCAAGAGCAGCGTTCGATTCCAAGTCCGACGGCAAGAAGGGTCCCTCAAAAATACAGCGTCAGATACGGAACGTTACGCACTGCATGCATGTGCAGACGCTTATGTTCCACAACTTGATGCGCAACGCTTGGATGGAAGATAAAGAATTGCAGACTGTACTTGTTGAAGGCTTGACGAACGGCTGCTGGCGCGAGGTTGAGCAATACTGGCGTGACGCAGGTGATCCAGACGGCATTGGACGCGCTGTCGTGCAGAGAAAGATACAAAAGACACGCAAGACAGGGGGAAACACTAGTGAATCAGCCGCTAAAGGGAAAGGAAGCTGGAAAGCTAGTGGTAGTAGTGGTGTCAAGGTCTACGATACTCCAGACAACAAGCTTGCGAAGCAGCGAAAAGAACAAGCTCGTCGTGAGTATGAAGCCACTCTAGCCCAAGATGAGACTGCAGTTGCGTTGAAAAGGAAGCAACGTGACTGGGGTTCACAGTCCAAGCGCTTGGAGCCAAGCATGCCGAACATGGCTCATGGCGATCCTTTGATGCGCCTTTTGAGATACCTCTCGGCATACTGGAAAGCAAAGTGGCGGACAACAGTACCCTCCTTACGAAAGCGTGGGTACTTGTCACCCTCAACGCTGCAGGCAGAAATTGACGCGTGGAACGAGCATGGCTCGCATGCAAACACCTTCGGTGAGTGCATTCGGAGTCGTGAAGCATTTCGTGAGATAGCACGCAAGTGTGAGGGCAGCAGAGACGTTGGTCAGCAGCTCTTTACTGCATTGTTACGAGGCTTAGGGGTTGAAGCGCGGATGATCGTCAGCCTTCAACCCATTGGCTTTGGGTTCAGTCAAGCTGAGGAGGGCAAACCCAAGAATCTGGAGAAGCTGAAAGACTTTGCGAGATCCACACCGAACAGAGCTGTCGCAAAGTCTACCTCAACAATACTCATGCCTGTGGTATCTAAGAGCACTGAGCAACAGCCGATCTCGTCTCGTGGTCGCAGGAGAGTAGTTGCGTCCTCAGGCTCAGACTCTGATAGCAGCGATCTTAGCAGCGTGATTCTAATCTCATCCGATGACTCTGACAACAAATCTGCAAAGAGGAAAGTCAAGACTCTGGACTGCAATGACGACCTCCCATATCCTACCTACTGGACTGAAGTCATCTCGAATCTCACACATACACCGGTATCGGTGTCGCCAATGTCTCGCGCCATCATCGCAAGCTCAGCAACACCGGACAAGTATATGGAATTCTACGCTCGTGGCGCCTCAGCCGACAAAGCAAGGCAGGTTCTTGCATATATCATAGCTTTTTCATCAGACGGTACAGCGAAGGATGTTACTACACGCTACCTTCCAAAGCAGCAGTGGCCGGGCCGAACCAAAGGCTTCCGTATGCCCATTGAGAAGATACCCATCCACAACAAACACGGAAAAATCAAACGTTGGGAGGAATTGAATTGGTCCAAGTCCGTCATGCGCCCTTTTGCACGCGCACACGATAAGCGTCAGCCATGGGATGAAGTTGAGGAAGAAGGCGATCTTGTCCCTGCGGAGCCTGAGAAGAAGAAGACCATGGACGAAGACGGCGGTAAAGAGACTCTACAAGGCTACAAGAGTTCTACCAAATACGTCCTCGAGCGGCATCTCCGCCGTGAAGAGGCACTGAAACCTGATGCTAAGATTGTCCGACACTTCGTCATCAGCAAAAAAGGCGAAGAAGACAAACGCGAGCCGGTGTATTATCGCAAAGACGTCGTGAACTGCAAGACCACCGAGTCTTGGCACAAAGAAGGCCGAGAAGTCAAGCACGGTCAGCACCCACTGAAATACGTACCCATGCGCGCCGTGACCAAGACACGCAAGCTTGAGATTGAAGAGCGCGAGCGAGTAGAAGGTGGAAAGGTCCAACAAGGCTTGTACGCGAAGAGTCAAACAGATTGGATCATCCCCGAACCGATCAAGGATGGCATAATTCCAGTCAATGCGTTCAACAACATCGATGTTTACGTCCCAACTATGGTGCCGAGAGGCGCTGTCCACATTCCGCTCAAAGGTGCTGCGCGCGTGTGTCGCAAACTGAACATCAACCACGCAGAAGCTTGCACAGGGTTCGAATTTGGTAAACAACGCGCAGTTCCTGTAATTACTGGTGTTGTTGTGGCAGAGGAGAACAAGGACTTGGTCATCGATGCATGGGAGGCAGAAGAAGTCGAAAAAGCACGGAAGGAAGCAGATAAGAGGCAGAAGTTTGTCCTGGGCCTATGGAAGAAGTTCTACTCTGGTTTGAAGATTGTGCAGCGTATGAACGATGAGTATGGTGAGGAGGCTGAATTGCCGCAGACAGACCCATTTGCACCGATCAAGAAAAATGAAGAGAGCGAGTGGGATGTCTTCCAGAAGCATCAGGGCAAGGATTTCGAGGGTGGGTTCCTACGCGAGGAGCTTGCAGGTGACGGTGGCGGAGGCTTTCTCGGAGACCATATGTCAACAACTGCTAACGACGATGTGGCTGGAGGATTCTTCCTTGCAAGCCAGGAAGAGATGAATCACGGTGATTTCACTATCGATCATGGCGATCAGCGAGTACGAGAGGAAACCACGAGTGACAGCACAAATCGAACGCCGATCTCGTTGTCCGCAGCAGTTGATCAACCCATCTACGAAGACGAAGGTGATAATCAGGAAACTAAGAATCAACGTCATCAGAACATCCAGATGAACGACGCGGAACAAGACAATGACGAGGAAGAGGATGAGCTCCCTGTGCATAAACCTCACCGGAACTCTTCCACGAGCAAGCCGAATGCTACCCGTTCGAAGCGCACACCAATGATTTCAAGTAAACATATTGTCGAATGTTCCGACGAAGCGTCGCTTTCAGACACTCCCCCAGATCCGCCGACACCACAGCTTGCCACAAGAAGCGGCTTAAGGCGCAATGCTGCGCGCAAGAGTAAAGCGCAGATAAAAAGTCACTTTTTTGCTACTGGAAGCGATGACGAGACGGATGCAACAGACTTCACGGATAAAGCATCACCAAAGAAGGGCAGTGGTGATCGTAGCAGTGGAAGACGACAAGGACGGAAAGATTCAAGACAAGCGAGTAGAGGTTGTAAGAAAGGGCGGGCTTGATGCCCTTGGATCAATTTTGGGAGCGGACGCATTTGACAGTCCTGCCGAGCGCAGCGATGGATACAAACCTATGCAGCCTGCTATTTTTCGCTTTAGATGTGTGCCTCCTAGTCTGACTTCTTCCCACCCATTCCTGAAGTTTGCAAGCACGTTGCCGGGATTTCTAGCACGGCTAGCACGTGCGCTTTGTCAGTTCCGCCAGTAATTTCTCATATCGTACCCTAGTCCTAGTTATCGCCCCTCAACCTGGTCTATTCTGGCATCAGAAGACATGCTGAAAATCAACAGAGTAGGTTCATACACAGACCGGTATCCTCATGCCACAATGAAGGGGATGTATTTCAAGAGTCTGTGGCATCAAGCGACTTCACTTCTACTGATGGAGACCGGGACATTAGTAGTCAAGAGCGGGCTGCTCTGCCAGAAATTAGTGAACTAATTTATAAATCAATTCGAGCTTACGATGTCCTCAATTTTCATTCAACGGGTATACATTGATGTTCGTACGGACGGGGTTACCACCGGTTGTTCACAAAAAATATAGTCCGGAAAAGCCCTCGATGTTACGGGCGATGGGGAAATCTACGATAACTGGGAGCCTTCTCTCGAACGATCCATGTCGCGAACAAAAATAGAAGCCCGTCCTTCGTGGAAGCAAAGCACTCAATCACTCAAGAGTTCTGGCTCGTTTTGGCTATTCGATTAGGTTTGAGGTATCCAAATCCACGATCATACACCTGTGCAGTACTAACTAATCTGAAAGAACGCATTCAGGTAGTACAAAATTTCAGTAGGAATTCCATAGACAAGATAGTCAACAGGACTCTCTTCGCTGATCCTGGTAATTGTCAACAAAGCTAATCCGTTCTACTACAAAGGTTGCTGGAATAATCTATCAACGCATTTTCCCCAACTATTCTACCAGATGGGATATCCTTCGTCACTGGCGGTCAAATTTCCGGTCACATCTTCTCGGATGATTAGGCAGTTACAGTGCCAGAGCTGCGGGACCTAGCAACGCAGACGTTCCATCTTATGGCAGATCCAAAGATAGCCAGGACATATCGCTCCCGGTCACTTTTCCTAAGGATAGTACCGTAATCAGTGGCGATGGAAGAGTCTGTCGAGGGGATCGCTAATTAGATCCATCTAGGTTTCACACGTTATGACGCCTAGGTCTTCACACATCCTTACCTTTTACGTCCAGACGAAAGTCCAGCAACAAGGCCCAAAAATGTGCAAGCCCCTGCTCGGATTCAGTTAGATAAGGCATCACTGTTTCAATGGCCTTGCATGAGGTGGTCACCAGTTCAGTCTCATAAGGTTGTCTTTAACAACATACATAGTAAATACAGGACAGCATAGAGTCCCTCTTACCTTAGTCTCATTTCGTGGTAACGGCAACATCTTCTCAGTGCCCAGCGATGCCGAGGCTGTAGTATCGGGTATCAATACCTGTTTGCATCAATGCAAGGTATGCCTAGTGTTGCAGCTTCCGTCCGGTTGCTTCTACAAGTCTAGTAGGCTGTTGCTCTACTAAGTCCACCTTTTAAATAGATTCATTTCTAAAAAAAATCCAGAGCAAAAAGATGTGCAAGTAAAACTGACATACTCTATATTGGTCTTAAAACATAAAGGTAAGTAATTTAGGTGTATACCACGCCTTTCATACAAGAACCGACGTTTGACTATACTATATAACAAAATGTTGATTCTCCTAGATAATAGCAGACATAGACTTTTAGCGTGCATAGAGTGACGTAAACATGGTAGTTACCTGAAATCCCGACCTGAACGCCGGCATGATGAAGCATGCGGGGTAAATGCAGCATTACCGAATGCATCTACACTTGTTCCTTGTCGCAACCACTGCGTAAACAACAACAACTATCTTCAGTGATATTTTGGTTCTTTTAACAAGACAAACGTAATGGATGCACAGACTCAAGAAAGTTATACGGCTGGCACCGAAGTAGACATCACAAACAATCCAACCGCTCAAAAGCTACTCCAACGGTGTCAATACTTCCTTGCGGAAGTTCAGAACTTGCATGTTGGCCATCCAGAACCCGATGCCTGTTCTAACCCACATCTAGGACTCCTGGCAAGAATCTTGAAGCCCATTTGAACACGCACTATGGACCTGGAAACGCCCTTTATGAGGACCTCTGTAGTCTTACACGCCAGGGTCTAAAGGAAGGTTGGATTGCCAATGTTGAAGTTTCTGGAAAGAACTACCGGCGCTCAAAGATAGCACTACCCAAGGAAGAAACGCGATTTTTCTCAATCACGACGGTGTACATGAACTCACAGGATGTGTTCTCAGGACAGTATCATTCGCATCCGTATGGCGAGATCAACTGTGTGGTTCAAATAGACTCGACCGCAGAGTTGAAAGGCATGACGAATTGGCAAGGTGCAGGGTGGACAAGTCCGAGTGCGGGAACGCATCAGTAGGTTCTGGAGAAGACCTCATCTGTAGTCAAAGTGCTGATGACATGACAGCTACCCACAGGTCCGCGGGGGTGCATTGATAGCGTTGTTCTTCCTTCCAGCCGGTAGGATAAGCTACAACGTTGATACAGCCGATGCTCAGCCGGCGGACCTGTGAATAGTCTTGTGAATTACCACGATTCATGGCGTTTACGAGATTGTAACGCGAATGCGTGGATGCAGACGTTCAAGTTTCCAAAGCGCCTAGCAAGAAGGCACCAGTATAAACTCAGAGCACCTGAGAGTGACGCAAGATTTTAAGGATGCTTACGTCTCGATGACAGAGTCTGTGGGGAGACAGATCACCTTGCTCGAATCGCCGACCTCGGGATGCACAGTGCAGAGAGGGCAGACAGCCGCAGTGCAGTCCCTCAGCAGCTTATTCCGAGGTATAACATCTGTTCAGGGCTGTGGCCCCACGTATATATCGACAACGAGCTCTGAGAGACAGTGAGACTGCACAGAGACGTGACCGGACCACTGGGTGAATTCTTTGCACAGCAAGGTTCTAGATTCATAGCCTCCTGTCGATAGCCCAGATGCTTCCATTAAGTGCTATGTTCACGAAGTGGTCGAGAGAAGAAGGCAGCAGATCATCACAAACTTTGTCGTTGGTACGAGCGTTCAACGCACGAGTCGTCCTACTCCTATCATTTTGTGGAGTCAAGGTCCAAGTATGAGCACCGAAGGTGATCATAGCGTTAGCTGCAGTGGCCCTCTGTGGTCTGGGAACGGAAGTTGGAGTCAAGTCGTCTAATCTAGAACAATTGATCCTTTCGAGAAGGTCCCACCCTTGCAAACCGTCCCAGCGCCACACGAGTACGCAAAAAAAAAGTGGTGGGTATGACTTGCAGTTTCGCGACGCAAGCAGCGACTCGTGTTTACGCACGCGGGGAGAGATGGGGATCCGCGCTTGGTTCCAGATTTTGATACACCAGGGTCCAATTTACTGACGTTGGTCGAGCAAAGTGTTCCTTGGCCGCCTTTTCCGTCAAACTTCGTCATGACACGCGTTTCCGCGAGCGCGAACACGGATGGAACAGTCGCCCTCTCGTTCCCAGTACCCAAATCGGGACGCGTGCTGTGCGAAGACTTTTCGAGCATCCAATCACGAAAACACGCTCCTTCTATTTTGGGTCAAGCAAGGGTTCCTATGACTAACGTTAACTCCGGGACGACGCCCTGGGTCCTCCCGCAGGAACGCCGTGGTCCACAGCAGCCAGCATGAGACTAGGTACTTGGGCTCTTTTGAATATAACCACGTCGCGGCCCAGCATGGCAAAAGCATCCAGCTACACTGTGTCTTTGGTTACAAACACTTGCTTCTTTTCGGTAGCATTTCGCCTGTCATGGAACCATCATCAACCAATACCTCCGATCATACACGCGTTGACGAACACGAGCTCGAACAATACCCACCTTCACAGTCATCGCAGTCGTTGCAGCCAACCCACGTGACCCCTGGAAGGGCACGAGTGAGAATCAATAGCGTCGCTGCTGAAATTCCACCCCCTATTGAGGAGCAACCTCGCTTGAGTCACCTGAGCGAGGCCGAATCGCTTGAAACTTCGAAAAGCGATGATGGCACTGCTGCTGCTGCGGAACAGTTGTTGATGGCGCACAGTACTGTTGGTCCTCACGAATACCTTGCTGGAGATGGCGCGGTCGACGATGACGAGGATTACGCCGTAACGGGGAACACACAGGGCGGTATCTTCTACCAGCTTCTCCAGGCCTATAAAAATCCACTTCCAGCATATGGCGATATTGTCACACCCTCAGAGCCCAGCAGCAGCTCTCCGCCCACAGCCCAGCAACCCGGCTCGGCATCCGGCGCAGCCACACCGTCGCGCAAGAAATGGTACAAGCAAGAGAAAGCGGCACAGTCCCAAGAAACTTTGGCAACACTGGTTGGAGCATCAGCCAAGTTGGCCAACCCCAACAACAAGAAGGAGCTTCCTACGCGCCCAAGTCACAAGCGTACCACTAGTGGTGGCATACTTGCCAAAGTCATGAAAGCCAAAGAGGACCAAGACGTGCGCATAAAGATCCACGTCGCCAACATTCTCAAGCGCCAACAATACATCATCCGCATGTGTCGTGCCTTGATGCTTTTCGGTGCCCCCACTCATCGGCTAGAAGAGTACCTTGCCACTACAGCGAAAGTGCTTGAGATAAACAGCCAGTTTCTATACATCCCGGGATGTATGTTGATCAGTTTTGACGACGCGTTGACTCACACTGTAATGTTGCCTCCTTCAAGGGTGTGTACGCAGGTTTGCTAACATCACGACAGGCCGAAGTCAAGATCGTTCGAACAGCGCAAGGTGTTAACCTCGGAAAGCTCAAGGACACGCATGAGATTTACAAAGAGGTGCTCCATGATGTCATCGACCTAGACGAGGCGATGCAAAGGCTGAATGACGTGATCAACGCCAAAGACCGTCACAACGTTTGGCTGTGCGTCCTCATGTATGGTCTAGCATCTGCAGCAGTCAGCGTGTTCTTTTCAGCACGTCTTATTGACATGCCTGTCATTCTTGTGCTCGGTTGTCTACTGGGCACTTTACAGCTGGTTGTATCACCGCTGTCAAAGACGTATAGTACCGTCTTCGAGATCTCAGCGACCAGTATGGCTTCTACGTCCCTTTCTTGAACTTCAGCTCACAAGTCCAGTTTTAATGAGCTTCTTAGCGCGCGCCTTTGGGAGCATCAACGGTGGAAGCTTATTCTGCTTCTCCGCGATCGCGCAAAGCGCCATAGCCATGATCCTTCCTGGGTGGCTTGTGCTCAGTTCTGCGCTGGAGCTGCAGTCTCGTGCCATTGTGCCAGGGTCAATTCGCCTCGTCTTTGCCATCATCTACTCGCTGTTTCTAGGATACGGCATCACCGTGGGCACAGCTATCTACGGCGCGATTGACCCGAATGCGACCAATGCACAGACCTGCTCGAACCCTTTGAACAAGTACTGGAACTTTCTTTTCGTTCCACTGTACGTGTTTTTTGTCACTTTCACGGTACAAGCGAAGTACAAACAGATGCCCGCCATGATCTTGATCGCCACGGCAGGATACACGGTCAATTTCTTTGCCAACATGAAGTTCACTTCTTCTGCACCCATCGCCTATACCTTTGGAGCTTTCACCGTGGGTGTCCTGGCCAATCTGTACAGTCGAGTGAGACACGGCGTTGCTGCTGCCGTGCTTTTGCCTGCAGTGTACGTGCAAGTCCCTGGTAGTCTTGCTTCCAGTGGAGCCATCGACTCTGCTCTTCGAACAGCGTCTGCATTGATCAGAGGCTCGACAGCCGCTGATGTACGTTCTCTATCTCAGAACCCACGCAGTACGAACTAACTCGATAACAGACAACTACCGACGGCCTCAACTCCATTGTCTTCAACGTCGCTGCATCTATGATTCAAATCGCCATCGGAATTACAGTCGGTCTGTTTATGGCAGCGCTTCTTGTCTACCCGATGGGCAAGAAGCGCAGTGGTCTTTGGACCCTGTAGAGTATACCCTTTTCTTGCATAGCGATACTGCGTTTTAGGCTCAAGGCAGAACGAGGCATCTGGGATGCTCATGCTAATGACCTATAGTTACAAGACCATATGTCTTTTCGAGGCTGGCGCTACCATCATTGAACGACGTGGTGTCATGGTGAAGTATGATGCAAGGTAAGCCCCCACGACTCGGCAGTCGACTTCGCAGCACCATCCAAGGAGCAGCGACACATCCCATCGCGAACTCAACTCAGCCATACCACCTCAAGCACCACGCCCATTGCAAATTGCCTTCGCCAGACGAAATACGAATATCCAAAGCCACCCGTAGCACCGACCACTACAAACTCAGCAAAGCCCTACGGCGCCGGCCCATTGCCCTCACCCCTACCGCGAGTCGAAGAACCGACAGCAAGCCGATCCACCAGCCATTGCCGCGCCCGGATACGACCAGCGAACCCGATTTTCTTCTCTCTCTCCAATCCCTGTCATGTCTTCAAGTGGTTTCCGTTTTCTTTGCATCATTCCACAGCAAGCTCCCTTCATCCCAATACTCTCTGTGACTTTACGTGCTCTTGCAAGGTTGGCCCCACATGACAATTGTTATCACACGTCAAGATCCCGGGAGTTTCACCAGAGAATACGCTGCATCCGCCCCGTATTGTGCAGCTTCCGTGGCATCAGGTGATTCTTGATACATAGAACGTGAATGAAGTTAATGGGCTTTTGGCTTACGGAACTTGACTCATGAAATTTGGCTCATGAGATGTATTACACAGAAACAGCAACCCCATTTCTCTTACGTAGCTCACTCCTCATACCTTTACCTGTTAACTACCATAGTACGCATCCTTGTGTCCTCGAATCGCCTCCACGAAACATCCCGTTTCATGTTGGCGGCAAAGTGTGAGAACAACCTGGCCTTCAGATTATCTCTTTTACTCACCTTGACCCAAAGTTCTTTAGTGAGTCTCGTCCTATCGCGGATAATATCAAAGGCTCACTGATGAGTTGTTTTACACTCGCCGTTCGTTTCAGTACTTCAGCATGTATTAACTTGCATTCACAACCCCCTTGACCCCCTCCACCATCCCTAGCATTACACTTCCCGACTTACGTACCTCTTCGGCACTCACCTATCAATTTGTCAAAGATGGACCGTTTTCGATGTCGCGCCTTTTCACGTTAGTTGACCAAACATTGCTTGGGCTCAGTTTGTATGCGCAGTCAATCTTGTAGTACCTGATAGAACAAAGACTGTATAGACTTATTGATACCACGATTGATTGAGAGGACGATCGATGAACGTTCACTTTGGAGTTGTTGAAGGATACAAATTAACGGAACACAAGGCTGTTGATCCACCTTGTGTCAGGTCATCGTTGTAGTAACATCGTCTCCATGTAGTACACAGTAATGCACAGTCTAGAAGTGAAATGGTCTAGAGCCACGGGCATAGAAACACAGTGTCATAGTAATTATTACAGTGATGATCAGTGATGAGCAGAACCGGTCCGGCTTTTGGCCATCGCGTTTCAATTGGTACTTTCTCAAATCATAAGTAAACACTACACTTGAGATCCTCCACATCTTTAGAAGGAGTTATGCTCAATTCCTATGGTACGTAGCAATCAAGCGACAGGAACAAGAGCGGCCGACTGTGTTTGTATGGACTTATTATGTGCGCATCCTAACTAGCATGGATTGGGCAAGTTCAATGCAAGTAGACAGTCACCCACCCGTTAAAAAATGTTAACACATTGAGCGGGACCAAGTCTAAATTTGGCTCTTTAGGCATAAAAGTTGGACCTAAGAACGTAACTACATAGCCGAGACTCCACGTTAAAGTATGTACATCCTTTCCGAGCAGTACAAGCGCGGCAAAGAACATTAATGAGGCATAAGACATGGCCTGCTAACAATAAACAAAATAGCAGGATCCGCCACTAGTGATGTACATGGTGTGTTAGGTACCGGTCCCCAATCGGTGTTCGTATAGTAAGTTAATCTTAGACTTGGCTAACTTACACAAGCGAGTGGTCACGGGTATTTCAGCCTCTACCTTACCCGCTTGGTAGACTTGACCCTTTTGGGCAGGTCATCTCGGACTTCGGCCTGTTCTTGTCATCTCTTTGTTTAGACTTGGCTTGAGACAAGTCGTATATGATGGACATGACAATGTGGTGTATGAAACATATTAGACGAAGTCCTACTCCGTAGCTTCGCTCGAGATCGACATACTAGTAGCGACAAATCAGACATGGAACCTCTAATAAAATCACCTGCAGTTCTCGTGCATGGTCCGACGCACGCTATCGACGAAGTCCGCATTCCAACGGACAGCCATGTCGCTTACACACTCCGTGGACCTTATCTGATCGGTTGAACCTGCCTGCCATTGCCAAACCATGACACAAAAGACTTACGTTGGCCGCACAGTTCTTAGCGGCTGTGTGTAAGTGGGTCGACACGGGTGTCTGTCAGGCCGCTTTGGGCAATAGCTCATCCAGTTGGAGTTTTGAATACTGCTGTGGCTAAAATGACGGTCGATCAATTTCACATGTTCACCGTCCTTCCGTACCCCACTCAACTCATACCCAGCTAATTTAGCAACACAGGTCTTGCAAGAATGACAAACGCTATTTGTGAATATTTGCGCGATGTGATTAGTCTATCGATAGCCAGGCCGACAGCTACATGTGCCGACCACAATCTACCTCGACCGCTATCGCCAAATGTTCAAGGTAGTCATTCCAGCGTTCGATGAGCTAGTCGCTCAATGGCCCACCTTGTTTGAAAAGCTTTCCTGTCATAAAGAAACTCTCGAAAAGTAATGCAAGTTACCACCCATCGTTACTCGTAAGTCGTATAGGATCCCATCTAGAAGGCTGTACCGCTCAATTGGACCATGGTTGACGCCGTGTTCCCGCCGTGAATACTCCATGAAACGCCCTGGAACTGAATGTCCATTTCTAGGGAAAAAGGATATCGCAAACTGAGATGAACGAATACTCAAGTTGATTCCGACTTGAGCGGTATCGCTCCTTTGATCTCCCCATGTAGTATTCCGAGCAGCTTTCGGAGGGTGTCTGAGTTGTTGCTCTTGCGATGAGTTGTTGTTCCATCCTCGTCTTGACCCTCGGCGTCATCGTCTTGAATCAGCAGCTCGATAGTCTTCCGGAGTTTATCGTATGCGGCATTGAGTTCGGTATGCGACACTTCGAGCTTGCTGTACTTTTCTGACAGGACTGAGAGCTGCGATTCGAGGTCACGGGCGTGCTTTTCTTTCCGTTCGCGAAAGGCGCGTTGAGCTGCTCGATTCTGTGCTCGTCGACGCTGTCAAATATTAGCGCGCTGTAGGCGACTGATAATGTATCGACTCACCCCTGATGTAGTGTGTGTCTTGTCTGTAGGCAGTGCTGCGGAGCCGTTCATGTAGACAGAATCTGTATGTGGAATAGGCCGTGGACTACAGTAAGGGCTGTCGTGGTCTGAACCAAACTCTGAAGGCGTCATTGGCATGTGGTACGATCCGAAATGCATTGGCTCGTCGACGACCTGAGGAAAATAGGCCTGGTGGAGAGGTGCAGGAAATTGATCGTATGTCGATGACTCCTACACATGTCAATCACCGCTACGAATCTTGAAATGCACATGTCTCTCACTGGTGATCCGCTCAGACTCGGTACTTTGGACATGTCTGGAGGTACGTCGTACAGGGCTGCATGTTGTGGTTGAGGAGGAACGTAATGGCTCTGTGACATCCAGTAATCGAAAGACTGGGAGTCCATCTCGCACAATGTGTATGACGCTCAATGAGAACGCTGGTCGCGGTGCTAATGTGACAGCTTGACAGTCTTTACAAGACGGTAGGCTATTTCTCTAATTATGCGCAGTCGTCAAGCGCAATGGATGACGCGAGAGTTGGCTTGTGACGTGCAAGGAAGAGGTCTGGATAAGTATTTGTGTGGCAGGGCGGCTTACACATGTGGGCGAGCTGAGATCTTATACAGCGCACGGAGTGCGGAGAGAATGCACGACCGCCACGGGAGCCGTTCTTGTTCGATGCAACTGTGCCCGCGTAAACGGTCGCGGCCTACCCTGGTCGCTGTGGCTATCTGTGAGGAAGCCCGCATGCCGCTGTCACGAAAGGAGCAGTCCAGCCTATGCTTCGGCTCAAGCGCCGGGAACACGGTCTGGGATGCGGGAAGCTCCCCAAAGTTGTTATTCTCGTCTTCAAGTGGCTCGTAGGAGAGCGTGGCCGGCAGCCGGTTGCAGGGGCATGCATGCATGTTTACGCTAGTCCTGATCTGGTCCTTGATAAATGTGCCGCTGAAGGTACGGGCTAACCGCGACGAGCCTCACAAGGTGGGTGTGCAGCACACAACTTAGTCATTCGCTGTCGCTCAGAGATTAGCGAGGGTTCCGGACATTGTTCTCACGAAGCTTAATCACTTTAGGATGCTTGTACCGTAGCGGGGTTAGACCTGTGCTTCACAAATAGACCTGCCAAGATCCACGCGTTGCGCTCGACCGAAAAGATTCAGATGTCTTCATAGGTGGTGCACATGACGATAGCACGGTGCGGATCTGAGTGCAATGACCGTCTGTCTGTGGCTTGAGCGCAGTGTGGCTCGTACATCAACGACGTCAGACTGGTAGACAGCTCAAGCCTGAGGTTACGTCTGACTACAGGTAACATCACGTCGAGTGAATTTGCTGACTGACGTGCAAGCCCCGAATCTCGGTCGGAGGAAAGCCCATATGATGTCGGGTGGTTACGCATTGCGAAGTGTTTCCCTGCCGAAGGATCTCCTTTGTCTGTAGACAAGGGTCGCTCCCACTCAGTGCCTACTGGTTCGACAGATAACCTCGAGTGGACGCCTTCCCTGAATCTTTCTTGCGGGGTGACGATGTGCAAATAGTGCCAGTGACTCTGTCATGCACAAGTCACTTATTGCGAAGTCCGTTGTCAGCGCGAAATTCATCAAAGCCATGTTTCGGCACAGCGGACGAATGAGTCAGTGGACACGTTGACGGTGGGCCTGGCTAGATAATGTGCGAGAACGTGAAAGGCAACTCTTGCCCAAAGCTTGACCAGTTTTGATCTGATCTGAGCTTGGCATCTTGTCTCATATGCTTTGGCTTCTTAGTGCGCTACTCTGGCCAGGAACAGTGTTTGAGCAGTCTTTCTGCGGCAGAAAACTGTAAGATGTGATCTTGGACCGGTACGAAAGTGACGCAGCGTGCTGGGCCTTCGCGCTCAGAGTTGGACTCCCGCCACGGACACGAACAGGGCACACAACGCGTCATCTTGCGCGGTGTTCTCACCGAACCAGCATGTGGTATTGGTACATGTCCGTGCAGATGGGAATGCTGGGTCTGTGCCGGGTCTGCATGGCAAGGGGAGGCGACACTGGAGTATGCCACTTCGAACGCACATCAGCCCATGGCAGCCCCAGGAGGACGCGCTGGTCGAACGATGCGTGCATAAGCAACTGCCCCCTGCTAGTGGGCCATCGTCTCCGAGCACGACGATTTCCACCATTCGGCCGCTGCCAGTCAAGCACAACAGCCTTGCCCCTCACTCCACGATACAGCGGCCCACACATGATCAGGAAGATTTGCTGTCTGCCCTGTGGCTTGAATTTTCCGTGGCTGTAGCACCAATCCTAGTGCGTTCTCGAAAGGGTACCGTACATAGGCAGCGCAGCCACTGTTAGCTGGCCCTCAGCCGCGTGGTCACGGCAGGTGGTTACCGTAGTTGGTATTTATCCCTCCAAGGGGCACAAATCCACAAGCACGCATAGGGAAAGGAGTGGAACCCAAGAGGAATCCCACAAGCGGGTCGCATCTTGGCTGATCGTTCGCTTCACATGTTCACCATGTGCCAAACACTCATTCGATGCTCTTTTCAACGACAGTGTACCCCAGAATTTCCACATACCGGCGGCCTACCCCGAACGGTATGGTAAACGGTGCAATGAGCATCTTCATGCGCCCTGAAGCACAGTCAGCGTGCAACTTACACTGCGCTAGCATGCAGCCGATGGATAAGGCGTAAGGCTGTACCGACCACAACGATCTCCGCTGTTACCCTCATGATGCACGTTATTACTGTCCCGACGTGAACTAGTGGGATAGGGCTATGCAGGGTCCTACGATCTTTCCGGAACCCAGCAGCCTTATCTGATGTCCTACCTCGCTTGTTAGATTTAACCATACTTTGGTACAGCATGACCAGGTCGCCCTAGCCCAACAGACTACTGCGCATTGACAGTGCCCGGGAACAATGAACTGTGTGAATTCTATCGTTATCCTCTTTGGTCGCACTACCTACAGAGCGACCTCAAAGTACAGGCACGGCCATGAGCCGCAACAAACTTCGACACTCGGGCCGTCTTTGCGTCTTTTGCATCCTGCAAGAGTACCAAATCCAGGTCCTGAGTGGTACAAAACGGCCGACTCTACGCAAAAGTGAGCACGCATGTATCACTCTCAAGCGATCACCGCCGAGGTATCAAGCTTCCTTGGCTAGTACGCGAGTCGGTTTATACACCTGATAGTTCAAGATCGCACTCCGTATTGTGGGCATTATCGAGGGATGGAATCCTTGGTGCTCTAACACGAAGAATGTCGGAGCCAACCCGGAGCCAATGGCGACGACAGCTGAGTAAGAAACGCCCAACTTACAAAGCTTCTACGCGAGATCTGACGAGTGCGATTCATACCGCGCGACTCGACATCGCTCCTCATTGTCGACCTATCAGATACGCAGCAAGAGCGTTGATGTAGCCACACGCCGGTTCATGCTAGTGACGCTTGCTCTCATCGACCATAACTCGCTGCCGAACGTTGGGTCGGCATGTGAGCCACGCGGCATGCTCTCACCACACTACTCAATAGACGTAGTGACTTCGACGTCATTTGTCTCAACCATGCCGACGTAGAATCTCATGACAGTCATGCGACTCAGCGCAGGTATACAAGCGTCGAGTCAATCTGAGGTTACCTCAGGACTCTCAACAATTCCCGCATGCTCAGTCTCGAATACCTGCTTCAAAGCCGATATCAATCGACTGCTGCAGAGGTTCGTCTGTCCCAAAAAAGGGATACATGGCTCAGTGAGTGCAGCCAGGATTCGATCGTGTACTGATGGAGTTTGAGTCCAGTTTGCCGCATTCACATTCAAGATGGAACCTTCTGGTCGAGTCGAGACATTAGAGTAAGATGATTTCGTTGATACTCCAGCCTGTTGTCGATATTTTGCGGGGCTGTCATCATTGTTTGGTTGTGTGGAAAATGAGTGTCGAGCTTCTACACAGAGGCCTTGCTAGTCCCGATAGTTACTTGTACGCGTCGCAATCTTGTCACACTCACAAGTCTTTGTGGACATTAAAACAGAGTTTCTCAAAGACATCACGAATAGAGTGCATCGGGCTACCACTCATCATTTAGCAGTGCTACCATTCGCTTTCAAGTAGTACTACCATTCAACTTCCAATAAAGACTATGACTGTCAAGGATGCAAACAGCACTCCTACACGCTATAGAGCATTCAACATCCGGCTTGAACCCATGTCAAAACCGTAGGAAGTGCAACACTTGTCAATCATGATATACAGAAGCTTTGATAGGCCTTTGATCAGGGTATATGCCAACGATTATGTTGCAAACGTGCACATCCCCATATCCTTTTCACACGGAAGTGAAGTCGGGGTCACCAAGGGCCCAAGTGGCAGTCAAATGATATCGGTGAACGCTAGCACCTTATCACTCTTTGAAAAGAGTTTGAACCAAGATACATCCCCGCAAAAACATAGTACCTGTTGGAAGGTGTTGTTGTTTTTGGACGCTCTGTTGAGTTCAACCACGTGCCACCATGGAAGATGAAAGCAAGCACGTTCCGATGTGAGTTCCTTGGTGCCACCACCACTAGCCCAACGTTCTGCTTGAAGATATTGGTAGATATAACCTTGCCCACAGTACAGCCATTTTGAAACCCGAGTACTCCAGCCTTATGCGGACAAAGACCTTTCTACGTTCAAGCTGGAAGTGAAAAGTGATCGGGAAGTTCCAGAAAATAGGTACTGTACAACAGGGGCGTATCTGCTGCCGATAGTAGAAGTAAATCGTGGTAGCGATCGACACATCATGGTGCAACACGTCGTCTACTATGTCTCACATGATGCGCTGCGTATCGAGCTGGTAGAAACAGTATGTTTCGTAGATTGGAGTGGTGTACTGTAAAGCAAGCGAGTTGAGGAATGATGCTATATCTTGTGTTGACGTCGATGATGTGACGAAGACATCGCGCACACTTGGCACCGAACTTAGCACGAGGTTGTTGCCAAAACTTGGGGTGTGCCTGATATGTTGTACTGCTGTACCACGCGTGCAAACTTGAAGACAGGGGCAATGTTCAGCTGGAGATTGGCATGAGACGGTAAGCCGTCGAGCGATGTGAAAAATGAAGAGTGAAGAGTATTGCAAGGGTATATAGCAAAAACCAGTCGCTTGAACAGGCTCGATGTGTCATGTGGACGATTTGGGACTCCAATCAATGCAAAAACATGGAGGCCCCTCTACTTCAACAATGCGACAGATGCGCCCAACGACTGTCGGGGTCTACTTCGCCTTCTTGACTAGGCAGACGTCAGCGACTCTTCCCCTAAACTTCAACACTGCCAGTACCGCCTCACACCTACCTCTCAACTGCGCGCCTGATAAAAGCGAGCCTTACCAATCATATATCCAGCCACTGTTGCTCTCAATGAATTCCTGACAGGCATCTTTCAGCGCCAGGTTTGGCCTCAGCTCACTGATTTTCAGCGGCTCTCTTGTAAGTGGATCCGTGGGATTCCGCTTCAGATGCTCAATCAGCGTGGCTCTCTCATAGCTTCTCCCGTTATTCGTGACGACTGGATCATGCATGATTTCAAACGTAATCCCATCGACAAGATAGTCGGGCACTTCGCGCTTCTCCTGGTTGTCAGGGTCGGAGATGGCAAACGCGGTGCGCAGGTCGTCGCGCTTTTTTTCAAATTCGAGACGGCGCTCTTCCTTCTCCTCGTGGCCTTCTGTGTGACCTATGTTGCCGGACTCCATGCGAGCATCGATCTCGTCCAGCTCCATTTTATGATCCCGCTCAAGCATACCCTCCAAGTCGGAGAGAAGGTTACCACGCCTCCTTATGCGCTCCCGCTCGCGAATGTCCCACTTGCGCTTTTTACACTTCAAAACATGTTGTGAGATCAGTGCGGCGTTGGAGAAGGTCGTCTGCTGTGTGGACTTGGTACAGTACTCGTAGGCTTTGAGCGCACTTGATAGCGCCTCGTTGGGGTGGTTTACGGCGAGCTGGGCTTGCGCTAGGGCTTGTGATCAGCTGTGGTATTGCCGTCTTAACTGTGCTAGTAGACATACAGAGCAGGTGAAACGCTTTCATATTCTCTGGCAGCTGCTCGATGCTCCTGATGCAGTCGTCTATGACACCGTCCCACTTCTCCAGCTTATTTCGCGCCATGGCGCGATTTGTGAACAGCAGCGGATTGCTGGAGTTCTTCTGGATAGCCTGAGAATAGTACGCCTCGGCGCCTTCGTAATCGCCAGTCTTGAAGCATGCATTTCCCTGAGCCTTGAGCTGCTCAGCAGCATACTCATTACCAGGAGGCATGCCGACGGATGAGCAGAGAAGAAACACTGACCCTGAAGAGGGTGGGCGAGGGTGAAGGGGCGATTATGAGCCCGGAAGAGACGGCGTCAACGAGGCGTGATTGGCACGAGGGTTGGCGCGGGGGGTGGGGCGCCGTCAAGAGCCGCGGCAGCATGGAACTTTCCAGATGGGCGCTGATGTGAGCAGCACGGAAGTGTCGGAGCGGAAGAATGTGCACTTTGGTCGTTGCATGATGGCGATGCTGTGCGTTTGACGACAGCAGAACTGTCTAGGGGTTGCTCCGACTGCTCCTTGTGTTGGTCGGATAAGCTCGTTCAGGGTCTGGCAGCTGTCGCTGCAGGCTGTCGCGTGCCGCCGACCACCAAGCCGAACGAGAAGCAGTGGACGAGAGCAGACATGCCATTTGGTTTATGGTGTTTATTGAATTACAACCTCACGCTGAGACGAGAGCTACTTGTTTATTGGGTATATAGTTAGACGCCCGACTCCTCACGCCGCTCAGAGCTCCTGTCGCAGCGGATGCGGACTCTTGATCTCAACCTTTTGTGCTTCGCCTTTGGAATCTTTCCTGTACAAGTTGGGGTAGCTCCGTTGCCGACGTAGCTCTCCCTCTTCTTCTTCAACCTCGGCCCTTGGTCGACTGGGCGGCTGTGCTCTCTTTCTCAGTACTCTCACCTCTTCTTCACTTGCATCCTCTTCCTCAAAAATAGGGCTGCCAGTTCGCTCTCTGCTGCCGCTGCGATTCCGTCCACGGCCGCGAAAGGTATGGTCGGGCTCTGCGTCGCTGCGCCGTCTTTGCTTCTTGGGAGCAGCTGGAGGTGGTGTCATGCTCGCTGACTCTGAATCACGATGGTGATTACGGTGGTGGTGTCGGTGTCGAGAGCCGCTGTCGCGCTCATGGCCACGAGAGGGTGATGCTGCCCGACAAGGAGAGTGTGAGGACATGCGACGTCGTTTCAGGCGGCCGCGTTCTTCGGCTTCTGCGTCGACATCCGGCTCGACAACAACTGGAATGCTTGGATGAGTCTGGAAGTCGCACCTCTCTGAACGGTCCGGCGCATAGGACGCGGTAGTTACTGACATGTCGCCGTGTGGTGGGCTTCAATGGCTTATGCACAATTCAGATTCGTTCAAACCGTGCATGAACAGAGTCCGGACGTTGGAGATTACTGTGTAGGCCTCTTAGCCAAAGAGGGGAAGCATTAGTGCCGTGCGACGGCCCGTTTATGGAACGAGCAGGTGAGCATGCTTGGGTGGTTGAAGCGTGATTCAGCTGGACGTCATTCGCACGCGCGTGCCGGATGTGGCTGGTGCTCACGCGATTGGATGCAGCACTACCAGCAAACGCTCCTTTGAGACGCTCCCCAGTCTTCAGCAAAGATTGTCGAGCAGCCCAACTGCAGGGGAGTGAAAGCAGCAAAAGTAGATTTTTAGGTTCTCGGCATTGCAGCGCGCAGCTTGGAGTGGAGCTGCTGTTCTACCACCACCTCGCGCCGAAGATCTTCGGGGCGACATGGGCCTGTTTCTCTTTGGATGCCAGATCGATCCTGCGATGCCCTTTGACGTCGAGCGCCAACTCGGCATACTCGTACGAAGACATGCTCGGTTTCTTAATCATGTGAACGTGTACCACGCCCTGCTTCCCGTTGCCCTCTACGAAGAAGCGGAATTTCAGGTGCTGGGTGCCCCACTGGTCCGTCTCTTCTGTGCTGCGAATGGCGCGATTTTTGACGTAGCGCGCCAACGAGCTCTCGCCGTAGGCGGAGATCTGGGATCCCTCGCCAAGCAGCTTCTGGCACCGGGGGTCGTCGCGGATCCTGTCGGTGGCGTGGTTGAAGTGTGCGATTTTGGAGTTGGGGCTGAAGACGTCGTGGAAGAGGAAGTAGGTGACTCCGCCCTGGAATTGTCAGTGCGGTTGCTCAGGCCGTGGCTGCAAGAGGACGTACGGTCGCGACGACGCCGATGACGACGACGATCAGGTTGAACGACTGCTGGGTGGTGCGCACGACCTTCTCGCCCGGCGACAGGGCAGTCCACGGCACCTGGCCCGAGTCGCCAGTCAGGGTGATGGACCGGCGCGCGGGCTGCGGGATGGGCGTGCCCGGGTAGGTGGGCTCGGTGGCACGGGTCTGGTGCGAGGCGGACAAGGCGCGTCGAGCTGCCGACGGCTGGATGCGCGGGAGCAGCAGGGCGGGGCGCATGGCAGGGCGCAAGAGCAGGGCAGCTTCGGCGGGGCGGTAGAGGGCGGCCATGGCGGCGGTAGTGGGAGTGGGAGTGGTGTATGGCGACGCGTGCGCTGTGCTGCGAAATGCGAGTGGTGTATGGTCGCGGAGGTGCGGCGGGCGTGTGGCGCACGACCGCAAACTGCAAGCGCCGAGGCAGGGCGCCGGTTCCTGAAGTTTGGCGAACAGCGCATCGCAGACAGTGCATCGCGGACAGCGCTGCCAGCCCTCGACCCCCAGCCCCAGCCCCAGCCCTCGCCGTCCCCTCGCCCCTCGTCCTGTTCACGTGCCGTGTCGTTGGCTCGAGCCGCGCACGAACAACCATGGCGTCCAACAAGAAGAGCAGCCTCGCGGGCTATCTGCCGGACATCCTGATGGCCGCCGCCGCAGTACACCGCCCCCTCCGCGCACCGCGCCCGTACTTCTGTACTGACGCCGCCCGCAGCCGCTGATCGCGTACTTTGTCATCCGCAACCTGCTCGCGCGCCTCGACCCCGACGCGCAGCAGAAGGAGGAGGCCCGCGCCAAGTCGGCCGCCGCCACGCGCAAGCTCGACGCCATCCTCAGCAGCAAGCGCCGCAAGAGCCATGGCGGCGACGGCGACTACGACAGCGACGACGACGACGCGCGCGCCCGCCGCCCGCGCATGCAGGACCTGGTGCTGAACAGCTACGAGCAGAGCATTGCCATGGAGGTCGTGGCCCCCGAGGAGATCCCCGTGACCTTTGACGACATTGGCGGCCTCGACGCCATCATCGAGGAGCTCAAGGAGTCGGTCATCTACCCGCTGACCATGCCGCACCTGTACGCCCACTCGTCGTCGCTGCTGAGCGCCCCCAGCGGCGTGCTGCTGTACGGGCCGCCGGGCTGCGGCAAGACCATGCTGGCCAAGGCCCTGGCCCACGAGTCGGGCGCCTGCTTCATCAACCTGCACATCTCCACCCTGACCGAGAAGTGGTACGGCGACAGCAACAAGCTGGTCAACGCCGTCTTCAGCCTGGCCCGCAAGCTGCAGCCGAGCATCGTCTTCATCGACGAGATCGACGCCGTCCTGGGCCAGCGCCGCAGCGGCGAGCACGAGGCCAGCGGCATGGTCAAGGCCGAGTTCATGACGCACTGGGACGGCCTCGCCTCCTCCACCGCCGCCGGCAGCAACACCCCGCAGCGCATCTGCATCCTCGGCGCCACGAACCGCATCCAGGACATCGACGAGGCCATCCTGCGCCGCATGCCCAAGAAGTTCCCCGTCGCCCTGCCCAACGCCTCGCAGCGCAAGAACATCTTTTCCCTCATCCTGCGCGGCACAAAGATCGACCCCGCCCACTTCGACATCGAATACCTCGTACGCGTCTCCGCCGGCATGTCCGGCTCCGACATCAAGGAAGCATGCAGAGACGCCGCCATGGGGCCCGTCAGAGAATACATCAGGCGCAAGAAGGCAGACGGCTCGCTCAGGACCAGCAGGGGCGTCCGGGATGAGGACGTGCGCGGCCTCCGAACAGAAGACTTCTTCGGCCGAGGGAAAGGCCTGAGAGAGATGGAAGCCCTCGACGAGACGGCAGAGGAGATGAACACCCGGAGTCGGCGGATACACACAGCTTCCGAGTCTTCTGAGGAAACCAGCACCGACAACAGCACCACCAGTGGCGACGAGAAGTCGCCGCAGTACGATGACCCTGAGCCCTCGGCCATCAGGTAGCGTCTCTTGATTATTTCAGTCATTTGTTTCGATGCACATATTAGGACGGCGCTTCAACGAGCATTCTCATCTCATGGGCGGCGTTCTTCAAGACCCGAAACTAGACTCTAGATCTCCAACACTGTACGAACAATTTCAAGCACATGCACATCTACAACTCTTTCGTCTGGACCAGTGTCTGAGGGAGCCTCCTTCCGCGCGAGGCAGCTGCAGCCGAGGTCCTAGTCCCCGCATTCACCCCACCCGTAGCTTGCTGAACGCCTGAGCAGATCCACATTACAAGCACGCAACATCTCCTTGCACTGTTGTCATCGACAGACCTGTTATTCGACAGTGCAAAGTACAGCGCCCAAATATTTGAATCTAAGATCGCGCATCGAACCGTCATCATCAATCACATGCAACACACGACCAAGCCACAAACAAATCGCCACAGTAACAGCTACAATTACAGCAATCCAGATCCCGCCGTCGTCTCCAGATCACAATGGCCTCCCCAGGTGGTTCAGCATCAGTACCGTCAACCTCAGACCACCCACCATCGACAGAAGCTCACCCGCACTCTCACAGCCATGCCCATGAACATCATCCAACCCCTCCTGAAGATGCCTGGAAGACCACTGGTGTTCGTGTAATCCCCGCCGACTCCCTCGAGGCCGTGGGCGGCGCGCACATGACGCCAGGCATGGACCGCAGCGCAGCTATCAACTTTGCTCGTGTGGGCGCGCAAAAACTGTGGGCGGGGACGGTACACATCCACGCCGGCGCCAAGACCGGCGCTCACCACCACGGGCACCTGGAAAGCGTCATCTACGTCCTGAAGGGCCGGGCGCGTATGCGGTGGGGCGAGAAGCTCGAGTTCACCGCCGAGGCAGGCCCAGGCGACTTCATCTTCGTCCCGCCCTATGTCCCGCACCAGGAGATCAATGCGAGCGACGATGAGAAGCTGGAGTGTGTGTTGATGAGGAGTGATAGTGAGGCCGTGGCCATCAACTTGCCGGGCCTGGAGCCTGCCGAGGCCCCGGAGACTGTAAAGTGGATTGATCCTACCCATCCTGATGGAGCCGGGGCGTAGACAGAAAGCTTTCGTAACAACGTCTTGTCGAGTACGGGTGCAGACTGACAGGCAGACGACTGGCCTTAGCGGGACTTGACTCTGGTATTAAAGCATTATAAAGGGCGTAACACAATCTCAATGACAAGCATGTTGGCGACTAATTTGAGAGTATTCGTGAATGTTGTGAATCATTTTGACCCATAAAGCATAGACCTAGGGTGGAGTGATCAACTACTCGCTGCTCTCCTCTTCCTCGTCCTCTTCCTCGTCGTCATCGTCATCTTCCTCCTCCACAGCTTCGGCAGCCTCGGCAACCTCCTCTTCAGCCTCAGCATCCACCTCATCGTCCTGCACCAGGAGGTCTTCAACGACGCCACCCTCACGCTCCATGCGCAGATATTCATCCCACTCAGGGAACATGTCCTCGTCGCCCTCGCCATCCTGCGGAGGCACACCGATGAGCTTCGCGACCCTGCTTTTATTTTCTTTTTCTAGGCTAGCCTTCCACTGCTTGGCAAGTCCTGCTGTCGTACTAGGCTTGTACGTCTGGGAGAAAAGTACAGCTTCGGCGAAGCGACCAGTCTTGATGAGCAAGTCGGTACAGCCCTGTAGGTCCCCAATTTGCCAGAGCGCAGAGAAAGCGACGTTGTTCGCTGTCGCTGTCTCGGCGAGGCTGGCAAGCTCGCGCAAACCAGACTCGTCTGAAGTGGCAGAGTAAAGGAGCAGCAGCGAGCCTAGATCTTTGGCCTTGACGAAGCACTCCTGCGCAAGCTTGATGTCCCAGCCGGTGAGAGCAGCATCACCAACAGTCTTCCACTTGTGCTCTGTGTCCTGCTCCCGCGCAATTTCAGTGGCTTGCTGCAGGTCACCCAGTGAAAGCGCAAGATCGAACCGGTGCTCTGGGTCGGTGGCAACCTTGAGAGCCATCTCTTTGTACCCTTGGCCCTCCAAGAATCGAGCGATCTTGTTGTTTTGGTCTTTGGGCACAGAAGGTAATGTTTCCTCTGCAGCCTCCAGCTCTCCCCTGAGAATCAAAGTCTGGTACTCCACAACAGCCAGCGACAAAGCGAATGACACAACGTTCACATCCTTATCGGCAATGTATATTCTCGAGTCGCGGGCGAGGTATCCAAGAACGTAATGCGGCGAGTCGAAGTGGGAAATGGTGTAAGTCTGGTCACCAACTAGGTAGTTGAGACGGTTGGTGCTGTTGGTGTAGATGAAGCAATCGCCGACCCAGCAACCGGTGCGTACGCTATTGATCTGTCAGCTACATGAGCTTCGATTGCAGAACGGTGGACATACCTCTCGTTGATGTCACAGACGACCTCGAAAGCAGCTTCTGCGCCGTCTTCGTCGATCTCGCCATTTTGGAGCGCCTCCAGATAATTCTCCCTCGAGAATCTCAGAACGTAATATGTATCGTCTGTAGCCAATGTCACGAGCTCGCCGCTTTCTGACCAAAAAACGCTCTTGGGTTCGACTTCGATCCTGCGGACAAGAGCTCCAGAATCCCAATCATAGAAGCCAATACCACCCTGACCCTTGACTCCAAGTAGGACGCCACCGCTCAAACCGTCGGCAGAGAAGCCGACGTTCAACACGCTTCGTTCCTTGAAGTTGCGGAAAATCTTGACGCTCGTAGCTGACTCCCGAATAGCGTAGTCCTTGTCGTGCTCCTTCGATGCCCAACAGAAATCCAGTGCGGAACCGAAGGCCTGGTTTCGAAGCGCGAGGGCGGTGTAGATAATGTATTCACCATCACCACAGACAGCGACGAAACGGCCGTTCGGCGAGTGAAGCAGAGACTGAGGATAGATCTCGGTCGAGCCAAGGTCTTTGGAAGGCAATGTAAGGCGTTCCGCGTCTTTCAGTGAATCGTTGCCCTTGATTGTTGCTGCGAGAATATCATTGTGCTTTGCCCAAAGAATCTTGCCACCAGCATCCATGCTGACTGCTGGCTCTTCTCGGCCCATGGAGATGACTACAGCTCCATCGTCGAAACCGAGCGCAATGCCATTTTTGCTCTTCTGAGATGCCACACACCATGATCGCTCCAGGCCATAGTTCAAAGACTGTTCCAAGCGGTATGTCGACGAGTGCCAGATCTTGATTGTGCCGTCTTCAGAGCCCGAGATGATGACGGGGAGTTCGGGGTGATAAACAGCGAAGCTGACGTTGGACGTGTGACCCTCGAGAGTCGCAATGAGGGCTTTCGTAGTGTAGTCCCAGACCTTGACTGTCCTGTCATCAGATGTTGTGAGGAGGTAGGGCTTGTCGGATTGGGGATAGTAGTCAACGAAATTGACACCCTTGGTCTCGTGCGCTTCCAGGGTGAAGTTAGGCGTCGAGCTGCCGAGCGACCAAATCTTGACTGTGCGGTCGAGACAAGCGGAAGCAAATGTATTGGGGTCCTTGGGGTTGATCGCAATGCCCATAACGTAGTGCTGGTGGCCGGCGAATTCTTGCACGCCTGTATCTGGTCAGCAGCAGGTCCTCGGATCTCTTTGAATGTAGGCAGTCATACACTTCCAGCCCTTCTCCCAGTCCCACAACTTTATTGTCATGTCATCCTAGAAGCGCGTCAGTCAGGCACCCTGCTGCTCGGTCTCGCGACTCACGCTGGCAGTCAGCACAAAGGGCTGTGTGGGATGAACGGCGATGGCGCGGATATAGTCGGGGTGTGCTTCGAAAGATGTGACCTTCTCAGAGGTGTTGTAGTTGTAGACACGCATCTGGAAGTCATCGGAACCTATTGTCGAGCCGCGTCAACGTAGCTTTCACATGAGACAAGCCAAGGGTCGCACCTGCAACAATCCAGTTCTTCCGCGCAATGAAGCGACCAGCGCGAACGGGGACATCGGTGAGCTCGAATGTCTTGACAATCGACTGTGAAATGTAGGACCAAATGTGAACGTGTCCTGCCGCCGTCAGCCTCGGACCACCATTGCGGAGTCGCAGCCATTCATACCGCTGTACAGGGTCGTCAGGATCCACGGCTCGGTCGGGTGGAAGTCTTCGAGGTTGTTTAGTATCGGGGGCGACGTGGAGAAGCGCAATTCCTACCAATGCCTGGCGGGTGTTAGCATGAGAGCTCGAGGGCGTTCGCGGTGCAGCCTGCTTACCCTTGACTCGCTCCGAGCGCGCAAAGAGCTGCCTCTGTATCCAAGTAAGCGCGTGTCCGGGCTTCGGGTGGCGGACGTACCTTGACGTCGAGACGCATCTTCGCAGCTGGTGTGTGCGGGTGGGGGAGGTGTGGGATGGGGGAGACGTGGCTTGTTGCAGCCAGTCCGTGGGAGCGCAGGCAAGGACCACGTGTGCCGGAACGTAGACCAAGAGACAGCTACGGCGGCCGAGGAAGCGCTGGGAAGAGAGGTTGCGTGTGGAGTGGGAAGGGCCCGCTCCGTAACCACCTCCGCGATGCTGCATCTGTGTCCGCTGGTGCTTGGCAGGGCAGGGTTCAGGGTTTCCCAAACGGGCAGTTTTGAAAATCATCGATTGCAGACGAATGCGCAACATCACGCTTCAGCCCTGATCGGGTGCGCCATAGACACAGCGCAATGTTCAAGTGAGCAGCCATGTCGTAAACTTTTCTCGATTCTCCTCTACAACTATTTACTCGAGATAACCTCCCCTCGAGTGCCAACTGCACTCATCTGACGGCTTCCCTTCAATTGCATAATAGATACCCTGAATCGTGCCCCAAGCCCTCCATTGCTCATGGCGAACTGCCATTGCGTACATCGACAAGAGAAAAAACGGTCTCGCCGCTATTGAGCAGAGACTGGTATCTAAGAAGTGAATATACAGAAAGACTCAAAATATGTTAAAGTAAAGTATAGGAGGTTGGAGATGGGTTCAACGAGTGTCCGAACATAAAAGCAACGATATGTGAGAGAATTGAGTGCGGCTAGATGCGAGACGCAGACGCTAGCATTGATGAGGTTGGTTCGCGAGATGAATGCTGAGATCGAAACACATTGGTGGTGACAGACATGCGCGCATGCCGTCATCGTAAAACCCAAGTCTGACCGAGGTCGTTATGGTAGGACGTGCAGGCGGCCAGGCGCTCAGTTCCAGCCGAGCGAGTTCTCTGCCATGACGGGAGCTGAGATCTGCTGAGTGCGTATGCTGCGTCCTTGACTGCTGTCACTTCCACGACTACCGCGACTACCAGGCGTCATGCGGCCATCGCGAGCACCACGCATCCAGGCAGCTGCACCGCCGGGAATAGAGCCGTACGTCATGCGGCTTGTGCTTGGAACTGAGCTGGAGCGCTGGTGAGCGATGCGCTTGTTGCGGTACCGACGGGCGACGAAGAACATAGCCGCACCGTAGGCCATGGCTCCAACGATAGCTCCTGTTGCGATTCCTGCGCTAGTGGGATTGATCTTGCGGCTGGCACCGGCATCGCCTCCAATAGCACCACCATCGCCAGCGCCTCCAGTCGATGTTGCGGCAGGGTCTCCGCCGCCAACGTTCGAGCCTGCACCAGGAAGAGTGCCGCCAGCTGCAAGAGGACAAGCAGTGTTGATCAAGTTGGTGAGATCATTGACAGTGGAGTCCTTGTTGTGCCAGAATGGATCAGCGGGGTTGCGGAGCTGAGCTGCAAGCTTGGTCTGCAAGTCCTTGGGAATGGTGAACATTGCCATAGTAGTAATGAAGCCTTGGTATTTTGTCGTGTCAAGCGGCTTCAATCCGTAGTTCTTGACGTCAGAGACGGAGATGTTGAGACCATCAGCAATCGCCTGAGGCAAGTAGTGGAAGATCTGACTGCCGCCATTGTTGGAAGACACGAATGGGTAATTCAACGGCCATTTGAAGCAAACCTGACCCATGAAACTGTCTTGCGAGACTTCGGGGGGAACGCCACCAGGGGGAGCAATCATTTTCGGTAGGCTAGAGGGAATACCGCTGCTTGTAGCAGTAGGAGACGCAATGGTAGAAGGCTCTTGGACAATGCTGGTGGGAATGAAGAGAGAAGTATCTGTGTTGGTAGCAGTGGGCAAAACGGTTCGCACCGGTGTCTGCGAGCTTGTGACCGTCGGGATAACGGGAATTGGGATCGTGGCAGAATCGACTGCTGACGTGGTGCTTACAGCAGATGGAGAGATACTGACAGATGCAGGCGCAGACGGCGATGATGAGAGGGACTCCGATGGCGACAGGGTAGGAGACGGCGCTGCCGATGGAGACTCTAGCCCAGTTGATACAGACCCAGATGCAGATGGGGATACAGACACGGTGGCAGATGAAGACACAGAGTCTGAGGCGGATGGAGACACAGATCCTGAGGCGGATGGAGACACAGATCCTGAGGCGGACGGAGATACAGAAGCCGAGCCTGATGGCGTGACTGAGGCCGTTTCGGTAGCGGACAAAGTGATGGTCGCACTGGTCGATGCCGAGCCAGAGGATGAGAGAGTCTCAGACGCTGAGATAGACAATGAGATGCTGAGAGTCTCGCTCGGCGAAATTGTAGCGCTTGAGGAAACGCCAGTCCCAACCACAGTTGACGACGGGATAATGCCAGAGGAAAACCCTGTTCCGGAGATAGTGGACGATGGCAAGATGCCGGATGATTCGGACAGTGAAGCACTCGCTGAAAGTGTGACGCTTTCTGTGCCGGAAGGAATGGGCGCAGTGAGGCTACCAGAACCTGACACGGTCGCAGAGGGCAGGATTCCAGACGATAGGAGGCTAGACGAGAAATCAGACGCAATGCTAGACACGATGCTGCTGAGATCGGAAGTCGGGATGGGCAGAGGAACCGACGCGGTGGGCAGGATGGACGCTGAGGTGAGCGCGGATTCGGCGCTGGATACCAGGCTTGATACAACGCTGGGCAGGGCAGAACCAGTTGGCAAATCAGAAACCGCCGACGACAGAAGGCTGGAAAGCTCTGAGATCACTGATGGAGCGACCGACGGGAGGATTCCCGAAGCAGACGACGATTCCGTGATGGTAGCCGATACAGGGGCAGTAGGGTTGAGTGACCCAGAGCTAGGAATGACGCCAGTTGGCAGAGCCTCAGAAATTGCGGAGGACAGGAGCGATGTCAGATCAAGCCCAGAGCTGACGGATACACCCTCCGAGGTAGGGATAGCGCCCGACGGCGAAGCCTGGCTTGTAATGGTAGCAGATACAGACGAAGACTCTGTGCCGAGTGCAGTGGTAATGCCAATGACTATTCCACTGGAAGGGAATCCGCTGGAGGGCAGAACACCAGTAGGGACTACGCCACTGCTGGGGAGGATGCCAGACTCAACAACCGAGGTAGCTGTAGGCTCTGCAGTGCCAAGAAGCGATGACAGGAGAGAACCAATCAGGCCAGCAGAGGAGGTGGGCCGTACGATATCAGAAGATGATGGCAGAAGCCCGGTGGAAGCAGCTTGCGATGCCTCAGGCAGGAGCGATGAGAGAGCACCGTCAACGAGACCAGCAGACGAGGTTGGCAGGACAATCTCAGAAGCTGGAGGCAACAATCCAGTAGAAGCAGCCTGCTCTGGACTCTGGGCGGAAGAAGTCGGTAGCACTATCTCGGATGCTGGAGGCAAAGTGCCGGTGGAAGCAACCTGCTCGGGGCTTTGAGTGGATGTGGTTGGTAGGACAATCTCAGAAGCTGGGGGCAGAGAACCAGTAGCGGCAGGAGCTTGAGCAGATGAGGTTGGCAGGACAATCTCAGAAGCCGGCGGGAGTAGCCCAGTAGAGACACCTTGCGACACCTCAGACAGAAGCGATGAGAGGGCACCGTCAATGAGTCCAGCAGACGAGGTTGGCAGGACAATCTCAGAAGCCGGGGGCAGAGATCCAGTAGCGGCAGGGGCTTGAACAGATGAGGTTGGCAGGACAATCTCAGAAGCCGGGGGCAGAGATCCAGTAGCGGCAGGGGCTTGAACAGATGAGGTTGGCAGGACAATCTCGGAAGCTGGAGGCAGCGACCCAGTAGAGGCGACCTGCTCAGGGCTTTGAGCAGACGAAGTTGGTAGCACAATCTCAGACGCTGGCGGCAGAGAGCCGGTAGAGGCGACAGATGTAGGGCGTTCGACAGAGTCGGAAGTTGTCGACTGCAGGAGGCTCTGCGATGTACCGGGAACGATGAAAGGACCGAGAATGCTGGATGTCTGAGAAGCCGACGCCACAGACGAAGGGGCGGTAGAGGAAGTCCCAGAGAGAATCACATCGGGTAGTGTGCCAGTAGGAGCAACTTGGTCGCGCGAAGTCGACGGTGCCTCAGTTGGCTGAACAATCGACTGTGACGCAGGCAAACCACTGCTTGAGGGGAGGAGACTGCCCAAAAGAGACGAAAGAAAACCACCCGTTGTCTGAGATGGCTCCTGGGGAGCGGACGACTGTGACGGCACAGAGGGGGAAGACGATGCTGTGGGCAGGACGATCTCTGAAAGTGGGGGCAGCAAACCAGTCGATGCATCAGTGGCGGACGATGAGCGGGCAGGTGCCGGCTCAATAGTGCTCGAGGTTGTGGGCAAAACGATCGCCGAGGACGGCGGCAAGACACCTGTGGGGCGCTGCGCGACAGTGCTACTCGCCTCTTCTGCCTCAGTGCTCGAGCTTGTGGGCAAGACAATCGCCGAAGAGGGCGGCAAGATACCAGTGGGCGCAACTGAAGGCTGCTGGACAACCTGAGTGCTGCTGGAGACCTCAGTCGCAGTCTCAAGCTGAGACTGAGAGGAGGATGCGACCTGCGAAGTCAAGGAAGACGATGTGGGCTGCACAATCTCGGAGATTGGAGGAAGAACGCCAGTTGCGGCGGCAGAAGATTGCACGCCCTGAGTACTGCTAGGCACCTCGGATTCGGTATCAGAAGGAGTCTGAGAAGTGGGAGCTGCTGGAGGCGAGGGCGAAGAAGAAGACGTTGGCAATATGATCTGCGAAGACGGGGGAAGCGTGCCAGTCGCCGCAGGCCTTTGCGCAATAGAACTGCTCTCGACCTGGGTAGACGACAGCTCCTCGGGCGCCGAACTAGGGGCAGACGATGATGGCACAACCACAATCGAAGTCTGCTGTTCTGGTGTCAAGCTTGATGCGGAGGAAGGCTGTACATTCACAACGCTGGACGTAAGCTCCTCGGGTGTCGAAGTCGGTGCCAAGCTACGTACGGAGGAAGGCAGCACGTTCGCAGTGGTAGACGTGAGCTCCTCGGGTGTCGGGCTACGTGCAGAAGAAGGCTGGACATTCAATATGCTGGACGTGAGTTCTTCGGCTGTCGAAACCGGTGTGGCAGAAGGCTGGACGATCGCAGTGCTGGATGTCAACTCCTCAGCTGTCGAAGCAGATGCTGAGCTAGGCGCCGAGGAAGGTTGAACATTCACAATACTAGATGCGAGTTCCTCGGCTGTCGAAACCGGTGTGGAAGAAGGCTGAACGATCGCAGTGCTGGATGTCAACTCCTCGGCTGTCGAAACCGGTGTAGAAGAAGGCTGGACGATTGCAGTACTAGATGTCAACTCCTCGGGTGTCGAAGCAGGTGCTGAGCTAGGCGCCGAGGACGGTTGGACATTCACAATGCTGGATGTGAGCTCCTCGGGTTTTGGGCTAGGCACAGATGAAGTACGAACGTCCACAGTGCTGGATGTGAGCTCCTCGGCTGTCGAACTTGGTGCGGAAGATAGCTGAGCAATCACAGAGGAGGTAGGCTCTGCAGGTGTTGAGCTAGGTGTAGAGGAGGGCTGAACGACCGCGGTAGACGTAGATTCCTCAGAAGCTGAAGCAAATGCAGACGAAAGGCTGGAGACGACCTCTGATGTGGTCTCAACAGGGCTGCTTGATGGCGCTGGCGCAGAAGATGCGACAGAAATCTCTTCTGCTGTAGATGCCGAAGACGAGGGCAAAGATACAGGGGCAGACGGCACTTGAGTGCTGCTTGTCCCAGCGGGAGTTTGGCTACTTTGTGGCGTCGGCGTCACAGTGATTGACAGAGGATCGAGGGATGGATTCGATGCATCCTGCTCACTCTGGGTGGAGAAGACGCCGGGCTGCGATGGGGCGGACGACGAGGATTGGGAGTTGATGAAAGACCTGAACAACGACGTGAAGTCGGGGAAGTCGTTCTGCCGCTTTTCGCTGCTCGAGCTCGAGGATACAGGAGTCGAAGACGAGGAGGGTGTTGCGGGTGCCGTAGCGTTAGCTGCGTCTGTGTTGATTTGGCGCTTTACGTGACGCGGAAAGTAGTATCGAGGTTTGCCCTGTGTCTGCTTCGGCTGCGGGGCCGGCATGGCCTCTGCGACTGTGCCGACGGGGCCTGAGCCGGACATACTGGCCAAGGCCAGGGTAGCGACCCATACTGTGGTCGAGCGTGTCATTTTGGTAATTACTGTCAGGCACTAGATCCTTATTAAGATATGTTCAAGGGGTAGAGCGCGAGCAAAGTCGGTGCACCTGCAAATGTAAGACACAGACGTTCGCAAACGTACACCAAGGACTAGCTTACGGTGTGTTCCTGATCAAACGAGTGTACTTGACAAGAGTCAAAGATGGATAAAGAATGGACCTGGACTGGTGTTAGAGCGGTGCATGCCAGCAGTGTAGGCCATACTCACTAGACTGTCGATGCAGCTAGGAATGTGACTGAGGCCTGGGTAAAGGTAGGCGTAGCAGTCGCAGTGAGATCCGTTTTCGTGGTGGGTCTATGCCGTCATGTTTGACATGAACCAGTTCCAGAGAGGCGCGAGAAGACGTCGTTCCAGTGGCTCGGCGTCTGTCAAACACAAGTGCCACGCGCCAGCTGTCAGCGAGCGATGCACAGCGACAACAAAGAGATTGTCGATGCAGCAGGCGCTCAAAGCACGGAATCGATCGCGTGGCGCAGAAGAGAGTCTGTTGCAACAAAGACTCGACGACGTTCGTTCGGCGTGTGGAGTCGGTGTTCCTGATCGGCGTTGAAGCTTGCGTGTCGCGCAGGGTCTAAAGCGAGGCGGGCCAGCAACGTCGAAAAGCGATCTACGGCGGTTCAGGGCAAACGAATGTCGGCGGCGTTGGGGGTAGACAACGGTCGGATTACTGCAGGACTGCTGCTTCAAATCGAAGGCAAGGCGTTCAGGAAGGAGTGTTCGTGATTCGGAGAATCGTGCAAAGGGAGCGTAAGCCCAAGGGCGGCGGTGGAGGTGCGGTGCGGTGGTCGAGTGCGCGAAGGGGTCTCCACGGGCAGCCACGGGCGGGTGATGCACACTTGTAGTCGAGACCAGTAGTGCGCACTACGTTCGAAAGCTTGTCGGCGGGTGGAGAGAGATGCTGGTGTCAAGGACGGCGGAGTGGCAGGTGGAGAAGGAGAGGCCCAGCAGTCGGTGCCCGTCAGCGACTCAGTCGCACAGGCGGGTCAGGCTCAAGGGGGGATCCGTCAAACGGATTCGTCCCGACTAGGTTAAGCCGGCAATACTGCGTAGGGGTTTAGACGGCGCGTTTGTTGCATTCGATAGCGTCCGCAAATAGGTCCGCGCGCCAGGCACGAGTGCACGATGCAGACAACGACAGCAGCAGAGCAGTGAGCAGGACAACAGGCAGGCAGGCAAGTGGTCTTGTGCACCACCACTTTGTCTCGAGACTCGGCCACCTGCCGTGTGCTGCCCTCCTCCTGGTGGCTCCCTGCGTGGCCCGTGTAATAGATTGCTTTCCAGCCGCGAGGCCTGCATCTCTCACGCACTAGACATGGGGAACAAACTACCTTGCTCTCGGCACCTGCCAAAGCCCAAAATCACCACCTGCAACGTGCTTTCTGCTTCGCTCAACGGCCACCAAGCGCAGCAGCTTCTCGTCGCATGCGCAATCCGTTCGCAGATCGTGCAGCGGCCGCACTCCAGTGTTGAGCAGACCATGAACGCCTAACCGTCCAACCAATGGCTGTCCAATCAGCGTGCGCGAGCTCCTTCGCCCCTGCTCTGCCCAGCTTTCATTTACGGAAGGTGGAACCAAGGGTGCTGTGGCTGTTCGAATGAACGCCTCAACCAACACTGAACGCCGCTCGTCCCGCGCTCTGCATGTCCCAAATGTACGTTTGATTGCCTCTACTCTGTTGCAATAAATCATCCCAGGGCTCGCAGATGGGGTGCCGTTGTTGTTAGCCGCGACGCTGTGGTTGCACGGTTTCTCACTGCTGACAATCCTTCCACTGCAGACCACTTTATTGAGCTGCAGCCGCCACGCCTGCGCTGAGCCTTGTGCAGCCGAGCGCCTTGCCGTGGCTGCGCGTATCCTCCAGGTGTTTGGCCCACCTGCCACAAATTGGACTAATGAGACTATTGATTCCTCGACTACATCCGACTTTGGCGCCGCGTCCACTGCGCTCGACTGCTACTTTCTCGACTCTCTGGTAAAGTTTGTGCCTAAAGCTGACGGCAGTTTCGATATCTGGCCGCCCTGCTAAACACAGTACCGATGTACTGCCACGCTTGTCCTCAGGCACACCAACGAGGCAGCCTCCGGTCCGTGCCTCAGCCAACACGTTACCAGATACTCGCAGACTTCGACGGTTCAAACGAGGGCTCCTCCCGCTACGTCTCGCTTCTTGTGAAAGCCTGGCCTCTTGGGTCCCATGTCTGCTCGCCTTTGCGAAGAGGAACTGCTTCCATATTTGCTCCCTCGGGCGGCGCAGCGCGTTTCAAAAAGTTCGGTAACTTCTATTCCTGACCTTGACTCTCCGCACGACATGTTCACTTTGGTTCAGTCACCAAAGCTTCTAGTGGCGTTCTTTGCTTCGCTTGTCCGTGATGGCTTCCCAATTGTGACCACTACGAACGACGCTGCTGAAGCCACCCATACGATCACGTGGCGTTTCAAGCTCATCTTTGATAGTGCCGTCTGGTTAGCATTTCATCGCTTGGCAGTCTCCCACGCCTCACGGTCCTCTCCCGATTCCTTGACTCGATCCAGACGGAACGTCGCTGGGTCGATCTACCTGAGGACCGAGGTTCTGGCCATCTGATTTGCAACATTTCGCCCCTTGCATTTATTCTGAAACGAACGCTCGGCCGAATACGCTAGGCCTCGCCAACAACCCTTGCGCAAGTTGTGAGATGCTCATGGTTGACATCATGGGCTCTTGCACTCCCAACGGAAGAGATCACAGGTGACTCGTGCAAAGCTTCTTCGTTCAAGAAACCATGCTTATAGCATAATCCAACGATCGCAAAAGTATCGCCGCTTCATGCACTGTCCAGCTTCAGTGAAAGATCTACACGTACGTTTTGAAACATCAGCTATTAATTGCTTGTGTACAAACGGAAACTATAACGCTCATCTTATCCCATTTCATCTCCATTGTCAATACTCAATACTAATCCCATGCTTCCAATGTCTATACACAAGCAGCATACTATTGCATGTAGCACAATATCAAGGCCAGAAATGTGCCACGTCCCTGACCTACAATGTGCTGTCCTCATTCTGTCGTTCGCTCAGCACGGTTATGGGACGGACATCGGCTTACGAAACGCATAGCGCTCCACCACCCAAGTGACATGCCAACGTGCTGGTGGTGCCATCCATCATGACGTCGCGTCGAAATGCACATCGCAGTACGTAGCTTGGCACCTGTACCACCGCAGTCGACTGCTGCGACGAAATGCCATGATGCGTGAGCCAGGCCTTTGTGCTTCCACGCGCAACGTGTCGGCAGTTTCGGTCGAAGCGTGGAGCTACATATGCGTTCCTTCTTCGAACGGCGTGGTAGCACTGCGGTCCGCGCCATACGGTCATGCGAGATGTATGCGGAATTTGACATTGCTTTTGGGCTTAAAACAGATGGTTGGCTCGCGGTGGGTTGGGTGCTGTGACGATGTTCAGCTTTGTACTACCAACTGAAGCACTGGTGATTTATCATCTTGCTCAAAGAGATTGCTCGCTCGACAGCTTGGACTTATTTGTCAGGCCATGATCGATGGCCTAGAACCTGACAGTGTGCTGCTACGTCGGTACTCCGAGAATTGGAATAGGAGAATCGGTTTATGGTTTCACATCTACAAAAATGGAGTACAGACTATAGCGTGAAGTCGAAGACGATGTCCAAAGTGTAGTCCTCTCCGATGTATTGAAAGAGGGTGGATGTAGTGAGGTCAATAATCCTGGAAAGAAAGACTCGAGGATACCTCCATATATAAAACACGAATCGGGCTATTTCGAGAGTGCGGTCAACATGGAGATTTCCTAGACAAGTAAATATGCAGAGAAACAATGATGATAGCCCTCAATTCTTTTGTGACACACTTCTACACATTCTTGAAGTCGAGTCATGTTACTGTCTTTCAAGACTCCCCTTCTCGTAAAGCGTTTGCCATCTCAAGTTCACTATAGCATGCCCGTCACTGCTGGATTAAACCAGAAAGAGTTGGATGAAGGGGCCCGCGTCTGCGGATAGGCCTGCTACGGATGTGCGATGCAGTCTATGTCCAGATAATAAGCAGGCAAGTGAATAGAGTAGGGACGAAAAGGGTGGGTCAGTCTACAGCCACTGTGATCGCAGCGTATGCTATTCAGTGCGTCGCTCTATAAGACCCGTAGGTAGGATAACTCGAGGTGGCATTGCTGTGGATGACACTGTCTTGTGATCACTAGAATTGCGTGGACTGAGCATGCTGATACACCCAGTAGTCTTGGGACCTTCAAGGCCCTCTGGCAGCGTTCGAGTACTCGAACTCCGAGACAAAAAGTTGTCTGTGGACAGGAAATGGTGTCGTCTACCGAAAGTACCAATTTAAAGTACGTGAATTGTACTAACTCTAATGTGAAATTTTACTTGCAACTCGACACAAGTAGTAGTCGAGTATAGGATGCACGTCTCAACGCAAATTTGGATCAGCACACAATAAAGGAAGCCGCTACTCTTTTTACAGTACTTTTACATGGTGATGAGGGCAACATGATCATGGCACGATCAACGCTTTATCTACTGAGAGAAAAACAGTATATCGCGTCTGACATGAGCAACAAATATAGCAAGACGGACAGGCTCAAGTTATGTCTCTAGATGCACCGCAATCGCAACGCCATAGATGCATGTATCGCTAAACGCAGTTCCATGTCCACGGTCTCACATGAAGTCCTCGCGCCAATGACTCCTAACTTTCTGCCAGGTATCTCGCTCCTGCTTGCCGCCCAACTTCTCCAAGCCCAATCCGCGCTCAACCCACTCCTGGCTGCCCATTTCAGTCAACCTCGACAGTGCGCGCGCAAAGGCGAAGCGCTCCTCGTCACCGGAGAAGATGGCGCTGTTTTTCAGCATGGTCATGTTCATGCCCAGATCATCCATCAGGCTGCGCATGGCGTCGTCAAGATTTTCGCCCGGGTCGGCGGAGTCAGGGATCTGACCTTTCTGTTTGGAGGCGGAGAGAGCATCGGTCATTTCGTCAGCCGAGAGGAAAAGTTGTGTCAGGGGAACTTGGGTTGTAAGGACGAGCTTTGCCTGGGTTGGTCAGCGGGGCCTGTGCTATGAGTCTGAGTAACTGGAGGGAAAGAACTCACCCTGCTCTCGTAGAGGGCGTCTATGAAAGTGATGAAGCGGCGGGCCAGATCACGGCTCTTGTGGTTCATGCCAGGCACGTCGGTGATGATAAAGGCCTCGTATTCCTTGGTGAGTTCCAGATAATCGGCGGCGCCTGTGGCGCGGCCAATGATCTCGTCAAAGCTGAACCACGCACACTTTCCACTCGCTTTTGGAACCTCGATGTCTCTCCCCCAGACTTGGTGGGTCGCCTTGTGCGGGGGATCGTTGTCGAAGTCGCCTAGGAACCTGAACCAGCGCTCTGCGTGTGTCTTGGCGCTCGGGTCGAGCGGGTGGTGGTACACGCCCGACGGCGGGCGCGGAATCTTGCGGTAGTCGGTCTGGGAGTCGAGGTTCAGGACAGTCAGGCGGCGCTTGAGCAGGTTGATGCAGGGGATGAAGCTTTCTCGCTGGATGCCGTTCTTGTACAAGTCGTCGGGGTGGCGGTTGCTGGTGGTGACGATGACAGTGCCGTGGGCCATCAGAGCCTCCATCAGGCGGCGCAGGATCATGGCGTCGGCAACGTCGGTGCACTGGAACTCGTCGAAGCACAGGATGGCCGAGCGCTCGGCGATGTTGGCAGCGACGTAGGGGATGGCGTCGATGTCGTTGCCGTGTGCCATCTTCATCTTGTGCAGGTCCTTGTGCACCGACTGCATGAAGGCGTGGAAGTGGATGCGGGTCTTGCGGGTGATGTCGGCGGGCAGGGTGTCGTAGAACAGGTCCATCATCATGGTCTTGCCGGAGCCGACGTCGCCGAACATGTACATGCCCTTGGGCAGGGTGGCGGGGATGGGCGGCAGGGCAGGGGTGGGCTCGGCGGCGGAGAGGAAGGAGAAGAAGGACTTCTTGGGCGGCTGCAGCGACTCGAGGGTGGGCTGGCGGACGGGCGGCTGTTGGTAGGCGGCGAGCATGTCATGGAGGTCCTGCAGGTTCTTGATGATGTCTCGCGGCGGTCAGTGGGCTGCGTCGAGTCGCGCGGGCGGCCGTACTTCTCTGGTGCTCGTCGTCCCTCAAGCGCCCCGCCTCGACGCGCGCATCGTACTCGGCGATGGGCCCATGGCTGCGCGGCGGCGCCGGCGAGTCTGCTCCCATCAGCACCGTCCCACGTCGCGCGGCACGTCTCACCTACACTCCTGCGCTGCCTGCGCGTATCCGCGGGCGCCAACCGACGGCGCCTGTCCGAGCGCGGCAGAAGTCCCAGAAGTCATCTGAGCCGTAGGTCTCGTTCCAACCGAGCTCTTGCCAGCAGCGCCTCGCAGGCTGCGCGCGCAGTCGGTGCATACCGTCCGTCTCGAGCATACCGTCCGTCTCGAGCACGCTGCGGCGCGCGCGCTGGTCGCCAGCATCCGCCGCGGCGCAGCGGTGCGCGAGAGGGCGCTCAGCCCGCGCAGCACCTCGGGTGATGTCATTTGCGAGCGACGTGAGGGTTCGTGTGGGCGCAGGTGGCCTCGCTATGTCATGGCCCGGCTGGGGGGAAGAAGCACGCTTGGGGGGGGGCACTGCGCGGTGCAGAAGCCACTGAGGCAGTCGTCAATTGTCAAACATGTGCCCGCAACCAAGGTTCGGGCTTCGGACCCTCTAGCGCTGCGCCTGGCCGTTCCGCGCGGGTAGTTTTCGCGACACCCTCGGCATCGGAAATAACGTGGCGCAGGCGGCGGCTGTCGGGGTTTGAAGTTGCGCCGAGCGCACGCACCATCACGATATACGACATTCCATCTTCTGTGCGTGCATGGCAATGCAGCTGCTTTCTCGTTATACATTACACTTCCTCCTCCGTCCCGACGCTTTCGTACCTCTCCCCTCCCCCGCCTCTCGCGTACCTCATCTTCGGGATGTCCTCCACGTCATACAGCCGTGTGTAGTCAACCCTCTCGCCGCCAAGCTTCGCAAACCCGCCTTCCTTCTTTGCAAACACCGGCGCCCCATCACACCAAAAGTCTTTGCAGTTCGTGACAATGCCTTGTGAGAAAGGATTGCCACGCCGCTGCCGCCGAGTGCGCGCTTGGCCGGCGTTGGAGCCGTGGAACGCGATAGCCACAAATGTGTCCAACCCGAGTAGTCGCTTCCACTGATCCCATAGCGAGTGCTGTGCCTGCGCGCGTTTGGGCGCATCGCCAGTGTCTTGGCCAGACCCAAACCCGTTGGTGGGTGCACTGCCTGCTGCACCTGGGCCTGCTGCCCCTCCAGCGACGTCTTGGGAGGTATCGCCTGTCGTAACAAACGAGGTGACGGCGTCGGCGGCAGTGTGAGAGTTGAGGTGTCCGCGCATCGACTCGTAGGTAGTGAGATTACGGGCAATTTGCAGAAGCTGCACGCAGAGAAGCATGCTGACCCACGTGAGTTGAAACGCTGCCCAGATAGAAAGAATGATGGTGAAGGGGTCTTTGTTGAGTAGCTCACAGAGGTCGTCAGAGAGGACGTTGCAGTCGTCGTTTTTGGGTTTGGGAAGGTGGTCCAGATAGCTCCAGGCCAAGCGAAGCCAGGCCAGGATGCCGAGTTCCATAAACAGGACGTAAAAGACAAAGTGGCGGTGATTGTTGTTGGCAACGCAGTTGTTGACCCAAGGGCAGTGGCTGACTACATTAGCTTTGCATCATGGCTCATCTCAAAACGACTTACTGGTCACTCTTCGCAACACAACGCTCGCATCGCTTGCAGTGCTTGCTGCGCAGGGGTTTCCTGACCAGACAGCTTACACAAAAGTGATGCTCATCGAATTGTCGCAGCTCCATCAGCTCGTCAATGATTGCCTTGGAAGCACTCCTGCTCGCCGACTTGGGCACGTAGCCTGGGTCGGAAGACATGGTGAAAAAGTAGAAGTAGGCCGTAAGTCCGTAACATGCTGCAAAACCAACGTTGGTGAAAAATGAGCTTCGTATTGTTCCTGGCGGTGTTAGACTTGGGCACTGCGTTGGACTCGAGAACATTACCTGGCAGAACCGTAGTGATGTATCGCACACCGACCCAGAACAGAGTGCCTGCAAAGATGCCGGCTAAGAAGGGCTGCAGCAGGTTAGCGTGCGTGTAATTCGAGTCGGGACCAGACGAACGCTGTGATGTATGTTGCGCATGTTCGAGGGCCCCCACTGCAGCAGCTTCTGTGCGGCCATCTGCATGACATAGCTCGATATCAGCGCCAAAGGCACACCAACAAACACAGGATAGTAGCTAACGAGCCACAGGCCTAGGAGTAGTATGGCAAACGGCCAGAAGAATATGAACCTCGACAGAAACCACCTCGTGTCCTTGACTCCGGGAATTGGAAACTCCTTTGGACTGCCGTCTGGCTTGTAGCCAGCCTCGCTCAACGCCCTGCGCCACTGTCTGGATGTGTTCATCTCCTCGGCCGTCACTGCGGGCGTCTTGCCGTCGTTGTTCTTCGCAAAGCGGTCTGCGCCATACTCCAGCAGCTTCTGTATGCTCCCCTGGCTGCCCTTGACCAGCGCCCAGTGCAGCGCGGTGAAGCCTTGGTCGTCTGCGGCATACACGTTCGCGCCCCAGCGCAGGAACAGGTCGACACAAGAGGGATAGCCCTTGTAGGCGGCCCACATGAGCGGCGTGTGGGACTGCGGGTCGGGGATGTCGACGGGGATGTCCTGGTGCAGCAGGAGGGCGATCTGGTAGACATTGCCGTCGAGGGTGGCCGAGTGGAGCAGGTTGAAGCCCTGGTCGTCGGTGAGGAGCGGGTCGGCGCCGTGCTCGAGCAGCAGGTTGACGACGTAGTAGTTGCAGCGCTTGGCGGCCCAGAGGACGGGCGTTGCGACGGCATCGCCGCCTTTGGCGTTGATGGGCGCGCCGGACTGGATCAGGAAGTGGCAGAGCGCGTAGTGGTTGTTGATGGCGGCCCACTGTGGATGCTGTCAGCCGTGTGCGCGTGCAGAGGGTCGCGGGTACGCACATGCAGCGGCGTGATGCCCTGCTCGTCCGTGTACGTCGCATCGAACTTGCCGCCGTCGAACAGCTTCTGGATGGCGGCAATCTCGCCCAGGCGCGCCAGCTGCATAATGTCCTCCTCGACGGGGAGGCTGGGCTTCTTGTCGGCCATGTCGTCGAGCTCATGCTGCCCGCTGGTGCCGGCGGTGCTTGCGGCGGCCATGTCGGGCGTCCGCGTGGTCGGTGAGGGCGCTCGCAACGGCGGGCGTCTGCGCTCGAGGGTGGTGCCAGGTGGGTGGTTCGGAGGAGCCCTCTACTGCGCTGTGCACATGACGAGCCGGTCGCTTGCAGGTCCGGTCAGAAACGCCTCGCCGCCTGCGCAGAGCTCACACGTCGGCATGCACGGCATCGTCGAATCGCGAGCGCGCCGGGCCCCTGCGCTGCTGCGCCTGCCTTTCCGCCTCGGTGGCGCAGTGCCGCGCAAGCGTCGGCCGCCCGTCACCACCAGTCACAGCAGCGCACACAGTGCACACAGTGCACACACTGGCAAGCATCCACCACACAACGTGACGAAGCACACCACCACAAGTCAGGATCAAATCAGAATCACAATCAAAATCAACAACAAGCTATGCATCAACACACCGTCTCGTGCCCCCTCACGCCAACATCTCACTAAACTCACTCCCCTCCTTCAACATGTCCTCGGCCTTCCCTGCCTTGATCAACCTCCCCTTCCCCAGCACAACACAATAGTCCGCGTTCTTCACCGCTTCCAGACGGTGCGCAATTGTAATCACCGTGCTCTCCTTCATCTCCTCCCTCAGCACGCTCTGAATGCGCTGCGCAGTCTCAAAGTCGATACTCGCCGTCGCTTCGTCCATGATCAGAACCGGACTCCTTCGTAGCATCGCCCTGGCAAGACCAACTAGCTGTCTCTGGCCCTGAGACAGCCCTTTACCGCCGCCCTCAATATTAGTCGACAGTGTCCAGCCGTGGCTGCCGGCGATCTTGGCGAGTACCGCTTCGCATGCGCCGTCTGAGTACTCGTCAAGTGGATCGAGATTCTTGCGCATGCTGCCGGGAAAGAGGACCGGCTCTTGCGCGAGGAACGTGACGCGGCTTCGCAGTGCTTGTTTATTTACAGTGGAGATGTCGACGCCGTCGATGAGGATGCGGCCGCTTTCCGGGACAATAGTGGCGAGGAGCGAGAGTGCAAGCGTGGATTTTCCAGAGCCGGTACGACCGATGACTGCCGTATTGCTCCCGGCTGGGATTGTAAGGGAGACGTCTTGGAGAGCTGGGTCAAGATTCTCTGCGTAGCGGATGGTAGCGTTTTCAAAGATGATGTTGCCTGTGTAGGTCGGCCAGTGGGCGGGAGGGTCGACAACGCCAGGCGCTTCCTGCTCGAGGTCGAGGAGTTCAATGACACGCTCCACGCTTGTGAACTGCATTTCCAGCTGACCGTAGATTCGGCACATGTACTCAGTATACATGACGAATCTGCTTGCTGTAATCAATACAAAGGCCGTCAGTCCCGGAGAAATGCCCGTGTACACAGCAATGAGTGTCATGACAAGCGTAGCGCTCGCAGACATGGTGCTGAACCGGAACGACAACCAGGCTTGAAGCGACCAATAGAAATGATCGTTCTTCTGGAAGTTGTCTACAACCTCGATGACTCGGGCCTGGAAGCGTGGCTGAGCGTTGAAGGCGCGAACCGTGGTCAAGCCTTCAACAAGTGCGCCAAAGTTGGACATGAGTGGGGAAAGGGACACCATCTGTCAATGTTAGTACTTGAAAATGCCTCGTACTAAATGCACCGTGAAGCTTACCTCAAGGCGCCTCAAGCTCTGAGATGTCGGCAGGAAGCGGTAGAAGTTGTAAACGAATCCACAACACAGCAAAAGCCCGAAAGCGAGAAACGCTGGCGTAGAGGACAGAATCACCACGATGCAGCTTACAAAGCCAATCATCTGCCATCCAAAGACGGTGAATGCGGAGCTTAAACCACCATCTACAGTGTTCATGTCGCTGGTCAACCGATTCATCAGACGCCCAACGGGGGTGACGTCGTAGAATCGGAATGTTGCATGCGCGACCTTGTCCACTGCCTCTTTGAAGATTGCCTTTGCGGCATTGTAACCCACTCCAAACATAATCACGTTTGTAAACCAGAACAGCACAGCTGTCCCGGCAACAAACACGAAGAATACCCACAACCACGGCACTACGTCTTCAGTGGGTGGTGGTAGGAAGCCGAAAACGCCGTCGCTGTGTTTGTTCTCGTATCCCTCGCCCCATGCTTTGACGAACCAAGTCTCAGCGACGTCAAGGAATCTGTACAGTGCCATCACGACGATCGAGATAGCCCACCATTGTAGCGTACCAGCCTTGATGTAACGCCAGTACACTCTGAGCTTGACCCCGCCTTCAGCCCGATGTTCGTCTTCGATGAATTTGTCAGGAATGGCAGCAGCTTGCTCTTCTTCTCTCTTCTTGGCCTCTTCCTCCGAGAGTGACTCATTTGTCTGCGCTCTCTTCAGCGCATTCCTGTCATCCTGCTTCGTAGGCTCGTGGATGGTTGCTCGTCCGTGGTCAAGCTGTACCCATTGCTTTGCCAGGTCGTGGCAGAGCTCGGTCCGATGTGTAACCAATACGGTAACTCGGCCTTCAACTAGTGAGCTGTTGAGCAGATTGTGTACAATGAAGTCAGCAGTCTGATGATCCAATGCAGACAAAGGGTCATCGAGAAACAAGAGCTTCGCTTTGCTGTAGACGGCTCGAGCGAGTGCCACACGAGCCTTCTGGCCCCCTGACAGGCCAATGCCATTCTCGCCAATGTTTGATAGATCACCGTGCTTGAATTCGACCATATCGGGTATGAGCGCGCAAGCTTCCAAGACCTGCTTATACCGTAGCTCATCGTAAGGCTCTGAGAAGAGGATGTTGTCGCGGATGCTCATGCTCTGTAGCCATGGAGTTTGAGCACAGTAACCGATGACTTGGTCGGGACGAACGAGCTCTCCAGCGGTTTTGTCAAGTTCTCCAAGTAACGCCTGTAGCAGCGCTGTCTTGCCCGAAGCTACCTCGCCATATATGACAGTCAAGCCTAATGGAAAAGATAAGGTGATATCCTCGAGTACGCTCTTCTCCACCCCTGGCCATGCAAACGATGCACCTTGTAAGCTTAACTCATCGACACCATCGGAGACCAAAGCAACATCTTCCTTGTCAGGCTCAGCCATGAAAGCTTCGATGCGTCCCATGGCGATGTAAGCATTGAGTAGAGTCGTGATGAGGGGGGGTAAGGCTCCCAAGTATGACTCCAACAGCCTGAACAAGTCGATTGCTGGAAAGATGAGATCGACGCTGAGTGGTTTTCCGGCCAATTTGGTGAACGCGTAGAAAGCGACGGCTGGGAATAACCCAGAGCCAAACCTCATGATAAAAGCCAACGAGGTAGTGAAGATGATTTGCAGAACGCGCAAATGCAGCTCTGCCTGCCTGGAATCGAGGATGCCCTTGAGCCATGCTTCATGCCAACCATACCAGCGAAGATGTCTGATCGACTCGATGAACTGCGTAGTCCTCTGTAGCTTCTCGTCTGTTACCTTTCTCCGCTTTCTCTCAAAGTACACCTGGTAGCGTGCAAGGACGACACTGAGTACCTGCGTGAGCGCAAGTGCAAGCACCCCTAAAAGGCAAGACCATCCAAGCATGCGCCAGATGAGCAGAGTAGACCCAATTACTCCAAGTGGCTTGACTATGATGTCAGAGAATTCCCAAAACCGCTGTGAAATCTCGTAGACGTCGTTTCGCATAAGATTAAGGATCTTGCCCATAGATGCAGCGGCGTTTTCCTCCTCTTTTTCTTGTTTTTTATTCTTTGACAGCAGTGACCGGATGCGGAGCCAGAGTCTCCTGAGTTTGCTCTGAGGTACAGCTTTAACTGGTTGTGTGGATTCATTGGCTTCGCCGTTACATTCTGCACTGGTCTCGCCATCGGCATGGTCTTTACTTTCCTGTTTTGCACCGAGGATCTTACGATTGAGGGTCTTTTCATATAGCATTGTGATCAATTGACCTCGTGACCTTTCATATGCGCGTCGCTGATACCAGAGATTGAAGACGTTACACTGTGAGGACAGCAAGCGCACAAACAATGATATGAAAGCATATGTGATTGTAGCACTGCGTGGCGAAGTGACATCTTTCATCGAACCCAGCAGCTGCTGTAGTAAAACTGGTGTCAAAAGCGCTGTAGAAGGTCAGTGGTCGGATTCTCTATCAAGATTCATAATTCGAGCTTACTTGCACACAGTCGCAGCAGATTAAGACTTGTGGTTCGCAAAGCGTCCATACCATTAGCCACGAATATTCGCCGCGTGACTGATCCCTGTAACGTTCGAAAAGCTTCGTGAAGCCGTGCATGCTTGAACTCCCAGCCCAAATCCCATACGTCTTCATCATCCATCTTACGCGTCATTCCTTTTTCGATCAAAGGGCCCATCCACGATACAGTCATGTATTGGAGCGGAGTTAAGCTGTCCTCCGGCGTTCTGAGTTTCACCGTAGGTGGGCCATATACAGGACTAACATCTTCGCTTGGAAGAGCTGGATCCCTAAGAGGCATGTTGAGGATAACCACGATGCCCATGAGCGCTACAACAGGACCTAAAGCAAAGGCTGGTCGCTCGGCTTCTGATATCAGAATGGCTAGTTCGGAAAGCACAATGGAAGCGAACAGAAACAGCAAAGAAAGAGAAGCAGTTCGCGGTCGCCGTACCACGATAATAGCAACAGCAATAGCCTGTAACAAATCAGTGCTTTACATACTAGAGGATCTTCATACTCACCCAAGCGAGCGATGGAACAACAGAGAACGACGCCACGACAATGGGTAGATAGGCACTGCTGACTTGTTGGATGAGGCCGATCGATGCAACTGCTAATATCCCATAAGTTGACCATGCGAATTGGTGTCGAGACGAGTCTTTAAAATCATCGGACTGAATTTTGGTCTCCTTCAGCAGTGGTTTTGTCCATTTTGGCCGATATGGGTCAAGCAGTCGAAATGAATAGGTAAGTAATATCAGAGCTCCCACAAGAACTGGTATCATGGAAAGGTACGGAAAAGCGCATAGATTGAAAGTGGCCGTTCGGGAGTCCTGTTGACTATCAGCGACTTCCACGTACACCAAAACAAAGGACTTGCCCATGGATGACGGCATTCTGAAATTGGTGGAATTTCAAGTGTTGGGTGACGGTGGTGACCTTGCGCCAACATTGGTGTCTGTAATGAAGCCATGACGATAGCGTGGCGATGCCAACAATGGCGTGAACGCTGTATCAATAGCCTCGTTCCGCCTCAAGCTCGACCGGTCAACAATTGAGTCAAAGGAGGTATCATGAGGTTGCGTGCAGTTTTTGCGAAGCAGGCAGCGATGCAGATGTTGAGTGTCGGTGTGGAAGTAAGCTGCAGGCATCGAAGCGGCAAGGGCGTCGCGAAACGAGCACTAGCGCACGTCGTATTCCTGGTGGCGCGTATTCTATGGATTGCCTCACGATGGCGCCAATGGGCAACACTTAGAAGTCTCCGTCAACACCTTAAGTGTGCAGTGCTTTTGTTACTTCGCTGATGATCAACAACCTCACTAGCCGATATTGACTTCTTCCCGTAGCTGGGCTACCTCCTTCGACAATTCTGCAGAATCTGCTGCAATGATCACGCTACATCTCAAGTAGAGATTCGTGGAAGAAGTACAGCACCCAACTTCTTCTGGAGGCGGTTCCACCCAATCACACGCGGGCACCGAAATACAAATTGACCTATCCTTACCATTGCTGACAAAGTACGCGGTATGGTGCTACACGCTGATCCCTACGCTGATCAACGTCAATGATTTGCTGCGAGGCCTGACAGTATTGTATGTGCTTCTACCTTGTCTTATGGGAACTCGCAGCTACATATCACTTTTCCTCCAATACCATGAGCCTTGGCATTTGGCATCTCTTGTCCAAATAGGAATCATCCCGCGGATGATCTGACCACGGGCTGCAATGATTGCCACCAGGAACTCACTCTCTGATCTTTTTACTCTTCTTCTCTTTCACGCTTCCAGAGAGCAGTGGCGTGATTACAGTGAGCCGGATGTGCTGACCGCCAAAGATATCTTCTCAGTAGAGGCGTAAGCGAGCGGAATCCACCAGTTGACGCCCAAGAACAATGCCGGATTAGTTCATTTTGAGGTGTGCCAATGGCTACTGGAGAGCGTTATGATACCAACTTCTTGCCATTGCGGCATTAAATCGCTCTACACCAGCGTTCCAACCCGCGATCGATCCCCTTCTCCCCTTTAAGCACTTCTCCTATCTCTTCGAGCGCAACATCGCACCTACACATGCCAAACCCACCACCCTGCCCCATAACTACAGGCATAATGAAACCTAACTCCATTAGTCCTTCCCACTCGCGCCGCGCAACATCCTTGCCCCATACTTTTGTTGTGCTACCACTAGCGCTCAGTCCACCCGCAGCGGATTGTATGCGTGCCTTCGATGCGAGTGTCACGTACTCATCGTATGCCATATTGAAGTTGCTAGTATCGGAGTCGTGGATGATGTCCAGACGCGCTGCGGCGATGAGAAGGGAGAGAGCTAATGTGCTCAACGAGGTAAGAACAGAAAGTTTCGAGTCTGCGGCGGACAGACAGAGGGTTGGCGTGAAAGCGGTGTGGGGTGCGAGTGTGGCGGTTGGAAGTAGAAATGAAGTTACAGCTGAAACAACAGATTTCGTGAGGTGGAAAGTTGGGGCGAGGTGAGTCGTGAGGAAAGATGGGGTCGCGAATAGATTCTGTAATGACTTTAGTAGAACTTCAAAATCATCGTATGAAAACGTACGTCGATGCTGGCGTTCCACTCACTGAGAACGCTCTTCGTCGATTCTTTCTTCAGCCTCTTCGATGGCGTGGTCTTTGTGCCACCCCCAAGAATGCCTCGCTCCTCAACGCTCAACTGGTCAGGTTGTACGATCAGACACGCCCGACAGATTTCCTGGAAGGCACTGAACGTCTTTGCAAGGCCCAGGTGAACGTAGCGATGGCTAAAACGACTCTTGACGCGCTTCTCTAAGCTATTTGTGACGTCAATTCTCGTCGTCAGTCCCAACACAGCAATAGGTGCTTTACGTGATTGAGCAATGTCGAACAGATTGTACAGTAGGGTCTGGCGTGGATGTTGAGCAAACAGATCAAACTCATCCATAATGAAAATGACCGCTTTGGCAACATAGTCTGTATGCTCTCCCGTCTGTTCTGATGGATGCGAGAGCAATGCAAGAAGGGTTTGCAGGGTATCAGCGTAGTTCTTGCCAGGGCCACCACCGTCTTCCTCAACCTCCATCTCCGTGCCCAACTGTCGCCAGATCTCGCGCAGAGCAATCTTGTCATCAGTATGAATGAAGCCGTTCAGCCGTATGACGTGGAAGTCTTGGGCGTTGTCCTTCGATACTTCTGATAAGACCTTGTTGACCAAAGCTGTCTTGCCACTTCCTCGTGCTCCAATCAAGAGTAACGAATTACCCTCTCCCGCCGTGACCGTGTGCTCGACTGTTTGATGAACAGACTTGAACTCTTCGTCCAGGTTGACTAAGGGTGAGGGCCGTCTGCCAGTGATGCGATCCATGACAATGGTCTTTAATAAATCCAACTCGCGTCCTACTGGAAGATCGCCGTAGAGCACAGTAGGTGCTGACTGTATCTTCTGGGCTGAGGGAGGCTTGTAGAATGGGCTAGGCTCGGTTGGATCGAGCACGCTTTCCATGATACTGTTGCCGTCCACCTCCAGGCCATCATCTTCCGTGTGCTCTAGTACGGGTGAGCTTTCGACATCATATTGATTCTGGGTGTGATCAGTGCGATTTTGCCGGCGTCTCTCTGCTGCTTTCTTGGTGGTGCTCGGTGGAGGCCGCCTGGCTGGCTCATCTGCGTTTTCTGGATCGTTCGTTCGCGTCGGCGTAGGCTTGCTGCGCTCGTTCGATCTCGAAGGTGTAGTGGCGATTGATTCCATCATGCTCACTTCCTCCTCCTCATTTTCGCCGTCTCCGGTGCTCGGTGCCTTCTTCTTCCGCCCTGTCGATCTTGCAGCCGGTGTCTTGCGCACAGCTGGAAGGGGCGTCTTCGTACGTTTCGAAGGCGTCACAATCTCCGCTAATTCATCTGGAGTGTCTGTTCCCTGATCTTCCTCATGTTTGAAGCTGCCAATCAAACTTTTCAAGGCGCTCCGGCTTGCGCTTTGCACGTTCTTGGTGGACCGCAGTCTGCCTCGTTTTGGAGTCCTGGAGGGCTCTTGCAGATCGACAGTCTTCTTCTCCTCGCTAGAAGCTGGTCTCGGCTGCCTCTTTCTCGTCGCCGGTATCGTCTGCACACGCAATGCACCCTCGATGTCATCGAAGATGTCATCCTCTTCGCCAGTCGCTGATTCCGCTAATGTGCCATCACTGCCATCCTGTGGCTTCCGTTTTCTTGCTGTATCCTGCCACACATCTGGTGGAGCTTCCCCTTTCGCTTTCGCTGCCGACCGAGACAGCCTGGGTGGTCTCTTGCCATGGACAGGCGTGCTGGCTCCGTTTCGACGAGGGATGTCGAGCTTTCTCCGCTTTGCGGATCGCGGGGCGTCGTCCATGAATAGTGTGGACGTAGAAAATACTATTCTCTATGGGTGGTGCATCGTCATGGCGAATAGGACGCGAATGTTGGTAAACAGTCGCAGCCATCGAGTCGCGTTCGTAACTCCAAGTCACGCCTCGCTAAGAGCCGCCGCATCCCTGTACCTTCCCCAGGGTCCACTTCCCCTTCTGATTGCTTCGTGCGCCGGGGAGTTCTTCACTTTCCGACAACACCATCGTATCGTCGTGTGTCTTAGTAAGCACAAGCCGGAACGCATGTCTGTCGCGCAGCTTCCCTTTACCTAGTGCGGGATACGTTCCCGTCGATCCCAGGGTTGTGTAGAGGCGCCCACACATCGCGCCCTACGACGGCTAGCGGCGATGGGTGCAAGATCACTCTTGGTGACTTGTTTACTACAACATCGTTGCCGACCGTGACATCTGTGTCGCTCTACTCTATAACGACTGCGCCATGGCATCTAACCATAGCACAGACATCGAGTTTCCTCCACCAGCACAGAATGTTTCTGTAGCTACTTTCACGGATCTTGAGCTGCTCCCGCGAGGTACCGGAACGCTTTCCGAAAGCGAAGAGGGCCATTCTCTACCGCCCACGGATGGAGGCAAGGATGCATGGTTGTTTTTGTTCTCTTGTTTCATGCTAGAGGCAATGATCTGGGGTTTGTGCAACCGTTCAACACATTCGTGGTGTGGCTGACATGGGACAGGCTTTCCATCAACGTACGGAATATTTCAAGAGTATTATACCGGTAACGACTTCGCTGGAGCCAGTAACATCGCCATTGTAGGGGCTTGCGCGATGGGCATCATGTACATGGACATCACGTTCTGGTTCATGGTCCTCAAATGCTACCCACGTCTTCGTCCATGGGCAACGCCAGTCGGTCTGGTTGTCCTGTGCCTTGCCCTTGGCCTGGCTTCTCTGTCCACTAGCGTATCTCACCTCATTGTCACTCAAGGGGTCATCTATGCACTTGGCGGTGGTCTAGCTTGGACACCCATCCTATTCTACATCGAGGAGTGGTGGGTGCGCCGACGAGGCTTTGCGTATGGAGTGACCATGGCCGGCCTTGGTCTATCCGGAGCAATCCTACCAGTCATCTTGGAATGGCTGCTTCAGAACTACGGCTTCCGGACGACGTTGCGAGTCTGCGCACTCAGTTTTGTCGCTCTGAACTTCCCGATCCTCTTTTTCTTCAAGCCTCGGCTACCGCAATCGCAGGTCAACCTGCCATTCAAGTTCGACATGTCGTTCTGGACATGTTCAAACTTTCTCATCTTACAGTCGTGTAACGTCTTGCAAGGTGTTGGCTACTTCTTGCCAGCGATCTACCTACCTACCTTTGCTCGATCACTTGGCGCAAACACCATCGAAAGTACCGTGACTGTAATCCTCTTGAACGCAGCGGCGTTTGTGGGATCCCTGACCATGGGCGTGGCAGTCGACAGGTACGACGTCGTGAATTGTCTCCTCGTAGCAGCGATCGGATCAGCCTCTGGTGTCTTTCTCCTTTGGGGGCTCTCCACGTCACTGGTTCCACTCTACATCTTTAGTATCGTTTATGGTGCGTTCGCTGGTTGTCAGGCGAGTAGCTGGAGCGGAATCATTCGGGTTACAAAAGAGAAGCGTATCAGTGCAGATTCTGGCATGATCTTTGCATTCCTGTCTGCCGGGAAAGGAGTTGGCAATCTCGCGTCAGGTCCCCTTTCTGAAGCTTTGCTACACGCAGGTGATTTCAGAGCTGGGTTTGCGTACGGTAGTGGTTACGGTGCTCTGATTGTTTTCACCGGCGCAACTGCCCTGCTGAGCGGTTGGGGCTTCCTTGCGAAGCGAGTGGGATGGATGTAGAGCGGCGACGGCGCTTCCTCGCGCTTCAACATCGGACATGACCTCTGTCCAGACCCGTGGTTGGACACGAAGCCTTCGTCGTCGCTCTTATGATGTTCCTTGTTGACGTTCTTGGTTTGTCGGTACGTGGGGCTGAGGCCTGTCACATCCTGACAGATGTTTCTACAACATATAATCGAAGAACATCGGCTGGACTTTAGAAACATGACTTCGGCTGCCAACGGGCGGCGCCAACCTTGTTACAGGGCATGTGCCACCACCAGGCGGTGCGACCAATCAAAGCTGCAAGGTTCAGCCGAGACGCGTACGTTGAAACGCAACATCTGGACCCGCAGAGCCCCTTCAACTTCACCCGTCGCTACGATCAACACTTATCACCTCATTGAGGCGATCAGTTGTTTGAGTGTGAGTAAGGATGTCCATGCGGCAATTTATTTGCGGGCGAACCTGTATTCATCAAACATAAGCTTTGGGACGCGCCACATCGGCTGAGCATGCCCCAAAAGGACGTCTTCGTTCCTGCCCTTGACTGGCCGGGTTTTGAAACGACAATTGAGATCGGCATGAGGTCAGCCGGTCCATGCTCTAGACGCGAAGTTCCTTGTGTCAAGATGATTGACTGAGCAACCCGGACTCGTCAACCTAACGCATTGACTTCAAAACGTGGGGCTCTTGGACAATCCAAGCACTACTCGGACTAAAGCCATTGTGAACTCCCAAGCATTGTCACACCGTTAGCTTGTATGGGATTGCGGGTGTCAGCATGTCTTGTCGGCCTTGTGCATGGACGAGGGTCGAAGAACCCTGTTTGGAGACGTGGACTTCAACGTATATATCACGGCTGCCGTGGAGTGCTCTTGCTCCTTAACCGATCTTCATTGATTCTGTGTTGACGTCTTTCGTTACGCTTTGCAAGCAAACTTCTTGCCCTTCTTGACAATACATTCTTTTGGCTGTGCCAGTCCCTCATTTCATCTTCAAATTCGGCCATCCTGTGCATCGTACCCGACATCTCCCCAATCAACAAGTCAACATGAAGTCCGCTCTCGTTCTTGCGCTTGCCGGCTCCGCTGTGGCAGGTAAAACACCTTTTCATGACATTACGAGGTCGTTCAACCAGCTAACATTCTCAGCTCCATCTTTCGGTGACTTCCTCGACGCTCTCTTCGGCGGCGACAAGCAGCACGACTCCCCACAGCCTTCGGACTTCCCCGACTTCCCACCCGCCGGCACTGGTTCAGTGCCTCCTTTCCCCTTTCCCACAGCGACTGGTGCGCCCTTTCCTCCATTCCCCACTGGTACTTCAGGTGTTCAGCCGTTTCCCTATCCCGGCTCTGATAGCCAGGAGAAGCGTAACATCAAAGCTCTGCACATCGACTACCAGCTCGCGCCCATCGCTGCTCCCATAGTCAAGAGGCGCGAATTAAAGTATCGCCAGCTCGACGGCTCCGCACTCCCTTCTTTCAGCCTTCTCGACCCGAACGACACGCCTACGGCGACTGAGCCTGCAACCGGTCTGCCCACTGAGCTCCCTGGTCTTCCTACCGGAACGACTATCCCAGAGCTTCCTACTGAAATCCCGTCTGGATTCCCCGGCCTACCCACTGGGTTCCCCACACCCCCTGCCGACAACCCTTCTACTCCCCCTCCCGCTCCAACGGGCGATGCGCCCTTCCCATTCCCGACGGACGCACCATTCCCTACTGCCCCTGCCGGTACAGGCGCTCCTGGCTTTCCTGGTCTGCCTACTACTTTCGGCACCGTGACCCGCGGCCCCGTTCCGACCGCTGCACCTGATGCGCCAGGACACGAAGAAGGAGAGCAAACACAGAATGGCAACTATTGGTTGGAGTTCATTAGTGACCTGTTGAACGGTGATCGGGGTGCATGAAATCAGAACTGGGATTTTTGGAGCTTACTACATAAGCACCTGCGGGAGGAATGGGATGATTGGGGGGTTAGGCCATCTTGATGGTGGCTCTCTTCACTTCTATAGCACAATGTAGGGTAACATAAAGCGGAGAAATCTGATACCTGAATGCTTCGCATGTTCACCACGACGCTGGACATGGTTTCACACGTACACTGGTACTACATTTTTACACGCACGTTCACACACGCACGTTCGACCAGCCAGTTCGCTAGATGCAACATTAGGAACGAAGAGTTAAAAGTCTTATTAGGCCTGTCTCTTGTGAGAGTGGATACGCTTAGATGAACTAATGTAGTAGTAGCTCTGCGGCTCGTTTGAATTGACGAATCGGATGGGCCGAGTGAAGTGGAGATCCGTGGATTTTAGTACATAGTAGTCTCTACTCTCAAATTGTTCATTGTTTCTGTGTAAGAACCTTAATGAGAATAGCTAGACTTACTCCCAAGAGCGTCTCCCTGAAAGTTGCCTACTCCACGATAGCTCATAGCGAAGCTGCGGAGGTGTTCTGGCTAATTTTGCCGTCAAAAGTCGCCCGAAATCTTGAAATTTTGATTTTAACACTCTTACTAACGCATTTACAAACAAGAAACATGTATACTACCTCTACTGAATTGTACCCTAGGAAAAGACTAAAGAGTTGGACAATGCCAATGCCTATGATGACTATCTGCAGAGTCACACATCCCTAGATGAAGATAACTTAATCTTCATGAACAAGATCGAGAACAAGAATTGTTCCAGACGTTAAGCAAGATCTGTGACAACATTGAATGTGGCTAGTAGATACATGTCAGGGTTTAGAGAGTACTTAATTATCTGGTGCTTACCATAGATATCGAACTGAAGATCGCCCTCTAGAGAACCCCAGAGTAAGTTCAGATTCTAGAAAGTCAATGATAAGCTGAGGAGGATAGTGATTACACAACTTGTGCAAAAGAGTAATAGAATGACATGTCTCAGAAGCACGAGGCCTGCGTGGGGATGGCCGGAGAGAAGCCTATTTTAGTCAACGCTTCTACTAGTAGAATACCACCAGATATGTCTTGAAGACCATTTGAGTCAGTCAGGTCATGTCCGAGTGTATCTGTTCCCTTGACGGTAAGCCTGCGCACACGTTCCGCCTCCTTAGATCCTGACTAGTGAAGCAAAAGCTACTATACGGCGCAGATACAGACTGAAAAAACAAAGACAGATGAAGAAAGACATTTCTCTGGGACTGATCTAGTGGTTTCATGAGAGTACCGTGTAGTGACGGTCCAAGAACAACCGAAAACCCGCAGCCACTGCTGAATGACACCACGAAACCCTGTGCAAGCGACATACACGTGAGCAAGTATCGCACGCAGCGTCGGGTTTGGTTTCCCAGGACAAGCGCGTAAAAACACATTGGTTGGATGGAAAATTGAGTCTTTATCCGAGCGAGGGTGTGCCGGCTTACGCGCATGGTAACCCCACCGGCCAGCTGATATCTCAGCTTGCCGCCTCCGTCATCATACACTTCTCATCCTTCGAGCTCGTTCCCTACATTGTCGTATGCAGTTCGATCGCCGTCGCAATCTGACTGATATCGCCCGGCCGCGGGCTCCTAGCACTGCGCGCACAAGCCGTCGCAGATGGCATGCAGCTATTGTACTCGTGACCTGCTTATGTCTAGCATCTGATACGGAACAGGTAAGCCCCATCAATCCTTCCTCGTGCGAAATCAGAGAGACGCTATCCCGGTATCGCGGGAACTTCCTCGAGCCTGACCTGAGCATATAGAACTATGGCTCGGGCTTTCGAGTACACCCCGTTAGACCCTGCTGACACTCGGGCATTCCGCGTCCTTGAGCTGCTTCCCTCCACTCATATCGAAGATTCCGTACACTGCGAACTACGGAATTATAGTCTGAGCGGCGATATCGAGTACGAAGCTTTGTCTTACGCTTGGGGGGAAGACGTGCCGGAATGTCCCATCCTCATCAATGGTCTTGGTACAGTAGACGTAACTAGGTCCTGTGTTGACGCGTTGAGACATATTCGACATGAAGTGCGCCGCAGGGCTTTGTGGGTTGATGCCATTTGTATCAATCAACGTGAAGATGATACAAGCAGGCAGGAGCGAAACCATCAAGTGAATCTCATGTTCGAGATTTACACGAAAGCCCGGGGTGTACTCGTCTGGCTGGGACCCAGTGATTCAAGCACGCCACGCACAATGGCAATGTTGAAATTGGCGTATGAGCTGAAATACTGGGCACCCTGGGAAGGCACCATTTTTTCAAGGCGCAAGTCAAAAAGGTCGCGCGATTCTACACTTTCTAAACTCAGAACTAGTGCCTCTAAACGGCTATTGAAGAGCATGTGTAAGGATTATTCATTCTTCGTCTAGCTTCATACAAGATTATTGACCAAACTGTAGTCCAAAGAAGCAACGGAGCCCCAAAACCTCAGTATCATGCTCTCGCAGCTATAATACATAGCTCTTGGTGGCAAAGAGTCTGGACTCTGCAAGAGGATATTCTTGCAGATCGATGCGTGGTGTTTCATGGCCGACGCAGAATTGAGATGATCGCTTTGACCACCAGCAGTTCTTTTCTTCTGGAAGAACTCAGTATGATGATGGGAAAATACTTTCATCTCAATCACATGGCCAGGGAACGTATGAGATTCATGCGCATGGTGATTGAACAGGCGACTTCGGACCAAGAACCCAAGATAAATACTGATCGATTCGTACACCATTCAAGCGGTATTGTTTTGGAGAGCTTATTCAATTTGGCATTCCTGCTACAGAGTAAGAAGTCTATCGACAAGATATACGGCCTCCACGGTATCATGACATATTACTGCGGCCTCCCCATACCGGAGCCAGACTACGGGAAGTCATTTGAGGTGGTCTATATGGAGACAGCATGGGCCTGGATTGACACTCGACATGATCTCAGTATTCTCAAGCTCGCAGTCCGCAAAGAAAGCTTCGAACATCTGCCTTCATGGGTACCGGCTTGGCACAGCGAGCATCCCAACTTTCCTCGTAGCGTCGCAGATTCTGGTAGCAGCATCCTGGAGTCTTTGTACATGAATCCAGAGGTACATCCTTTATTCAATGCCCATCACTTCTCGTGGGATTACATGTCTAATGACAGCTTACGAAAGGACTCCTGGGAAGAAGTACAGCAGTCGGGCCCGATAGTAGCACTGTTGCCAGGCGGGCAGCTTCACGTTTTCAGAACGTGCTGCGTAGGCATAATTCATTCTGCCGTTGGAATTGATAAGCCGGGGGACTATCGGCAACGCGATATGGAAAGTTATCTTTTGATTCATATCCGTTGGGTCAAGCTTACACAGTCTGTGTCTTCAACAACTACCTTTGAGCAGGAGACGGCGATGCTTGAGATGTTTCGGTCGCTCGACACACCTGGTATATATGGATCTGAAGCGAAGGGAAGTGCTTTCAGAGACCGTTTCAAAATGTTCTGCGCATGGGCGGAGTTCATTCTTAGCCTGGATTTAGCTGATGACATTGAAGATCCGTCTCATACGACGGACACGGATCGCAACCCCCTGAGGAAATGGAACGCAGCTGTACAAATCTACGCCAAGGTGGTCAGATCTAAAAAGTCAGAAACGATAGCTGTACTCCGGAAGCATTTCGTTGGTAGATCTCAGACTGACCAAGAAATAGTTTACATGGCGAAGGCAATCCACGAAATGTACAGAAGCTTTATAAGAGTACGCAACCATAGCCTCTGTTTGCTTGGCAACAACAACATGATGGCCGTCACGAATTACTGGTGTCGAGAAGGCGACGAAGTTTTTGTTCTACCAAATACTGACTCTCCCTTTGTCTTGCGCAAGGAGACAGATCAGGGCGCGTACCGGTTGGTAGGTGTTACAATCGCCTTTTGTAACCAACCAGATGCTAACACCTAGCAAATGCTAACACGCTTAGCATAATATTACACAGGCTATCCTATATAGCGTAGTTTTATTGCAAGTTATATAACAAGCTTACTCCTTAGTAGTTAAGCTAAAGTAGGTCTTATATAGAGCTTGCACAGCTTATATTAAGCTTAGTAAGCCTAGCTTATATAGCTTATATTAAGCCTAGTAAGCTACTACACTCTCTATAGTATATAGTAAGTAGGAATATAACTCTTATAGTTTATATTTAACCTAAGTATTAATCTATAATATTAGATCTTAACCTAACCTTTAAGCTAGATAGTCTACTTTATACTACTTATTATTACTTCTTACTTTTAAAATAGATAGATTATATCTATACTCTTTAGTATAAGACCTCTTTAGTTTCCCTAATAGTATTTATCCCTAAGAACTAATTAAATAGTACTTATAAGCTTTACTTAAAGTATAACCTTAATATTTTAAATACTCTTAAGATATCTACTACCTTAGGGAACTAAGCTACTCCTAGCTTAATATCTAAGAATATAGATATAACTAATAATAGTACTACCTATATAGGTAATATTATAGTTAATAAACTTAATCTCTACTATAGTAAATATAATAAGCTTAATAATTAGCTTATATAATAGGACTTATTCTTCTTATTCTAAGGTAAATATATTAAAGAGATTAAAAGAGTTATACTTATTAGTAGTTATATATATAGTATAGTATTAAATAGATTAAACCCTTTATATAATAGTATAATATAGGTAAGGCTCTAGATAAAATAGATATCTAGATAAAGGACTTTAATACTTTTAAGAAATAGATTAAACCTATATTTAGCATATTTAATAAAGTCTCTAGTATAAGATATAAGATCTAATATATTATATAAACTAAGTTAGCTACTAACTATACTATAGAGTTCTAATAACTTGCTATATATACTAACTAGGATAATACTATACTTTTAACTATATTTAAGTAAGAACTTAAGCTAAGAATTAAAAAGGAGCTAATATATACTAGTGCTAGTACTAACACCTTTAGTATATTAGTTAATACTATAATTAATATTAATATTAAACTATATAAGCTATAGTTAGAATTGCAAGATAACCTCTAAGTATAGGCTACTAATTCTATACTACATACCTTTAGGAACTAATAGAAAAATAACCTCTAATAAGAATAGTATAGTAGATACTACTAGTCTAACATGTTATAATAAGTCTATACTAGAACTAATATAGGATACTATAGCACTAAGGCTATAGACCTTTCTAATATTAATAAAGGACCTAAGTAGTAGAATATTAAGAATAAGGGTAGTTCTAGAACTAATAAGCTACTAGTAACTTATTATAGCTATAGTAAAGTAGGCTACTTTACTAAAGACTATTATAGCAAGAATAAGGTTATATAATAGCTTAATATATTATCTAGTAAAGTTAGGTTTACTAATACTAGTAATTAGGAAATAATTACTAATAATATAGAATATCTTATAGAAGACCTAGAGATAGAATCTAAGATAGATAATAAGTATATTAAACCTAATAAGAACTAATAAAATGTCTAAAGTAGTATACCTATACTATACTAATAGTTAGAAGAAGTCTATACTACTAAATAATATAGATCTACTAAATATTAAGAATATTATAACTAGATACTCTAGGTCTTAGACTAATAACTAGAAGCTAAGCACTAGGCTAATATAGTATAATATATTAGTAATAAATATATAGTATATAATAATAAAGAAAGTATAGAATGCTATATACTAAATAATAATATACTTAATATTATAGATAATAAACCTATAGTAGCTTATATTTAATTATAGAAGTTACTATAGAGATATAATAATAGTAAGATATAGGCTATAGTTATATTAGACCTATAAATCTATAAGAACTATAAGAATATATTAGTATCTATCTATAAACTCCTAAAGAAACCTAAAGAATAGTATAATAAATAGTTTATAGACTATTAATAAGATAATTATATAACTATTAAGATACTATAATATACTAGCTAAGATATTCTAGTATAAGATAAGCCTAATATTAGGTAAATGCCTATATAATAAAGAATAACACCTTAGTACCTAACTAATATAAGGAACCTACTCTACTATACTCTTTTATAGATAGCCTATAGCATAGACTTATATATAGTATACTATAATAATAAAATAAATAGTAGATAGTTCTCTAGTATAAAATAATACTACTATAATAAATAGTATAAATATAAGGATAATATATATAAAGTTTACTTATAGAATAAGTAATAATAATACTACTTCTTAGAAGAGAAAGATACTTAGTATATATATATTAAATAGTTATTAATTAATAATTACTACTTAAACCTATATTAGTAATAATACCTATATAATAACTATAAAGGCTATAAGAAGGCTAAGAAGTAGTAAGGATTCCTTAAATATAAAGAAGTATTAGATAGTAAGGATAAGTCTTTTTTAGACTAGCACAAATAATATATACTAAAGATTAATCTATTAATAATATTAGTACTAATTACCTAGTTATACTCTCTATTAAATTAGGAGGAGTATAGATATAGGTACTACTAGACTATAGATTATAGTCTAACTATATCTCTTTATAAGTAATATAGCTAGCTAGACTATACTCTACTTAGAAGATAGAACCTTACCTACTATAAGTAGCTAATAGAGAACCTATGCCTAAGAAATTAGAAATAACCTATAAGGTATTATCTATTCTAATAACTATCTAAGAATACTATAAGGAAGTTACCTTGGAGACTTTTAGGATAGCTACTTATAATATTATATTAGGAATTCCCTAGTTATAAAAGTATAACCTATAGATAAATTAGGTACTTAAGAATTATTTACTAAAGTACTATAAATATAGTATAATATAGTTAGAACCTATATAGACTATAATATAACTAGTAAATAAGAAGATAATTAGTAATATTACTTTAACTAAGATATACTAAGATAGAGTAGTTAACTATATAGAGAGTAATTAGCCCTAGCCTTATAAAGTAGTAGTTAAGGAGAAATATATAACTCTTAATATTCTAGATATATATTAATAATATATATAGATATTTAAAGAAAAGCTTATAGTAAAAGCCTTACCTAAGTATAAACCCTAGAATTATAAGATTAAGCTTTAGAAAGGAAAGTATCTAACCTTTAGGCTACTATACTAGTTATTAGAAAAGAAACTTAGTATACTATAGAAGTATATTAAGAAGAACCTTTAAAAGAGATTTATTAGAAGATTAGAATTACCTATAAGGTACCTTATTCTCTTTATACTAAAGAAAGATATTAAGCTTAATAATATTACTATTAAGAATTAATACCTATTACCTAATATATTAGAGTTATAAGATTAAATATAAGAAGCTTAAATTTACTATATTAGATTTAAAAGAAGTATATAACTTTATCTATATAAAGGAAGGTAAAGAATAAAAGATAGTATTTAGAATAAGATATAAACTCTATAAGTACCTAGTTATACTATTTAGTCTAATAAATATACTAGCTATATACTAGAAATTAATTAATAATATCCTTAAGGTATACCTTAATAGAATAGTTATAGTATTTCTAGATAATATCCTAGTATATATTAAGATACTAAAAGAGCATATTTAATATATTATAGAAGTGCTAGAATACTTAAAGTAAGTAGAACTCTAACTAAAATATAAGAAGTATAAATAGTATAAAGAGGAGGTTAAATTCCTAGGGTTTATTATAGAATAATATAGAGTTAAAATAAGTAATACTAAGATTAATATAGTAAAGAATTAGCCTACTCTAATAATAGTTAAAAGGATTTAAGAATTTCTTAGGTTTATTAACTTTAATAGATAATTTATTAAGAATTACTTAAAGAAGGCCTTACTACTTATAAAGCTTATATAAAAGGATATACTCTTCTTATAGAGAAAAGAATAGGATAATATATTTAAGTTATTATAATAGGTATAACGTAAAGCATCAGCGAGCCGGCCACACCAGCGAGCCGGCCACTTTTCCTTGGCACTGCGAACACTACATACAGGATAAGCAATTACTCACTACCCTTTGCAGAACCTGCGTACGACGCACTTTCATCAGATGCAGAATCTTCTTCTGCATCTTCCTGGCACGTACGCGCGTTGTGCCCAGTCTTCCCACAGTTGCCACAGTGCCGTTGACCTGGTTGGGCTCTTTCATGACCACTCCTAACACGCGCTCTTTTTAACACTGTACGAGCTGCAGCTGCGCTTTCAGCTATAGAAGCTGCTGCTTCACCATACTCTACTGTACCACCATGCTGGATCTGCTTTCTTTTCCGGGTTTTGCGCTTAGTAAGTACTGCTAATTGCTCTTCAAGCTCACGAATGCGAGCTGCTTGTACAACATTCTCATGTAGCATAAGCTCACCACCTTTTACAAGCTGTGCAAACCCCTCTCTTGCTACTTCTGGTGATTGTACAATAGCTTGCCTTACAAGCCTTGCCTGTGACCCAAATTCATGTGAATTGCTTGGTGTTTGGGATTGCCATGGTGTTTCTGGTAGGGGTGCTGGTGGTGGCGTACGAATCTGAACATCCAGGCGATCCAAGACACGCTGCGCGTTAATAGGCACAAGCCCTGAAGCCTCAAAGGCGTTCTTGCAGTTCTCGTACGTAAACACGTCGAAAAATGCGTCTCTAAAGGCTGGAAGGAAGCCTTCTTTGTTAATGTGGTAGACGCGTTTAGATGCCAAGGCTCGTACGCGTTGAGAGTACTTTAGTTTCAACGGTGAGAAACACACCACATCAAGTGGCTGGAGGATGTGTGATGAGTGAGCAGGCATACAAAGGGTAAGGATCATGTTTTCCAGGCAGTAATCCTTAAACTCTTGGTTAAGGTGGCTCTCATGGCCGTCCAAAATAAGCAGCCTATACAAGCCCTTTTGACGCGCCTTTGTATGCTGGTCAAAGTGCTTCAACCACTCTAGGCCAAGCTGATTGTTTGTCCATCCGTTCTCAGAGACAGAGAGCTTCCAGTCGTACGGTATGTTGGTCTCCTCATACCAGGCAGAGATGTGTACACGCCCTTTGTAGATAATAAAGGGTGGGATAGCATACCCAGCAGCACAGATGCTCTGTATAGCTGTAACCCACTCCCGATCACCTGGCTGGATAAGGTTTGGTCTTGTACGTCTCTCTGAACCTGTAACAACCTTCATTGAGCCAATAATTCCCATCTGGAAGCCGGTCTCATCAAAGTTGTGGATGTCCGCATCCTGAACCCCATACTTGTCTTTTGTGTCCTGTACGAGCTTAAACCAGGCGTTGATAACTCCTGGCTCC